GCCCGATTGCTGGAACAATGGGGACGAAGAGGACAACGAACCCCTGGGCAAAGGGGATCGCCTCTTCGTCACGCGGATCTACGACGAAGGTTCGAACGCCCGCCCACATCCGGGCCATGCAGAGCGTGGCCACCAAACTGGCTGCCGCTGCCTACGCTGCCGAGAAGCCCCGAACCACCGAGGAGAGCGTACCCGCGCACTATCTTGAGGAATTCAAAGAGGTTTTCGAAAAACAGGACTTGACAAACTCCCGGAACGGAGGAAGTGGGACCATGCCATTGAACTACACCCAGACGCCGAACCCGTCAAAGGGCGCTGCATTCCCCTATCAGGAGAGGAACAGAAAGAGCTTGACGCATTCATCAAGGAACATTTGGCAACCGGGCGGATTCGGCCCTCGAAATCCCCATACGCATCCCCATTCTTCTTCGTCAAGAAGAAGGACGGGAAATTACGGCCCGTACAGGACTACCGGAAGCTAAACGAGATCACTATCAAAAACCGATACCCGATACCACTCATATCGGACATCATGCATAAGTTACGTAACGCCCGGTGGTTCACCAAGCTCGACGTACGTTGGGGATACAACAACGTCCGCATAAAAGAAGGCGACGAAGAGAAGGCCGCGTTCGTTACCAATCGGGGCCTATTCGAACCACTCGTGATGTTCTTCGGCCTCACCAATTCCCCCGGCCACATTCCAATCCATGATGAACGAATTGTTTTCCAACCTGATCTCCCAGGGTCGCGTGATCGTGTACCTGGACGACATCCTCATATACTCTAGCGACCTCTCCGAACATCGCGCAACGGTGAAAGAGGTCCTACAGATCCTGAAGGACAACCAACTGTACCTGAAACCGGACAAGTGCGACTTCGAGCGGAACAAAGTCGAATATCTCGGTGTGATCGTCGGGAATGGGCAACTTCGCATGGACCCGATCAAGGTCGCTGGCGTGCGCGAATGGCCCCGACCTCGTAACCTGCGAGAGGTTCAAAGCTTCCTGGGGTTCCTCAACTTCTACCGACGATTCATCAAAGACTTCGGCGCGTACGCCAAGCCACTGACCCGGCTGACCCGAAAGGACAGCCCATGGAAATGGGGACCGGAAGAAGAGCGAACTGAGCGAGTATCACTTCTCCTTGCTACATAAACCGGGGAAAACGAACGGGCGGGCCAACGCGTTATCCCGACGAAACGGGTACGACAACGGGAAGGAGGATAACCAGGACATCGTTCTACTCCCGGCGGGGCTATTCAAGGAACACGCGATCCGCGCTATGCTCACACTGGAGCATACGGAGGGCGACGGGCTGATGGACTCGATCCGACGGGCCGAATCGGCCACGGAGGAAAAGGTCCTCAAACTCTGGGAAGACGGAGAACCGGAAGGCTGGGAACAGCATGACGGCTTCAAGACTCGGAACGGACTGGTATACGTACCCCCGGCTATGGGACTGAGGCATCGGGTGCTATGGCAACACCATGACATCCCTATCGTGGGACACCCAGGGTGGCATCGAACTCTCAAGCTGACGACCCGCAACTACTGGTGGCCGTCTATTCAGGCCGATTGCCAGGCATACGTACGGGCCTGCCCGTTGTGCCAACGAACGAAGATATTCCCGAGACGCCCCGTAGGGACCTTGGTCCCGAATAGCGTGCCGACTCGGGTATGGCAGCGCATATCAATCGATCTGATCGTGCAGCTACCCGAATCCTCCGGGTACAACGCAATTCTCGTAATCGTCGATCGACTGGGTAAAGGGATACGCGTACTCCCGTGCACGGGAAACATCTCCGGAGAAGGAGTCGCTCGGCTATATCGCAATCACGTCTGGAAGGATTACGGATTCCCAGAGGAAGTAACTAGCGACCGGGGCCAGCAATTCATCGGGCATTTCATGAGCGACTTGAGCAAATTGCTGGGAATCAAGGTCCGATCTTCATCGGCGTATCACCCACAGACGGACGGGCAAACGGAGCGTGCGAATATGGAGGTCGAGCAATACCTTCGAACATTCTGCAACTTCCAGCAGAGTGACTGGTCCGACTGGCTTTCCCTAGCGGAATTTGCGTTTAATGACAAGGTTAACTCTTCAACGGGATTCTCGCCCTTCTTCCTCATGCTGGGATTCCACCCGAGAAAGGGGTCCGAAGCCCCCGCAAGACGTCCCGACCGAGGCCGCTACAGTGTTTGCCGAGCGAATGAAGGAAGCCCGGGCCGATGCGGCCGAAGCTATGAAAGAAGCCCAGGAAACGATGAAGAAATACTACGATGGAAAACACTCTCCGGACCCGAATTACGCCGAAGGGGACAAAGTTTACCTCCAGGGGACAAATTTGACCAGCGATCGACCCTCAAAAAAACTGGACGACAAGAGGTTCGGGCCGTTCGAAGTCAAGCGCAAAGTTGGTAAAACATCCTACGAACTGGTGCTACCCCCAACTTGGCGCGTGAGCCCCGTATTCCACACGGCGCTATTACGACCCTGGAACGCCCCAGTAGCGGATCATCAACGGGCCGCCCCACCACCCCCGGCAGAAATGCGGGACGGCGAGCCTCACTACGAAGTCGAGGCCATTTCCTCACGCAAGCAAGGTCGACACCGCCTGAGGTACTTAATTCAGTGGAAAGGCTACCCTCGGGAAGAGTGGACGTGGGAACTGCGGGACAAACTGGAGGCGCAGAAGAGGCACTCGAGGACTTCTATACTCTCAACCCGTTCGCCCCCCGAAGAACTCGTAAACGGCCGATGGAAAATCCAAAGCAAGACCAGGGGACGCGGACCCATAGGGGCGTCGAGGCGCCGCCCACAACGGAGGGGGTGATGTCACGGTTCGGGTCGGGCCGTCCGGGCTATAAGGCCGCACGGGCCCGTATACCGCCGTCCTCCTGGACGTCCCCTCATTCTTCCAACCCCTTCCGTTCACCCCTACGGCCCTACGCAGCGCCCATCCGATCCGCCCTGGGACCTGGCGCCCATCCGATCCATCCCTAATACCGTAGCGTATAAAAGTCGTACTTACAAGATGTAGTCGCTAGGCTAATATCGTCTATTCTCCGGGCGAATACCCATCTCTCGTGCTCCTCAGACCCCTTCGAAGTCGGACCCCCCGACGCCCCGATACGGCCCGAGCCCGACGTTGACACGTTGCTGGTCTCTATCTCCCAGCGTCGTCTCGACTCCGCTCTTCTCCTCTTGTCTTGTCTTGGTCAACTGGAAGCCCCGGTCACCCAAACATCCTTCTGTGGTGTTCCGCCCCAAGTGCTCTACGACTTCGATTCCGTTTCCGACTTTGACTCCGTCTCTGTCTCCGTCTCCGTCCCTTTGGTCGTGTGACGGTTCGGGTCGGGCCGTCGGGCCCTATACGGCCCGACGGGCCCTCACCACCCTTAGAGCCCTAGGGCTTGACAAGCCCTCATATATTCACAAGCTCAAAGCACTGAGCAACAACACTAATATCCCAGAGAAGGGACATAATCACGGATCGCGCTTTAGTCAGCCATCAAGCCATCATGACCCGCCATCAGGGATCATGATGCGCCGCCGGATGCCCTTGACAGCGGGCCCAATCGGCCCCTAGCGCCCACAGTATATAAAGACTACAGTATTACTCCTGTACCTTAGGTTTAGCATTGAAGTCTCTTCCTTTGAACCCTACTCCGGCCTGGTCCCCTAGAGCGGGGTTGCTGCGACCATACCCCAGGAAAGGGGCGTCTAGACGACTTCCAACACTCCAGGCTAGCTTGCCTCATTGACCTGAGCCCTTGGTTGGGCTGGACAGCTCAGGCTCTTGTCTCTTATGTTCACCCTTGTCCTAGCCACTTCTTCTTCTTGCTCTCTGGCCTCAAGCTCTGGGTTCCCCTGGTACGGGGTGATGGGAGGGTGCGGGCCCGATCGGGCCCGCATGTCACGCGTCACACCGCGCAGTCACGCGGTGTCTAGGAGCCACAGCGACTCGTTTCTCCAGGAAAGGAGATATGTCGCCCCTTGGACTGGCAACCCTTCTCAAGCGCTCCAGGGGTCTCGGGCCCGCAGCCCCTGCTGCGGGGCGACTCCCCTCGACCCCCCGAACCGTAGGGCGTGACCGCGTTACGTCACGCCCCGCCCGAACGGCTTGTTCAACTGGCCCAGCCTATGCCTTGCCCTATGCCTTGGGCACCAACTCTACTAGGCAGCACTCTTTGGCTATGGACTCGTTCCCTTCAGCAGAGGTAGGACACTCTAGACGACTACTCGTATCCTGTGACACCGCTGTCACACAACGTGACAGCGGGGCGTCTCGAGTCGCCCCGAGCTGTCCCTACCCTGCTCTCTATTGCAGCAGTGGCACCATCTATGCTGCCTGGTTGCCAACCGCCCAGCTATGGGGGTTGAACCATCCTTCCCACACTTGTCAGACTGGCAGGAGACCGTCACGTGGGCCCGGGCCGGCCCTGTTCCTGACAGGTCGACACGGCACTTAACAGTAACGTAGAACACACTGATCAAGAGAAATAGTTTATTTCATTTTCTGGTGCACCGAGGAAGTTCTGACTTCGTTCTGACACAGATTCTGTAAAGCATTTTGTTGCTAGGAGATATTCTGATGGCAGAACATGTTCTGACGGCAACTGGTGCACGACACATTTTTAGTGTCAGCTCCATTTCTGGCGAACTGGCAGAGCTGGTCCCAGCTCTTCCAGTTCATTTGGGAATTCCTGATGTGGTCATATTAGGAGGCACACAGATTGGAAAAATGGCTATTATAATCCACCTTACCATATTTGAATATTATGTGGCCATAATATAGTATAGCCATAATATAATATAATATATTCAAATATAATCATATTCAAGTGATTGACCAAAGGCATAATATATTCATAACATTCTGGATATATTCAATATTTAATTAACCATAATATAATTCTGGGCCCTGGCCACTGGCAGCACTACTAGCTGTTAGGACTGCTTGCAATTGACTCCTACCCAGACTCATAATTACTTACTTACAAACCCTTGACAGCTTGTGCTCTTGCTGCGACTATTTCTTCCGCGCGCTGCCAGTAATCCACGCCATACCATACTCCAGACACCCAGTCCTTGACAAAATCTTTGCACAGCACAACTGCAAACCGGGGATCCTCGATCTGCCGCTGCGCCGCTGCAGGACTGATCGTATCCTCCGTATCCGGAAGCGTGATCTGGTCCTCGTCGAGATGGGTGACGACGACGAGGCGGAGCTGGTGCCCACCGACATGCAAGACCTGCTTGATGATGTCTTGGGCGTAGATCGCGTAGAAGGAGAGGTGGGTGAGCGCCGGTGGGGCCCGGATCGCGGCGACCATCTCGGGGGACACCTTTCCGAACGTCTCCAGGTGTGTCAAACAGGCCAGCCCACTCAGTGCTGACCCATCGACGGTCCACTGCTCGAGCAGCTCCCCGAGGTTGACGGAAAGACGGCGCAAGCTGGACAGTCTTGCCAGCTGCGGGAGATTGGACGCCGCGCTGTGGCCGTGCCATAGCCCCAGGTCGAGCACATTGGGCAGATAGTTGAGGACCCGCGAGACGTCAGCGTACGACGGGACATTGACAGCGAGGAACTTAATCTGCTCTCCAACGGCCGGGCTAGCAGAGAGCCCTTGGAGGACTTTCTCGAGCACGCGGACATCGCGTATAAGGACGACGCGGTACCGCAATGGGCCGATCCTATGGTTTCGCGTTCAGTGCCAGTGTGATGAGTCGTGAAAGATGCATCGAGCACCATATGTGAACACGCGCAGCCACAAGACATAGGATGGAAATGGCCTTGCGATCATTCCAAGCGGCAAGTTCAAAGATGTGCCGCTCGAGCTCGGGGGGGAGCATAGAGCCAGAAGCCGGATTTGACATGGCGGAAACAATCAGAAAGGCGCGGGCACGTGCCGATAAGTGGTCAGCCGTGACCATCTTCGACTGGTCGAACCAAACTCAGAACAAATACTGTACTAAGTAGTATTGGTACACGATGACCGTTCTGATTGATGATACCATGATACTTATACAAGTCGCAAGACTGTATTCAACTTCGCTGCAGCATTCAAGAAAGAGCCCATTCTGACGCCGTTTCAAAGACGGAGACGCTGCATCGTCCGGGACAGGTTGTACGCTGCAGAGATGAGCGTGACATGTCTGGGCGCGGTACAGGGTCAGTCAATCTCGAGAGGCAAAAACAAGGAACACATACGTGAAGCCCTGCACGGCATTGCCTAATCTGCAAAAGCTTGAGAGCGAGCCACTCTGGGCGGATGGAAGATAACTGACCCTTCGCCAGCATCCGAGATTTCTTCGGTACACAGTCCGACGTGATTGAGATAGAGAAGAAAGTCCTAAAAAATGCCGCAACTGTCGGCCGCTGCAAGAAACCGCACGAAACCGCCATACCTCAAACATCGACACGGCTTTGAGCAGCATCGGCCGATCGTACTCTCCGGCACGGGTGAGCGCCTCGACACACCAGAGAGTGCAGAGGCAGAAGGTCCCTTCTTCTCCGCCCACGCCATCGTCCGATTTGGTCACATCGTATCTGAAAACGAGATTCTGGAGATGGTTGGGTAAAGAACGAGTCGAAGCCACCGAGCCACGCACGTTAGACGTCAATCCGCCGCGCTCGGGTGTATTCAAGATCTGTCGCAATGTGCTGACAAAGCGGGGATCACTCTAGGAAACAGTTGGATCCCGCAGAAAATGGTATGGAAATCTTACTGGCTGAATGAAGAAAACGAGAGGCATGATAAGGACAGCAGAGTCCATCACATCCGTCTCCTCGTACGACTGCCCGAAGACCTGTAATTCGGGATGCCACGCTTTTTCCATAATCTCTTCGTAGAGCCGATCGCGCGTCTCTAGCCACTTGGGCCGGTTCGGGCAGGGAAGCGACCGCTTGTCCGCAATCCGCAGGCCACGATCTATGGCCACCCTGGTGTTCATTTTGTCAGAACAAAGTGCATGATCGCAGGGGACGAATACCAGAGCATGACCTTCAGAGTGCATATGTAACGCAACATCGTGTAGAGCTAACGCCACAAACCTTGGAATACTGTCCACGATTTAGTCTGAGAAACGGGCAGAGAGAACTAACTTGCTGTAAAATGCCGCTTCTTATTTCGAACTTCCCTGTGCCGATGTTGAGCCAATACCTGCTCCCAATTTTGGAGTGGCAACATACCAAATTGACCTACGAAAGTTTCAATACCATTAAAGAGCGAGAGCAAGAGCGAAAATACAGGTCCGGAAGGTGACAGTTCGCCACGACATCTTTAATTATAATAAGATTTGTTTAGTAGGGGGAATCCAAAACGCTGGGCACTCACAATCCACCACGCCACGGACGAGAAGCCTGGTGTCATTCCTTAAGTCGGCGACTACCTACGGAAGCTCAAAGCCTACCAAGTGTCGTATGACTGTCGTGCGGCGGGAGGTTATATTGCACAAAAGATTGGTGAGGCAACAACGTACCAGTGGTCGGCCGAACTATTAGGTGAGAATCATTCAAGCTTTCTCGGGGAGGAAGATCGCGCGATCACAGACCTTCTGACCAAGATAGATACAATCCATCCTGAACGGTTTGTCTATCTCGCTAGCGACCAGTCCAACGATACTCACAATTCGCCGTAAATGTCCTTGGAAGGTATCAGCATAGTTTGGCAAACAACAGACTACCAACCAACTGCAAATGGTCTGCCGCGCCATTACCGATACTATCAACGATGAGTCGGTGCAGGTCTGGAAAAGTGAATAGACAAACCGAACGGGCCTTGATCCTTTGTGCCCATCGAGATGACTCAGTTCGAGCTCTTCAAGATCTTTTCCGCCTGGACATGACGTCGCCAAGAGAAAAGACACAAGACAATCAGGAATGCATACCATGGATGGTATACATAATCTGCAGACTTCCGTCGGGGTTCTTGTTCCGGAGACGCTCGAATATGAATTCCATGTAAGCTTGTCGTTTCTTCAGGACGGGTACTAAAAAGGTAATTGAGTATTACTGACCATCCGCTTCCTGGGTGAAGCCCAGGCGAATCAATGCATATAATGTGAAAGAGGAGTCTCGAATCCACGAGGCTCTGAGTCAACGTCAAGCAATGTCTGGACAAGCCGTTCAGGTTTACCGATAGTCCCTGTTATTTCTGTTAACCTGACCATAATAGGAATGTAATTATACCAATTTCGGGTCCCTCCGATGAATTCCGGTAAGCTGAACGTGGGACTTGCAACAACTGCGCCAGTAGGTTCAAATATCAGTAGCTTCAGCGCGAGCGCACTGCGATGGACTGCTTCTTTCCATGAACCGCTGTATGTCGATTGTCGAATCCAGTCGTTCCAGTATTTATTCGTCGACTACTAAGGTCAGCCATACGTCCAATTGCAGCAGAAGACATACGGTTAGGAGACCATGCACCAGTTCCTAGAGAACAATGAGCGAAAAAGATGGGTTTAGGTCACACGCACCTTGGTCAGCACGGGGTCCTCATACTGAGAAGCGCCGCTCTCGGCGCCATTTGGAGGACTCCTCAGGATGAAGGTGACGCATTGTCCTTCAACCAAGAGCATCTCAGACTGCACGGCAAGCCCGAGATGTCCCTTGGACGAGAGATCGAGCAGTTCCAGCCCAACTTTCGGGCAAGGCACACTCGCCATTGTATTCTCGGGTACATATCGCAAGTCGAGGGCCAGTGAATCGCTATGAAAGTCTGCTTTGAGGGTGTTGGCTGGGGCCGAGGAAGGGGTGATGACAGTGGTATGCTTGGAACGTGCGTAGTTGAAAGCCGGAGCGCATTCCATGCGGAGAGGTACTTTGCCTCGGATAACCTATCGTGCGGTTCAGCAGCGCTATTTAGGGAGAAGAATGGCTCACGCGCCTCGACGCGACGGATAAGCCATGGAAGGAGGGGTTTCTTGGTGAACGCGGCGGCAGCTTGGCGGGGAAGGAAGTCTGGAGCGAAAGATCTCAGCTCCGGTTATTTTGAGTTACCGCATTGCATCAAACACCGAGCAAGGCCGAACGACACAATGCCTGGGTTTTGGTGGATTCCGGTGAAGAAAGCTCACCAGTGACGCTAGCTACCCCACTCTCGTTCATGAACTTGGTTTGTAGGACCTTTCATTGTGTCAGCGTGCCGCCTGAGACTTCCGATGTAAACATCGGGCTGAGCGCCGGCGACGCACATTCGAGCTGGGGTAATAGTTCTGTTTCGTGGTGAACGGGACGGTTGGACTGATCGAGAAGTGTCCGCCCTTGTTCTTGTCGAGGATGCGGGCGAATACTGAAGGAGAGTCGAAGTGGGGGATGCAATAGCTTTCAACTTGAGGGCATATTGAGTATTTTGGACGGCCAAAGGATCGAGTAGCACGTACTAGACCCATCTGTGCTGACGAGTGCCGCGGTGTGGAGGTTTCCAATCCTACAAGGCGGACAAACGCGGTGAGATCAGCCCCTTCGACTTCGATGAGGATACGAACAAGCCGTGGTCTGCGATGGGGATGTAGTCTCTATCAAACGCGTTCTTGGGCTCTTGGATATTCATCGTGGATGTCGAGGGTAAGCTCAGCAAGCTGAGCGACAAGTGGTGAAGACTATAAGTAGTGACAGCCGCGGGTGCACTGCTTTTTTGATGGCAGCGGCCAAACGGCCTTTTCACTCACGCACACCGATGACAGCCGTTGGGTGGGTTGAAGGAAGTTGCGCGTACGCCTTACAAGTGGCGATAGAGTCCGTATAACGGGACCTACGAGAAAAGGGGGTGGACGGTCTACCTCGGATGGGCCGGTCCGGGTCCCGCAGCTTCACAGGGAAAGAAAGTTCGTGTGAGTCAGAATTTTTTACCGTATTACCAATCCAAAGTCTCTCTCATATCCCATGTCTCCCAGTGTGGTGTCGACTGTCGTTGACTACGTATCTCACGACATCTTGAAGCGACCCTCCTGGGCTTCTCGAAAGTCGAATGCCCAGGTCGTCACTCCGATAATTTCTAGTCAAGCTACCGCAACAGAACTGGAATTAGAGACACACGCCCCCAGTTCTTCTGCAGGTTTTGTCCAGAGAGATGAAAATGCCTTGGAGGAGGACCCCGAGTTGAGGCTTCCAAGTCGAGGCTCCCTTTTCGTCATGATTGCGACCAACGCGTTGTTGCAGGTGCGGGAGCCAGATACCACAATGTGTAAATGACCACTCAGACTGGTCAAGTTTGGGTTCTTTGTCACCGTTTCGTCTGCGGCATCTTATGCGGAATATCTCGGAGGGACAGCTGTGTTTTCGGGGCTGACCATCGGCATTCCAACTGTGTTTTCGGGCATGGCACTGATTCCTATGACAAGATTTGACGAGGGTACGTTCTACCATGCTTAAATATATGCCGTTCTTGACTCTTTGTAGGCCGTTATACGCGTCCTCTCCTTCTTGCTTTCATTGCCCTTTTTCTTGGCAATATCTTCCACGCTGTGGCCTACCCCACCCATTTTCTCTACTTCATCCTCATCGGACGGATAGTCAGCGGAGTTGCTTTTACGGGGTTCATGTATACCAAACGTTTCTGCTCCGGTACAGTAGCTCGTCGTTTCTCTTCCCACATATCCAATACCAATGTCAGATCCCCGCATCATTGGTATCCGACGCCGAACCACCCTCGCAAGCTGGCTTGTCCTCGGGCAAGCGTTTGGATTCAGTGTTGGGCCATTCATCGGCGGTGCCCTATACAAGATTGGATTCAAGAACAACGTCTTCAACGGCTTTACCAGCACAGGCTGGGTGACCGCAGCGTTCACTGTCATTTTTGCCGTTTGGAGCTTCCGGCTATTCCAAGACGTGCCCAAACCAACCCGCATCTCCGATCAAGCCTCCCTTGAGGCCCCTCCCGTTGCCCCACATCCAGATGACTACGGCTTCACACAACTCTCCCTCCAGCAGTGGGGCGTGCTCTTCTCCATGTGCTGGGCTTCAATGACCTGCTTTTTCATTCTTGGAAGCTGGGAGGCCAACATCCCCATCTTCACCGCCTCTGCCCCCGCATTTCACTACTCGCCATATGCCGCCGGCAACTTCATTGCCCTCGGCGGAATCGCCACGCTCCCTTTCCTCCTCGCCAACGTCCGCTACGCTCCGCGCTTCCAGGACAGGACCACGCTTCTGCTCGGGACCGGCATCGGCTTCCTCGGGCTGCTCCTCACGCTGGTGCTGCTTGCGCGGGACAACGTCGCCGTCGCCCCGTTCTACATCTGCTGGGTGCTCGTCGCGCTCGGCTTCAATCTCGGGAGCACGTGCACGTTCAGTCTGCTCTCCAAGCAGTTCCCCAACTCGTGGAACGGGCGGACGAGCATGATGATACAGTACAGCAACTACTGTGGGCGGGTCACGGGCGCCGTCCTGGGCGGCGCCGGCGTCCAAATTGGCATGAAGAAGTATATTGCGATCCAGATGGGTGTCGTTGGTGTTGGGACCTTGCTGCACTTGACGTTCTGGAGGCAGCTGAAGGCAAAAACAGGATAAATCAGGGGACTTCAGGTTTCGGCCTTCAACTCAGACTTGACCTTTAATACTTGGTTGTCGGACTCAAGTCGAATTGAAACAGGGATGACCCACTGCAAGAGAAAAGCCAACTCACATCATCGGCACCGAACGTAAATCTAGATGCGGGACTGCTCCTCGTAGTCTCGCTAAATAGTTGTGGTTCTGTAGAGGTCAGATGTAGCGATTTTAGTGACTAGAATAGTCTGTGTAAGTATGTGCATACGTCATGTGTCACGTGCCAAACGACCTTAGCGTTGACCACGCAGTGTGGGGAACGCGTTCAGTGCAATCATTGGTGAACTCTATCGCATGCTCCACTACATACTATCCGGAATAGACCTAAGACCCAAAGTAACTCTCCTGACCGTCCCTGCTGAAATTTTGGATTTGACTTTTCACTTCATTGTTGCCTCTGAACCGCGCAAGTCGTTCAGCCATGAAAGTTGCAGGAACGCAGCATTGATACCATTGTCCCAAACATGCCGCAAGATGAGGGCTAGTTGCTGTCCTTGGATATTCCGCGAGGTTTACACGTGGCAGGAGGATGTCTGGCCCGAAACGCTGTGGATGTTTTTCAGGTGCGTATTCATTACCTGAGTACACCTGTACTAACAATTCAACGCAGGACGGCGCACATTAGGGATCACTCAATAACCCATCCAACAGAAATAAGCCTTACCCCCAATTTGTTCCGGCTGAGTCTTTGCGACACATGTCGCGGCTTAGTCGAGTTACTCTCCGGCTTAAGGATGCTATGCCTTTGGGGCTATTTGAATCACTCTCGTTGGTGCCGAGCCTTGACTCTTTAGAGATTTACCAGACACGACTGGATGCTCTGCCGTCGACAAATCTATAAAGCTTTCCTGCACTCACCACACTTGTTATGCGAATATCAGGCTTCGACGGGATTTATCGCTCTCCAGATATCGACACCTCGAAAGAAATCCACAATGTCGCCCTACTCTTGGCGCGGATTTCCAGCCGCCTGAAAAGCCTCACCATTTCTGGTGATTTGCTCGAGCCCAAGGAATTCCTGCGCATCGCCTGGCCCAATCTTCTCCAATTCACTCTCGCTGACCACCCGACCATCCCATTTATCCCCATCACCCAACTCGTCACTCATATGCCCATGCTCAGGTCGTTGTCTGCTCTCCATACGACCGATTTCACAAAGAATCCCCGGCCACCGTTCACATTTGGCATTCATAGTGGACCGTTCCTGACAGAGACGTGTCCTCATCTCACCTCTGTCTCCCTTTCCAACTTTGGCATCTCCGATCCTCTCTTCCTCCAACTAGTACCAAACTCACTCGACGAACTTCATCTTATGGCGATACGAGACTCCTATAAGCGGGGACAAAGGCGACCCGACAGAAGGGATCGAATCACCACTCCGCTTAATATTGATGATGCGATTGCACTTGTGGGCATACTCCCCCAGTTCGATCGGCTGCAGAAACTCACTATAATCTTGGACTACATCCTGATGCAGCCGGAGTTTGTTGTCGCTCTTGCTTCCAAATTCCGTCATCTCACCTCTCTCCACCTGATTCAAACGCTGGAACGTGCTGTTTATCACATTCCACTCATAGATGATCGAAACGTAAGTTGTCTTCATAGTGTCTGGTAATGTTAACTGACTATCTGTCCAGCCGGAAATGATAGATGCCTTACGGCTTTTCCCGTCGCTCCACGAGCTCAAAATCACGCTTGACGACCTTAATAACCCATGTCGTGGTGTTCCGAATCAGGCTGCATACCAATTGTTTCGTTGCTTACCCAAGCTCCAGACGGTCGGCATGGTTTGGAAGGTCTCGGCCCACGAGGAGGCAGATTTTTGGAACTACTGGCACCGCAGTATGCTACTAGATCCCGAGCCAGAGCCTTTACCGGAGTACTTTGAATACATCAGGGGACGATCATGAATCAGTGCAGTGACTTTTCATTGGATTATCTTGGTAGACTAGTTCCTTCTGAGTCGCTCAACAGTGAAAACACAGATTTGGTGTCAATGTCAACCCGAACTCTGCGCTCTTTTCCATTGACAGATACGACTCGACGTCATTTCGTCAACCAGTCCACGTTTCCTTTCGTCTCCAGTAAGAGTCTCGGGCTTCTACTGGCCCTATATCGACCTCCACATAGGAAGAAGTACTAGTCCCCACTGCCGCTGTGCCTTAGGTTTGGCTCACATTTTCAAGCGTTAAGAAACATTAACTATCTCTGGCAATTCACTCAAGTTTGTTATGTCGCAGGCACGGGAATAGAATAACTACTGGCTACTTGAATACAACAGTGGAAATACAAACATTGGCTTCGGGTCAGTCTAGATTGTCTAAATTCCTGTTCACACATCCTCGCACCGGTCCATATCCTCGTGATCATCGACCACTGCCAACTCGATGTTGACCACCATGACTTCTTTGCCTGTGATCTTCATGTTGGCCCTAGCGTGAACTTTTTTAGGCGACGCCGGCGGGAGAGTTAGCATGACCACAAATAGCGCGAAACCCGTCAGCGCCATGAGCTAGTTGCAGGTCAGTCCGACTGAAGGAGTGTTTCAGTGAACACAGTGTGCTTACGCCGCTGAAAAGCGCGGGTCGCCACCAGATGAACTGTTCAGTGAGCAGTACACCATCGATAGGCGGGCCAACAAGGATCCCAATGCCACTGATTGCAACGGAAATACCGAGACGAGCACTTCGCAAGGCTTGAGCATGCATGACCAACATCAGGGCAGACGACAACTCACCCAAGCTCGGACATGTCCTCCGTTAGCACCGCGAGCAACGGGCTCATACAAGTAACGACTATGACTGGTTACACTTCAACAGAATTGAACGCAAGAAGAGACATACTGCATCCCGCGAAAAAGCCATATAAAATACCAATAACGATGACACTTGCTTCGTCCTGGAGGGCGATCATGCAGAGGATGAGAACTGCCCCACAGGCAGAAAACACGGTAATCATTCGCTGTACTGCAAACCGATGGGCCACGAAGCCGGGAGCGAGACGGCCGACAAATGAGGACGTGTTCATGATGACCAGCGAATAGAACGCAAATGTAGGATCGAGTCCATGCTGGATGGCGTCTAGCTGGAGGTAGAAAAGTGGATAGTAGAAGCCGATGGTATAGATTGCAAGGCTACGAAATGCGTTAGAATACAGAAAAATAGTCTCCGACAACCTACCCTAGCGTCGCAGCGAGATAAGGGCCATCTTTCACTATTTTCAGCAATAGACTCCGAACGTTAATCGAGGTCTTCGGCGGCGGTAGTCGTGTTCGCACGAGACAGCAAGCAATGGTCAAAAGCCCAGAGACTAACCCTGCACTCGCCCGAACAGTATTGCCAAAACCAAGACGAGGAAGGAGATTATTCAGCATGATCGGATGAACAACGGCGCCAAGGGAAGAGCCAGATGCAATGATTGTCATGGCCAGAGCGCGTCGTTTGGGTGAAAAATGTTGAGAGACAATGGCGATGCAAGGGATATAAGTCATTCCTGCGCCAACACCGTTGGCGATGCCTTGCGCGAGCAAAATTTGGTAGAGTTGATTCGGCTGGGCAAGGGAGAGCATAAAGAGCGATAGGGCTACAAGAAACGAGCCGACATAAATCAAAGGATAGCTGTAACACAGTCAATTCCTAACCAGCATAGAGTGGATTCAACACACAAGTATCCTCGGTCATGTAGTCTTCCAGTGATAAAACCACCTGCAAGTATGATGAAGATGTTCACACTGCCAATCCAGCTAGTGAACCAGTCAATATCAGTCGACGCAAATGGAGGGTTAGACATACGAAATCGCGGAGGGAGATGAGTGTGAGAGATACTCGCGAACATACAAGTCTTGGCAAATGAGTGGGAGAAGTACAAAGAATCGAGTGAAGTACCTTGGTAGACGCCAAATGAGCTGCTATATCTAAAAAGGTGTCAGTGCTGAACAAAAAGGTTTGCAGATCTTACCCAAAGCCACAGAACATTATCAGAAACCTGGAAATGTGTGAATTCCAGCAGGCGCTATGCATAAAAAAAGCATACGAGCCCAAGACGGTGCCCCATGCCTGAAAGCCACCATCTGGAAAAGCAGGCGGGGGAGGAATCGCGAAGACATCCATCACAGGCCGCTTCTCAGCATTGCGCTTTTCATATGCATAGCTCGTTTTCGACATCGTGGGTAGGGGCTATTTGGGGCAACGACTTGACGAGTGAAAAAAAAACAGTTGAATGCACATCGAGAGTTGCCATCCGTCTTATGTAGTAGCGCGTCAAGAATCCGCGAAGCTTCGACTCGCTAGTCCGAAGAGCACCGAGGCGCATCGAGTATGCGCTGTGGTGTTTTAGCCGTTGAACGGGTACTGGGAGAACGGAGAAAAGCTGTCAAGACGGCACGTGCTCCGAGGGAAACCCACCTCGAATTCTGTCACTCTTGGACATTTCTGACCTTTTCTGACACACACGCAACACCTACGGCCACTGGCAGTTGCTCATCCGTTCCCATGCGTATCCTCGGCGCTTATCTATTTAGCAACACTCGAGATGCGTTGGCATTTATCCAATCCAATCTAAGTGTCGGTCGGCAACTAGCTCAACCTCAAGCGTTCGTCATCGTCTCCGAGTCGACCTTCCATTCTCGTGCGGATAGCGTCGTGTTAGCCTTCGTTTCGCAAACAGAGCGCTCTGTTTTTCGCTGGAGAAGTGAAACCGGACCCTTCCTGAACCCTTTGGCATGATTCTTGCTGTGACGCAGATGTTCAATTCCCGGGTCCCAGTTCCTCAAGTTCGAGGGAAACGCATTGGCAGTAGCTAAAGCAACAGGTCATGGCGGCGGCGTCTAACTAGGTTAGCTTGGACCACACCCGTTCGTCCGCAGAAGAAACATACCGACCCAAGGAAACCGATCCCACTCCGAGTCGGGCGGTGCACACAATCATTGCTGGGCTGGTTGAAGCAACTTCTACTTGGCTCCCTCGAGTCTCGATCGTAAGAGAAACCTGGCAGAATAGTTGCGCACAACGTGGAACCGTCTGCGGAGCTGGCCAGTATTCGAATCGTCGAATGGTTTCGCAAGCTGAGCACTTACCACGGTCTCCCAAGTGGCCGAAGTCCGACATTCTCAGTATGCTGTCTATTGTGTCCTCGGACCTGCGGACTGGACGTTCCTCCCATTCCACAGGTCAATGCTCCGCTATTTTCTATTCATTCATTTTCTGAAGACAAAGCCCATCCATCCATTTTCTTTTTGTTCTAAATTTGGCATGACCTCGGCAATCACGGTCACAATGTGTCACACTGCCATGAGGATCTCGCACCACACAATGGGGAAAAAGGCTTGCCGCAGAACAATGCCTGCTCTCTGACCTGCCAGCGCGTCCGTATAAAAAGCGTCTCGAAGCTGTCCCTGGTCTGTCCAAACATTTCCCCCGCTCCTTCGGCTCCCGCTGTGCGACCTTCCGCTCACTCTTCCTCTCTAGAAGTTTTTTTTTTAACGATCCACTCCACACGACTACGATGCTTTTCTCCCTCCCCCTTCTGGCGCTTCTTCCCGCCACCGTCTCCGCCCATGGATTCGTCCACAAGTTCTGGGTCAACGACAAGACCTTCACGGGCAATGTCCCACAAGCACAAGCGACGCCCTCTGTCGTTCGGCAGATCAGCCAAGTGGACCCAGTGAAGGGTGCCACCAACCCGTTCGTCAACTGCGGACCCAATGCGCAACTGGCGAAGCAGGTCGCTGACGCAAACCCCGGTGACAAGGTTTCGTTTTTGTGGACCGGTGGAGATCTCAGCAAGGTACGCGTTATTGTCTTTTGTCTTGACCGAACTGACGTTTCCCGACAGTGGCCTCACAACATCGGCCCGATGCTGACCTACATGACCAACTGTGGTGATGACTGCACGACCTTCGATTCTTCCAAGGCCAAATGGTTCAAGATCGACCAAGTTGGTCGCATCCCTGGCGACAAGGATGGTAATTGGTTCCAGAACCGTATCTGTACGTCGTTTTTCATCGCTCTGTCTTGGTCTCTGAATCCGCTCCCAGTCGTCCAACCTAACGTCGCCGCCAATGTCACTCTCCCCTCCAATCTTGCCCCCGGCAACTACCTCATCCGCCACGAGATCATCGCCCTCCATCTCGCGACCCAGAAAGGCGGGGCCGAGTTCTATCCTTCATGCACACAGCTTCGTGTTGGAGGCTCTGGAACGGGTGTCCCCGCCGCAAACGAGCTGGTCCAGCTTCCCGGTGCTTATAGCGATACCGACCCCGGCATCCTTGTCCCCAAAGTCTTTGACGACGTGACCGCACCCTACGCTTTCCCTGGCCCGCCAGTCGCTGCATTCGTCGGCGGTTCTTCTGGCGCAACTAAATCCTCGTCTGCGACCAGCCCCTCCCAGACGGGCTCTTCTTCGAGCTCCAAGGGCAAATCATGCAAGCTTAAGCGTACAGCCACATCTTCCCCGTCCCTGAAGAAGCGCAACATTGCCCGCCCCCACAAAGTCAGCCGCATAATGCGGGAGCTGGCGGTTGGACTGCGCACTGTTAGCCAATAGGCCGTCTTATACGCCATCTTACGATTCTCCATGACCCCCTTCATGTTGTGCCCACCGGTGGGTATGTATTATTAGCACCGCCTATTTTGTATCGTTATTTTGGGTTCTCGTTGTTGTATCTACTGTACTTAACTCCAATATAATGGGCTCAAAAGCAACTTTCGGGCCCTTGTGCAAAACTACAGATTATGTAAACACCTTTGAACTTCTGACTGAACCACAACCATTCTCCTTCTCACCTCTTTTGGTTGCCCTTTGGCAAGCAGATCAACTGCCTCACTTTAGAGTTTGTCCATCCAGACACGTGCCAGCACCGTGACGGTCTTTTGGCCAGCAACCAACCAACATGGGCAACTCGTTCAGTGCAATCATTGTTGGACTTGGTCGCATACTCCGCCACAAGCTATACGGAATAAAAGATAAACCCAAGGCAACACTTCTGACGATCCCTGCAGATGTTTTAGACCTCGTTCTTCATTTCATCGTCACATCTCAACCCCACCAACCGTTCAGCCACGAAAGGTCCAGCAACGCAGCCTTGATTCCATTATCACAAACATGTCAGGAGATGAGGGTTAATTGTTGTCCTTGGATCTTTCGGGAGGTTTACACTTGGCAACGCGAGGAAGAGGTCTGGCCAGAAACATTGTGGAGTTTCTTTAGGTACTAGTACCCATTCCTGTCGCGTTTGAGACAAGCTCACAAGTTTCCAGAACAGTGCATCTGAGGAACCGCTCAATCCGCCATTCAGCGGTGATTACCCTCTCATCCAGCCTATCCTCGTCATTGCAACATATGCCAAGATTAACTCGCGTCACGCTACGACTCAAGGACGACGTTATCCCCTCCCACATGTTTGAAGCTATCTCTTCGACACCAAATCTGTCTTCGCTGGAGATTTATCAAACGCGTCTAGACGTCATTCCCACTGAAAAGATCGAATTTCCTTCACTCACGACACTTGTTCTCCGAATTTCAGGCTTCGAAGGGGTCCACCGATATCCGAATATCAATAAGACAGCTGAAATGAACCACATTTCCAGACTTTTGGCTCTTCTTGCGAGTCGTCTAGAAAGTCTGACCATTTCCGGGGATTTCCTTGACCCTACCGAGTTCAAGCAAAATCTGTGGCCGAGCCTCCGTAATTTCAGTGCCACGGACCATCCTCCCATCCCTCTTGTTCCTATTACTCAACTCGTCACTCATATGCCCGTACTCAAGTCATTATCCGCCCTCTATACGACAGATTTTACGAGCAACCTTCGACCACCTTTTTTACTTGGCCGTCCCAGTCCTCCATTTCTAACAGAGACGTGTCCCCTTCTCGCTTCTGTCTCTCTGTCCAACATTGGCATCTCCGATCCCATTTTCCTTCAATTACCCAGTTCCATCGACGAACTGCATCTGCTAGCCGTGCGGGATTCTTATGGACGTGGGCAACGGCGGCCACGCAGGAGAGACCCAATCACCTCACCGCTCAGTATCAGAAATGCCACTACTCTTCTCAGCATACTTCCCAAATTCGACCAGCTACAGAAGTTGACGGTGATGTTTTCCACTATCCTAATGCCAGAGTTCGTCTTGGCTGCTGCAGCTAAATTTCGGCATCTCACATCGCTCCATCTGACTCAAACGCTAGAGATCGTTGAACACCTCATCCCTCTCTTTGACATTCGCCATGTGAGTTGTCTGAGTTTTCGACGACATCTATATTGAAATCGCTTAGGAAGAGACCATCGACGCTTTGCGACTGTTTCCGTTGCTCAAGGAACTCAAACTTACAATTGACGATCAAGGTGGTACACCATACCGCGGTGTCCCAAACGAGCCCGCATATCAACTATTTTGCTGTCTACCCGGGCTACAAACCATCGGCATCCTTTGGAAAGTCGATGAACATGAAGATGCAAGCGTTTGGGACTACTGGGACCGTAGCATGCTGTCAGAACCCAAACCGGAGTCTTTGCCCGACTTCTTCGCGTTTATGAGGGACGGCATGAGACTTTGAATAATGTCCCGAGGTAAACTATTCTTCAGTTTGGAGGTGCAAGAGTCCTTATTTTCTCTTCAGGTCGGTTTGAATCCCGAGACCAGGAGTCGATATATATATTCACGGCATGGCTTGCAGGATGCGTCATCCAAGTGTCCCAGGCTGATACCATCGTCGACACGATTCGTCGGTATGGTCAGTAAGTGGAATACCCGAGATTTGATGACGAGGGCGGGGGTATACGCAAGGGCAAAAACAGCAGCTTGCCGTTTTCGGGCGTGTTCTGCGATTTCATCACAAGTGAGTGAACAATTTGGGCGACTGGAGGGTATGATACGACGATTACTTGTACAACAAAAACTTGCAGGGATGAATCTACGTAGCTATTGCTCCTGCGTCATCAATTTTTCCCCAATCGTATGGTCGCTCGGATATGTGGTCTTCTGCTCGCCAAAATTCTTTCTCTCGGAAAAATATCTTCGGACTTTTTCCAGGTGCGAAGTGCAGATTTAAATCTGCGCTGTACATCGCCATCTGTATGGGTGTTAGCTCTCGACACTGCCAATAGGAGCGCGACCACTATACCCGGCCAATGACACATGGAGGGTCCCATGAATCGTCTTCAACAGAATCTATTGACTTGGACTGGATAGCTCCGCGTTGATATTCTTTACCATCAAAGATGTGGATTTTTGACGTTGGGTCGACGTGAACAGGTACCCACAAAGTCGTGTTCTCCTTGAACTGGAATTTCACTTTGAGCCTTCTCTTCGGGGTGCCATCAACCGGAATGAGGCGATAGCGCTTGTCCTTATCGAATTTCACATCTTCAAAATGGCTATAATATGCGATTACAATCGCCTCGTCCAAGTAGATGGAAGCGGCGCCTGCAAATCTTGATGTAGTCACGATATCTAGCATCATGATCATAAGGACTTACCGGTGTCAAATAGAACCCTGCCGGTTGAGATAGGATATTTGGTGTCATTTATCATCAGGCAAGGACAATCAACCATCCAGTCAGACTGATTACTCGAAATCTCGCCAGCAAACCTCCATTTATATTTTCCTTTTGCATCATCTGGGAGGTCTGGTGGGCGACCACCAATGGTTAATCTTCTGTAAGCATTTAAGTTGTTTGACCTAAGCTTCAAATTCACAAAATATAAAATACCCTTCAGTAAGACCAAGTACGAGTGTCATTTCTGGGCTTGCCTAGTGGTGACATAATGAATACAATCAAGTCAACACAGCTGAGAACCAGAGACTTACATAGTGCCATGAGGTCTGCCAGAGGAATGACTGCAACTGTATCAAACCTGAAAGTATCTTTCTAAATCTAATAAACATACTGGCATGTATTCTTCAGTACCACCTCCCATCCTAAACAATTTGAATTCAATATGTAAGTCTGCAGTATTTAACATGATATATAGATACCTTGGAGCTAGGCCAATAATTCCAGATACTGGAAGATTATCATGGTTGGTTACAGAATGCACAACCCCTATTTTGATAGGAAGTGACTGGTTGCAGCTTTCACCATCTGGCTGCGGTGCACTGTTGGATAGTTTGAGTTTGAGATTAGCTGGGCGAAGTGTGAACTCTTGATATGGAGTTGGTAGTGAACAAAAAACTCCTTTAGGATGTCAAACATACTGGCAATAGTTTTATCAATATAAGATGCAGTGTATTCCTTTAGTCCAGTATGATCATAGGTTGGCCAGTACACAGAGATATATGGTCCAATGCCTCCATGATGGCCTGCAGCTTTGACTGGCTGACCTAGAACCCACCTATCAACTAATATAAATGATGTGTTGAAATATACAGAAGGCTTACATTGCAGAAGAGCCTGAAGAAAATGATATCTAGTAGGTGCACATATTGCTGTGAAAGACAACAATGACTCACCCAAGTCAAGTTCAACTGGAAAAAGCATATCCCTCTGGTGAGGTTTGGAAGGATCAGAAACTTGCTTTTGGTATAGTGAGAATATTAGCATATGGAGACAAAGTGATTCGCACCAAGTAGGTGATCACCTGAGCAACTAACACAGACCTCAGAATGATAAGAGTCCGGGCTACAAATAAGACTCACAATCTGGCCCAGACACTGTGCCAATCGTTGTTTGGAAAAACTGATGAAGAAATCTTGATGCAGGCTCTGCTGCGAGTGGGGGAGCACGTTCCGCGTGAACGGGAACTTGACGGCTTTCTGGTGTTAAACCAATATATTTCCGCAGATGCTCAAAGTTGATTGGTGGAGGCTGTGGAGCCATCATTGGTGAATAGTAGCCTGAGTGCACACTTGAGGAAGATGGCGAGGACTCGGATGTTGCCTTTGTTGGAGAAATGGCTTTACCCGACCCAAACCCTTGACGTAGCTTTAATCGAGGAAAAAGCACCTATGATATGTAGTAGTGATGTTCTAGAAGGATGTAGTCATAAAGGGCACATACATCTGGATTGTCATCTCCATGAAGAATTTTAAGATCCAGCTCAACAATGTCCGAGTCTTGCGTTAGGTTCATCGAAAGCCTGAGATGTCGGATTGCGTGAGTGGGGCCTGGGCTTTAAGTGTGTTTGGTGATTCATAGTCGTGGATCGATGGCCTTTGGTTGGCCCCTAACTTGCCCCAAAAGGTGAAGCTTCTATGTGGCATTATGCACGCTACGTCCAGATATGAGATGTTTGGTGATTTGTAGTCGTGGATCGATGGCCTTTGGTTGGCCCCCACCTTTTACTTACCTCCACGGTGCAGCTTCTCCGATGCCCGTGGCAGTATGGCAAATATACACGCTACGTCCGGAGATATGAGATAGTAGATACCATGAATAGTCCATGACGAAGTCAGTTGTCACGTGCACCGACGGCCTCAATCAACAACCACGATGGGAAACGCTTTCAGTGCAATCATTAGAGAGCTCAACCGCGTACTGTACCGTGGACTACTCGGAATAGAAGCAAGGTCCAAGCCAACTCTTCTGACTGTCCCTGCTGAACTTTTGGATTTAATTCTCCATTTCATCGTTGCCTCTGAACCGCTAGAGCCGTTCAGCCATGAAAGGCGCAGCAACGCGGCTTTGATACCATTGTCTCTAACCTGCCGCAAAATGAGGGCTAGCTGCTGTACTTGGATATTCCGTGAGGTTTACACGTGGCGACGGGAGGAGGATGTCTGGCCCGAAACACTGTGGAATTTCCCCAGGTGCGTTTTCCCCCTTACTCCATAGTGCTGCAACTGACAATCTACTCAGGACAGTGCATATCAGGGATCACTCAATCCGTCATCCAGCTGAAATCACCCTCACAGCCAACTTATTCCGGTCCTTACTACATATGTCGAGACTGAACCGGGTCACTCTGCGGCTCAAGGGCACCATACCTCACAAACTCTTCACCGCACTCTCGATGGTACCGACGCTCAGCACTCTAGAAATTTACCAGACACGACTGGATGTTCTGCCGTCGACAAATTTCAGCTTTCCTGCGCTCACCACACTTGCCATTCGAATATCAGGCTTCGACGGGATTTATCGACCTTCAGATATCGACACATCGCAAGAAATCCACAATGTCGCCCTACTCTTGGCGCGGATTTCCAGCCGCCTGAAAAGCCTCACCATTTCTGGTGATTTGCTCGAGCCCAAGGAATTCCTGCACATCGCCTGGCCCAATCTTCTCCAATTCACTCTCGCTGACCACCCGACCATCCCATTTATCCCCATCACTCAACTCGTCCCTCATATGCCCATGCTCAGGTCATTATGTGCCCTCCATACGACCGATTTCACAAAGAGGCCCCGGCCACCGTTCACATTTGGCCTTGATAGTGGCCCGTTTCTAACGGAGACGTGCCCTCATCTCACCTCTGTCTCCCTTTCCAACTTCGGCATCTCCGATCCTATCTTTCTCCAACTACCCAGGTCCCTTGGCCAACTCCATCTGCTGGCGTTGCGAGACTCTTATACGCTGGCACAAGTTCGCCCGGACAGAACGGATGAAATCTCCTCTCCGCTTGATATTGATGATGCGATCTCACTTGTGGACATACTTCCCCAGTTCGATCAACTGCAGAAACTCACTATGACCTTGGACTACGTCCTGATGCAGCCAGAGTTTGTCGTCGCTCTTGCGTCCAAATTCAGTCATCTCACCTCTCTCCATTTGATTCAAACACTGGAGTATGGTATTCAGCACATTCCGCTCATCGATGGTCGCGACGCAAGTTGTCTTATTTGCATCCAGCGATGTTTACTGAATACCCGTCCAGCCAAAGACAATAGATGCCTTACGACTTTTGCCGTTGCTCGACGAACTGAAAATCACGCTGGACGACCGTTTCACACCATGGCGCGGTGTCCCGGATCATGCCGCATACCACTTATTCCGTTGCTTGCCCAGGCTTCAAACGGTCGGTATCCTTTGGAAGGTCTCGACGCATCAGGACGCCGATTTTTGGAATTTTTGGGATCGCAGCATGCTACTAGATCCCGAACCAGAGTCGTTACCCTACTTATACGAATTACCCTGAGTATTATTAAGGAACGACACCGTTTATATGGGATTTCGGTGCTGTCGTACTTATAGTCTCACAACTATATTAAGCAACTCCAACCACGGCTTCAGACTTCAGAGTGCCAGTGTAGGTATCTTCTGGATAATTTCCCCACAAAGTAGACTTAGACGAAGATATGTTCTAGCAGAGTTTCATTGTAGTGTCTGAGTTTGGTGTGGATTTGGCATGGACTGCGTGATTCAGGTTCAATTACAGTCGGAGAACACTTCAATACAAGGGCTGAAAGACAAACAAGACAAACATTGGCTTCGGGTCAGTCTAAATATGTCTAAATTCCTGTTCACGCGTCCTCGCACCGGTCCATATCCTCGTGGTCATCGACCACTGCCAACTCGATATTGACCACCATGACTTCTTTGCCTGTGATCTTCATGTTGGCCCTAGCGTGAACTTTTTTAGGCGACGCCGGCGGGAGAGTTAGCATGACCACAAATAGCGCGAAACCCGTCAGCGCCATGAGCTAGTTGCAGGTCAGTCCGACTGAAGGAGTGTTTCAGTGAACACAGTGTGCTTACGCCGCTGAAAAACGCAGGTCGCCACCACATGAACCGTTCAGTGAGCAGTAGTAGTACAGTACACCATCAATAGGCGACAAGGACCCCAACGCCACTGATTACAACGGAAATGCCGAGACGGCCCTTCTTTAGCTTGAGTATGCACGATCGACATTAGGGTAGACGGTAACTCACCCGAGCTCGGACATGTCCTCTACTAGATCCCGAGCCAGATCCTTTGCCTAACTACTTTGAATACGTCGTTGATGACTTTGAGTAGAATGAAAGTGGTCCTTGGAAACCACAACGGCTTTTATAGACTATTGGCGGTTCGTGGGGGACAATAACACTCGATGCGGATGGCCCAGACATCTTGTTTTATATCATGCGTTTCTCGAAACACTGCGTCCAAAGTTATATCGTACAGCAACTCTAGTCATTTAAAACCTATTTCGCTTTCGAACAGGTTTAGCTGCCTCTTGCATTGTTCTAGTTTTCAGTTAGACAACGATCGACGCTTGAAGGGGAGGGAAAAACACGAACTTGCGGCCCTTCAATCCTCTATTCTCCTGACCCATGCCACTCATCATCATACCAGGCTCGTCAACATCCATCGCATCACCGCCATAACCCATGTTGCTAGTGGCTGCGCCAAGTGCTCCCCGTCGTGCATGCTTTTCCTTTAAAACCTCGCGGAGAATTCCTTCGAGAGTCTCCTGATGTTTAGCACGCTCTTCTTTCCGCTCTGCAGTTTGTTGCGCAATGCGCATCAACTTGTCGTCCAATGTCTGTAAAACGGCGGATGTGGTGTTGGCCCTGAGAAATAAATAAGTCAAAGAAGCGAAATTATCAAGACTGCGCACCAGTTGTTCAAGGCGGCCAGGATAGAGTCGACCGCGCCTGGCGCGAGGTCACGACCCATCGTATACTCGACTTCAAGCTGTGATTGCTTTTGGTCAAGCCGCCCACGTAACACATCGAGATAGATGGCGTCGATGATGAGATCCTCAAGCTCGCGGATTGTAGGCATGTCGAGCGCGCGAAGGAGGTCAGAGTAGGGAAGAATCTAGACAAGTGAGACTGGAGTAATAAGGAGTAGAGTCGTACACACGCGGCGTTCAGAGGCCAGGGAAACGATAGAAAGATGCTTGAGTTTGATGGTTTGTGCAGTGTTAAGTGGTGGGAACGCGTCCTTGTTCTCTAGGAGAGGACATGGTCTATGAGGATGATGACTGCCAGAAACAGTAGTCCACGCACTCATGTAGTCCTCATACGTTCGGTAAGCAAACAGCTCCAACAAGGCAAACGATTTGGCGTGGGTTTCGTTCGTTTTCAGCTGTTATTCGTCATGAGACTGGTTTAATCGCAGGCAGAGAATGGACGGAACCTCCTGGATGTTGGGGAGCTCAAGAAGCTCTGAGAATACGAAGACGCCGTGCGCACTTGTTGCATCGGCAATGAGTTTTGCGGCGCCGGCGCCCTTGGCCGACTTGGCCATGAGCAGGTATGGCTCAAGTTTGGCAACGAAGTTGGTGCCGAGATCCATTGTGGTCGGAGTCAAGCTGAAGCGTGACGGGCTACTGCTGTGACAGGCGAATTTCCTTTCTCCTCCTCCTCTACTTTTTCTTGCCATTGCTTTTCATTTGCTCTCCGCGCAAATTTATATGTTATGAACGTATGGACGGCGCTTAGAGCGCCTGCTAGACATTCTTTCAACGCTATTTCACGTGTTGGGCCAACCCAGAGATGTTTTTCTTCGACACGTCTCCGCGCCGCAGACCTCCTACCAATGGAAAAGTTGCGGAATATCGCAATTATAGCCCACGGTGCGCTAGCTTCTCATTCCGCTTGCAAGCTGAACACAACGGCAGTCGATCATGGCAAAACTACGCTGGTGGACCAGCTTCTCCGCCAATCTGGGACACTCGCAGCTCAAAATGGAGACGGGGTAGCCAATGAACGAGTAATGGACTCCAACGACCTCGAAAAGGAGCGCGGAATAACCATCCTTTCCAAATGTACATCGGTTTTCTATTCCCCCAGTGCGAATGACGGAACACACTTAATAAATATCGTCGACACGCCGGGACACGCGGATTTCGGTGGGGAGGTTGAGCGGGTACTGAGCATGGTCGACAGCGTTGCTTTGGTTGTGGATGCAACGGAGGGACCGATGACCCAGACGCGTTTTGTGCTTTCCAAGGCCTTGGCTCGCGGTTTAAAGTGCGCCATATTTCGAGACTATCCTTAGATGCATTCTCAAGGCCATATAGACCTCTTGTTGTTCTGAACAAGGCGGACCGTGCAACTTCCCGTCCAGCTCAAGTTGAAGCAGATTTATTTGACCTCTTTGCCACACTCGGAGCCACCGACGAGCAAATGGATTACCCCGTACTCTATGCCAGTGCCAAGCAAGGCTGGGCCGTCACGGACCTCACGAAAATGCCGAAACAGGACGCGTCAGGCTCGGTCTCAGAGTCTCACGAAGGGATGAAGCCGCTCTTCGATATGATTCTACAACATTGTGCTCCACCAACTCTTTCCCGGACCAATGACGACCCATTCTCCATGATTACTATCCAAATTGAGAGTGGTATGTTTATAACTACTGCTTTCGCAGTAGCTTATTATTTACAGACCCCTATGTTGGCACTCTTTACCTTGGACGCGTTCATTCTGGTGTCATTAAGGTCGGTGACGATCTCACTGCCATTGATACGCAAGGCAACAAAGTCGGCGAAGGCAGAGTCAAAAAGCTATATGTTCGTGTCGGCATGGAACGTGTTGAGCGCAGCGAAGCTGGTGCGGGCGAAATTATCAGCATTGCCGGAATCAAAGGCGGCGGAGTGAATGTCACCTTGGTCTCTGCTGATCCCAAATTTTACACAGACGGCTCTGCTCCAACGCCACTCCCATCCACGCCCATCGACCCGCCAACAATTTCCATCATCGTCCATGCCAACTCTTCTCCGCTTGGCGGTACCGAAGGCTCGAAACTCACCTCTCAACTGCTGAAAGAGCGGATTTATCGCGAAGCCCTAACAGATGTAGCTCTTTCGGTTCTACCTGGCCCAACCTCGGACGCGATTGAGGTTCGGGGTCGAGGTGTGTTGCATTTAGGCATTCTCCTCGAAACTTTGCGCCGGGAAGGTTTCGAGCTTCTTATTGGACCACCCAAAGCGGTCTTTCGAACTGATCCCGAGACTGGGGAGCAGATGGAGCCCGTGGAGAAGTGCGTTATTGTGGTCAGGGAAGAATACGCTGGCGGCGTTGTCCAAAAACTGACACAACGACGCGGCGAAATGCGGAGTTACGATGCGGTTGATGAAGATGTTGGTGCTGGGGCTGTTTCTGGAGATGGTGAAGCCAGCTCTGGCGGGGGGGGGTGGTGACGGGGGCGGATGGGTTCGCATTGAAATGGACGTTCCTGCTCGTGGGCTGATCGGCTACATGGCGGGCGAATTCGGAAACGATGTCCACGGCCAGGGCACCCTCAATCATACATTCAAGGCCTACGAACCCTTCAAAGGCGTTATTGAGACGGGCCGAAACGGCAGCCTCATCTCTATGGCTCAGGGCGAGGCCTCCGCATATGCAATTGCTCCTCTTCAAGCACGCGGAATCATGTTCATACCCCCCGGAACGCAAGTCTACTCTGGCATGGTCATTGGCGAGTCCTCCAAGTCACTCGACATCTACGTCAACCCCTGCCAGAAGAAACAGCTCACCAACATTCGTGCTGCAGGCGCTGACGAGAAGCTTGTCATTGCCTCGCCGAAAATAATGACGATGGAGGAAAACATCGCTTACATGGCCGATGATGAGATGGTCGAGATCACACCCAAGAATGTGCGTCTGCGGAAAGCGGAGCTCGACATGAACAAGCGGATGAAGTCGATGAAGGGAAAGCAGGGTGGCAAAAAGTAGACATTTCCGACATCTAAAAGTAATCAACGTCAGTACCATCCAGACTAATTGTAGACTTAATCCTTTAGGAACAACTTGTAGCTTTACTGCTTAGAGATGATATAGAACACACCCACTCACCAGCAATTCATGTCAGTGCACTGACAATGGCAGAGGTGAAATTGGTGCGGCATCTTGTTCGCCTCCAATGCGCAAGACCACAACTTGATAACGGTAGTGACCGTCCAACGAACGGCGGCTTTGCATTTGTTCCGACTTGGCTAGGCCTTCAATATTGTCGACGGTCCCCGGGTACTCAAAATCCCAAAGGCATTCAACATCTTCAACGAAAACGTTTCGAGGAATTTTACTGGCTTGATTCACTAACTTGGCCGCGGCGGCGATTGGGACCTAGAAGGACACGGCGCTGCCACTCAACTGCCACAGGCAATTTCGTCGCTGGTAACCGGACAGAAACACCGGACATTATTCCGAAGTCGTGAATGCACCCAAACTCGGAACAAGGAGTTGTTGGACAAACCTGAACCTTGGGGGTCCTTGTGCTTCAAGTTCAAGTTACCGGCTAGAAGTATTTATGGCAGTTGCACATGCCAGCGGTGAATCCTCTCCTAGTATTAGTATGTATACATAATGCAGTTTATCCCTTCTTTTGTGGTTGTTCTACGGCCGCATCCTCTCTCAGGCTTTGTGGCGGAGTTGGAATGGGTGATTTTCAAATTTGTGACGGTGGCGTGCCACATGACGTGACCGCTCGTACTTCCCACCACCTTCGAATTTGTGTCTAGAGACGTGAAAGTCCACTCACTTCCACTCAACGGGATGCTTATCGTTAGCACCCGTTTGTTCGTCCTCGGCAATCCCAACAGCAGGTCCCCGTCTGTCAACGCTCCGCCGACCCGCGGCTTCTCGATCAAGACCTGAATATTCAGACGTTATTTGGCTACTCGAAAAAAGTCCCCCGGTAGTACCGCATCTGTGCGCCGGTGACATGCTTTCGAATATTAGAACAACAAGAACGAAGGGCGACGAATACCTCCCGCAATTGCGACTCCTTTCTGCGGCGATTAATTACGGCTGATGCATAAGCGAGTCTGCTGCCAGCTGCAGAAAAACTGACGTTGACCACGCCTTGCTCTCTCTCCCTGCTTGCTCCCAACTAACTCACATCTTTCATCGTCGGTGGGGCGGTGGTGAATGGCCGGCGTCAACGTCGCAAATGCGTATGTGGTTGCTGTTATCTCGTGCCCTTCCAACTTGACTTGCACCGACAGCTACCTGCTGCTAGGCTCATGGCTTAGCTCACTCCTCTTCTCCCTCGAGGTCGTTCTCATTGTGCAGTACCTCTTCTTCTCCGACAAAGTCCGGCCGCGATGGCACAAACTCGGGATGTCGCTCCTTCTGGCTATCGATACCATAGGCACCTCCAGTATCTTCGCCCAGGTCTATGTAATCGTCATCCCCAGCCCGTGTGGATTCATCCCATCAAGCCCACCTCCCCGATCTATGATGACAACATACACGAACTCGGTCGTGGTCAACATCGTGGCGACCTTCACAATCGCCTCGATGGAGCAGTCATTCTTGTGCTATGTTTATTATAACCTGTAAGCTTTCCCCTTGTTCCCAACTATACATGTGCCAACAAACACCAGAACAAGAAGGCGATTCATCACCGGTTTTTTGGCACTCTGCATCCTTGTCCACGTGAGTCTGCTCATCGACAATATGAATTTCGACTTATTCCTCAAAGGCCGGGTTTTCTTACGCCTCTGCCGGTCTATTAGTGGGACAGCGCTCAGCGCCGACGGGAGGGCCGATCATCTGGACAACCAAGTGCGTCATCAAATCCCTTTTTTCACTCCCTGGGACTGATTCAGATTGTGTGCGGCAGAGTTGGCGCAATATCATGTGCCGTTACGGACATACTCATCTCTGCTACCCTTGTCCATACTTTCATCCGACTGGAACAGACTTCTGCCATGCGCAATTCAACACACAGGTATGCATTCTTGCTAAATGCTCTTGGATTGAACATGGATTGAACATCATAGTCTTCTCCGTCGTTTAATGCTCCTGATCTCCACCTCTGGTATTCTCGTGGCTTCAATAACGCTTGTAGCAATGTTCCTGGTCTTGAAGAGCAACCCTGGTCAGTCGACCTTGTCCAGCAGTGCCCGTCCCCCGCACCCTCGCTCACTTGCCGTAGCATATCCGCTCTTCTTCTTCTGCCAAAGCCGCCTTTATGTCCTGACCATCCTCGCCAACTTTCTAGTTGGAAATGCGAGTGTGCGAGCACAGCAGGAAACATCCAGCCTGGACCTTACAGCCGGGTCTCGGTCTTTAGCGACCCGGCCAGCCGTCACACATGTCCTCTTCCAAACACCAACGATATCGACGCTGCACGGGAGGGTACGTGTCTTGCATGCTCCTCTTCGGCGCGGCTAATAGCCTCTCGAGCATCACGCAGCTGAAGAGAATGGGCCGGACGTCGATATGCACGTGCTCTCATTTACACAATCAAAGGACCCACCCCAGGAACGATGATCCGTCGTTGTCTGGTTCCTGACCAGTGCTGCTGTTGCTGCTGCCGGCAGACCATCCAGACCTCAGAAGGCGGGATTTCCCCGCCATTCAGAGTCCGGTGTTGTTCCAGGTTGTCTTTCTGCTTTTCGCCGAAGACACCTCACTTTATTCCGTCAAAAGTAGATTCTCATTGGACACGACATGTATAAACTCAATGTAGTCACAATAATGAATGTATATACTAGACAATTGTCAAACCTTGCTTTGAGGTGAAGGGATGCCATGTTACATGTTACTGTTGTTATTCGCCATAAATAATTATATATTATATTCTATAATTTATTATGTATATAAGCACTTATCTATATTACACACATTCCCTGAATATCTACAGATTTCTAATTATTACTTAGCAAACTCTATACAGCCCCTATATTGTATAGTATAAATTTGAGATCTGGTGTCTACATATAGATTCAAGGCCTTTGTGACTGCAGATTTCATACGAAGATATTGATTTATAGGGTTTTTAATTAGGACATGCTTATGCTACCAATGGAAATGCCTAGAGATAGCAAAAATCGCCCTTTTAAATATGCAGAATTTCTTTATACAGAATCCTTTGTCTGATATAAGTATTTTATTAGAAACTTATCTTTTTTCAGATTACTAATATCGTTCCACAAGATATCAAAGAGGAATGGCTGACTACTGAATATAATCTGAAGAATTATCCTGTATACACAGGGAACTCATCAAACATTTAATCTTGGATTCAAGTGAAATAAATAATATTTTTTTGCCAAGGAAGGGGTGATGATATTCTCTAAACAACATGATAGAGTGGTGGTCCTGTTTATTTGCACAAGCCAATTTACAACGACCTACAGTTAATATAGCTACAGTTGGAGAGTACGTATAGTCATGGAGGTTGCATTTTGCCCAACGTCAAATGCGATAAAGGTAACCAAAAAGGGATAAATATTGAACAAAAGGAGAAATAAGCTACACGACTTCGGAGTCCTGGACCGGGGTCGCATCGCGGGCTGGTGGCGATGGTAAAGAGGACAGACACGGGCTTGCATCACTGTCGGGGTTGAAGGGACTTTCTTGAGCCAGAGGAGCATCCGCTGAATTCTCCCTTAAAACATCAACTAAGATGCCAACCAGCCCCGAGCCGGTCTCTGGCTGCGGTACTGTTTCTTCGGACAGAGACAACGACGGTATAGGGTTGGTCTCGGTTGCGGCCTGGATCGATTCATTTGCAGTGGGCAAAGGCGGATATCGGGCCAACGCAGGATCAACACCAATAAAACGTCGTTTTTTGACAGCGTCCCGCTTATAACGTCGAGGGGGAGGGTCGATAAAGATGGTAGGATTCGGTCCGAGATTCCAACTCTCTTGGACCGCCCCGATGAACACCCTGCGGAAGGGCTTGCGTCGGGCGAGTACCGCGTCTGTTCGAATTTTGCGCCGGGGTTCCATTTCTTCGTATATTCCATCCTGATCAGTGTTGTCACTGTTGAAAACGACCGTGTCGTCCACGTCAAAGTAGGTATATGCGACCGGTTGGTCGTCAAGATTGTACATAATTGAAAAGGGCACAATGGGGCGAATGACCATTTGCTGGAGCTCAAAGTCGATTTTCGGCGGTGGCGGAACGACCGGAGTTGCTGGGATAGCCGTGTGGGGCGTGCGTGGAGCGGGAGGTGATTTGGGCACAGCATAGCCTGGCGGACGGCGCTGTACCCCGTCAAGAGCGTGATATTCTTCGCCGCGACGATTGCAACAAGAATCACAGGGGCAAGTGCCAGCGCATTTCGGACAATCAGATTCTGGAGCGAGAGATTCGAAAGGCACGGTGTTAGGTGGGAATCTGTATAGGAATTCTGTGAGTTTCGATTAAATGGGTTGCAGCAGTAGACTTACTTGACCATGACGCAACGGATGCAAAAAGAATGCCCACAAACATCAAAGGTGACAACCAGATGACTGTTCTTTCGTCTGCAATGATGGCAGTATACAGAGCCAACACCCTGAGGCCACGGAGGACCGTCATAGCGAAAGTACCTATCGGAATTGAAGAGTTCCGGTCTGTCCACGCCGACTACGTTCTTCGTTTTTTTGGTCTTCCAATGGTGAGGCTTGGAACCCGGAGCGATGTCTCGCTTTGGCTTTGGCTTAGGCTTCGGTCCTCTCTTAAGAGGAGTCTCGAGAACAGGCGCATCTGAAGGAGTGCCGGGACTTTTCGCTCTCGATTGGGCAGAAAGTACTTTCTCCTTGGCGATCCGCTTAGTTGGCTGTGGACGTGACTTTTCTATCCATGAAGCGTCTGAGTCGCTCGCGGAATCGTCTCCATCGTCGGATATTGAATCATGGACTTGTAGCTGCGATTCCGAATTTACACCGCCACCTAGCAGAGCGGGATCGATAGTTCCGTTCCCAGACGGCTCCTCGTTCTCCCCAACACCATATATAACTGGTTCAGGGTCAAACAGGTCCGGGTAATCGTTCGTATTTTCGAGGATAGCATCCATATCGCTGGGATCAATGGAATTGAAAAGGGAAGGATTTTTGCGGTTCATGTAGGCGGGCTGGTACGAGGGGAACATGAACGAGGCGGATACGGACGTCGGCGAAGGTATCGGCAACACGTCGACAGCTTTTTGTTTACCGCGTGCTTTCTCGGACATTGGCATCGGTTCGTCGTGAGGCGGAGGCTCGGAGTCCAGAGTAGCGCTTTCGCTGGCTCCTGGCGAGGTTGTTATCAGAGCCATTAGATCGAGCTCAATTTGGAGGGGAGCTGCGGCATCATGACCATCATCAGGTGCTGGATCAGCGGGGGACTGAGGTGGAGGAATTTGAATCTGCTCGGGCAGTGGTAGTGAAGAAGAGCTTGGACTCGAGGCGGGCTCCGGGTCAACATCGGTCGTTGGAGCTTCAACTTCAGGTATGCAAAGCCGCGCTATGAAACTGGGATCGCTTCCAAATGTGTACGCGTCCTGGTCGATGTCTTGGGAACTCGGTGCATAAGGGACCGGTGCGCGACGCAAAGGCGCGGATGCGTTTATGACACAACGGTCAATTGTTTCAGGCTCAACGTCGAGACCAAGTTTCCGAAAATGAATTGTGAACAACCGATGCAAGCTGTGGCTGGTATCTGGCCTCTGTATCGTGATAGGGTGCTCCTGCAAAGCAAGAGGTCGTCGTCTAGGAATTGGTTCCTTCATGACTTGAGCCAGGGCACTCAATGGCGCTGGATTGGTTCCCAAAGGTGCGGTTGATATTGCTGAAGACATCATTGGTCCGTCAATACGCTGGTCCGTTTCCGATGTTTTCGTTGGAACCGGTAATGCGTTGGTGAGCTGGTTACCCCCACGTGGATGTTTCTCCCCCCGCTGGCTGCCAACTCGTTCACGATCGACACGATCAATCGACCTTTTCCTTTTCCTCGTGGTATTCTGTGGCTTTGGTCCTTTATGTAGCTGTGGGTTCCCGTGTTGGGCATTGTGGACTAAAGCTCCATTCATGACAGACGCCAAGTCGAGACCGAAATTGTTATGCGTAGACTCTTCTTCTACGTTTCCCTGCCGGGAAGACCTTGGCATCGAGGACAGGACATGTTCATCCTCCGAAAGCGTAGGACGGGACCGCGACCTCTTGCTACTTTTGGGTATCTCCTTCTCCTTTCGATGGTCGGATTCACCCCTGCTCACAACCACCACCTTGGATCTCTCCGGCACATTGAAACGAGTCTTTAGAGGCGCGCGTGGAATCGGATAAGGGGCAGGAGGGACGTCAACAAAGTCCAAAAGCTGCCGTCTTCGTTTCGGTGGACTAGGACGGCGTTGTATCCCATCCTCCTTTTCGATAGCCCGTTTGCGCTTCATTGGCAGTGGGGAGGGTGGTGGAGGTGTAAACAACTTGTCGGGAGATTCTAGCGGAGGTGGAGGTGCAGCCGTTGAAGATTCTCGAACGGCGAGGGGAGACGACCACAACAAGTTTACCGGCTATGTAATGTGAGCGGAAGAACAGGGAACAGGGAACACTCACTTCAGTGTGGTGATCGGTGTCGGCCATGAAAACATCGTCCATCTAGGACGAAATTAATAAGCCCGCCTAGTATGTTGTCGTTGAGAGAGAGCTTACCAGTGAGGGTTTCACGTTCCCGGTGTCTGTGGATATGTACTGTGATAGTGGACTGCGATCCAGTAATGGTCCTGGCGAGTGCGGGGACGACATTCTGTGCCAAAGACTTGGGAGTGAAGACGCCGGTTCACCGAATGGACCAAATAAGCCGGTTGGAGAGAGACTACTGGTTGTCCTTGAGCTGAGTAGACCTGAGATAGGTGAATGAAAAGGGCTCGAATGGGCAAAGGTGCGAGGCATAGTGTCGATTGAGAGAGATGAGGCTCCGAGTGGAAGCTTTGACATCGATTGGGAGCGCTAGAAATGCCTCAGCCGCAGATCGTAGAATATGAGCATGTAACACACGGAAAAGTCACTTCTTCTTGTCGTCTCTCCATCGTCCCCATACATCAGCTCTGACATCGGTAATTCGAGCCACGCGGGCGTCGGCGTTGCAGGAGATGCCACCGTCTGTGGTCAAAGATAGTCAACACATACTATGCAATGACGAATGGCCGCGTACCTTGAGAATATCGCCAGGGGTGCCGAAAGAGAGGTTTCTGGGAGGCTAGCGGCAGTCATTGAGAGTTACAGGAAGGAGGGAAAGCTTACCGTTAGAAGACTGGGCCACGATGAACTTTTGTGGTTGGTTGTCGAAGATAGGGCTGTTTCAGGCTGTGGGATACAATTCCATTAGCTTCCGCGCATCAGTAGGCAAACGATGACGAGGGCGCACCAGATCGTAGACAACATTCTTGGGAAGCGACAGGTGCGTGCCTAAGGCTGGACTAGGGCTCGCCGGTAAAGTGGGGTAAAGCTGGAGACAGGTTTGCCGTCAGCGTCAGTTCTAAAAGCGGAGAAGAAAGAAAGCCGTACTTGGGGTCCGTGAAAGATATTTTTTTCCGGAGAAAACGTGTGTATGGAGGTTTTTGTGGCCGACGACGAGGAAGTCGGCGCCAGGCGCGAGCTAGGCATCGCGCTGCGATCCGGCTCCGTCCAAAGGAGTCACGCAGTTTCCGATTTGGCAAGAGTTTCATCAGTCCAACAACCTAGGCCTTTCCTCGAGTTCAATGTTCATGCAAATAGAGGCCACCTCGATAACGATGAGGTCATGTTGAATGCACGGAAAATAAAAGGTGATTCGTTTTTATACTACCCAAGTGTGGTCTTCAATTTGAGTCGCGCATCACCCATAACTTGGATAAGTCAAGTGAGAAGTTTGTTCTGTTTCAACTGAGAGATAAAACGACCTCGGTCAATGGCTATTTCTCGACTATTTCATATACTGGGACAAAAGAACAAAATCCTACACGACGATTGGGATGTAAGATACGGCAAGTTTCGTGGTAAAGCATGATCAAACTTGAACTCGACTGTCTCTACTGACTGGAATCCGACTGAGATTAGAATGCTCTTATTTCTGTGAACATCCTCTTGTTCTTACATGAGGAATTAAATTTCGCTCATTCGAGCCACGCCGGAGAAATCCTCGACACAAGATCGAAGTAGAGAGCTGGAAGTATATGGATCCCATTTAGATATTGCGGACGCTTTTACGCCTGTGCGGCGAAGCCTTTTGCGTTTGCCCTGATGCTTGACTTGTCAGGGCGGCGGCAGAAAGCACATCGCGAGTGCTGGCAAAATCGCGAACGAAGACGGAGTCCAAAAAAGAGTTGAGCATAGCGTCCCAGGCTTGACCGAGAGCCAAAGCTAATTGAAATACAAAATCCGCCCGAGGATTCCTTCCGAACGTGGGAGTCAAGGGAAAGTAAAGGGTTGACACGTGAGGGTCACGTGCACTCCTTCGACCTGATCAACGTCGACATTGCACAACAGCTCTCCTTTGCCTATAGCCTCCGCAACACTCGATTGACGTTGACCTTTCCGAGCGCTGCGCCTGTGAGCTTTCGACCTCAATGCTTCCAATGACGGGTCTCGTGAACTCGGGCAAACCCTTCTGAAGTCGACATTTCCACCGCCGAGAATCTCCCGTACATACTCGAGAATAACTTGTTTTCCACATAAAAGGGCCTCAGATACATGCTGAAGTGACTATCCACCGAAAAAAATGCTCCTCTCCCGCCTCTTCCTCAGCCTGGCGAGTACAGCGTGCTTGTCCCTGTCGTGGGCGAAGCTACTCTATGTTGGAGTGAATGAAGTGCGTCTCTCCATTGCTAGCTAGCCATGGCTGATGCTTCCGCAAGTCTGGTGGCGAATTCGGTGTGTTTGGATCCAAAGGACAAGGACTGCCCGGTCGTTTCAACGTCGACTACGCGTTCATCAATAAAGTTTGCTGGCCACCTTTTGGCACTTTCTTGCATCTCAATTATTCATAGGACACTGTTGACATCTTCGTTGACCAAGAGAAGATCAACCTCTTCCGCGTGACTTTCCTCATGGAGCGAATGTGTCCTCTCTCTTTTGGATTGGGTGCGAGATTCAATGAAACTGTAAGTCGCTCTCTGTCATTAAAATCAATTTATTCTCAAGGGACATGTCGTATGTAGTACTTCAAAGAATATGCAGACGCCATCAACTACATCACCCTAACAAAAGGAGCCTACGCACTCATCGACCCGCACAACTACATGCGCTACAAGTATGCTCACTGTCACAGCGATTTTACATCATTCCTGATGTAATCCCACTCCAGTGACCCATCTTCCCAGCCTTTCAGCGGTAGTGTCAGTATCCGATTCTATTTCCGTTGCAAGGCACTATTGAATCGGCTTCTTCAGGTTATTGGCAACTCATCGGACCCCACGGCAGCCACCACCTTGCAATTCGGAGAGTTCTGGTTCGAGCTCGCTCGACGCTTTGCATCGAACCCGCGTGTCATTTTCGGAATCAACAACGAGCCTCATGATATGGTTCGCCCCTCCTGAAAATGCATTTGTTTCATGCATTAACCAGCCTCATAGCCAACACAACTCATCCTTGCCAACAACCAGGCCGCCATCGACGGTATCCGCCTGGCCGGCGCCTTCCAGCTCATCCTCGCGCCCGGCAACGGATTCACCGGCGGCCATACCTGGACCCAGGTCACCAACGGCAACGCTCCTTCCTCTGACTTCCTCAATAAGCTGAGAGATCCCATTAAAAACACTGCCATTGACATCCACGAGGTACGTTGCTTTTGTCTCTACTTTTGGAATAAGCCTCATTCTTGGTATAGTACCTCGGTTAGCGTCTCCACTATACGAACGATCAACTGAACCAAACTTGGGCTAGACATCGACTTCTCGGGACAGCATGACGCGTGCGAGCAGCCCGGCCCGTCGAACCTGGCCAATCTCACTACTTGGCTACGTCAAAACCATCTCAAGTGGGCCTCCGCATCACCTAGAAATGCATTACTCTGACACTATTCCATAGAGCTGTCGTTAGCGAATTCGGCGGAGGCAACAACCAGAACTGCTTCAATGTGTGTCTATTTTCTGCCTGCCTGTCACCCTGATGGACGACACAGTTCATGAACGACATGCTCAAGTACCTCGCGGCCAACGACGAATACATCGGTTGGGCCATCTGGGCGGCGGGTCCGTTCTGGGGGACATTCTCGCCGTGCTGTGGCGCAGACACTGGTAGCCTTGAGCCAGGAAACATGAATGACCTGGGGCAGCCAAACGCCTTCCAGACAGTGTGGCCGGCTGCGGTCCGACCAAACATACCTAAAAGTGCGCCACCTCCATCCTTCTTTTTCTCTAGTTGGGCTGATCCAGCGAATAGCTTTGAAGCGGAGCGGGATATCGAGCTTACATTAGTGTCGATTAGGCCGAGGCCCTTTACACCCTACCTTCACTAGTAATGCAGCGCTTCAATCGAGCTGAGTGGGATTGCGTAGCAAGAACGCCACCCTTCCGACGGGTCGAATTGCGTGGTGTGGGAAGAAGCCACGAATCTGATAACATGAGTGAGACCTCGGCCTTCGGTGATGACGAAACTGTTGGTATTCGCGCACTGGACAGGCCGACGTACAGCTGACCAACGCCGTTTTTGATCGCTGATTCGGCGGAAGAAGTGCAGCGTACAAAAGACCAGCACAGAACTCAGAGAGCACCCACTCCCAAACATGCCCATTCACCGCTGGATCATCCCCAAAGGCTACCTCTCGGCCGAAGAGAAGGGCGTCCTTTCCGAGAAGATCACGGACATCTACGAGGGTGTTGGCCTGCCACGATTCTATGTCGTCGTATTCTTCGTTGAGCTGGAGGGCCACGACTTCTACTATGGCGGCAAGCCAGCCAAGTCCTTTGTCAGGTGCTTCCCAGCGGTAGTATATGCTGAATCAGACTCAAATCGCATTCTAGAATCGATGTTGAACACATCGCGCGTAACTTTGGAGAGTGAGTCGGGTTGCTGCTCCCTACCCCATATGCTGACCTCTGTCAAGCGCACCCGTCGCTGCCAAGAAGGAGTTCCTCGATAAATACGAGGCGGTTATCGAGCCGTGGATTAAGGGCCGCGGCGTCGACTGGGAGGTTCAGATCAAAGATATTTGCGATGTACGTGCTCCTCCCTTCATTTGGATACTGTCATTCAACTGCGCGGCTGCAGAGAGACCTCTGGCACGAGAACGGCCGCTCACCACCCGCGATTGGCTCCGTCGAAGAGACCATTTGGAAGAAAGAGAACCGGCCAGTGCCCGATGATGAGCTCGCAGCGATTAAAGCGACTCTGTAGATTGACTAGGATCATGTATACTAATGCCAAAACCCGAAGCATGTGATCGTGTTTTACTTGTGTCCGTGTCCATGTCAATTTTGTACAACACTTTCACTACGATGACGGCTCTGGTGCAACCTTCATAAAGGTCCCCGCAATCGGGTTTCCAAGGTCGACTTCCTTCGCAAACATGCTTATGTTGAACAACGCGATAGACGTTGTCGAGTTGACCAGTGTCTGGCGTGCGAATTCAGGAGACTGCTTGAACAACAGGAAGACATATCTGCGCGGCCAAATTAGGGTACATATATTTTCCAACCCCCCAGACAAGCACATACCGATGGGCGTCAGACCCGGCGGGCGGGGTGGGCTGCAAGAACTCTGATATGGCGGGGGTCGTGTTGACGAGCAGGCCAGCGCGGTTGAAGAAATTTCCGCCCAGGAAGTGGCGAATCTGGGCCTCATTGGGGTCTTGGGGCGTCGGCGCGTCGGGGTCAACGGTGGCCACGACGAATGGCCCATGGCCTATGTTTCCAGCGACGTGGAATATCGGGGGACCGGCAGTGTCATTGCGCGGGACATTTATTCCAGCGTGAAGAACGATGGGCGGCCGGGCACCTTGCGGAAGCGACACCTCAAGCAGCGCTGTTGGGTTGAAGGTAATGGACAGGTCCTTGGGGATCTACAACAGGTTAAAGCTATTAATGCTTCAGGTCGCCGTAAACTCACGTTTGCGTCCACGAAAGCTCTTTTAACCAGCTGCGTCGAAACGTCCTGGGCGAGAGTAGGAATACCGAGAGCAACAAGCAGCAATGTGAATTTCATAGTTGTTTCAATACCCCCTTGCTCAGGCAGCGACAGGCTTTATGGCCCACAAGCCTGCGAAGCAGACCCACAGTGGAGTGGGCATGGGAGGTGCCTCAAAGCAAAACCGGGGCGAAAGTGAAGCGAGATTTTCTCACAAATTATTAGAGTACACGGGGGAGTATAAAGAGCTCTACCGAGTCCGAGGCAATAAAGAAGACGATAATCTAACGCATAAAATCCGGTTCTTGAATAAATATCGGGTCCACGCCCGTCCAGCCTTTCTTCGCAGTACCGCCCGCCTTCCATACCGCCTCTCGCTCCGCCCAGTACTCCATAGCACCATCCGCATTTCTTGTCGGCGTCCAAACCCGATCACCTGCATCCCCATCCGTTTCCGCAGTAAACCACCTCGGCCGATGCGCGGGTATCTCTCCCGTTTCTCTCCTCTTGCGCGTTGCACGCTGGAACTCCTCCTGGTCGTTCTTCAGCCCGTTCGCAGTCTCGTACTCGCCCATCTCAAACGCCCGCTGGTCGGGCCGCAGCCGGCAGTCTGTCGGACACAAGTATGGCTTGAGCGTGTCTTTAGGGCAGTTATTCAGCGTGATAGCGAACGGAGTCAGGTTGAATGGCGATCCAACAGGCTTGTCTGAATTTCTCCATAGGAGAATGTACTCCGGGGTCGATGAGGGCGAGTTGATTTGCCCACCAACAGTGAGATCAGGGTTGAGTGCGCCAGTACCCGCACCGACTTGCCGCGCGATAAGTTGCGAGTTCCAGCGGCCAGCAATCTCGTAGGTCACCTGCCCACGCGCATCCTGGACATACCCAGAGATCTCGAAAGCATCTTTTCCTCGCCAGCCCCGCGGCTTGAACGTTAGCACGCAAGTGTCCCCGGTGCGATGATTGGTGATCTAAAACACTAGCATTAGCACAAATAAACATTGGCAAGTTGGAAACTAACAGTCATGTCGCCATAGTGGTCAATGGTAGGGGCACCAAGAATAAAGCCAGAGACGTTTGTCGTCACCTTTTTCCACGAGAAGTGCTCCTTGACCTTGCTCTCAAATGGCGCCTGTCCTCGCGGATAAGAGGGAGCAAATTCTTTTGGCAACAAGAGTTCCGCATGCGCCCTTCCCGTCGGGCGAATCTCAAATGATTTGCCCATGAATTTGTTCTGGGCATCAACCTCGCCAAAGTACCGCCAGTACGGCGATTCGGCCATGCAAGCAGATATGGGCGGGTGGTGGCTGACTTGCTCCGAAAGGTACCGGTACTCTTTGTCAATCCGCACATATTCGAAGGTTTCGCTCTGACCAACATAGTGAGACTTTCGAATCTGAAAAGAGAAACAAGGTCGAAAACTCACAAGCATGGGATTGAAGGGCTTTTGCAATTCGACCAATCGTCGAAGAGTAATTTGACATTGCGAATGCCGCAACAAACGCTATTCGGCGATGAGGATCGCGTTCCTTCGCCGCAACATCAACTAGGGGCTTTTAGCACAACTTCACACAATAACACGACGACATACGACACTCTGAGAATTCCATGTCCTCGGCCTAGTACTTTGGTTAGATAGAAATTCAAGCCAAGAATACATGGGATACGTACCATTCGCTGAAGCATACTCGTAGGTTCATTGAAGAACACAGGGAAACTGATTTTGGTCAAATCCTTCCCTATGCTATGCTTCAACACACTCCACAGACTCGTACTGGGCCGTTCGTTGGTCAAAAGAAGCTTTTCTCGCAATTGCTTATAGCCCTCGTACGGCTTGACGTTGATGGAATTGGGCAACTCCATTTCTGAGTGCGCGGGGCTCTTGAGACCATCCGCGACCACCAGATTTGGAATGGTATTCGATTCGATCGCGTCGAAGAATTCATCCTCCTCGTCAGTGTCGATCATCGACTCCGTATCGGCATGATTGACATAGCCGCGCTGGCCAAAGGTTGAAGCTGTCGCTGTCGCCGGTGATAGTGTCTCAGCTGTGGAAGATCGCACAGGAGGAAATGGTGGCGGAGACGCAACAACAAGCGGTGCGGTTGGTTGCCGGACAGCTACAGCAGCTGGCTCTTGGAATGGGCTATCAAATTCTTGCTTGTGGGCTGGTGGCGATTCCACAAGGCGATCATCTTCTGCCACTGTTGTCGCTAACATGCTCATTCGTTTTTGTCTTGCTTTGAGTGTTCCGCCCGTCGATCCTCCTGCGAGAGCTGCCTGGACTTCATTGGCATCGAAGAATCGACTTCCCCGTTTTCGACTGCGTAATCTCAGCTCTTGTTCGAGTGTTTCAGCCTCTCGCACAGAGCTCGCAAGACTGTTTTCCCATGCAGTTGCTTTGGCTCGTGAACGAGCAAGCTTCTTCCGCCACCAAGCGTCCCGCTCTTTTGCGACGGCCACGAACTCCGTCACAGTGGACAATGCATCACGTAAAGCATCTTGGGCCCCGGTGTTTCCTCCTACGAGACCAAGAATCAGTTCCAGTTGTGTTGTTGCGCTGTTTCCAAGCAATTCGAAGGTATCTTCATGTGGGGCCGCAACTCCCCGTTTTCCGTTCAGGGAAACGCTGGCCGATGAGTCCGGGTCTTCATCGTCATCTGAAGGCTCTTCTTCAACATCGCCATCCCTTTCGGCATCTGATTCGCCAAGTTTAGGGCTCCCTTCTCCACTGGTCCTGCCTCCAGGCTCGCTCGTCAGCGAATCAGCTTCACCGGTGTGAGAGCGGCTTGGTCGTGACCCTGTCGCAGACGACATGGTGCCTGTACCGCTGCGCCGTAGAACGCTGACAACTCGTGTACGACTTCCAGCACTGCTGTTGCTCATGATGCTTGCCCCGCTTCCCATAACACCAGCATTTGAAGGACGCCCGTCGATGCTCTCGGAATCCTCTCCGGCACGTGCTTTTGCCCAAGCAACACTTGCGGCAACGGCAGAAACCCACCGCCCAGCCTCGATGGGATGGTTGGCTTTAAGGTACCTAGCGACTGATTCAGCGACCAGATAGAAGACTATTCGCCCACGCACCATTTCTCCCCGCCTTTGCCGGATCCTGAATGGATCTCAAACCGCAAGCGATCGGTACCGGATGGAGGCTTGAGCACACAATTGACGACAGCAATGGAGCCGCGACTAGCAAACACCTCATCTTCTTGGTGACGGTAATCTGGAATTGGTTGAACAATTGTACTTTTCAAGATGGAAAGAACCCACAACTCAAAACACCGTTCTCGAGCACGAACCAACGGGTATTATATCCTTTCGCGACATTCGTATATTTATTCAGGAACCCTCGCATCGATGGCGCATGAATCGGTGCGCTTTGTTGCTCTGAGCGTATCAAGGCAGCATCCTGGTTGGTCACTGCATTCATGTCAGTACGAGAGATTTGTTGCGAGAAAAGCGGGCACACACGTTGTCGAAGGAATGCCTTCACATCTCCATTTCCCTTTCCGCCTCTAGCACCGCTCCTCCCATCACCACTACTCTCTTCACCAGGTAGTTTTCCTCGTCGATCCCGGACAAACCTATCCAGGTGGATTCAATGGAAGGAGAGATATGAGGCCCGCGACTTACACATCTGCACCAGCTCTAACTGCTAGTTCAAGCAGACGAAGGTCACGTCGCCGAGCAGCTTCATGTAGCTATAAATAATGACAATGAGAGATCTAAAATTAAGAGTGGGGCCACACAATACGCACCAATGTCCGCCCGCTTGCGTCGTCAATATATGACAAGTCAAGATGTGCTGCTCTGGGCGAAGATAGCATCGAAATCAGAGCAGGCGGCGGGCCAACAGCTGCTTGCGGGTTTGGACTGGAAGAGAAAGATGCCGACGGCATGGGCGAGAGAATATATGAGCGTAACAGGCTGCGATATGACGCATTCAAGAAGGTCCGGGAGTCTTAACAAGAATAGGTCAACTCGGGCACGTTTGTAGAGCAAATAAACATACCATCGAAGACACGAATAACATCCTTTCCTCGAGCTACATCGCGCGCGGTTCGCCCTTCTCGATCTTGGAGGGTATCATCGACAGTCTCCTGCTCCAACAAACGGTCTACGACGTCAGCACGGCCGAGAGCGGCAGCGAGATGCAGTGCTGTTGTCCCAGTCCCTGGTGGGTGAACGCCAACGGGGGATATGGCTCGGTGGGATAGCAAGAGCGTCACAGTTTCAACTAGAAACACGGTCAACGGAGGGGGGATCAGAAAAAAATGTCAATACGCACGGGAGGCGCATCGAATTGCTAGGTGGAGGGCAGCAGCGCCGGTATCAATACTATTCGGATCGTTCTCGCTGCTCCCCCGACTCAGTGTATTGCCTGACCCATTCCGCTGGTCGGCAGATTTCCGCTTCTCCTTTCCGATTTCCGCGAGAAAGGGATGAATGAGAGCGGGGTCACCTATAACACGTCGCCATCATCATTGGTCAAGAGTTGACTGGAAGTGGAACTCACCCGTCCGGAGAGCGTTGAGTAACTTCACTTGGTAGAGAGGCTCTGCGGAGGCTAACAGCAAGAGTGAGAAACCGAGATAGCGGGTTCGGAGGAGGGGGTCAAATGCGCACTGGATTCGGAGGTGAAAAGAGAGGAGGCAGAGGTGGTGGATTTGCGTATTGACGAGGACGAAGTAGAAGAGGCCATGAAGAATTTAAACGCGTGGGTTCGTCGAAGACGTGGCCAGCGCTGTGCTGGGGTGACAAAAAGTCCCGCTGGGGAAAGACCAAGGATAGAGTGGCACGTGGGTGCTTGATTTGTTATCGTCTACCCGATCGCCAACAGTGTGCCGAGACGATGGTCACTGAACTGTCTGTCAGCCATTCATTCAGTGTCATCGATGCAAGGTCGAAAGTGATAAAAACACAAAAGTAAGTACATAGACTACAAATAACAAGCAGTACAAATGCAATGAGGAAAGCTTAATTTTTCAGTTTGATACTGGAACCCGTCAGCATTTGGCAAAACACAATCTCACGATTCACTCACCTGGAGGATCCAATCACCGAGTTTGCGACGGACACCAGCTTGGACGTCGAATCGGCGCTCGAACTCGGTGGACATGTCAGTGTGAGCGCTCGGGTAGCCAAATCACGTCTCCGCACTCGACTCCTCGACATCTCATAATGCCCAAAGTCGGAGATGGAAGGCAGCTCGGCTTCCCGTTTCGTTGAGTTTGCTTGCACACCGAAGCACTTCTACGTGAGCGTCAGTCATCTGTTTCGGAAAAAATACTGAAATTCATACCTTGAAAAAGTCGAAGTTCTTCGTAAACAGGTTCACTTTTGGTGCAAAGTCAAATATATCGAAAAACTGCCCATCAGCACCAGCATCGATTGCCAATCCCGCCCCAATGTCAACGCACCCATCCAACTGGGCTTGCTTGCTCGTAATATCAATGCCCGACTTGGTTGTCCCACCGCCTTCAACATTGGCAGAGCCATCGAGAGACAGCGTCATTGTTGAGCTTGTATCAACATCCAAGAAAATGTTGGCGGAGGCTAACCCGTTGATTGCGGTGATGCCGAAGTCGAGACTGGGAATAATGTGCGCTTCGAGTTTGGCTTTGGACGATACATTTGGTGCCACCGAAAAGTTGAGGGCTTGTCACACATAAGCTGGCGAGATTGAGAATAAGACAAGTGATCGCACGCACGAGAGTTGTTTGGCGTAAATTTGCCCGAGTTCTTGTTGAACGGGGATGGCGGATAGAAAAACTTCGCCCCACTGATGCAGTATGACAAATCCACACTCAAATCAACTCCAACGTCAAGAGTAGCAGTTGCTTGTGCTTGGACCTTGAACGAAGGTCCGATAGTTAAAATTCCTGGAAAATCCAGTCCAGGAATGCCAATGGTGATGAGGTCGATTGCTCCCGAGTCAAGAGTAGCAGAGGCCGATCCTGCGACCTTGAGAGTGCCTTCAAGATCCGCATCAAGTCCTAGTCAGGGGAAGAACGGTGAAAAGACTCATCACAATCAAATCACAAAACTGACCCACAACCAGGCCAAACTTGGTAAAGTTCGCTGGCAACTACGAACGTTGTCAGTGCCATTGGAATTAGAGACTCGGGAATCAGGATTTGCTCACAAGAGTTCCCACTGCCGAAACGGTGAGTGTGATGTTGGCGACGATGCAGGCATCAACTGAACCAGAAACGGAGGCTTCAAATGCTGGGACTTTGCCAACTGCTGGGCAGGAAATGTTGTCGCTGAAGAGCGGAAATGTCTTTTTGAGATCAACTTCCTTGAGCTTTTGCATCGTAGACTGCCCTATATTGTTAACATCGATAGATTAGCGATGCCCTGCAACACACCTGATTGAAAGAATTGAATTCTTGAAGGAGGATAAGTAGACAATTGTCAACATGGGGACAACTTGCCGTTGAAAGCTTGTTGTAGCACAGAAACCACCGAGCGATCTTGAATTTCGGATTGGGACCGCGGAGTCCGACGAGTGCGACTTCGGCGTTGGTTGCTTGAAGGTAGAGGAGGAACAGATTGAGTCAGGCCATGGATAGCAAAGTTAATTGGGCCAGCACTAAACGAGAGTTTATCATGGAAACAGCCCAAGCTGCCTAAGCAAAAGAAAAAGATTCGCCACATACGATGAATGCTCGACATTATTGAAGTTCGCGTCCAAACTTAGTCCTTTGACTTGAGGTAGAGAGCCATCATTCGAGCGTTGGCGCAGCTGACTTGCAAGTGCTGGAGGAAGGGTTTGGTCATGGTGCACCCATTGCTTTGTGATAAGAGCAAAAGCACTTTGTCCGCACTAATTTGATTGTCGATGGTTGGCAAAAGGTCAAGAAATTTCCGGACGCACGTTTTCTGGTAATCTGACTATCTTCCCCACCCCACTGCCCGTTGTTTGGGCAAGGTGTTCACATCCTTGACCATCAGTGCAGACAACGCGTATGTCCTGCGCCATAGCGCCTTTGACGCAGTCCAATATTGCCCATCCAGCGGCCGGAGTAATATCAGAAATAGCGTCCGATGCCCCCCAAATTCGCAAGGTTCCAGATGACTGAGAGGCGGGGATATCATATGAGCATTCACCGCTGAAGCACGGTGACGACCTGTTTTACTTTTTTTTTAGTCATGTAGGAATGCTAGATTAAGCGACTAACCAGTCGTTTGCCGCACGTCCAGTAATGCTAAAGCAAAGGGGGAATAGCAAACTCAGGCTAACAAGGAACATCAGCCACTTTGCCCACAGGGCGAAATGGGAGGAGAAGAAACAAGATCGCTGCTAGAAACATTCGCATGGCATTGGTTAGGATCGAACGAGGTTGGTGTGTATGCTGCCTGGACAACGAAGAACGAAGCGGGCTGTGGATTCAATGGAGATGGCTGAAAGCAAGCAACCTGTATTGTATGTATGAGAGGGGATAAGGCCGCAAGCGGCAGATGCCGAACCTTACCAGATGATCCAGCCATCATGTGACGCAGCCAAAAAAGGGAATAATTTTGCACTGCCACTCCGAATGTGGTAGTGCTGATGGCAACCTTGTTATATAGAGCCAAACCTTAGGTTCGGCAATCAACTTCGAATTCCAAAAAAGGCAACGGACGCCAACGGTCATCTTCTTTCTGCTGAATCTGCTCTGCTCTGCTCTGGTTGATTCTCTTTCTTTCACCCATGGTGTTATTCCCTGGAAGGAATGCACTGTTGATTTCTGGCTTTCTCTCTGGTGCTCTTCTTGTTTCTGGGGCATCGCAGGCATCTGCGACGATTTCTGGTGTTGTTCTGCCGAGCAGCACTCCTGCACTGGACCCCTGCATGGAATCTTGCTTTGAAGTGGCGGCAAATGCTAATAACTGTGCTATGTAAGCCGGTAGCAAGATAGTTTCCACCTTGAATGACCAAAAATTACAGCGACGACGTTCATTGCGCTTGCGCATCTGCTCAACTCCAGGCAGACTTGACACAATGTCTTGATGCTCGGTGTGATGCATTCGCTGCCCCTCAAGCCCAAGGTTTGCTTATCCAGCTCTGCAACAAAGGTGTGGAGTGTCCCCCACCGAATCAAGCAAGTTTATGTTGAAATAACTTGGGAATTTGTAGTTGCTGTCGTCGCAACAGGAACTGCTACGCCTAACCATCTTTCACTTTCCGCAACGGTAGCCGCAGCCGCACCCACTTCTCCTGCTACAGAAAATGGGCTCCCTTCCATTCCAACAAGCCGCGCCCACACGATGCTCACCACAAGCATTACGATGTCGATTTTGAGAGAAGTTTCCCTGGCAAGCATTTTAATCTTCAGCTTGGTTTGAAGAATACTGGGTCAAATATATCGCTTGTTGTACCGACATCCTCAGAGTCAACTTGGGAAAAAATCCAGTTCTAAATTTTGTTGGCAAATCCCGAAGTCCTGTCTTTGTGGCTACAAACCTCACGGTCAAGTATACTTGGTTGACCTCCCTGTAGTGCTTCACCTAATGACCCTACCACCGTTTCTTGCGCAGCTATCACATTGTTCTATTTCTTCTACACCACGGGAATTGAAAGTTGCGACATGGTCATCTTCATGTCAAAGATCTCTCCAAGGTGAGAAAAAACCCCGAAGACTCGAAGTAAGCTTACCTCGGGATTATCTGGGACTTGGTCACCTGGAGTAAAATGAGAGCCTCATAGCATTGCGTGAACCGCTTTCCATCGTCAAGTTCACCTCATCGTATAAGTACAACTGTGAAATTGAACGTCGAGGCCCGAGATGAAAAGCCTGTGAACAGCGACATAGAAATAGTGTTAGCCGCCCCGGCGCGAATCCCGAATTGAATTACTTTTTTAGTTCGGGTGTGTGCTGGTCACTGCTGGATAAAAATGAATCGCGCGGCCAATGTTGGTTTGCACTGCCCAATTGTCATCGAGAGAACAAGGGCGTCTCCGTGCCTGCAAGTGCCTCAAAAGCTTCGCCTCGCCATTGTGACCTGCGTGACCACTGTCATTTCTCCCCCCCTCCACTCGCTCCAAACGTTCACGACTTGGGCGCAAGTCCACACTCCCTGCCCGTCCGCATACTATCCCATTTCACCACGGGGATCTAGTAGCGACTGATCTCCTATACACTCTCACGACATGCCCGCAACACCACCTTCTCGACCCCTCTCACTCTTTTTCCTGCTACTCTGCCTTCCCGCGTTGTCCATCCAATCTAGCCTACCAGAGACAACGGCGACACGAAAGGACTCCGCACATACTGGCTTGCGTGTCTCCAAACGGTCGTTTCTACCGTTATCGTGGTCATGGCCGTGGTCGCGGGGCCAGAAACGCGCAACAGAGCTGCCGGCGGGCTACTTCAACCCGCTCGATGCAGGAGGGTCTTTCCTCACTGTGTGTTGACAATCTTACCCCGTGTATACTCATATTGATTTGACTGCCTCCACTAGAAAGCCCCCAACACTTTCCCTCCCTCCGGCGAACCACTGAATATCATCATTACGAGCCCCTCCACCCCTGCGGTCCTCGCGAACCAAGAGCAAGATGGAGGTTTCCTTAACTACATGCTGTGGGTTGGCAATCCACAGAAGACCAGCATTTCTGACGGCTCTGCAGAGGCATTGGCTTCTCCGGCGAATGTCTCGGTCAACACCAGGGCGACTCGCAGACGGCTGACCTGGGTGACGGGGATGGCTACAGTACGCACCATATTACCCTTGTTGTTGGTGCTAACTAGCTCATTTGCCAGAAAATGAAACTGCTGTACTAAGATGGAACTATGGTGATCCAGCCTTGGGGACGTGTACCGAAACGATCAAGGGTGGCAACCATTTTCGGTACTGGTACCAAAATGGACCTAACGCCAACAGCAGCGCGATATTCCTCGCAACATCGTACGAGATGCCCATTGCCCAGCAACACGATATCATCCCTGATGGATATAACCTTGGCCGGTCCGTGTTTTTCCCCGTTTCACTCCTTTCGCTGACATTTTCTTGTCTTCTAGTGACTGGCTCATTGGAAATATAACACACTCCCCCATTGACACGTACAACCTCACCAACACGAGTACCTTTACTGGGACAACGTCCTCCGCGGGCTATGTCTACTCCTCGTCTATCAGCTACGTCTCGGGTCTGCTGGCCAACTCGAGCATCGGGGTCAACCATAACAACACTGTGCCTGTCAAGGGGTTGAACGCAGTGGATGGGCTGGTCGCGGTGGTGGAAGTCACGATAACAACGATACCCGCAAATGCGACGAAGGGCAAGAGTGGGACATGCAAGTGAGTTATCGCCTTCCTTTCGAGCACCAGTTCATTGTTCCCATAGGACCGTCAGTGTGGTCCCGCCGAGGATAACGAGTGCTATTGCTGGAATAATAATTCTCTTCCTTGGTGCTCTGTCCCTATAATTTCACACTCTCAAGCCAAGCCAAGCATGTCTTATCACACTGTACATTTACTCATGCCCTCCATCAAAACACCCCCGACTACGATTACCTACCATTTGACTACTTTATACCTATAGACTGAGCGGAGGAAGGACTAACCAAATGTTACTTTATGTTGGCTACATATGACAGTCTGGAGAAACTTGGAGGCTATCCGAATTAGCTGTTATCATTGAACTTTGTCACCGCCTCTTCGCACCAAGCCCATAATTGGGCACCCGACCCAGATTCCTCAGTCGGAGAGACACCAAGTCGAGCCCATGGAAACAAAAACTAAAAGCTCGAGCTGTAAACAGGTTGATGGTGAAGGTCGCAGCTAACTTACCTTCCCACTGAGCTTTAACCCTTCATCGGTTGTGCCAGCCCACAGCTGAGTGAGGGCGCCATTCGCTTGAGGATACAACAAGAAAATGTTCTAAAGCGTTGAAAAAAGACCAATCACAAGTAAAGATCACCGACTGCAAGCATTCTCGGAACGGAAGGCACTGATCTCGCTAACTGTGTCCTGAGGTTCCCAGGGTTGACTGACACGGAGATGATGTTTTCGCTCTCATAGCGGCGGTGCAATTCGTTGCTAAACACGGCATTTGCCTACTCGGGAGCTTGAGATTCGAGAACAGGAACATAGGGAAGCTGATAGATCGCACGAATTTGCTCTGCCAGTAAAGCTTCAGTTTCCCAAGTTTGTTGCGCGCTACCCCAGGCGTGACAGTGTCGTAGCGGATGTTGGGCTCGCCCCAGTGATGCGCTGCGACGGAAGCAGTGTGAATAATCCGAGCAGGCTTCTCTTCTTGTTTCGCAGTCGCGATGAGGGTCGGAAGGAGAAGCGTAGTGAGGTAAAAATGACCTGTTGGATTCAGATGTCAGCCAACGAATCTGCTCTCGCGGGGGCGGAGCTCACCGAGTACGTTGGTGCCAAATTGTAAGTCATAACCTTGCATGGTGAGCTCTTCGATGGGAGGTGTCTGAACGCTTCGCGTCAGGATGACAAGAAAACGAGATGATAACCGCACCATGACGCCGCTGGCAACAGTGTTCAAGTTAGCATTGAGTATGTGTATGAAGAAGTCGAGTCTCACCCATTATTGAACAGAACATTCAGATTCCGTTCTTTCTTATTGAATTCATCCGCCGCCTCTTTCACAGAACCCAAATCTGCCGAAACTCAGCGCGTTTCCCGTTGCAGCTTCTAACGCGTTGATAGCCTCGGTTGCTTTCGATTTGCTCCTGGCTGCTAGGTAGACTTTGGCGTTATGCGCGAGAAGAGCCTGAACGTATAACTATTTGAGCTTATGCACTTGGTGGCAAATGGACCAAACCTTGACGGTCTCAAACCCGATGCCTTATAAAGCGTTAGAAAGACGAAGCACTCGACAATATGTGGCATCAATCACCCGAGTTTCCACCAGTAACAAGAATAACCTGACCCGTCAGGTCAGGAATGTCGTCCACGCCGAATGTGGCTTTGGGAGGGAAATATTGACTCCAGAACAACCCCATTTTCGATTCTTGGAGAGCATCTGGGTCCTGGCTTTTATTAGTATATGTCATGTCCCATGATTGTGGTTTTGAATAGAGTCAGACGTCGGCAGGCGAAATGGATTGCGGCGGGCGGAGTGATGGTCAGCAAAGAAAGGTCATATTGATGCGCTTGATCGTATATTGATGCGCACTCCTTATCTGATAGTCCGTTATCACATTCCTATCTAATCTTGATTTCGCCTCTCTACTCTACTCAACCACACCAACGAGTAACGTTGCGCTTACGACTTTGGTTTCAAGCCTCATTGTTGATTTTCTGGCGCTTCATGGATGTAACCAAGAATCGAAGCAGTGATACTTAGTTTTGCAAGTTGCCCGTTGCCAGCACATTGCTAGTACGAAGGGCAGTTCGGTAACGGTCCCGGAGAAATGGCTTCGGGATAAGATAGCAAACTCGGAGTGGAGTCTGGAGGATTAAGAAGAACCTGATGTTGTTTTATCTGGAGTTCGATGCGACAACAAGCTCGAGATGGGCCACTGTTATTGGTGCGATGTTCAGTCTCCGACGCAAAATCATATGGAGACACTGATACTGACGTTAATTTTCACCGGTGCATCCGTCCTTCGATTTTTCTCTTGAAAGTACTTAAACGTGCTGAGGAAAACATTGTTAGATGCCATCACGCTATTTTCACACGGCACCCAACTTACGCTCAACCTTCCTGTGTGTCGCGGCCGGCTGGCCATCCGATGGCGTTGCAACCGACGATGTAACGAACTTCATCCGTCGGGATCAATCATGACCGCCCACGACTTGTAACCATTGCGGAATCACCTCGGCTTCTCGTTTCCAACGGCCCATAAAAACAAGAAGAGTGTGAACTCATGGTGTTCAGCATATCAAATGGCCCGCTCCTCTGTGTTCGCATTAGCAACATTAGCGATCCTGCTATCATCTGCACAGGCGCAGTCCAATACTTGGGAGCAATGTGTGTTTCAACGCGTCACTGGATGCTTTGCGACTGACTGGAGGATTCAGGTGGTGGTCAAGGATGGACAGGTCCAACCACTTGCGTGTCCGGGGCAGTTTGCACCGCTCTCAACTCTTGTATGACCTCTCTTGGCCATTCATCGTATTGTTTGACTCTTCCAGACTACTCGCAATGCGTTCCGGGTACTGCGACAACCACCTTAGCAAGCTCTACCGTCGCGACCACCACAACCGCCTCAGCACCGGGCTCGTCGAGCACCGCTCCCGCAGGCTCCGGGAAACTTCGTTTTGTGTTGGTCGAGTCTAATATCTTTGGTTGACTATCAGCTGACCATTCCTAAAGCGGCGTTAACATCTCAGGCTTCGACTTTGGTTGCAACACGGACGGAAGCTGCACTGCCAGCGCTGCCTGGCCACCACTCACCCAATTCTATGGCGCGTTTTCCTTGTTTGTCCATCCAACTGCATCTAATCTGGTACCAGGACACGACGGGCAGGGTCAAATGAACCATTTCGTGAAAGATGGGGGATTCAACGTTTTCCGGCTGCCTGTTGGATGGCAATTCCTCACCAACGATGTCATCGGCCCCGTTTCTCAAGATAACCTTACCAAATACGACGCCTTGGTTCAAGCTTGCTTGAATACTGCCTCGACGACGTATTGCATCATTGACATCCACAACTACGCGAGGTGGAACGGAAAGGTGTGTGGTCTGTGGTAGTCGTTGCCAAATTAGTGATGTGCATAGATCATTGGACAAGGTGGTCCAACCAATGCCCAGTTTGCGGACACGTGGAGTACAATCGCAACCAAGTACAAGAGCAACCCCAGAATCATGTTCGGAGTGTGCGTCTGTCCTCTTTCTTCATGACACAACTCTTACATCCTATAGTATGAACGAGGTTTATTTGCACATTCAGGCACCAAGCACAAACTGACGAATCCTAGCCACATGACGTTCCCGACATTGTTGCATGGGCCGCCTCTGTTCAGGCTGCAGTAACTGCCATCAGAAATGCTGGGTGAGTGCCATTTTGTTGTCGAAATATCTAGCTGAATGATTGGTCAGCGCAACGACCCAGCTCATTCTTCTTCCCGGAAATAACTGGACGAGCGCGGAGACTTTCGTGAGCAACGGTAGCGCTGCTGCTCTTGCCAAAGTTGTCAACCCAGATGGAACGACAAGCAATCTCATCTTCGATGTTCACAAGTACCTTGATTCAGATAACTCGGGCACACATCCGTTCGTCCCTCTGCAAATCCGTTCAGTTCTGTTTTTCTCAAAATGACATAGCGAATGCGTGATGAACAACATCGACAACGCATGGTCCCCACTGGCGACATGGCTCCGCCAAAACAAACGCCAAGCATTCAACACTGAGACTGGTGGTGGGAATACTGCGTCCTGTGCCCAGTTCTTGTGCCAGCAAATTGCATACCAGGCCCAGAACAGTGATGGTGCGCACGACTAGTTCCTTCTTCCTACTCATATCAACCTAATCAATATAGTATTCCTTGGCTACGTTGGTTGGGCGGCAGGCAATTTCGACCCAAGCTACGTACTCTCAGAAGTCCCCACCAACAATGGAGGCACTTGGACGGACACTTCACTTGTCGCACAATGCATCGCTCCCAAGGCTGGCGCGCAGAAACGCTCAATAGCTTCGTTTGAACAAGCTTAATTAAAAACGTATCTCTATTTGTAAGTAAGTAGTACTGTATTTGTTGTTTCCGGAAGCGATGAGTTGGTCGTTGCAACACACCTCATGGTTGTCCTCAAGAGGTGACTGATCGAGCGATCGAGCAGCCTAGGTCTCACGCACTTTTTGACAGCTTCCCCATTCGCCGGGGCTAGCTGTCGAAACTCAGAGGAGCAACAAGGAGCCTGGAGTCCATACATATTGTACAGGATACTGCCCAACTTCATGATAGGCATTGGAATTCAAGTTGTTTGTACAATTTTCCTGCGCTGAGGGTTCAAATTTTGCTTGTTGTGCGGAGAACACAAGTGTCAATTCAAAGACCATGTTTTATTTAATGTGTACAGTATGTGGTTTGTTACTAACAATAGGTGTAGAGAAAGAGGACAACACCCAAGAGCATTGAGTATGTGTTGGGTAGGCAAGAGAGTACAACGCTAACGGTGTATGCAGACGTAACAGCCACCGGAGCTACTTCCTTTTCTGGGGGGGGGGTCGCCCACGAGGCAGATCCAGGCAGCCCGATCTCCCGATCAGTCACCTCTTGGTTGTCCTGCTTCGAGTCGTCTCCACAGTTCTGAGCAGCGGGATTCTTAGATTAAGAAGAGGAAGCGGCACAAATGAGCCGCCCTGATGACGTTTACCGGCTGGGTCGGATTTTTTCGGGTCCACCAGCGTTGCTGTGGTGTTGAGGAACGAGCTAACCTACTTGGACGTTGCTATGCATGCTTTGGCTGCAGCTGTCGATGACCCTTCCTCCGACTTCCAACAAAAGTTGGCAATCAATTGAGAAACCCTCTGGGGAATTCTTATTCGCAAAAGAGCAAGAATCACGCAGATGATAGCTACCAGAAAGGTCCATTTTCACTTCTTCAGGGAAAACAGGGCGCTCTATTCGCGAAATGAGGGCTAACGCGGCGCTACCCGCACGAGAATGGAAGGTCGAGACGATGAGTAAAATTGACGAAAGCGCGAGGTTGAGCTAGTTGCCGACCACGCTTAGATAAACGCCAGTGCATCTCGATTGCTGAAAAATAAATAAGCACCGAGGATACGCATGGGAACGGACAAGCAAATGCCAGCGGCCGTGTGTATCAGAAATGTCGAGGAGTGAATTCAAGGTGGGTTTCCCTCGGAGCACGTGCTGTCTTGACAGCTTTTCTCCGTTCTCCCAGTACCCGTCCAAAGGCTAAAGCACCACAACGCATAATCGATGCGCCTCGGGGTTTCTCGGACTAGCAAGTCAAAGCTTCGCGGATTCCTGACGCGCTACTACATAAGACGGATGGCAACTCTCGATGTGCATTCAACTGTTTTTTTTTCACTCGTCAAGTCGTTGCCCCAAATAGCCCCTACCCACGATGTCGAAAACGAGCTATGCATATGAAAAGAGCAATGCTGAGAAGCGTCCTGCGATGGATGTCTTCGCGATTCCTCCCCCGCCTGCCTTTCCAGACGGTGGCTTTCAGGCATGGGGCACCGTCTTTGGCTCGTATGCTTTTTTTCTGCATAGCGCTTGCTGGTATTCACACATTTCCAGGTTTTTGATCATGTTCTGTGGCTTTGGGTAAGATCTGCAAACCTTTTTGTTTAGCACTGACGCCTTTTTAGATATAGCAGCTCATTTGGCGTCTACCAAGGTACTTCGCTCGATTCTTTGTACTTCTCCCACTCATTTGCCAAGACTTTTATGTTCGCGACTACCTCTCACACTCATCACCCTCCGCGATTTCGTATGTCTGAGCTTCCATCGATGTCGACTGATGTTTACGGGTTCACCAGCTGGATTGGCAGTGTAAATATCTTCATCATACTTGCGGGTGGTTTCATTACCGGAAGACTCCATGACCGAGGTCACTTGTGCGTTGAATGGACTGTGCTGGTCAACTCGGACAATTCCTAACTTTCCTGCAGCTATCCTTTGATATACGTCGGCTCGTTTCTCGTAGCCCTATCGCTCTTTATGCTCTCCCTTGCCCAGCCGAATCAACTCTACCAAATTTTGCTCGCGCAAGGCATCGCCAACGGTGTTGGCGCAGGAATGACTTATATCCCTTGCATCGCCGTTGTCTCTCAACATTTTTCACCCAAACGACGCGCTCTGGCCATGACAATCATTGCATCTGGCTCTTCCCTTGGCGCCGTTGTTCATCCGATCATGCTGAATAATCTCCTTCCTCGTCTTGGTTTTGGCAATACTGTTCGGGCGAGTGCAGGGTTAGTCTCTGGGCTTTTGACCATTGCTTGCTGTCTCGTGCGAACACGACTACCGCCGCCGAAGACCTCGATTAACGTTCGGAGTCTATTGCTGAAAATAGTGAAAGATGGCCCTTATCTCGCTGCGACGCTAGGGTAGGTTGTCTCTTCGACCATTTTTTCTGTATTCTAACATATTTCGTAGCCTTGCAATCTATACCATCGGCTTCTACTATCCACTCTTCTACCTCCAGCTAGACGCCATCCAGCATGGACTCGATCCTACATTTGCGTTCTATTCGCTGGTCATCATGAACACGTCCTCATTTGTCGGCCGTCTCGCTCCCGGCTTCGTGGCCCATCGGTTTGCGGTACAGCGAATGATTACCGTGTTCGCTGCCTGTGGGGCCGTTCTCATCCTCTGCATGATCGCCCTTCAAGACGAAGCAAGCGTCATCGTTATTGGTATTTTATATGGCTTTTTTGCGGGATGCAGTATGTCTCCTTCTTGTGTTCAATTCTATTGAAGTATAACCAGTCATAGTCGTCACTTGTATGAGCCCGTTGCTCGCGGTGCTAACGGAGGACATGTCCGAGCTTGGGTGAGTTGTCGTCTACCCTGATGTCGGTCATGCATGCTCAAGCCTTACACAGTGCCCGTCTGGGCATTTCTGTTGCAATCAGCGGCATTGGGATCCTTGTTGGCCCCCCCATCGATGGTGTACTGCTCACTGAACAGTTCATCTGGTGGCGACCTGCGCTTTTCAGCGGCGTAAGCACTCTGTGTTAACTGAAACACTCCTTCAATCGGACTGACCTGCAACTAGCTCATGGCAATGGCGGGTTTCGCGCTATTCGTGGTTATGCTAACTCTCCCGTCGCCCAAGAAAGCTCACGCTAGGGCCAACACGAAGATCACAGGCAAAGAGGTCATGGTGGTCAACATCGAGTTGGCAGTAGTCGATGATCACGAGGATATGGACCGGTGCGAGGATGTGTGAACAGGAATTTAGACAATATAGACTGACCCGAAGCCAATGTTTGTATTTCCACTGTTGTATTGAAGTAGCCAGTAGTTATCTCATGGCATGCCTGCCGACCATGACGAACTTGAGTGAATTACTGGAGGTAGTCGAGGTTTCTTGGCGATTGAAAATGTGAGAGTGGTGACTATGTAGTACTTCCTATGTGGAGGTCGATATACTGCCTGAAAACCCGAAGTGAAATCGAGTCGTATCTGTCAGAGGTAAAGCGCACAAAGTGCAAGTTGACATTGGCATCAATAAGAGTATTATTCAAGAACCATGTTGTCACTATTCAGCGACTCAGGAACTAGTACTAGGCAGATAATTTGACGGCAAGTCACCGACGTCTTTTGATGTATTCAAAGTACTCCGGTAAAGGCTCTGGCTCGGGATCTAGTAGCATACTGCGGTCCCAATAGTTCCAAAAATCTGCCTCCTCGTGGTCCGACACCTTCCAAACGATGCCGACCGTCTGGAGCTTGGGTAAGCAACGAAACAATTGGTATGCGGCCTGGTTCGGAACACCACGGCATGGGTTATTCAGGTCGTCAAGCGTGATTTTGAGCTCGTCGAGCGACAGGAAAAGTCGTAAGGCGTCTATCGTTTCCGGCTGGAGAGATAGTCAGTCAACATCGCGGGACACTAGGAAGACGACTTGCGTCGCGACCATCTATGAGCGGAATCTGATAAACAGCACGTTCCATCGTTTGAATCAGATGGAGAGAGGTGAGATGACGGAATTTGGACGCAACAGCGACGACAAATTCTGGCTGCATTAGGATGTAGTTCAAGATTATACTGAGTTTCTGCAGCCGACCGAACTGGGGAAGTATGTCCACAAGTGCAATCGCATCATCAATATTAAGCGGAGTGGTGATTGGATCTGTTCTGTCGGGTAGCTCTTGCTCATCTCCATAGGAGTCTCGCAAAGCCAGAAGATGAAGTTCGTCGAGTGAGTCAGGTAGTTGGAGGAAAATAGGATCGGAGATGCCGAAGTTGGAAAGGGAGACAGAGGTGAGATGAGGGCACGTTTCCGTTAGAAACGGGCCACTATCGAGGCCAAATGTGAATGGTGGCCGGGGCTTCTTTGTGAAATCGGTCGTATGAAGGGCAGATAGTGACCTGAGCATGGGCATATGAGTAACGAGTTGCGTAATGGGGGTAAATGGGATGGTCGGGTGGTCAGCGAGAGTGAATTGGAGAAGATTGGGCCAGGCGATGCGCAGGAATTCCTTGGGCTCGAGCAAATCACCAGAAATGGCGAGGCTTTTCAGGCGGCTGGAAATCCGCGTCAAGAGCAAGGAGACATGGAAATTTTCTTTCGATGTGTCGATATCTGGAGGTCGATGAGTCCCGTCGAAGCCTGATATTCGAATAGTAAGTGTGGTGAGCGCAGGAAAGCTTAGATTTGTCGACGGCAGAACATCTAGTCGTGTCTGGTAAATTTCTAGAGTGCTGAGCGTCGGTACCATCGAGAGTGCGGTGAAGAGTTTGTGAGGTATGGTGCCCTTGAGCCGCAGAGTGACCCGGTTCAGTCTCGACATATGTAGTAAGGACCGGAATAAGTTAGCTGTGAGGGTGATTTCAGCTGGATGACGGATTGAGTGATCCCTGATATGCACTGTCCTGAGTATTGGATTGTCAGTTGCAGCACTATGGAGTGAGGGGGAAAACGCACCTGGGGAAATTCCACAGTGTTTCGGGCCAGACATCCTCCTCCCGTCGCCACGTGTAAATCTCACGGAATATCCAAGTACAGCAGCTAGCCCTCATTTTGCGGCAGGTTAGAGACAATGGTATCAAAGCCGCGTTGCTGCGCCTTTCATGGCTGAACGGCTCTAGCGGTTCAGAGGTAACGATGAAATGGAGAATTAAATCCAAAAGTTCAGCAGGGACAGTCAGAAGAGTTGGCTTGGACCTTGCTTCTATTCCGAGTAGTCCACGGTACAGTACGCGGTTGAGCTCTCTAATGATTGCACTGAAAGCGTTTCCCATCGTGGTTGTTGATTGAGGCCGTCGGTGCACGTGACAACTGACTTCGTCATGGACTATTCATGGTATCTACTATCTCATATCTCCGGACGTAGCGTGTATATTTGCCATACTGCCACGGGCATCTGAGAAGCTGCACCGTGGAGGTAAGTAAAAGGTGGGGGCCAACCAAAGGCCATCGATCCACGACTACGAATCACACCAGACACACCTATAAGTTAAAGCGTTGGCGACTCAATCCGACAGCTCTTTGGACCTTTCAATGAACCCAACGCAAGACATCCTTGAACTGGATCTTGAAATTATCCATGCCGATGACGATCCAGTTGTATGTGCCCTTTCTGACTTGCATCCCTCCGTCACTCCTTCATTAGGCACTTGCTACTCGATTAATGCGACGTCAAGACTTTGGGTCGGGTAATAGTAAAGTCATCCCTCCGACAAACTTGAAGGCACCTTCCTCTCCACCCTCTTCAAGTTCAACTGTCCACCACTATTCACCGACAATTTCTCCACAACCCCACCAATCAGCTTCGAGCATCTGCGCGAATATAATTCGACACCAGAAAGTCGTTCAATTCCTGTTCATGCCCGCCATGCTCCCCCGCTCGCAGCAGATCCTGCATCGCAATTCCAGCATCAGTTTTTCCAAACAGCGGTTGGAACGGCCTCTGGGCCACGTTGTGAGTTTTGCCTGTAGCCCGTACTCTTATCGCTCTGAAGTCTGCGTTAGTTGGCCAAGTGATCGCCTACTTGGTACACCTCACTTTGCTCTATAAGTTGATATCCTCACTATGCCAAAGCATGTTTCCGATCCTGCCGAACCCAACCCGATGCCTCTGCGGTTTCCAGTTGAAATGGACTTGGGCAAGTAATCAGTCTTGTGCAGCAAGAGACCTACTGAATGTTATTGTGTTTCAGGCTCTTCTGCAATGTGAGACTTCTTCGCTCTAGTAATCTCTTTTTTCTTCTTACTAACACAGCATCCTGTAGGTGGGTTTTCGGTCACCAGGTCAAAGCTGCGGGTCATCGCGGAAGCATTGGACCATATATCCCTGTGTACCGGCCCGAATATGATCGCCCCGCACTGCCACTCCAGGAATACACGGCGTGTTATGCCGATAAGACTCTCGCCAGTATGTTTGATATCCGGGAGAAAGTTTTTGTCTACTTACCCACCGCTTATGAAGAGTTTACCCTTCGCCGAGCAGACCTGAAACTCAAGCTTTCAAGCAGTGCGCCGCTCCCGCGTGGCGAAAGTCGTGACCAGTCACTCACCGTTGAACTTGGGATTGCGCATTCTGTAGACAATCACGATTATCTACCGACATCTGGGATCATTGGCCTGGCTCCAAGGTATCCATATCTATCTGAAACGTGGCAAAATCAGAAATTGAAGTGTTTAGAATGGAAGGAGCTACTACAAAACACATGCCGGTATGTTGACCCGCATTGGGCGACGAGTTTTGGGTCTGAAGTATGGTTCTAGTCATTCCTCTGGCAGACCTCACGGCGCTATGTGAGTCTCCGGTTCGCAGTTGCATTGACTTGATTGTATTGACTACGTCAACGACCAGACAAGCCCAGAAATGACAATTGTACTCAGCCCCACTGAAGGGTAGTTGATATTTGGTCAAGCTTCGGTCAAACAACTTACACTGGCATGCTTGCAGAAGATTAACTCTAGGTGGTCGCCCACCTGACCTCCCAAGCGACAAGCGTCTAAAATATCATTGGAAGACTGCTGGTGAGATTTCCAGTAGTCAGTCTGAATGGACGGTTGATTGTCCTTACCTGACGATGAACGACACCAAATATCCTATCAAGACCGGCAAAGTTCTATTTGACACAGGTTCGTACTTGCGATGTAAATTTCATCACTGACTGTAGTGGTATAGGCGCGGCATCGATCTACCTGGACGAGTCGATTGTAGTCGCATATTACAGCCATTTCCCAGACACCAGACTTGACGACAAGGGCTATCACCTCATCTCGCTTGCGAACAAAGAGCCAAAGCAAACGCTCAACGTGGATTTCCATTTCAAAGAGGATAAATTGTGGTTATTTGATCACATCGACCCAACTTCTGACATCCTTGACTTCGACGGAAAGCAATATCAGCGTGGAGCTATCCAGTCCACGTCGGTGTTGCATGATTCAGATAAGGACCCGTGGACAGGACCATGCCTAATTGGCCGGGTATAGTAGTTTCGCTCCTTCAAGGCGGCGTCGAGAGCTGACGCGCAGTGCAGATAGCGATGTATAACGCAGACTTGAATCTGCACTTCGCACCTGGGACAACTCCGAAAATTTTCTTCCGAGAGAAAAAAAGTCGTGCAGAAGACGACATATCTCAGCGACCATACGACTGGGGAAAATTCTGATGATGTAGGAGTAACAACTGTGTAGCCGGCAATATTTTTGTAAAATTAAACCTCGTCACTCGGTCATGATCAAGCCCCTCCCCCCTCCGAAAACAGGCTAAAAAAACCAAACTGTCGCTTTTGCATGAGCCGGACACTTCCCCCCTTGCGTAGCCCAATCATGAGTATCGACGGCCAATCTCGTAGTCCATGCGCAGCTATACACTCTTGGTGCAACAAAGACACTCTCGATGTGGCGTTTATGCAGGCTGCACGCTTAAATTTGACATCTTTTGGTCTCAGTCTGGTTGGTATATCATACTCTATGGAATAGTTCTTCCTCGACTGACTGACAAGTGCTTAGGAACTCATCCACCTTCATTGCGTTCCAATGATTAGCAATCACGATCAAAGTCGTGCCATTTGAGCTACTTGCTCCGAGGCCCCCCAGACATCAAGAGCCACCTGATGAAGCAGTCCAATCTTGGCTCTAACATCCTGCCCGAGGCTTCAGCATATGTACGAGCCAAAAATCGCGCGAGCACACTCACTTGCTCCGTAACAGGATTGCCTTTCCACGAAGAAGCAAACCCACATTGAGGGCTGCGGAATGAGGTCGGATTGTTTTTTCAGTGAGCTGACGAACTGACCTGATCGAGAGCCTGCAACACTTTGTCAGCCACACACAGAGATGATCAGTGCTAAAAGCTCACTGAGCGAGAGCAACCTCGGGCGCGCGGGGAGGCGCTCCGTTCACTAGGATTTGAACAGCTTCGACAATGCGTGCCTTGAGAAAGTCGGGGTTCTCAAGCTGGTGCAATGGCTCAGGTAACAGGCCCTGATGGTAATGCTGCAAGTACCTCGGCATGTTTAGTCGTTACAATCCCCAGCACGACTTTCTTGGTCGGTGGGACAAAGCGCAGAGGCAGAAAACTTCCAGAGCGTTCGTCGTCGTACTCTAGCTAGTAACTCCAATAAAAAAAGTGAGTAGCAAGGTATGCGAGGCTCACATAGAACGTGTCCACGTCCAGATTCAAGAAGAGCTTCTTCGCGATGTTCTCATAGCTTCCCTGCCCAATTATCAAATTCCGAAAGAAGAATGATGGTGATCCCAGCAGGCATACGGAGGTAAAAGGCAGTCCTCCCTGGTAGCGATATGAGAAGAAGAAGACAATGATTTAAAAACGCATACGGCGAAATTTCCACGACATAAGTGAATAGCGACGTTGAGATCACGTGGTCGATCTCTAGTGCAAAGATTTATCGCATGGATGTACAAGTCCAGTAAGGAGTCAGGGTTGATTCCTGCTGTCTGTATGTTCCTCAGGACTTCTGTTTGGACGCGTGAGACATAACAAGCACATAGAGCCAAAGGAAATTTACCATCGTTACAGAAAGAGGTGAAGGTGGGTTCATCCAGTTGGATGTTACCTGATAGAATGGGTGATTGAGTCGACTAATTGAGACCGCAACTCACGACATCCCAATGCATATAGGGCTTTGAACTCTGCACGATAAACTGTGCCAACATCCGCGAAATACTCCTCTGAGAGCGATCAGAGCCATATAGCTAGCAACGTTGCGCACACCTACCATCAGAGTCGTAGACAGATTTATCGTAGGTAAGATGTGTTCCATGGAGCGTATGAAACCACGTCGGGGGGCACATCGTAATCTTCAAACGTCCAACTTCCTGTTGCGTGCGTTCAGCCGTTGTCATAAAAAATGGAGGAACAAAGACCTTGCGCGGCACCAGTCTCTTCAGTGTTTCGAACTCCTCAGTCATGATGGGCTTGTTCCGTCTAATCTTGCCCTAAACAAATAATGAGACAATGATAATGATGCTGACGACCGAATAGACCAACAGAGCAAAAACATGATGTGAGTTCTGTAAGTCCCATGGCACTGAATGCCTGGATATGTGGCCAGTAGTTCTGTGACGAATAGTATATAGACGGAGTTGAAGAAATCATGGTGGCGTACCATGAACTCTGACATTGGGCCTGGAACTGAGGTCAAGAGAGGATAAAAAGAGCGATATCACGCACGTAAACGACAAGTAACACCATCCAACTTGTCGAAGACGCCCTCGTAGAAAATCTCCCTAGCAAGAGTAAGAAATCCAGCGGATAAAGAAATATTTTATACTCACCGCCGCATTTCGCCATCGGTAATCGTTGCCAGACCCAAAGAGCGCTGAAGCCGAACAACATGAGCAACAGCAGCATCCTCAATTGGCGTCAGGTCGCCTCTGGAGCATTTTCCTTGCTCCAACAAAACACGCTGGTCGAAGAGCAATTTGGGTCGAATGAGAGATCCAAGATGGTCTACATGGGATGAAGGAGAAGACTTCATGGCACTGATACCAAGGGAAAGGCACGGCCAGCCAGTTTATAACTAATGGTGGCGGAGACTAGAGCCGAATGGTTATGACCAGTTGAGAGCGGGTGCACACGATGTGATGCACAATGGAATGGATGGATTAAAATGGCCTGTTAGATTATTCGATGCGCACAACGTCCGGTAAAGGCTGCTTGTCCGGTACCACAAATGACTTCCTGGCTTCCGCACTCATCAAAACATCCGTCGAGTAATAGTCCGCCCAAAGCCGCCCATCCGCCAGAAATGGGTTGGTCAGGAGGAAGAAGGGGAAAAGTTTGATTGGATCGTCGTCGGTGAGTGTAACAATGGAGTCTGAGTCGGCAGCTTGACTCTTGCGACGAAATAGGCGAACTCTTTCCAAGCCGAAATGCACCATTTGAATCCAAAAGTATGTCATCGTAAAGTGGAACGTGCGGCCGTTCGTCCGGGAGCTTTGCGCTATATAGTGCTCGATCCCGTCAAAGATCATGTTTTTGCCTGGAATGAGATTGAGGCTGTCTGCAGCATCACATCGCGAGGGGAGCCACACCTTTCTGCCGTCCATGGACCGACAGGACAACATAAGCAATTTGAATGTGCATGTAGTGGTCCCACGCGGGGAGGTTAACATCCGCAAACTGTTGCAGAAATTGTTTCGAGGATTCGTCAGCGCCGGCATCCGCTCGCTCGACCCAGGAATTGAGTAGTTTATCGAGATGCTCTGGCGCACGAGGGTCGGGAAGAGTTTCGAGAGCAGGTGGGTGGCCGGGTTCCAAATCCGTTGGGCTCCGTCCAGCTTGCACAGACCGTATCTCGCCAATAAGCCATTCAAACGCCTCGTAGAGTGCTTCTCCTTTGCGGAAAGGCTCGGTTGTCGTGGTGCTCGCCAAGCGCGTGGCTCGACCGGCAACGGCCTGCGCGAATATTTGCTCCAGCTCAGGAAGTGGCATAGCGTTAGGGAGCTCTTTTTTGGTGGCGATTCTACGTCAGCATCAGCAGAGTCGTCTACGAGGGCGATAGGCACCAACATAAGAACGGGAATATTCGCACCACGGGCAGGCTCCAGCTCAGCCAGCAACTCAAAATTACTCTGCAACTGCTCGACACTCTCCTCCATGCGTTCGCGGTCGTTGCTGTCGACACACCTGGTTGCTGGATAGTAAGTGGGACCTTGAATTGGATATCATCGAAGTGCATACCAGAGGAGAGCGTCTGCGTTCGTCACAAATGGACCCAAAAAGGTCGGCAGCGCTCGAATTTTATCACAACCACCAGCATCCCAACACAACAGGGTGGCCTGCCGAGGCGCGTTATCCGCACGAAAGTGAACCTCGGCAGTTTCGATGCTGAACCCGATAGTAGGGATGGACTGAACAACCTTGCCTAGGGAGCAGAAAAAGTCAATTCGCCAGTCGCTACAAAAGGGTCGACACCCACCTGTCCTCAAACGGTACAGCGTTGATGTTTTCCCGCTCGCATCTAGGCCCACGAGAAGGAACTTGAACTTTTCGGCGGTAGTGAGAAAGGGAAAGAGGAGTTCGCGGAAGCGACGGAGTGTGCTGCTCATAGTTAGAATGTTGAGCGGAATGGTGTAAATGGCTTCTTATACAGGCATTGGCAGGCAATGGCAGCCACGTAGAAGTTCGACGTGTTGGCGCATCGAGTTGCGATCCCTCAAGTCATGTTGACGGAGCGCCACGTCCTTGTGCTCGAGAGCGCTGCGGAACGAAAACGACAACGAAACGACAGATCACGGGACGTGAAAGTCATCCAGAAAACAGTTGTAAATTTCGATTTGGATACTGATGTATATAACCCAAGAACTCAGAAAATACCTCCTCTCTAACCAAAAGAATTTACTGGGGTGGACTGGGGAAAAATGAGACTGCATCACAGAAAGATAGAGACGGCTTACACTGGAGCGACGCTAGTGGCTGGGCCTGTTTGACTTTGACTTGAGTATATGAATCTAACAAGGGATTTTTTACATACCAGGGTCGGCAGTGAAGACTGGGAATGGCGAGGTAGCACACTGGATATAATTTTAGGGAAGAAGTGCGATGGTGATCACATGACGTACGGCCTGCTCGACGGCGGATGGGCTGACACCGGCGGGGAGATGGGGGTGGCCAACAAGAGGAGGCGGGATGGGGATGACATCAGAGCAGTCAATGAGCGAGGACCGGTCCTGTCCCAGAATCGCCAATTTCGACATCGCTGCACGGAAGTTGGTTTGCATGCGAGTTTGACTGCCTGGAAGTTGGACATGAGACTCGTATGAAAACAGCCCAGGGGCCTATATACTTACTGGCCAATGACTGCCATGCGCAGTTGGTGCGAGGGTCGCGGGCCATTTGGTGGTCAGTTTCAAGACGAATAGTGCCTTTGACTGAGCCCATCACTTCACCGTTATGGCCACCAGTTCTGAAAGCCGATGAGAAAAGAGAATCATGCAATTGTTAGTCCACGTACCCGGTGAATGTCGTGCCACGCAGCTGGGTCTCGATGAATAGTTGGGTATCAAAGATACCAGGGGTCGAATCGAAAGGAGTTCTACGCTATATCAGAAGACAGTCGTGAAGAATAAGAAAGCTGCAAGATACCCAGGGTGATCGGGTTCAATGAGGTCCGAGGCCGCGATGGAGTGTCTTTTGAGATGGATGAGTATAATGTGTAGTCTTATCTGGAAATCACGCACGAAGCAATCAACGCAACAAGCTCAGCCGGAGAGAAGCCGGCGTCTGCCATACGCGGAAGCACTTTGTCGAGAGGGTCTAGTTGCCCGGTGGTTAGCATTTAGCACCGAAAGTGATACATAAAACTTACCAAAGGGCTCTGGGACCAAACCAATGGGGGATGCAGCCTTTGGAGGCGGGCGACCGAAAAGGAATTCCAGACGTGGGGCTCCAGGACAGTTGCTGACTGCGACAGCACCTGCAAATTGGATACTGGAGCTAGTTGAATCTTCTTGCAAAGAAGATGGTAGACAGCACGAACAAGTCTCCAGGCGAGATTGTGGTGTTGTGTCTGGCAAGAATCGGCGCCTGGGCATCAATGATGTCGTCGATGCCGGCGTTGGCCGGGAAAGCCGTTTCCTACAAAAGGAGTTCATCGCGATTAACAGAGGGTCCCGTATATCTTACGATTTCGTCGAAAACGCTGATAGAGCCATCAGCACCTCCACCACTATGAAAAAAATTGAGTTGACGCGGCCAGTCGGATAATGTGGTGTTTACCCTAGCAGTAAGTTTAGGATCATTCATTGAATATTCACGAGCAACATACCTAGGGTCGGAGAAAATCCAATTGCGTCGTGGAAGGTGAGACGCAACGACTCATGAGCCTGCAAAATGGTGAACAAGTAAAGATCGAGGGAGTGAAATCGCAAACGTCTTCGCCACATTCATTCTCGAACAGGTTGGTCTGAAGGTCGTCCATGATTGGGAACAGCACGCAGCACGCAGCGTTCGCGGTGGTCTGGCCGGTTGAGCATGTTACGCGCTTCGTGACGGCAGCTGTAAAAAGCAGCTACATAAACGATGCGCCAGCGAACGAGAAAATGGTAGCCACCTTGAGCCGATTGCACGGTGGCAAGAGCGAGAAGGGAGGCAAAGACAGCTTGCATTCTAAGCTCGGGTGGAGGGCAACAAGTTGTAAGACTCGTTATTGAGCAACGCCCAAGCCCCTAGCTTTTAAGCTCTGTCGGTCCCGTTCTTGAAAATATTCTTGCGGCCAATGAAGTTGTTTACATTCCGAGTCTGCGACAATACAGACATCCATACGAACGGGTTATGAACGGGTCAACCGGGAATGACGCTGGCGTAGGTGGTCGGTGAGAGGACAGAGAGCATGTTTGAATGGTTGTTGGTTGGATTTCCAAGCGCGGTGAGAATGAGAGTACAGGGAAGTCTATGAATAGTTGTCCGGAAAGTCATTCCTTTCAGGTGTTAGTAAGTCAGCTCCGGATGCGGTTCCTGGGGGAAAGAGACAACCCAGCATCCCTCGTTGACGCGGATGCGACAGGCTGAAATCTTACCTACGACCGGTCACACCTAAATTTAGGCTGTATTCGAGGTTTTTAAAGGTGAGGTTGCGTAATAGTGGGTGCTCAGCGAACACTCGCTCCACATTGCTCCAGACAAGCTATGGATCAGCTCTCGCAGTTTTGCATCCAAATTTAACTCACTCCCACCGGACGTCGAGAAGAGCCCCATGACCTTAAAAGGTCCGCTGATTCAAGTTAAAAACGGCTCCGAGAAGACCAACCGGGACCCGAAGTATGGTTTTGAGCATTGGACGTGCGTAGGTTGGACGAAAGCCAAGCTTGTTGATCATGACCTCGGTTGTTTGGTACCGCATCCGAGTCAACCTGTCCGACAAAAGCGCTCGCCGGGAGACATAGGCTATGAGCAGACCGAGGCAGCGTTTCGAAACGAACTTGCACTTGCTCTCATCGGGGACCGGGTCAAGCTATTGGATGACAGTGAATGTGATTATCACGGAGTTCGGTACCGGGCGGAGAGCCGTGCTAGTTGTGCTGAAGAACTTCAAGAAGGTTTCAAGGCGACGAGGGCTGAAAGGGGACCTGGGGTGAAGTTAAAGACCACTTGGGCAACACTTGGGAGAAAAAGACAAGTTCCATTCGGATGACTAATGGGTTGACGTGGTCACGTGCTATAGGCCAAACTATAGGTCGACAGAGAAGTACCATACTAGTAAGCCACAATAGCGAGCAGCTGCGAGCCAGGCTTGCTTGCTATTTGCACTTGTAGCGCACTCCCTCTTCCCGCTCCAGAACACTGAACTCCATCAATCCGCTGAACCATCCTGCTCTCTGTGCTCCCATAATTCGCCCAGTCTCTCTCGCATTGTCAGGGTGAATCTTGACTGTTTTACCTCCGGGACACTGGTTTGCGGCAGCCGAGTCGGCAAGAAGCTGTACCTGGCAAGCGCGTTCGAGAGCGATATAAAAATGAACCGTGGCCTCAATCGAAGACGTGCCGACGAGGAGGCCATGGTTCTGCAGGATGACAGCTTTCTTGTTTCCCAAAGCAGTTGCGATAGCGCCTCCCTCTTGTTCTTCGAAGACTGGGCCGTTGTATTGATTGTAAACCGTATGATCCTTCAAAAATGAAATCATTCCCGCCTTAGTAACCTGCCCGCACATACCTCGAAAAATGCACAGGCATCCTGAGTAATAGGATCGAGCTCAATTCCTAGTGCCGAAAACGCTTTGCCATAGAGCGAGTGGGTGTGAGCCGCGCACATAACATCCGGCCGAGCAGAATGTATGGTAGAGTGAATCATGAACGCTGCAGTGTTCAGTATACGATAAGGCCCATCTTTTTGCCCGGACTCTTCCTCCAGAATGTTGCCAGTATGGTCGACAAGGAGAAGGTCCTCGGGTTGGATCAGCTTGAAATGGAGTCCGAAGGGATTGACCCAGAAGCAGTCCGAGCGTATCGGGTCGCGGACGGTAATATGACCCGCAAGGCCTTCATCATAACCGTGATTTCCTGGAGGCATATTTCAGTTTCATACTTGGTTTAGAGGGTGTGCTGACCGAAAATCCTGAAGGCTTGCGCGAGGCGGAACTTGATGTACTCTCGCTCTTCAACCTTCGTCGTAAATGTAGGCGGGGCAGGCAGTTTCCCTCGAAGAGCCTTGGCCTCAAATATGTCGTCGTTGTTGGTCATCATTTTTCAGCGTTTTCCAACCGGTCCTGCGCTCGACGAGGGTAGTAGCGAGTAGGAGAAACGACCCTGGGAGTCGCTGAAGACGGTGTGATATAGCGTGGATCGCATGGCAGCGTGGGCTTGGAGAACGAACGGCGTTGGGGCGATTCAATGTAGCTTCGAGCACATGAGTCGTCAGCCGACTCTGTACCCAACTAGTTGAGATTAAAGATGAGCCGAGGCCTTTCTTCCTTCGTATTGGATGTCACCGATAAGTTTAGTTGGTTGAGCTTGAAAGGGCCGGAAAGGCTGGCTTTCTCTGGAAGGAGGCGATATGTCCTGGTAATGCCAACGCGAAGCTAAATGTACCAAACTAACCTCAGTGTCCCGTCCCACTATCTCATATACAAAGCTCGTAGTTCACGGAAGGCCGTTGCGATATACCCCGCCTGGCTAATGTTGGAAGTTTCGCGAAGGAGCTAAAATGTTGAGCGGTGCACCGCCACATTGGTCACTCATCGACCACCTGCTTGGAATAAAAGAGCTGAATCATTCCCACTCAAGCCCCCGATAGAAGAGCGAGTCAAACAGCATAATAAAAAGCCAATATGCGAAATGGTGGACCGAGCTATCTATAATGCGAAGAACGCGATCTAGCAACAAGGGTACCTCGCAAAAAAAATCCTAGACATCGGGTCGAAAAAGTGAATTAAGGACGAGCCAGCCCTCCCTACCCTATTGATGTAAGCATGACTAAGCCATGTGACTTCCCAAAAAGGAAATTGTTTGTCATCAGTGTCTGTACAGGACACAGCACTGGGCTCATTGGATTCTATGCCAGGGCCATTCAAGAAATACCATATGGGAAGGAAAGAAGCAGATGTAAATGTCATGCTTACATGTCATTGTTTAGCACTGTACTTATCATCAAACTTTCCCGATTGGGATATAGGCCCTTAAACATTCCAGATTCTTTGGCAACAAGTCCTAAAAACATATAACTGTGCATTTCTAATCCTTCTAAATGTCGGTCCGGAGTCTGTCCTTGGCAAGGGATGGTGGCCGGAATTCGCTGGGGTTGATCTCGTTGCCCGGTTTGGGTTTTCTGGGGCGGGCTGGGATGCGCGGAGCGGCTGGAGTGGGGGGGACAGGTGGGAGAGGGGCTGGGGCGGCCTTAGGACGTCTGGAAGGTGCTGTGGTGGGGGGAAGGAAACGGGAGAAAGGCAGGATGGGGGAGTCATGGTGGGTGTGGTTTGTCTTGGCAGCTGGCACTGGTGTGTGGGGGTGGGGGCTGCTAACGCGGGTGCTGGATAACGTGCTGGCATGGCCAGCGGGGGGCGGGAGGTGCCCGGAGAGATCGCGGTACATGGAAGACGAACGATCGAGCGGCGTCACGTGAACGTGGATTCAATAAGCTACGAAAAATTTGGCTAGGTCTGCTGGTAGAGGAGGGGAAAATTCTAAGTGAGAAGTTAAACTAGGGAGAAAACCTCTGGAGAGGGGGTCTGCAGGGTTCAAGGAGGATTCTATGTAACATAGGTTCAAGGATATGTTATGGGCCGCGAGGGATGCCAAAGAGCGGCGCAGGGAGATATTGATCTCGTGGTTGCTGCTGCGGCCCTTTTGGAAAGCGCCAATAACACCCTGGTTGTCAGAGTGAATCAGCAGGCGAGCGTCTCGGAGGTTGTGGCCCTCGAGTGCGTAAATGAGCAGCTCAACTGCGACTGTCTCAAGCCATCCGATGTGTCTTGAGCGTGATTTCCAGTCACCGATGCCCTTCCACGCCGCCCATCTGTTGTCCAGCCAAATTCCGATGCCCCACGAGGTCGACGCGTCAACGAAAATGCCCAGATCTTGACATGGACCACGAGGAGCGATAGAGCGGGTGACGTCTGGCTTCTCTAGCATGGATTCCCACCAGGAAAGTGAGGAGAAGACTGAAGGGGGGGGGTATCTGGTCTTGAAGGTGTTGCCGTCAAAAGCCACAATCAAAGCTGTGAAAGCGGGGAGGTATGAGCGTCCCAGAGGGTGGACGAAGGTAATATGGCACAGGGAGCCATGGATCTTCTGCGCATCTGAGAGCTGACATCTGCCTGCAGAGCATTTGTCACGGAAATCGCGGATTCTGCGTAGGAATTTGAGTCTTTTGGGTTCCGGAAGAGCCACTGTTTTGTTCGGGATGTCCCACGAGAAACCAATGTAGGTGGCGATTGGCAGGTATTCGGTCCACTTGGAAGGATGCCAAGGGATTCTGAGTGGCGAGAGAGCTTCGAGGGCTTGCTGGCGGGTGAAAGCGAACCAGAAAGATGGCGGTGTCGGGGGGGAAGGGATACGGGACGCAGATGGGTAGCGGAGGCTGAGTATGTCATCTTCGTAGCGATTGGCCGGTGCAAATCCCAGTGCTTGCCAGATGTCTATAATGGCAGAGCCGATGAGCCCCGCGTTGCTGCTGGAGGATGCGCATCCAAACGGGCAACAGTGTTCTATGTAGAAGCCTTCTGGGCCTTGAAGCACGAACCATCTCTTGTGGGCTGGAAGGATAGGGCAAGTACGATGAAATTTAGCAATGTCTAGTACCATCGCTTGCGTGCCTGGTGGGGCTGTCGAGATCTGCCACACAGGTCAGTCACATGGTGAGACAGGCTCTTTAGGGGTGAATTCGATGAGGAATGGTTCTGAGCACAATTCAAGGCAGAAAATTCAATGAGGGAAAATTCAATGGGAGAAAAGAATTCAATGATATTCATGGGGAAAATTCGATGACATTCGATGACAAAATCAGAGTATTCAGTGAAATTCAGCGCATGGAAAGGGATTCGAGACGGAAGGAGGATTCGGGATGATTCGCGGAACAGCAACTCACGATCTCGGCGACATCCGAAGCTGTGCCAAATTTGGTCGGGAATTTGTCTTTGTCGATGAAGTGGTTTGTAGATGGATGTGTTGGAGCACCCTTGGAGAGATGGCGGCAGAGGCGGAGCTTGTCAGGCTCGCCGGGGCCTTGGGGTTGAACCGCGATGATGATGGGAGAGCACTGGAAAAAACCTTGAAGTATGGTCTCCGTTTTGGACTGGGAGAAAGGGCCACTCATACGGCCCGCCGCTACCTCCTCTGCCAGATAATCGTTGACAAAGGACGAATGGGCCAAAGTAGAGGGGTGGTTGGGGATGATGACCGTGCGATTGAGGACTGGGAAATCACCCATCGGGAATCCTTGCCGGAGCTTCGAAGGGAGGTCACGGTGGAGATCAAGCAGATTGAGTTGTCCAAGAAGCGATTCGAAAGCATCTGCGTCATAGGGGGTGATGATGCGAGAGAAAATTTCGAGGTCCAGAGGGAGAGCAAGAGGAGGAAGAAGGGAACCCAAGAAAGAAACAGCTTCGTTCTCAAACGGTTGGGTTACGGCGGCAGGTCCAGCCGAAAGCGTTGTGCGATTTGTCGCCGCAGAAGGAGCAGATGTGGAGGCGCTCGCGATCGTGAGAGCAGGAGGAGTAATTGTCTCCCCGAGTGTTCCAGTTGCGACAGACTTCTTGGCCGCCTGCTCTTGTGAAAATCGACTCGTTGCGGTACTCGCAGAAGGTTGGTTTGCCGTCGGTGAGGAACTTCGCGGTGCATTGCGGGGCAAAATGGCCTTCCTTCGCGCAGATGAGGCAGACGGGAGTTCGCGCGCTGAGCCCGCCTGCCAATCGAAAGGAAACACGGCCTGGACCTCCTCCTCTCAGCATTGGGCCCTTACCAATACGCAGAGAGCTAGAGGGCATCAGGCGGGGGGTGGGAGGGAGGCGCGGGAAGTGGCTGAGATTTTATGCGGCTGATTTTGAGGTCTATGATGGCCTTTTCGAGGTTTGAGCTGTAAAACGCGATGTCGAAGACAAATGGGGCTGAAATGTAGAGGTTGCGCAGATCACGGTCGGTAGCAAGGATGGCCGGGAAGAACTCTTCGCAGTCCTGATGTTGCTCGAAGAAAGCGAAATGGTCCGCGTACCGCTGCGCGCGGTCCGGATCCGTCTCCCGAATGAACTGCTGAAAGTTCTTGTTGGCCTCAATCCATTGGCCCCGATTCATCTTCAGCTCCTCCAACACCTTCTTCTCGAAATCCGCGACGTCGAGAACCACCGGGCGCTTGTCGGCTCCATTGGGCGCGTTGATCTTTTTGGTCTGGAGGGAGGCAGCGTTGGTGGTGATGTAGCGGAGGGAGGCTGTGGTGAAGAGAGAGAGGGGGCATTCGAGCTCGAGAATGTAGAGCTCGCGGAGATAGCGGTGGAAGGTGACGGGCAGGGAGAGGCCCGGGACCAGGCGGGTCTCTTCACGGACTTTTTTGGTGAGGCGGAGGTCGTCAGCCGAGGAGGAGCTTTTGCGCTTGCCAGAGAAAACGTCGCCAAATTTGGAAAGGGCCTCCAAAGCCGTGCGGGGAGACGCATTTGCCACCAGTCTCGCGAAGAGGGAAGAGCCTGGGGAGTCGGGTTCTTCTTGGTCTATGGTGACGAGGGACTCGTTGTCTGACGCGTCGGAGACCGAATCGGGTCGTCTTATGTGTTCTACTCTCTTCTCCGCTCTGGCTTCATTGCGGGCCACGATTTTCGCGTTCTCAGCGCGCTTCTGCGAGGGGTTGAGCCGTTTGAGAGCCTCGATTACTTCGGCTGAGAAGTGGGTGCGGCGTGTTCTCGGGGGAGGACCTTGCGGCACCTGGTTTTCGTCTGGCATGGCACTCAAAGGAAAGCGAGAAAGAGAATGCCGGCGCGCGAGATGTGTCGAGAGCGGGAAGAGAGAGAGAAAATGGAAAGCACGTGACTACTACTACTCTCCACATCTCTGACTAGCTTATCCCTAGATAACTTTGAGCCGCTCGTACCTCGCGTCAAAGTTATCTCGGAAAGTTTCGCGAAGGAGCTAAAATGTTGAGCGGTGCACCGCCACATTGGTCACTCATCGACCACCTGCTTGGAATAAAAGAGCTGAATCATTCCCACTCAAGCCCCCGATAGAAGAGCGAGTCAAACAGCATAATAAAAAGCCAATATGCGAAATGGTGGACCGAGCTATCTATAATGCGAAGAACGCGATCTAGCAACAAGGGTACCTCGCAAAAAAAATCCTAGACATCGGGTCGAAAAAGTGAATTAAGGACGAGCCAGCCCTCCCTACCCTATTGATGTAAGCATGACTAAGCCATGTGACTTCCCAAAAAGGAAATTGTTTGTCATCAGTGTCTGTACAGGACACAGCACTGGGCTCATTGGATTCTATGCCAGGGCCATTCAAGAAATACCATATGGGAAGGAAAGAAGCAGATGTAAATGTCATGCTTACATGTCATTGTTTAGCACTGTACTTATCATCAAACTTTCCCGATTGGGATATAGGCCCTTAAACATTCCAGATTCTTTGGCAACAAGTCCTAAAAACATATAACTGTGCATTTCTAATCCTTCTAAATGTCCATGAACCTTCTCCAGACACAAGTCCAAAAAGTGAAATTTCACCCTGGTAACCCGCCCTACCCTATGTGACATGTGTGACTTGATGTCATCAGCTGATGATCTGCGGTACCCTTGTCTAGCAATCGAGTCTACCACTGCGGGAAGCTCCTAACATTCCTAGGTCACGCACTCCAAACTTCACAAGCTACCTCATGCAAAAGGCGAATTTTAGCCTTGATATCCTAGGGAAATAAGGAAACGGCAATTGCTAGTCGTTAAAAAACTCACATCTTCGGTGACAGGATTCCCGTGCCAGACAGAGGCGAATCCACATTGGGGACTGGATGAATGAAGATGATTTTCTAAGCATCCGAGAGAACGACGCATACCTAATCGAGATTCTAGGATGGCAAGGTGAGTAACCTGACGAGAAGAATCAAAATAGTGACACACTGGTTGAGAGCCGATTCTTTTGAACGAGGTTCAACGCCTGCTGCAAGGACATCAACAACTTGAGAAATCCGCTTCTTGAGAGTTTCGGGGTGTTCGAGCTACATAGAAAGATTCATAGACAACCATGGCAGCAGGAAGTCTAATCAGAACGCCACTGATCCTGTACGGATGCCCATGGCAATTTACCCATGGGCATTTTGACCTGTAGGTTACAATAACCTGCAGGAAACAAGAACCTACAGGATCTTTTACAGGAAACAAGAACCTACAGGGTCTTTTAACCTGCAGGTTATGTCAACCTGTAGCTTACTATATGAACCTGTAGTATCTATCAAAATTATAAAACCTGAAAAATGCAATTAAACTGAACCCTGCAAGATAACTTATGGACCTGCAGGTTACTGCAGCCTGTAGGTTCATAAAGCCTGCAGGTTCAAATAATCTACAGGCTGCAGTAACCTGCGGGTCACATCAACCTACAGTAACTTATAGCCTGCAGGTTACTATAAGTAGCCTGTAGGTTATAAGAACCTGTAGGTTACTATAGCCTGTGATTGCTGGCAATGTTTGTGAGCGGCCGCACAGTCAGCGCCAGAAATTAAGTGTATATTGATGATATATATTCTAATATGCACAAATCTATGGGTCAATAATGGTATACTGGCTACACAAGCTCTCACTGCTCAGCCCGCCCTCCCCCGACCCCAGCCATCTTGCAGCGCGTGTCCCACCAGACCGAGTCTACCCACGGCCATTCGCCGGCCTTAAGGAGCACGACGCTCGACCTGGGCACCAGGCCGAGTCTACCCCACTTCCGGCCCAAGGCCAGCCATTCGTCCCCCATCGACAGCGCGCCTGGACGTCCGCGCGAGCATGCTGGCCTATTGCGCTCGGCTTCAGCTGATGTGGATGCAGGCGGACACAACTCACCGGCCACCCCACCCCTTGCTATTCTCGCCATCGTTCAGCGCGGTCCATCGGGCTGGTGAGCTCGGTGTCGGAAGAAGATGTCTGGTTGTGTGTCGGGGAAAACGACCAGAGGGAGATGGTGGGGGTTGCGGAAAGAGAAGCGGTGGGGCGTCGTCACATTGATTGTCACCGTGATGGCCTGCATGATCTTACCTACAGGTTCATGATTCAAGGTAGGGCCGACGAGCGGTGTAGCACAAACTGATTGAAAGTAAATAAAAAGTGTCCTACATATACAGCATTGTAGTAGCAATTGAGTCCAAGACTAGCAAATGTGGGTATTTTTGGATTCTCAATTATCCTAGCAAGAGCTTAATCTTGATTTTTGACTGAGAGTAATATTCCTTCAAAGCATTGAATCACACCAGGGCTTCTGCTCTGGATTGTTCCCAAAGCATAACATAATTCTAATGTTTAACAGCTCTAATTGATATATAATCAAGAAAAGAATACTTAATCTGGTCAAGAAGAAATCAAGTTCTGTATCAGGGCATAAAATCTAGAATATATTGAGACTAGCTATTTTGTTAATAATAGATGCATCTCACTTAAGCCTCAATATTTTTTTTAAAAAAATCATTATTACCTCAATTATTTCTCTTTTTTCTCTCTTAAAATATATATAATAGTCATTTTTATCTCTGATATATTGGGTACATTTTGCTGCTGGACTTGACAGATCTGGTCTTATATTTTGTGGCATATTTGCTATATTTATTTACTACAGATTATGGTTATGAAATGGTCTGTTGATATTAGCTTTGACTCATATCCTATCTGAGAACTTGATATGTGATCCAATTACTTGCAAATCAAGTCTACTTTCTTGAAGTTTTATTTTCCATCTGTTCAAGTTATTAAAATGTAAATTGGCACTGTCCCTGATATGAACTGTATGAGTTATCCCAAGTCCTCGGATTATTTACATTTGTTACCAATAAAATAATATATCTTGAACATGCATATATGACTTTTGGTTTACCATACTCTGGGAATACTGTGCAAAATATTTTCTGGGCAAGCTGTTTTCTTTTGTAATTATAAGTATTCTAGTATTTTAACACAAGAGTACTAGTCTCTTTGACGTGAGAGTGTGACAGCGGCATGAGTGATGCGGTGGTCGTCACAAATCAGGGCACTTTCGGTTTGGTCACTCCAGGTCGGTATAAGCAAAACTGATAAATCAGTTTGTGAATGTATCCTACAGGTTCCTGTCTCCTACAGGTTACGGGAACCTACAGGTTACGGGAACCTACAGGTTACGAGAACCTACAGGTTACGAGAACCTACAGGTTACAATGCCCATGGGCATACCCATGGGTACGTGCACAGGATCAGAGTCGGTCTCAGTCTAATTACCTCGGATTTTTTTGTGGTGACAATCCCAAGTACCACATTCTTTTTCGGCGGGATGAATCTGAATGCATGTAGGTCTCCTGGGCGGTCCTCGTCGTATTCGAGCTGGAGGGAGAGAATCAGAAAATCAAGAGCGACTCCAGATGATCCACATTAAGCACATAAAACGTGTCGACATCAACTTGTTGAAAGAGCTTCTGCGCTATGTGCTCATAGCTGGCCTATTCAATTTCTTCAATCAGAGCAAGCGACAGAGAGATAACCGCGTACTTGGGCGAAACCAACGCCCTGAAAAGAATAATATAAGCCGAGGAAATCCGGTCGAAGCATGATAGATACCCGAAAATTTCCGCGGCAGACGTGCAAATCGATGTTGAGATCTTCGGGGCGATCCTTGGTGCATAGGTTGATTGCTTTGACATAGGTGTCGAAGAGTTCGTCACTATCAACTTGATCCTCGCATAGGGCGGCCCGAACGTCTATAAAAAAAAGTTATTTAATACGCATATCGATTTTCACGAATATCCGCACCCGGTTGGCAGAAGAACGAGAGTGATGGCTCGTCGATTTGGATGTTACCTGGAAAGGCCCGGTGAGTTCAGACTGAACGGGAATTTCTCAATACTCACGACACCCAAGTTCATAAAGCTCTTTTATCTCGGCACGGTACGCAATACCAACGTCCTCAAAGTATTCATCTGAGAAACGTTAGGTGCGCAATCTTGAGAATTCAGGCTTGGCTCACCGTCAGTCCCATACACGGACTTGTCGTAAGTCAACTTTGAGCCGTGAAAGTGGTGGAACCAATTGGGTGGGCACATGTTAATCTTCAAACGACTCACATCCTGTTTTTCAATCACCATGACTGATTATGCAAAAAAGGTAGGGAATACCTCTGGTGGCACAAGTCGTTTGAGAGCATCGAATTCGGCAGCAAAGATGGAGCGACTTCGCTGAATTTTGCTCTGAAAGGCTGGGTTTAGATGGTCCCATCCAGGTATGCAGCGCCGTACCGTACAAATGCAAGATGGAAACTCCGTGAATCCTAGGCTAACTAAGCCGTGGACGTCAGGCCAATACGTCTATCAGGAAACACTATTTCAAGGCATATGTTGATTCGGTGAGCTGACCGACCTTAAACTCGCTCATCGGGCCTATAAGCAGCGTTGAGCATTTTGCGTGTAGTAAGAAATGCGTGTTACTGACGGGAGCGAAGCTCGATACCCTCCAATCGATCAAATACCCCATCGTAGAATATGAAGCTAAGCGTTTTAAGAATACAGAGGGAACCATAGGCAGGACCGTGACTTACCGTCTCATTTCGCCATCGGTAATCGTTGCCAGCCCAAGTTCATGTTGGAGCGCAACGACGTGGGCAATAGCGGCATCTTCCAGAGGTTTGAGGGCTTCATGAGTGCATTTCCCCTGCTCAAAAAGAGTACGCTGTTCGAATAAAGGTTTGGGACGGAGGAGGGATCCAACATGGTCGACGCGGAGGCGGAGAGGGGAGCGCACGGGAGCGGCCATGTGTCGAAACCTGAAGGGAATGGAGTATTTTATATCGGCCAAATGACATGTTGAGGACTGCATGTTGCAACCATGGATAAAACAGGATAGGTTTACCGCAGTGGTCCCGAATCAGAAATGAAATGTCATGGAATGAATGGAAGTCTATATCCAAGCCAGAGCGATATGGGTGGACTAGAGACTCGGAAAGAGAAAGAAGCGGCGCCAGGTCAGGTGGCAGTGATCTTTAGCGCCAGCCGCTAGCGTATCGTCATTGTTTATGCCGTTGTGGGACGGAACAAGGACAAGGGATCTCATCGAGGAGACGTAGTTGGAGTGCGACGGGCAGCACAACTTCGAAGTTCAAGTTGTCCACGTATGTCGAAAGTGCCCAATCCGCAGTGCCAAAGTACGTCGTGCCGCATTCAATGAAAATCGCAAGTGTCTTTTAGCTGCCGTTAGCGATCGTATGCCACTATATAGTTGTAGATGAACAAATGCAAACTGGGGGGGGGTGGTGGCATACCTTGCGAAGCTAAGAGGTGTCAGTCGACCGACATGGTACGGAGGGAGGTAGTGCCAACTGTCCTAGAACACGTAGGCGCAGCATCATGGCCTTCAGATCCACCCTTCCACAAGCGAAGTGTCAGGCGCTCTCCATAACATGGACTCGGAGGGCATCAGGAAATTCCGAGTCAGAAGATCACGGCTCTTGTGGCTTTGAACGAGAACACTTGGATGGGAATAATAACTCGGACATGGATTTGGGCTGGGGTAAACCGGACTTGGGGAGGAGGATGTTTCCGTTCGTCAGAAGGACAAGGAGCTCAAGCTTGTCAATCGACACGAGCGTCACATCGTGACTAGTGGGTAAAATGTCCAAAAAAACAGCAAGGTATACGATTAAAGAAAATGTTAGTTAGTATACACGTAAGTCAGTAAGGTACAAGGAAACGAGTGTCTGCATCATAATTTGAGTCCATGTCCATTGTCCAAGCACTTACTGGGATGCCTTGATCAGATCAGCGGCCTTCTCCGCCACACCATACAGCGTCGAGCTCAAGTGTGCGCTGATTTGGAGCGGCAGCACGGAAGCGTCAACGACCCTGACGTTCGTGGTATCGTAAACCTTGAGCTGGGCGTTGACAACACCACCCAGCGACCGCTTCATCATTGCAGCCGTCCCAATTGGATGGGCAACACTGGCGAATCCGTTCTTTATCCACGACTGCCATGCGGCGTCGGTTCCCCGCTGGGAGTTGTCTGGGACAGCGGAGCCAGGAATGGTTTCGCCTGTGGAAAGCCCAGAGAGTGGTGGCGAAGTAAGAATACGGCGGGAGAGTCGTGCACCCGCAACTTGAACGTCAAGGTCAAATGGAACCGAGAAGTAGTTGCATTTGATTGTAGGGTAAACGAAGGGGTCCGTGGAGGTGATTTTGACGCTTCCACGACTGAAAGGCAGGAGCTGCCACATATCGATACCGAGGTCGTCTGGGTATCCTGTGTCGTAGAAAAGCTCTGCAACTGGCGCGTTGTTGTTGATGATCAAGTCCGCCTGAATACCGAATATTGTTTGCAAGGCGCTGGCGGAGAGTCCACTAGCTGCTTGCGAGTTCGCCCAGTTCGTCAGGTTGCCTCGAATCTGGGATACCTTGTTGTTGGCCTGGTCGCCGAACAGTTGGTAGATATTTGGGTAAGCAATTGCATCGGAGGGCCCACTCCCGCCCCGATCGAACCCATTCCCCCGAGCACCGAGAGAGTTCATTGTTTGTTCTTGCAAGTTCTTGCCGACAGTGGGGAGATTGACGACGGTGGGAATGCCAAGAGGATTAAGGACGGCAGGGTCACCAACTCCAGATAATTGAAGGAGAACAGGACTTTGGATGGCACCAGCTGCGATGATGACCTCGCGCCGCGCAAAAGCGGTATAAGTGGTGGGCTGGTTGACCCAATAGCGATATTCGACACCCGTGGCCGTTACGGGCACGGTTCCGGTTTTCGACCAAAGAATTTTGGTGACAATGTGTTTACCGAGGGTAACCCAATTAGTGCGCTGACTTTGGACGGGAGTGAGGTAAGCTTCTACGGATGAAGAGCGGTGGTCGTCGCGATGCCAATCGATAGACTTGAACTAGGTTAATACAGCGCCGCCATACTCGGGGAGGACGTACAAGGGGAGTAATCGACACACAGTTTGGCGCCCCACCATTGAGATCCTTGGAGAGAGGTAAGCCTGTGAGGCTACCGATGGTGTTGATGAACGCGGATTGTTGCGGGCCACCATACATCAAGTCAGGGTAGGTAACTTGGACGGGACCAGAGGTGCCATGATAGGATCCGACTGACTGAGCTCCCTTTGCCGCCTGCTGAGAGTTGGGAGCGGAAAATGACTCTGCCTGTTTCTATGAGTAATGAAACCAGGTCGCAAATGAAACGACAAACCTTCTTCATGTAGTTGAAGATTCCATTCCAGTTCCACCCAACGCTCTGCTCGCTGTCTTCGAGCAGCTTTGACCATGAATCGTATTGTGCAGCTAAGCCCCTTGTCCAATGCCCGCCGTTGATAGAACTGCTGCCACCAAGAGTCTTCCCACTACAAAAGAGTGAGTAAATTTCAACAGAGAAAAGGGCAGAACGCACCCATGGATAACTTTGCCTTGCTCAGCCGTCCATGCCCAATCCATCGGTCCTCCAAACGCCTGAGCGTACTCATAGATGTCGTAGATCTGACTATTTGATCTGTCGTCTTGCCCAGCTTCAATAAGCAAAACGGTGATTGCTGGATTTTCAGCAAGTCGCGCGGCAACGGTCATGCCTGCCAATCCACCACCAACGACGATATAGTCAAATGTCGCGCCATTGATTCCGTTTGAAGAGTAGGTGACACCCGAGACCCGTTTCTGGAGGTTCGGCGACGCCGACACAGAGGAGGCGAGCGCAAGAAGCGCAAAGGAAAAGAGAGAGGTCATAAAGTAGCGGGTAGGATAACCTAGTTTTAGTTGCTGCATTTTATACGATTGACAGTGCCGTGTTATTTGCATGCATTCCCCGACGTGCCATCAACCGAGTCTGATGGCTACCCAAGGTGGAGACAGTCCCCCGTCGATCATGGACTCCAGGGTGGTCTAGTTGACGCAGAAATAGCACTAGTGGACTTATTCTGAGGGTATGAGGACCGTTCCTTGGCATTTTGGCCGCAGATCGAGAAGGTGGGAAACAAACAGGATTGCTGAGATAAGCTCTCCGTCTTGGCCGAAACCGCTGTTCGTTGTGGAGTGGTGTTGTCGGTATCCTCATTTTCCGACGTTCTCCATGCGTGTCGGTGCCCATTTTCGATAGCCGCGGTAACGCGGCCTGCTCAACCCGCTCGACGGCCAAAGTTACCCGTGGTGTGAGCAGGTGGCGCCGACCTGGCCGGATCGTTGTAACTTGTCCTGCTTCCCCCTCGAGAAGCTATCGGAAAACGGTCAAATATTCAGATTGACGAACGTTATTATGGGTGTTTGTGTTTAACTTCCAATGGCTCTTGCGCTCAACTGAGCTCAAAATGTAATAGCTTGTTGACGAGTGTTACATTGGTAGATATGAGTCCAGATAACTCTCTTGAACGCTGTTGAAATTTGAAGGGAAGAGAAGACACAAAATCAGACAAAAAAGAGACACTAAGGGAACAAGTAATTGTACAAGTATGTTTATTCGGGCAGCAACTTTCCGCTTTACAAAACCCATACACTGTTTTCTGCTGGGTGCTCACGCTGTGAAGATATGGATAAGTTTGGGTTGCCACTAGCAGGGAAAAGCAATGGCTAACGTTTTGTGGTATGTTCATCGCTACCAACGCGTCCAGTACACCCTGATAGCGTTCACATCAGCAAGGTCAATACTAGTTATTTTTGGATGGCACCTTGGCTGTCCATTCTTCCAACACTAAGACTTGCTCAGGCGTGATGAAATCTCTGGAATTGCGTGCTGCAAAGATCATTTGCGCCGACGCCGCACGAATGACCGTGTCGCGACCAGCAAGGGGGGAGGAGACAGACTGGATTGAACCGGTTTTGGTCAGGTCGACACTGACTGGGCTGGTTGCCAACGGAACGCGAGGAGACGTTGTTTGATTCTGTTTGCGAGCTCGTGCGGACCAGCAGGCAGCGAGGTGGAATATCCAGAATGTTTCCATCTGCCATGATTAACGTTCATGGTTCGCTACAATATGTGAGTATACCTCGAAGGTCGCTAAGTCTGGCACAGTCGCTTGCAGACGTTCAATGAGGTTTTCATTTTGATCTGGGAACGAGGTTTGGCGGCCTTGAGAGGAATAGAAACTTGGAAGATCGAGTTCAGCCACAGTATCAGCGCAAGATGAGAATACAGACCTATCAGCGGAGGCATTGGAGCATTCGTTGACTACGACAGTCTTGTCACTGTCCGTCGGCGCAGGCTTCGCGGCGAGCAGCGACTTATAGACCTGTTTAGAATTGAAGGGCCGCACAAGACGGTAGATGATTTGTGGTCATACCTGATTGTAAAGCTCCTCATCCGCCATTGCCTATGGTCAATACCATCACTCCGAGTTGGGAGAAGGTCAAAAAAGGAAATTACTGGCTTGCTGAAACGGTAAGGCTCCTCTGCGCTTCCTTCAGGTTCAAAAAAGTTGAAATCAAGATTCCTTTCAACGGCGATCGATTGTTTCGGGACAACTACAGAGCCCACTGGTACGTCTATGAGGCCGCCGCATGAGCCCAACCTGCAATGGACACATTAAAGACGACGGAAGCGGATTTCATTTTGTGGCCAACCGAATTATGAGCATATCACCACTGAGACTTTCGCGCACTTCGCGAACGAAAAAGTCAACGTTGGGATGGCCCATGCCGATGCTAACCACTGAGATTGGAGTGCCCTGATAGCGGCCAGTAATGGTCAGGAATCCACGCTCCGAAGCGAGCTCGAACGGCTTGGGAGAAGCATCAAAATGTCCAGCAACGGTCCGAGCTCGGGAAGGTGATCCTACAGTGACCTAACTTGTGTTCAGAGAGTTACTTCTCGTTCGAATGGGACGTACGATTCGATTAGCAACTTCACCTGGGCGAAGGCCAAGATGGTAGACACGAAGATCGGCCGTGCGCGGAAAGTCTGTACCGAATCCATCGCGTGAATGGTGGTGATAGTTTGCCGCTTACTGGCGTCTGTCAGTGTTTCTTTCATCGTTTTCTTATGCTTGTGTGTGACAGCGTTACGGTGACGGTGACAGCGTTACGCCACTGTGATTGACAGAAACTGCAGCCTTCCCTTTTCCACCTGCCTCGCGAGCGAGAAGGCACCGACTCTGGAATTGGTTCTGCACGGTGATGAGCCCGATACAGTATGAGCCACAGAGGGAATTTCACTCGGCCGCCGTTCTACTCCGACTTGCTTGAAACTTCCGCCCGACGCCGCGACGCCCCCCGCTGCAAAAGGCCTCTGCGTCCCGATCGTCATTACAGCACCCAAATTCCACCAGTTTTTGTCAAGGACAATGCCCCTACAAACCTCTTGAGTCCAAACAATGCGAACCTCAAGCTTAATATGCATGATCAAGTTATGGGCTGGGCCGATGCACCCTAATAATCGATTCCCGCACCGTGATTTTGCTCCGCTGTTTCCGGAATCCCTCTGTTTGTCCAAGCTTTGTTCAGAAATAGAAGAACTTGGTACAGGCATGTGAGGTGTCGTTGAACAGCCTCGGCCGGCTCGGGATTGTTGGCGCAAGCGATGCCAGAAGTCAGAGTCTCGGATGTAACCATAAAGATGGTTGCGCGCAAGGTCCCGCTCCCCGCTGCCATAACATTGCCGATGTTGTTTCGATCAACGCCCGAACGAATCTCATCCAGAGACTCCTCTCCGACGCAGCAGGAGCACACCACACTGGCATCCATAAACTCTCGGGAAATCTGGGGGTATCAACACAGAACTTGGACAAATCCGGCAGCGTTTCTTCTCCAAGAAACAATTCGCGCGCCGCATCCGCATCAAGAAGTTATCTTGATGCTCGGTCTTTCTCTCAGTAAAACCCCAATCCCGAGCTGTTTTTGGATGCGTTCCTGATGGCAAACTTTCGATTCACCAATCCCATCTATTGCTCACTATCAACCCACTTTCCAGCCGTTGCAGCGTTGCTTGATCGGCCTGCATGATACCAAATGCCGAGTTGCCTCACCAACATTGCGGAAGATGTTCCGCACACAACAGTGCCTCCCGAGCGCTTCTATGAATCTTTTCACCCTAGCAATGACTAATGGGCGGGCCGACTAAGACCACGACCGATTTGGCCCTTCACGTCTTCAAGTTTGACCCCACCAGTTAGTTGTCTATGCGACACTGAGTGGTAGAACTGGCACTGATATTTTCTCCTAGAAACGTCCAAAATATCTGCAAACGTTAAACGCAGAAATTTTGGACTCAAACCTTTGTGGCGTGCCTTCCGAACAAAACAAGTTATTCGTGTTACGTATCAAGCTCTTCTGGCGCCATGTTCGACATTTGATGGCTTGACGGCTTGACGGCCTACCAAGTCTTATCTCTTCCCGCGGACCACCGTCGGAACGACTGGCCTCTAATTCGACGCGATCTTTGCGCTGGCTACGCTTCCCCTGGACGTTGCCGTCGCTACACAGCGCATAACTACATCGCCAAATATAAGCATTTGCAGTGTCCCAGAGTTGCTGAAAGTTAAAGACTTGTGGTTGGCAAGGGGAAACCTTCTATTTTGACTGTGACAGTCCCGCAATGTGCTCCCTGCGTTCCATGCAGTAAGGCTACATTGTGACTCCAGGAAACGTAGCAATCAACCCATCATCATCGCCGCGGACGCTTTTTCGTTTTGTTTCGAACCTTGTTTCGGGAGATCAGCATCGAGGTCATTGAATAGTAGACACTGAGGAATCGACAAAAACACCGATTTAATCATGGTTGGATACCACTCCCTCCCTGCCGTCTTATGAAGCTCTTAAAACTCCCTCGAAACTTGGTCAGAGAATCGAGAATCAAACAGTGACCCGGTGACTGCTGGTATCATAGAGCTTCTTGTGTCCCTTGTCGTCGGACCTGGCCCGCGCAACAACGACACAAACAGGGACAGACAGATGGTGGCACCGTGAAACTTCCCACTCGGGCATCCCCAGTGAGGAGTCGCACTAGTTCCGAGCTCGACTCCCCATGGTCTGTTCCCAGCTAAGCCCTCGAATCCGATCGGCGCTGAATACTGCGCACACTTGGCGCACTCCACCCTACAGTGACTCCGAAACGGAGATAATCACGGCGATAACGCCGGCGGCTGATCCGTGATCGCGTATTGGGAAACTCCGATAGACTTAGCCTGGGTCGAGAGCGCGGTCACGCGTTCAAGTTGGCCACGATCCAATCATCTATGACGCGTCGTTGTAAACAGCATGCCACGCGCTGATTGGAAGGTGATTGACTATAGGCGTATCGAGAACTCATCGCGAGTATTGAATGTTGGAACGAAGGAGGCCAAGCTTCGAGAGTGCATGCGAGGTGTCTGCAGCGCCACAAGTTCCGTCTTGCTTCTTTTTCTTAATTACCTATTGAATCCTTTTTTATTCTGTGATCTGCGAAGCACGCGATTCAAAAGCGGAGTGTAGTGTACAGGGTGAGGAAGCTGTTCTCAAATGGATTAGCAATGGTACAAAAACCTATGGTGACTCGTCGGCTATGAGTTTGTGACCTTCAAGTTTGACTGGAGCACCTCGTTATAATAGCCGATTTGGTCCGAGTGGTCGATCTGGGACAAGATTACGACTTCGAGAAACGCTGTCTGGTTCACATTTTCCCTAGAGTAGTGAGTCAAAGCTTAAATCCACGACACGCGGGTGTTGAACTCTAGTGAGAGCCTGCCGTTGACGAATCAGCACCCTCGATTTTGAAGATTCACCGTCGGGATGAGCCGATAGCCGGGTCGGATAATCCAGCGTCACAGCTGTACCCTCCTTCTAGCGTCTGAGTCTACGGCCGAGTTCACGTGGGTGGTTGCCCGCAGTTCTTGCGCCGCCGCGAATCATCCGCGGTGGAAACGGGTATTTGGCACCAACACTGGGTCCAGAATACTTTAAAAAGGTTTCGCCTCGGGAAGAAAACACGATAGAGCGGCGCAAAAAAGGTTACCCTATGTGCATTCTTCGTCACGATGGTTGCGGCGCAGCAAAGGTTAAAAACACGACACAACTCGGGAGTTTCCGAATAAAGATTTTCTATATTGTTGAATAGCCGGTTCGAATTAGCCATGCGTCTTCAATATGAATGCTTCAACCTTGAAAGCATGAGTTTGGAACTAACTCAACGATTGACCGGGATCGGCGCGTCGGCATTTGATTCATTGACTGAATTCAATTGTTCATGAATGTTGCCAAGTCTGGGATATAATTCAGTTACGGGCTAAAGGCGACTTTGAGTCTTTGACACAAACAAATGAGTTCGTCTTGCGTTGAATAAACACTCAGCCACTGACGTCGAAGGCTCGGATCAAAAGGTGGTTGATCGTTGATGGTTTGATCTGGGCGTTGTTGAGGAAATGATCGTCGTTCGTTGTTGAGTGCGCTGCCGTAGCATGCGCTGATGCCTGCGCCGCCACAAGAGATACTTGACGATGAAGCGTGCTGTGCTTACTTCCCCAAGGACTGCCCCAGGCAAAAGCATTGTACCCTGGTTACATCGCGGTCGTTTGATGTTTGACCCACTGAGCAGCTCAGATGTCCGCTTTCAAACTTTGAGGTGATCTCGGGCTGCGGATAGCTAAGTTCGGGGCAGGACGGTGAATCAACGAGTTCTCGAAATCGGATATGCTTGCGCAATGCCATGACCGACCAACGCCGTGGATAGCCGTGGTGCGCGTCAACAATAGGCCTCAGAGCCAGATATTAGACACATGCTCACGGTGAGAGCGAAACGTCCAAGTTGTGATAGCGTAACTCGAGCCACAGGTACAGTACTGCCAGGATGTCGATGCATAATCACTGGTGAGAGTAGTGCCGCATGTTGCCATCGACGGGTTGCAGGGCTTGACTCGAAGTAAACAGATGGCGGTTGACCATCATGGGCAGAATTGCTCCTCTAAATCGAGTGAAGATACGGGGTATCGGAAGGCGAGGTTGTGATGAGTCGGAAGTATGGAGGGGAGTTGCGTTTAATATCAGCTGTGACGGTCGACACAGGCGGAAGCGGCTAGGAAACTTGTGGACTGATGGAGATAGTTAGACTCGCGCAGAGTGAGACCTCTCATACTTCGGCCGAGAGGCCCAACGAAGACGACGCCAGTGGTCCACACTTCCTAGACGCCGCTGTCAGAGAGAACTTCAAGTTGCAATTGAAAGAAGTGGACGTTCCTTGGACGGAAAGTGGCACTATTGGCGACACTGGCTAGCAAACGCGAAGTTGTTGAGGTTGGGCGAAACGGAGGCAAATAGCAAGATGTGGGGTACTTGACAGTGAACCGAAACCGATTGCTCTGCCTGATGGCAGGCATAAGCACAGCGGAAGCAAAAAGGAGGATGTAAATCGCCAGCGCCAGCAACGCCAATCCTTGTGGGTATTAAGCTCAACTAGTCAGATTAGCCTGAGTTGTTCGCGTCCGTGTCGGGCAGGTGGAAGCGCAGGCCATTTTGAAGAGAAGTTTGAAGCCAAACATGGCGGCAGCGGGGTTGAGGCAGTTGTACTCAGGCTGCGAAAAAGAAGACGAGAGGGGCGCTTGTGTGTGGTCAGCCTCGTTGTTGAGCAGTGCTCGCTCGTCAAGGTCAGTGTGGAACAAACAAACACGTCGAGATCTCGCTGACGATCTGATGATGCGTGAGGGGGTTGCTATGGATGTGCAAATGGGGAAAGATGAGGTCGGGGCTTCGACGGGTTCGATCAAGGGGCCCGATTCGATGACTGGCTGCGTCACACTGGTCACTGGCGTCGCGATCTTTTTCTAATAAGTAAGACCCCGGAATCGGAGAATGAAGGGAAGACATTCAACATCACCGCTCCTCTGGTGGCCGCCCTTTTTGTCTGTTTAACCACGACGCGAACTCGAAACAACCAGCAATGACAACGCTGCATACATACCACACCAACAGCCCGAGCGATGGCGACGACGACTACCCACCGAAGGTAGAGGGGGAAGACGGTCAGTTGGCAACTTCTCCTTGGATGCTCTACTCACACCGTGCAGATGCCGACGCAGCCCTCACATCGCAAACTCTGAATGCTGACGGTACCCCCAAACGCCCAATGAACGCGTTCATGATCTTTGCTCGGCGACGAAGACCACAAGTCTCTGCAGAGAATCAGTCGATGAGGACGGGGGACATCAGCAAGATTCTGTCTCAAGAGTGGAAGAGCATGGCTGCTGTGAGTGTCGCGTCTTGCTTCTTTCGCGTTGGTAATAATAGCTCAATGAATGTAGAGCGAGAAGCAGTTCTATCAAAACCAGGCCAAGCTATTGAAGGAGAACTTCAACTCGAAATATCCTGACTACGTCTACAAGCGTCGACCAAACAACTCGCGCAAGAAACGCAAACCGGAGAACGCTGCCATTGGCGGCGCTCCACGAGATCGTGATACCGACGAGGCTGAGAGCAGCCCTGATGCTGAGGACGCTGTACCCCTTCCTGACCATGGGCGTGGAAGTTACTATGGAAGCGGTGGCTCATCTAGCTATGGAGGATCGGGCTCGAGTTATGGCCATCATCCGTACAATGGCTATTCAGGGAGTGCTCATACCCATCACCACCGTTCAACTTCATATCCCTATCCTCCTCACGACACCTATCGTACAAGCTCCTCGTACAACGAACCCTCTAACCTCCCTCGGCTCCTCAGCTCGCCCTATTACCCTCCTCCCTCCAGCTCACATTCCCACTCTTCCAGCTCATATGACCCCTCCACATCACCGCATCTTGGACTGCGCAAGGCTCAATCAAACCCAGCGATCCCCCCCGGTGGTCCAGCAAGTAGTGGATGGCCCACAACAACGAGTAATACCTCCACCTCTGGCTCGTCATACCCTGCCACGAGCTACAACCCCCCCAATTACTCCCCAGCCCCCCGCTATTCCAGCGTGCCAGACTCACCTGGTACTCGATACTCGCCGTTTGCTGGGGCCAGCAGCAATAGCGCCAGCAGTGGGTCCCCTGCTCCGACTCCTTCCTACAACACAAGCACCACTTCCAACCCCACAAACGGTGGCAGTCCGGGGCATTCTTATGCGAGTCTGAACGGCCATAATCATTCCAATACACCACGCTCGTTAGTGTCGGGGCTTGGCACTAACAGTAGCGGACTTGGCGGGCTCGGAATGGGTGGGGCGGGCGACAGCTATTTCTGGCGGCCGACGACGGGGGCCAGTGTTGATAAGTTGCTGTGACGAGAGCCGCGGATTTCGGCTCTGCCGTTAGAGAGTCGCGTATTTGCACGTTGACTGACCCGCTGTTTGGCGAGTGACCGCCAGCGCCGTCTACCAGTCTCTCGTTTCTCCGGCTTCTTTGCTGTTCCCCGTGCCTTGCATCACCGTGTATTACCCTCGAACCAAAAGGACTCCACACCATCCACGCAATGTATTACCCGACTTTTTCTGAGCTGTGTTGTTATGACTTTTTTTCCTGGCTCTGTTCTGCCTTCGATATTCTATCGTATATCCCCTTGGTCGACGTCGACCCTTCGTTTCTGGTAGCAGTCTCTGTCTTCCTATCTGCCTGTAACATAGATCACCTACTGTACAAGCTCTTGATAAACAAGAAAATCACTCGTCTCACTGGAATCGCGGGCGGTTCGGTCTACTCGGCTTTGCAGCTTGTCAATCGCCCTGAACCTAAACCAAGGACTCGGACTTCGGAAGGTGCTTTGGAAAGGTGCAAGCAGAACTAGGGGCAACGTCGAGGGCAACAAGAAACAGAAATAATGAGACTTTGGAAAGATGTATTCTGTACATATATTATATATGATTCGCCGTGTTCAGGACTTTCGTGAGGACGTTGGGACTTCAATGGTCAGTTTATTGGGACATCTGCTCTCACCTGACGCTGGACGTGCTTGTAAGTATTATTGTGAACACAGTAAACAGCATAGATAAGATAGGGGCGGAACTTAGGACCGTTGGAAGACCGATAGGGTCACGGTGGGCAGAGGTGGAAAAAGGAATTGGTAAGGACGAATAGGGGTGTGGAATTCGAACAAAGAAGAGGGAAACCAGGCAGGGTTGGTTGATGTTTGGTCGAAAAATGACCTCGGTCATTTTTCGAAATGTGCAGGCGTGGGATAATTGGTCAGCAGCCGGCGTCGGCGTCGATATTATTTCCTTTCTGCACGACCGACGCGGAGGCGCTGCGCAAGAGAAAGGCGATCTCAGCGCGAGGTCCCTTGAAGTGATGAGGAGTTATGATGCCTATCAAGCGGGCCGACTCGCTAAAACACACGCGCCACACAGAAATTTCCTTTCCTGGCCTGTGTGGGTTGATAGCCGCCGGGGGCGCCGCCTGTCCGCGTGATTGCTTTTCCAAGATGCGAGCAAATTAGTTCGATTGCCACGAGAGTGATGCACAATTTATTCACGGTGTCTTGCAGACTATATTGAGTCGGTTCGTCATTGGATTTGCGGTCGGGGCTAACGGATGCAGAGTGGGGGACAGACAAAGGGCAGAGGAGAAATGTAATGTGCGGTTCCGGCGTGGGTAGGAGAAGCACAAGGAAGATGGTGGTGTTTAGAGATAGCGCATGTCGCGTCAGATGGGCCGTGGTGACGTAGGGCTCATGTTTTTTGGAGACTCCCAAGGGCATCTGGAGTCTGGGCGTGGAACGACGCTGCGGCTTCGAATCCCGTGGGTGTCACGTAGTTGGCGACTGGAGTCTCCCGCTGGCTCAGAAAGGACGAGTGGGAGTTGCCACGAGCCGAAGGAGTGGGTATGTTTCACCGAGAGATAACAGCGAGCTGCTCAGCTGGCCTGAGTTATCGGCTCCGCCTAGGTGCACGAGAGAACATATTCCCATGTGCATGGTCTGTTGAGCTTGTAGAAAGCAGTAAGAAGAGGAACGTAGAAAGTAGACGTACTAGTTACGCACGTTGTTTGTCTCCCCCGCATAATACAAAGACGAATCACCGTCTTTGAATTGCAGTCTATAATGACTGAATTGGGGCGAATGTATACGCTCGAAGTCTGGATGATAGCGTGGGACTCGGAAGTAACTACGTCTGCACGGAGACAGCGATATTTTCTCCATCAGGCAACTAGGAAGGAGTGTCACGCGGTGACGAGATTAGATTGCCCTTTTTGTTTGAAAAACTCAACTTGCACAAATAGAAAATCAAAATACGCGACTCCTTTCTCCGCCGACGCTACAGCGCCGAATGAGACATTGGCAGATCAGACGCGCACTCCTCCAACCAGGACAGCGGCGAGCAAAGCCCCGTGTTGGCGCTGTCGTCGTCAAGCAGCAGCTGTGTGCAGATCTGATCCAGCGTCCGGAGTGATCGGGTATGTCGGTGATTTGACGAGCGCCGAAAACATGATACCCGATGCCGAGAATTTCCATAAATGATCGCATCAGGTCGGAGTGACCCGTGGCGCAAAAGTTAACTTGGGAAGTATCTTGCAGTGATTTTCCTAGCGCACACCACCCGCCTTTGACCCACTTGCATGTTGTCCTCCCCGTTCCTGGTTGAATGTTGAGAGTGAGATAAGCTGACATGAAATGCCGCTCTGGCGTCCGGATACTGACGGACGTGGGTCGAGCTGTTCGGGGAGTACTTCGGCCATGCCCTGTGGTGAGGCTGGTATCATGTCAGCTGGGGCTCTGCAGCAGCCAACGCGGGTAAGAACACGGACTGTGGCAATATTCGCATGTGGCCGAATGTTTTCTAAGACCGCCGACGCCTAGCCATTATTTGGCGACTCTTGTTGTTACTTGGAGGATGCCATTTCTTGCTTCTATATCTTATCTTCACGGCAGAAGAAGCGCTATTTTCGACAACTAGGCTTGTGCGTGCACATATTACCCCTCGAGATTTGCGTCAGCACCGGAGAAACTGAACGGCGACGATGTTTTACCTTCTGCGGTGCTGCGTTGACGATACGATGCAACGTTCCTACGCGCGGGATTTTACAAGATCATCTCTGATCCACAATTCCAGTCGTCCTTGTTTGTTTGCTACCCGTCAACAACTCTAAGCAGGGCTTGTACATGTTTCATAACCTTGAACTAGAAACCACACCTTTTGTTTACCGAAACCAATAAGTAAGGGCTATGAACGCCGTGCCTCCATCGTTTGCGGCGTATAGCCAGCAAGCAGTTCCTCTTGAACAGCGGAATCATCCGCGGAAATGCATCGAAATCTTCAGTGTCAAGAGCACGGGGAATTTGACGAAACCGATTGAGTGCGATTGCCGGTACAGCTCGCACTCCATGCTGTCGCTCATCCCCATTTCACAACGATAGCCATGGAACTGTGGGTACAGCGACCCGAGCGACATTTGGTTGTTAACCGACCGTTGACGCGGTCAGCAGATTTCGCTGACGCGTAAGTACGAGAGGGAGCACATCACGGAGATCGCGTTCTGGTTGCAGAAAGATGGTGTTTGAACCCCAGAAGAAGAGAGAAGTGTGAAATTGGCGCCTTTTCTCACTGCTCGTGGCGGATTGCTTCCTCGTTTTTTTGGTCGATGTTGGGACAAACTTTGTTTTCGAGCAGCATTTGTCGCAGGCGCGTGTTGTTTTGCCGTTATCGCTCCAAGCGCCTATCCCTTGGGCTCCTCGCGTTGCACGACGATTGTTCATCGTGTCTGCCAGCTGTTTGGATCGATACCCAGAGCCCACGGGAAAGAAAAACGAGGGGGAAAACGGGAAATATTTGGCGATGGACATGCTTGTTGATCATGAACGCGCAGTTGAGGTGGAGCAGCGAATTGACGCGACGCGACGGTCTTGTTCGTGACACTTGCTAATCACTGTCATGAGCAATGGGGCGTAAGTTATGATCCTGTCCGATGGGTTGCGCTGCCAATTGGAGACTCCTTCACGAACCTAAAGGACGGAACAAATAGATGGGCAATCATCGTGATCCGGGTGCTCTGGAGTAATACAACGGGAGTTGAAGATCCAGATGGTGGCCTGGATTTCACGGTAGAACAGAAGACCGATGTTGTCGGTGCGAAGATGTTGGAGAAAACGTCAAATGTGATGGATTGTGGCCATCTGACCGTGTCTCGGGGCGGCGACTGGCCGGTTTTGGAGGCCGCGTCCCGTGAACGACCGCGGATACTGCGCTCAACCCGTGATAGGAATGTGACCACGAGCAGGGAAGCAATCAACAGCGGTGTCTGGGCGGTGTTGACGGTTTGGCGCGGTTAGGCCAAGAGCGGAAGACGGGCCAGCCGAAACGTGGACAGGTGAGAATACGCTGGTCTGCATATGGTAGTGTCAAGAGTTGGAGACAAAAGGTACCGCTCGACCATCTCAGGCGTACAGTTTGTTTACGGTCTGACCAGGCGTGACCAAGTCAGAAAATAGGATGCAGCTTCGCAAGAGTATCTCGACTGAGATTGAGGGTCCGCGTCGAGATGAATTCAAGTCATTGGCAGCTTCAACTAGCATGACAGAAGAATCAGAATGACTGCAGATCGCTCGTGTGGGCATAGATCACTCAGAATCGGAGCCGCCAGGAACGCTGGAGATTGTGCGGAGGGACAGTGTCAGGCAAAACAGACAATTCCCGCCTCGTTCGTTTCAGGACCAAGCGGCGGAGGAAGAGGGAAGCGCCGGAGAGGTCGTCAGATTTGTGGAAGTCGGCCCTCAGATGCAGTCAAGCAGAGGTGTAATCGGAAGACCATCGCCTGTTGGTTTGAAGTCCGTAGTGCTTGGATGATTTCTGATCATGTTCAACATTTTTCAGCCGTATTCCTATGATTCAAATTAGTTGACTGAACCAGTTGAATGTTTGCACGACTCACCGTTCGACAAGTACTGGACTCCAAATATATAGCAATGTTGTGCACCGCATAGGTATCCTGAACCGTCAAGCAACACCGACGCTGAAGAGTTGAATTCGAGTGGAGCGTTGGATTCGTCTGTGAAGGCCACCAGTGGGGATGAAGACTGGATAAAGCTAATATACGGTTGGGCGGAAGACCGCCACACACCCAGGGGAGTCCACAGTCTGCGGTCGTTGCCTCAGCGGCACCTAGTCGAGTTTGTGGGACAGCAAGGCCGGGTGAAGGATGACAAATTGATCAATTGTTCGCATCTGATTAAATCACCGGTTGCTTGAGTATCCGGACCGGCACGGTCACGCCTCGGTCATCAAATTTTTGGCTTGTCATCGGCCAGCTCATTTTCGGTCGCCCCCGCATTACCGGCGCCCTCAAAACCACTACTCGGGCGTAAAGGACTACAACGTACGACCCCCGCGAGTCAAATCTGCACCATGGCAACTCTCTCAGCGTTTGTCGCGCCATTCCATGAGTCAACCGCGACATTCAAGGACGATATCTTCAAGGGCAAGGTTCTCTTCTGCACGGGTGGAGGCTCGGGCATATGTAGAGGGATGACTGAAGCCATTGTGCGTCTCCCTTCATTGTTTTTAGAGGCGAAATGCTCATCACAAGGCTTTATAGATGAAGCACGGTGCCAAGGCTACCATTGTTGGTCGTAACCTCGAGCGACTAAACAAGGCCGCCGAGGAGCTCTCTGCCTCTACCGGGCAAAAGTGCTTACCTGCGCAAGCCGACGTTCGCCAACCAAAAACCCTGCAAGACGCTGTACAGAAGACGATTGAGGCGTTTGGAAGGATTGACTTTGTGATTTGTGGTGCTGCAGGCAACTTCCTGGCGCCAATTTCTGGCTTGTCGGAGAATGCGTTCAGGACAGTAATCGAAATCGACACACTGGGAACTTACAACACACTCAAAGCCACTATCCCACATGTGAGGAAGACGAAAGGCGCGTATATCCATATCAGCGCTACGCTGCACTACCGAGGTGCGTATCATATGAGGTTTGCTACTCGGTTTATTGACGCTCTTGTGAAGGAACCCCATTCCAAGCTCACGTTTCTGCTGCCAAAGCCGCTGTAGACGCTCTTTCCACGGTTATAGCGGTCGAAGAAGGTCCCCATGGAGTCCGTTCCAATGTGCTCGCGCCGGGCGCTATTTCTGGCACTGAAGGAATGGATCGGCTGAGCGCCAAGGGGCCTGATGCAGGCAACAGAGACATGTTGTACCCACTGGGCCGACCGGGAATTATCGGCGATGTCGCAAATGCTGGCGTGTTCTTATTCAGCCCAGCGGCTACCTATATCAGTGGTCAGGTGTTTGCGGTCGACGGGGCGCAAGAGCATCTGCGCAGTTTGGTTATCCCCTACCCTCTCTCGGTGCTGGAGCCGAAGAAGATTCAGGACATGATCAAGGGTAAATTGTAGTTATGATACTCTTTCCTTCTGTCGTATTTTTTGCTTGGCAACATGAACGCTTGTTAGAGACAACACTCATGCAAACTCTTTCGGTCAGCTTTATTCCAATATGGTGCGAAGGGACGGGATCATTGAAAAGCACTATGACCTTGAACTTGGCGATGTAGAAAAGTCAACAGATCCAGAATCTAGCCTTCGCTACATACGATGGTGTACCTCTGAATAGGATAGAGCGACTGATTGTTACAAAACTACTTCTTCCAAGTATAGTAGTGGTCCACGTCCATTGTTTGGTGTCACAATTCCAATCTGTTCTCAGCATCTATAGCCTCTCGTCTTCTTCTTTGACCCTGTGTCAGATTAGATTCCTTGCCTCGACTTGGCGCTGCCGGTGAAAGATAATAAGACAACAATCGAGTGAGTCGATTTACAGGTATCGCCGAAGGAGGGACATCATAGAGGTCGTCATTGGGAGATGAAGGAGGGAGTGGTAATGGACGGGAGGTCGGATGTTTGTGTCGTTTAATGGATGGTTTCACTGTGGGCTTGCGGGAAAAGTAATATGATATGTAACGAGAGAGGTGAGTTTCGTTTAATGGTTCATCTTCGTCATAGGACCCATGAACGACAGCGACTGATGGTACAGCTTGAATGTCGATCTTGCCTGTCTTTGGCTGTCGAAGAGCAGCGACTGCACGTATAGGAGCTTCTGGCACGAGAGGACCATCTCGCACGAGCGAAGGAAGATCAATCAGCTGGGTGGCTGGACGAGGCGGTCGCTGGGGAGAGTATGTTTGAGGACCAGGATTGGATCCAACTGGATGCTCATTAGATGGACCGTGGCCATTACTAGGTATAAGTGGAACCGCAGCAGAATCGTCGGATTGCCAGCGACGATTCTTTCTGCGAGGCGACTTCTGGTTGCCCTCAGAGTCCCATAACACGAATTCAGCGTCCTCATCTTCCGGCGGTGGCCCGCGATCAAAGAACGTAGACTTTCGCCGCAAAAGAGAGGTTCTTGTTGAGCCTGTTTCGCTCTCTTCTTCTTTCGCAGCAAGACTGCGTCGTTTGTGCCACCGCCAGACATAGAATACTCCGATACATGCAAAACCGACAGCCATGACTATCGCTGCAGCGATGACGCCGGTGACTATTTGGAACTTGAAGCGGGAGTCCATTGGTGGCTCGTTGGATTGTCGTGGAAGGATGGGCATGGTATTGGGGGTAGAATAATCGTGGAACTACCCAATATATGGTAAGTAAGTCGGTACGGGCAGTGCCTAGTTTGTGTGGAGGCAGTAGAATGCCGTCCTGTCCCCTTGTCTGGGCCGAACCAGCCGAGTATCCCGCGTCAGCGGAACTGCAAAAAGGCGAGGTAAAAAGCAACAACTAAGTGAAGGGCAGCTTCCTGTCGAGGCGTGGCCTGAGGATGGTGGGTGAGAAAAGTCGCATTGCACCGAGCGATAGAGGAACTTGAAGCCTGAGATGTTTGCCAGAGGCGGTGTCAATCCCTGCTCGGCGTTTGACATGGCGTTGAGTGTGGTTTCAAGCTAACATTGAGCGCAATTTGGAAATAGTAAACACCGCCTGTATGTGTTGAGCCTGCTGGAAGTAAGTCATTGTCGTGACAATACTCTGGGTAAGAAAAAAAAAACGCTTGCCTGAGGACTAGATGAAGGTTGTCGCATCTGCTTTGCCCATGGATATGCATGATTATCAGTTGCGTCAGCCGCCGTCCCACTGTTTATGGGTCACGACTGCGTTGCAGCCAAGTTGAAGCTTCAAACGTTGTTCACTTCCAGGATGATTGCCTAAGCATGACAAACACTGATAGCGGCAATGGGTGTTTTCAGCTGCTCGAAGGATGCAAAACAAACTTGAGAATGAGTTTGGTCGTGTAGATCAAGCCGCAATGCACAACCTTCTGGTCAGTGTGGTCGCGCATTGGACTGGTATTTGATAAGGAAGAGTTTTGCGATTTGTTGATGCTGCAATGACGTCAGTTCAGTTTTTAACGCGTCCATAACGCGTGACGCGTCTCGCTCTCCTCCTTCTCGAGTCCATGGCCTCCGACAGCGTGAAGAAGGTTCAAGGGAAGCTTTTTGGGCGCAGCAGTCAACCTGACGCTCCTGCACCACTTGAGTCTGTTCCGACGCCGCCTCTTACAATCGACATCCCAAAACCATTATCGTCGAGCCAGCCCACGCTGCCACCAAAGCCAACGAAAACATCGACTCAAAGCCAGTATCCAGAAGAAGACAAGAAGACTTGGCGTGAGCGACTCGCTGCCAAGCTTGGTGCCGATTACAAAGGTGCTGAGCGGTATCGCCTGCTTCAGGACGAAAACAGCGAAAGACACTGGAAACGTTGGGGGCCATATGTCAGCGACAGACAATGGGTATGCTGGATTGATAATACTTATGTCTCCTCATAATAACGCGCTTTTCTTCTAGGCAACTGTCCGCGAGGATTACTCAGATAATGGCGATGCTTGGAACCACTTCCCTCACGAACATGCTCGCTCTCGAGCATATCGCTGGGGAGAGGACGGCCTTGCTGGTGTCTCCGACAACCATCAGCGTTTGTGTCTTTCCGTCTCATTGTGGAACGAACAGGACCCCATTCTCAAGGAGCGTCTGTTTGGCGTCACCGGCCACCAAGGAAACCATGGCGAGGACGTGAAGGAGCTGTACTATTATCTTGACTCAACGCCGACCCACTCGTACATGAAATTCCTCTACAAGTACCCGCAAAAGGCATTTCCTTACGAACAACTCGTTTCCGAGAACCAGAATCGAAATCGGGAGGTTACAGAGTACGAAATTCTCGACACTGATGTCTTCGATGAAGACAGATATTGGGACGTGTTCGTAGAGGTGCGAGCATAAATGTTTATCCCGTTCATTCTGAATCAACTTGTGGTAGTATGCGAAAGACGAGGATGAACCAGATAACCTGTACCTCCGTATCACGGCGTATAATCGAGGCCCTGATCCCGCCTCTCTCCATATAATACCCCAACTCTGGTTTCCAAATACCTGGTCCTGGCCAACCGAGAAGCCCCCCATGCCTTCCTTGACTGGCTCGATTCGTAGCGATGTCCCTTGCATCACTGCAAAGCACCCTTCACTGGGTAAAACGCACTTATTCTGCCTCTCATCTCCTCCCCCTGTTGATGGAGACGGCCAGTTCGTTGAAGGAACGGAGGCCGAGAATGTCGAACCTGACCTTTTGTTTACCGAAAACGACACGAACTACAGTCGACTCTACGGTGGTACGAACGATTCACCATACGTGAAAGACGCATTCCACGATCATATCATCCCACAACATCGTCCCCTTGCAGTTGAAGAGCAAGAAAAGCCTTTCGCACATAAAATTCGTTCACGAACCGCGTCGACGTTTGACCATGAATCGGTGAGCTCGGCAGAAGAGGGGCCTGTAACACCGTTTCCGCCAACCGCAGACTTCGTGAATCCCGAGCAAACTGGCACAAAATCTGCTGCCCACTACCACTTTCATAATGTGCCTGGCCATGGTGGATGCGCTGTTGTCCGTGTCAAGTTGACGCCGTCCAATCCCAAGAAGGACCCTTCGCTGGTAGACGAAATGTTTTTCGATGATGCGGTTGAGTCGCGGCGACAAGAAGCTGACGAGTTCTATGGCTCCTTGGTACTTGGTCCTGTCAGTGAGGACTTGAAGCAGATTACCCGTCAAGCGCTGGCTGGTATGATGTGGTCCAAGCAATACTACCAATTCATACAAAAGGAGTGGATCAGTGGTGATCCTGCACAACCTCCGCCGCCGCCTCAGCGCAAGTATATTAGAAACCGCGCACGTGACCTGCTCATCATTTGGTCATCCACTAACACGATCTTAGGACTGGCGCCACATGCATGTCGCCGATGTGCTGTCGATGCCTGATAAATGGGAGTATCCTTTCTTTGCAGCGTGGGACACGGCTTTCCACTGCATCCCCCTAGCCCTTGTCGACCCCGCCTTCGCAAAAAAACAGCTGGAGCTACTCACGCGTGAATGGTATATGAAGCCGGATGGACAGATTCCTGCATATGAATGGAATTTTGGAGATGTTAATCCGCCTGTCCATGCTTGGTTAGTTCTATATTGTCTGAGGGTATCTACTCAAAACCAATCTCAAGGTCCACATTCCGAGTCTTCAAGATCGAGCGCAAGATGACTGGAAAAGAGGATCTAGCATTCTTGGAACGCGTTTTCCAAAAGCTCCTGCTGAACTTTACATGGTAAAATATCTTTTACGTGTTCAGCCTTCGTTGACAACTTGATAGGTGGGTCAATCGCAAGGACAAGGAGGGTAGCGGCGTCTTCGAGGGTGGCTTCTTGGGGCTTGATAACATCGGTGTCTTCAACCGAAGCGAACCTTTGCCCACCGGAGGCGATCTTCGCCAAGCAGATGGCACTGCATGGATGGCATTCTATTGCCTCAATATGTTGGTCCCGTTCTCTGCCTTGGGTGAAACTGAGCATGATTTATAGGCTGAATATGGCCTTGGAATTGGCCAAACACAACCCCGTCTACGAAGATATCGCCTCCAAGTTCTTTGAGGTTTGTTAATGCGACCTATTTTGCAGTGTTCTTAATATTTTGCAGCACTTCATATATATCGCGGACGCTATGACCTATAGAGTGGGGGACGAAAACGTGTCTCTTTGGAACGAGGAGGATGGCTTCTACTACGATGCTATCCACTTTGGACCTGGAAATTCCATGCAACTCCCAGTCCGCAGCTTGGTTGGTTTGATTCCTTTATACGCAACGTTAGTACTGGAACCCTCGACGCTAAACCGGTTCCCCGGATTCAAAAAGCGGCTGGAATGGTTCATCGATAATCGCCCTCACCTGTCGGCTCGGAATATGGCAAACATGAAAGGTTGTTTTTCTTGACTGTCAACGGTCAATCTCAACAAATTCGTAGCGCGTGGAAAGGAGCAACGTCTATTGATGGCCTTGGCCAGCAAGGAGCGCTTAGTCAAGATTCTGGAGAGGATGCTTGATGAGTCCGAGTTCTTCAGCGAGTATGGGATCAGATCGTCAGTTGCTTCTATTCTCTTGCTACAATACCTGTTCAATACGTTTGAAGATTATCAAAGTATCACAAGGATCACCCTTGGGGTATGGATGTCAATGGCCAACGCTACGAGGTCAATTACTGGCCAGGCGATTCGAAATCTGGCATGTTTGGCGGAAACAGTAACTGGCGTGGTCCGACGTGAGTGTGTCTCCTCATGATATTGCCAAGTTTGACAAGCAACGATTAGCTGGCTCGCAACAACCTTCCTGCTCATTGAGAGTCTGCAGCGCTTCTACCAGTATTATGGTGATGACCTCCAGGTGGAATGTCCCACTGGAAGCGGCGACTACATGAATCTCGTATCGGTAGCAGAGGAGATTCAGCATCGCATTATCCACATCTTTGGCCGTGACGCGGACGGCCGTAGGGCAACCAATGGCGGCAACCCCAAGTTGGATCACGACCCACATTTCAGAGATTATGTATGGTTCTACGAGGTGAGTCAACCAGTATTTCTTTTCTCTTTCTATGCTCATTCTCTGGCTAGTTCTTCCATGCAGACGATGGCCGTGGATTGGGTGCTTCTCATCAAACGGGTTGGACGGGTTTGGTTGCCTATCACATTCTGCAGAGTGGTATGAGCTGCCGTCTGCCGAAAACCCCACGCAGTGAGTTTGCTTTTCTTTATGGCTGGTCGGTATTGACTGAGACTATAGCACCACGTGCAATTGTTCGGCATTACTTTGATGAGACCATCGACTCACGTTCCGAGTTTGGGGACGACAATAAATCGCAGTCTGCGTTTAGCATGTTTGATTTGAATACGCTGGGTGATTTGTCCCCAGATGCATTGTAGGTTTCATAGAATCGGACTGCATAGAGTACTGTTAGTTATTCATAGAGCAATTTTGTAGAATTCACGCACGCATACAAACACGCATGTACTTGTTGACTTCGAACAGCTTTGAACAGCGTGACCAACTGATCGGACTTGCACTCATCCTCCAAAAAAAAGTCAGAACGAGCACTGCTTGTTCTCGTTGTACGGTCCGAGATCTGGTGGTCTCTTCGTGCGTGTTTATTCAAGGTTGATGTAGTCTTCTCAGCCATTGTTTTCCAGACCTGGCCCAATACCTGAAAAAAAACCTCTCCCAAAAACGCTCCAACCCTCATATGCAAAGCCCATTTGCACCCATTCATGATCCAGACGTTACATATCCAGTTGGTTCTGTCGACAGCCGGCAACTGGGAGTGGGAACGCTATCAGTGGCTCAATTCTTCACCGTCCGGTCTTGTCATCTTTCGACGGGCCTCCTATACCTCCCACAAGGCTGCAGTAGTTGTCCACTGTGACAGTGGGATGGAAGACCATTTTACTGTCAGTGGAACAGCGTCATTGATAGTTGGGGGCCCCATCGTATGGTTCTGAATAGTCTACTTTGGTGATCTACCGTTTCAACCGCTCGTCTCGTCTGTCTCAAGCCTTCTCTCACGACTCTGCAACTCGCTCTTGTGAATGCTGCGGCGTTCATTGCATATGCCGACAAGTTTTCTCACGACTATTTTCTGAGGTCGCCCTCTCACACTGGCAGCAAGCCATATAATCGTCGTCGATCGAGTGCTGCATTCTTCATCCTATGCCGACATAAGTTCACTCGGTGCCGCTGGTGGTTGCACTAGTGTCAATATGCATCGATTATAAATTCAACCCCAAGAACGTTTCTTTTGCGATATGGCTGCCCCTGCAAATACCCCCCCTCCGTTCCGTGTCGATCACGTTGGCTCCTTCATCCGACCCAAGGCCCTCTTCGACCAGCGCACCCTCTTCGAGCAGAACGAATGTACCCAGGAAGATTTGAAGCCTTTTGAAGACGCTGCGATTGCACACGTTGTCCAAGTTCAGCGTGAGCTTGGCCTTGCAACGATCACTGACGGTGAACTTCGGAGGTGGTCTTGACTTACGTTTCTCGGTTTGTGATTCTCATTGGCCTGTTCAGACACATATTCTACGAGGGAATATTCAATCAGCTAGGAGGAATCAAGGTCCTCTCACGTTGGTAGTCCTCGTGTCACTTATTGTGCCAGACGTACTCATTTTTTTGTATGAAGGGCCAATGGCGGAGTTCAAAGCGAGACTCAAGCGCGAATTTGTTACTATTGCTGACCGCACATCCAGAACTACTGGCCACATATCCGAAGCTTTGGGGACATGGGATTTGAGGAGTTCCCCTCTTGCTTTTGCATGGTAAAAACCCTGTCCAACGCAATAATCATGTTATCTGATTACTCTTTCCAGGACAAAATAGAGCGAATCCGACCTATTTTTACAGAGGATTTCGCGGCTTTGAAGCAACTCGTCCGTCCCGAGGTTATTGAGCTTCTTACCATCTCGTTTCCTTCATTTGATCGGATGATCAGGACGTCAACCGTCTCAAAGTTAACTTCTGTCCTCCGAATTGGTTTCACCACTTCCATGGCCCAGACTTGACCTATGATAAATCGGTCTACGCTAACGATAGTGAGCTACAATCGCGTTTTCCTCCTAGACGCTTAGGCCGCCTTTTGCAGTTGAGTACTTCAAAGACGTCGGGGCCGCATACCGCGCCGAGATCAAGGAGCTTTATGAACTCGGGTGCCGTGCGCTTCATTATATCTAGGGGCCTAGCAAATTCTCATTCGAAATTCTCTGCAGGCAACATCCAAATTGATGAACCCACTTTTCCTTTCTTCTGTGTAGATGGTATGAACGCCACCTTTGAGTCGATACCCACATGACGTTTAGCTAGAAATTCTCGACGACATGCGCAAACAAGGTGTAGACGGGGAAAGGCTCATGGACTCGTACATTTTTGCGATCAACTTATGCACACAAGACCGCCCCAAGGATTTGAATATAGCGTTGCATGTCTGTCGCGGAAACTTTCGAGTAAGCGATTGTGTCTCGTGTCAAGATAACCCTAAATGGTCTATAGGGCGTTGGCTTTGCTCATGTACTGGATGACCCACAACTTTTGTTTCATCGCTGAAGGTTTCCAGACAAGCTATGAGCGCATTGCTCAAAAGCTCTTTCAAATGGTGGACGTTTCTACGTATATGATTGTCAGCTCCCTTCCCGCTTACCGACCTTGCCTTTCTAGTTGGAATTTGACGACGAACGTTCCGGAGATTTTACCCCCTTGCGATTTATTCCGCCCAACAAACGTGTCGTCCTTGGGATTGTGACAACCAAGAGTCCCAAAGTGTGTTCGATGATAGTATTCCCTTGTTGATGACCAAAGTCGTATCGACAGCTTGAAGACCCCAAAATCCTGAAGCAGCGAGTTCACGAAGCCTCTGAGGTCTTGGCGGCAGGCATTCCTCCACGATCGAAAGAGTGGGCACTTAATCAGTCAGTTCTGTATTCATTTCTTTTTCTGAACGGCACGACTGACCTGGTTTGCATCAAGAATTTTAATCAGGTATTTCGACAACTTGATTTCGGGGATCGTCACTAATTTTTCCTAGCCCACAATGCGGATTTGCCTCCGTTTGGCATGGTAATCCTGTCACTGAGGACGTGAGTTGACCTTGGTCCGATGCCGCTCAATCCTCAACTTCCATACAGGACATCAGGGCCAAAATACGACTTCTGCATCAGGTGGCTGATGAGGTTTGGGGTCGTTGACATGCTTTGAGACAAGGATCTCTTACCGGTAAATGGTCAAAATGAACCTGGACTATCATGATGTTGGATTGTCCCAAGTGTTGCTCAGGGAAATTGACTGGACTGTTTCCATGTCCCTTGATTCAATTTAATCGATTCGACCGAGACATTGACAAGCTTCTTTCTTCGCTGGCCTGCATCCCGCTCCAATCCGATCCAAATGGTCATGTGCAGTCGGCAATCTCAGCCCGAACCCCGTTTAAACTGCATATAATCATGATAATTCGCGGGATTCTTCGTACTCTGGATCACTCCGGGCAACATTCGCGGCGACTGGAACCCGCATGAGCTGCAGCTTTGATGCTAAACATAGCTCGGGTGATGGCCGCCGCCTAGCCACTTGGGATATAAAAGCCAACGTGAAAATAAGAAAGACATAGTTGTACCCCAGCTTTCTGAAATGCGCTCGATCTCTGTTGCTTTGTTGGCGGCTGCAGTGTTTGTCTCTCAAGCCCTTGGGCTCGGTCTTTCGACTATGTCGGTGGCGACGCGAACAGACGGAACTGGTCAGTAATCGTGAATCTTATTTGCGATGGCTCATTTCCTATATCAGTTTGCGATGGTCAAGTCAACCTTGACAAGACCGTTATTGGAAAGGACAACAATGTTCAGGTTCAGTTCGCTACCTGTCCACAGGATTCATTTGTCAAGACGGCCCTCGAGTCGCGTCAAACAGCCCCGCCCCCGGTGAACGTCTGCGGAAATACCTGTGGGTATCGTGATATTGGCATTTGAGGACGAGGTTTATCTTATTTCCAAGGCAACACATTCTGCTTCACTCCCTCGGGAGGCGGACCGGATCCCAACGACTGCAACGTCATCGCGGACGCGCTGTTGTACAACAGCCAGAACATCGGTGAGGCTCTCGGCGGATTTTGTTGTTCTCCCGTTCTCACCATGCTTCAGGACCTTTGTTCACGGTTCCGTCTGTGGGTGGCCAGCCTCGTGATGTGCTCTCTTTTGCTCACGGTGAACACAGGGAACTAACAACACTGTCGTCATGCAATACGCCACGTGCCTCACATTCTTCGTGAATCAAGAGAGTGTGCCGATCGAATACTGCCGCAGTGATTGGGTAAGATACCTTCAGTTTGTGCTGCATCGCCGTATTAACTGAAGTCCACGAAGGCATCCCTCGTCAAATTCATTGCACCGAACTGCCAGGCAACCCAGAACGCGCACGGCGGGCTCTGCCTCGCCTCAAACCAGCAATGGTTTGCTCAGTAAGTGATTTATTTCCAGAGAGATACCTGCTTACAGAATTATACCAGGGTCAACCACTCTTAGCTCCCAAGCCATTGTGTTGGTGTGCATAATTAGATATGTAGTTTGGCGTCGGACTTTATATCAAACAATTTTGTTCACGTGACCGCGCTGCGACGTAAGCAACGAGAATTCAGCTCATTCGCAATGCTGTGCGCTGTATCGTGCCTAGCCACGCCGCCACAGCGCTAATCTCAGGCCTTCACCGAAGAAGGTAGCATCTTGCACAATTTGAGACCAAGCCTGACTCCGCTGTAACGCTTCAAAAGGGTGTCGTCACGATGCTCACATTTCACATGAGCGCGTCTTCCGTGACCACGACAATGCTGCGACGAAGGAAAGAGTCGATTGCCCGAGAGTCTGACTTGGTGGATGTCCAACTCCGACTCCTTCGTTCCCAAGAGGCAGACTACCAAATTCTTCTTGACGACATTTTCGCCCGCAAGCATGCGGTTTCCACTCAGCGCAAGGAACTGGAAGCTCGCCGCCGAGAGCTTGACCGACAACGTCATCCCATCCACTGGCTACCCCCAGAACTTCTCATTCACATCTTCCTCGCCGTGGTACACGATGATTCACCTACGGTGGCGCCCTTTCATCGTGCACCTGTTGTTCTTTCCCATGTTTGTTCTCGGTGGCGGTCGTTGACATTGGGGGTTTCTCGGCTTTGGTCAAGGATTCTACTTCAGAGCGAGGCGGGGAGCGGGGCAGCCACGGTGGAGTTTCTCAGGCGGTCGCTCGCAGCGCCGCTTGACATTACCTTCGCTTTGCCGGGCCCGTTGGTCAACGATGACATGGAGTTCCAACGCGCCGAACAGCTATTTGGCTATCTGGACCCCCATTTCTCCCGAATACGAAGTCTTTCCGTCCAAACCAGAGCAATGGTCATGTCGAAGCTGGTCCTCAGTCTGCGATTGAAAGACTTGAGCAACCTGCAAAGCCTCGATTTGACTGCGTTGACCCTGGCGCAACTCCCCAACTTATCAACACCGTATACTGTATTGAACCCCAGCCAACCGGAGACTTCAGCATCCAAACCTCCCCTGCGCCACCTCCGTTTGGATCGTTTACCATTGTATAACATTCCCACCCCCTTCCTCGTCAATCTGGTCACTTTAGAGCTCAACTTTCCTCCAAAGAAACTCACAGCGGAGCAACCCAGCTCATATATGCTGCGACTGTCACACCTTCTTCGCTTTCTGCGCGAAACTCCCAAACTTGAGGAGCTGGTGTTGACAAACACAGTACCATATGTTGACGTTGCTCGGAACGATGAAGAGCATGCCCCGCTTCTCCCAATACTCCCACGGGTGAACTCTATAGAGCTTGTCCACCTCCGATCCATCGACTGGGCCTATCCCTTTGCCTCTGACGTACATTACTTCCTCTCGTTCTTGGTGCTACCCGTGCTCGAAAGCATCGATATTGGCGTTCAAGAATTTACCAGCTATAGACCTCATGTTCACTTATTCCGTGGTTATACTGAATCCGGCGCCTCGCAGCTTTGGAATCGGATTCATCAACTGCCTGCCCTTCGGTCAGTCAGCATCCAATGCGTCAACACTGATGGTCTGAGCACGGTTCTCCGCAAATTCACCATGCCTAACCTCACGTCGCTCGATCTTGCCTTTGATCCAGATGCACCCCTCGTCGCTTTACCGCGACTAGAAGCCTTGTTACGCGAACCTCGGCTGCCGTTTTTGACGACGTTGTCGATTTCCCACTTTATTGTACCGCAAGAGAACGTGTCGATGTTGGGCTATATACCAGCACTCCAGAGTCTCAGCATGGTGGCTTGCATCGGCGCGCCGCTTATACTGCGTGGGCTTGTTGTTGGTCGGGCCTGTCCACAACTGACGGAGCTAAGATTGGAGCTTTGCGACGATGTCCAGCCGAAAGAGGTTATGGACCTCGTGCTGGCTCACAACGCTGGACTCAATGCGGCCCCTGGGAGACGTGCTGGTCCCTTCATATCAAGCAAGAGACCGATGAAGAAGCTGCCTCGCTCAGCCCACCTTGAGAGCAGCGCGGTCGAGGGCGAAGATGTGACCAGTAGGATGCTTTCACTGACACTGCAGCAACGGACCAGTGGTCTAAGCCGGATCCGCAGTGTTTGTGTCGACAATTGCGCGAAGATCGAGGAGACTGTGGTGGGCAAACTGCAACAGTTGGGGGTGGAACGAGTGGTGTGGGTTGGGTAGGAGTAAGATATCCGAGTGGACTCGAAGTTACAGCTGTTTTCAAAATAGTTGGCCACGGCCCGATTTTTCGTCACACATCAAAATTTGCACAAAATTGGTGGTCCGAGATTGTGGAGGCTTGTTCTCACTCAAAACCATGTATTCCTCTGTAAATTTTAGCATATTCCGAATCTACTCGACGAGCCGGACCCAACGGTGTGGCCTACTGGCCACCTACATGAGCATTCTGTCTCGCAATTGAGGAGGTTTGATGGATATCAATGCTTGGACCAAATACTTGTATTCTCCAAAAGCAGGGTGGCTGGCAGCCCAAACGACAAACCAGGAGATTTTAGGGTGTGAATTGAGAGCTCCGAGAATGTTGGCGGCCATAGACAGGTGAGAAAGGTGCCGAAATGGATCAAGGTCAAGAGGAGGGACAGCAGAGCTGTTCGCGGAGACTAGATAAGGCCAGCCTACGGTTCACAATCATTTGCAGAAGCTTCAGACTCACTAATAAACCATATATCTGTCTTTTCTAAGTCAAAAGCTATTGTGTTATAGAGGAATGGAAAAAACCACGCTGAAAATCAGGTGAGGCAAGAGATCAGTCATATCTGGGTATCTCCTCATGTAGGCCACACCGTTGGGTCCAGTTCGTCAAGTAGATTCCAAATATGCTAAAATTTATAGAGGAATACATGGTTTTGAGTGAGAACAAGCCTCCACAATCTCGGACCACCAATTTTGTGCAAATTTTGATGTGTGACGAAAAATCGGGCCGTGGCCAACTATTTTGAAAACAGCTGTAATGAGGATAGATATATCCGTTGTAATGAGAGGGGATAAGGCCGCATGCGGCAGATGCCGAACCTTACCAGATGATCCAGCCATCATGTGATGCAGCCAAAAAAGGGAATAATTCTGCACTGCCACTCCGAATGTGGTAGTGCTGATGGCAACCTTGTTATATAGAGCCAAACCTTAGGTTCGGCAATAATTTTTGTCCTGTTTTTAGTACTGGTATCGGAGGCCATTTAAATTCAATGTTGGGTCCAGTGGCAGTAGTTTTACTGAGGGAAGGCAGCTTTGTCTCTTCTACAGACCCAATATCGTGGCGGTCGTAAACTGAAAATAGGAAACCTAGCTCTGATCAGATTTCTCTCTCTTCTTGCCATGATCACTCCCAAATTCTCGTGTAGTCAGACGGCGGACGCAGTCATCATACGGATGTATTGCCCTTCTGTTCGCGTGCGTTAACGTTGTCTTTCTTTCTATACTTCGACCTCAACGATTCAGGCAGCCGATGTCGAGATCCACGTCGAAGACACACTTTTCAGTGTGCATATCAACCCTTACTTTCTGCGACTAAACTTTTCCCATCCGGTGGTGGAGGACGACGATCAGGCTAACGCGACATACGATGCCGGCGAAGGATGGCTTACGGTGACCCTTGTGAAGCAAGAGAAAGGCCAGGAGTTCGCAGATCTGGATTTGTTGGGGAAGCTATTGGCGCCGAAGCCGTCTGCGCCAAGACAGCCAGAGATCGAGGTCATTGGGAGCGAGGAGGACGAGCTTGTTGCTCAAACAGAGGGACTGTCGCTGTCCTCTGAGCAGCAAGAAATTCTACTCGGTAACTCATGTCCAACTTCCGAGCGCTTTTGCCAACAACAGCACAGCGGAGGAGAACGACTGGCAAATACCACAGACAATACCGGACGAGTCATCGTCTATATCGCTCTCTTTGACACAATCGTATGGCTTCCTGAACCGATATACTGGCTACTTCACACACGTCGCACATACCGAAAACGAAGTCAACGAGCTGGGTGCTGAGGCCGAACGCCTGACGCCTGGTGAGCGAAGGCAGAAACGCTTTGACCGTGAAGATGACAAGTTCGACGACGAGTACTACATGTGAGCATTTTCTGTTTTTCGATTATAAGCTCCTCAACTTTCCAAGGGCGGACTATGCCGCAGACGAGCATGTCCAAGAGCTTCTACTTTGGAAGAATCCACATATCGAGTCGACAACTGAATCTTTTGAGTTCACAGAAGAAGAGAAGTTGGCTTTATTAACGCTTCCTCGCAGGGAATGTATGTCCTTACCACCTCTGTGTGAAGCAGAAACTTATCTACAAGTTCCAGATCTTGCATCGCCACAAGAGTCAAGTGCCCTTTACCTTACACTTGCGACTATTCTATTTGCTTACTCCTACGACGCGCGAACAACCGAGGGAGAACCAACGCCGGAAAGCGCATGGACGATATGCTCTCTTACTCCTGCCTTTGCTGCACTCGACCCAGCGCCATATTCTATCGAGCCAACTTCTGAGATCACACCCATGGACCTTCTTGCGACATTCGTCCAATCTTATCGTCGCACGCTCGCATTCCCTCTCCATCGCTCCTTCATACTCGCCGAAGCCTGTCGGAACGATACCGCCCGTCTTTTGGTTACTGGAAAGCGTGCGATCCTGCGGGTGCTACTCCGGATGAAGGACATTCTCGCCCACCACGAGGTTTACTATGTCTACAACAAGATATGGGTCGAGGATTTCTGTGTCTGGGTGCAAAGTACTGCGAGGTGATTGATCTCCCCTTCAGGCAATATACTGTTAGCTAAGATTAAAATAGCGATGACGTTCTGCGAAGTTTGGGCACCGTGTTACTGTCTCCTGGCTTCCGGATACCGAGAGGCGCGATTGGCTGGGACCTGGAGGATCTGGAAGAGTTTACAAGGGAGAAAGAGGGGGGGGACCGATAGTGATGATGAGTCGGCCGACGAGGTTGCGAGGCAATTGTAATAACCAATATAACTGACTCGCAGCGAGTTGAAACGTTGAACAGGGAGAGAAAACTTTGAGAGCTTTTCCAATCAAATCTGTGAGAACAATTTTTTCTTTCTCTCTCTCTCTCTCCCTTCACCAACACCAACAGCATCGAAGCTGTGTCTGTTGGTGCTTCTTGAGAATCAGGCGTCTATGCGTATGTCTCAACTCAAAAATACTCTCCGTTGCTGCCAGGCACGAAATCAAGCCATGATGGATCCCGTCCACTCGCCAGGACATACATAAAGCCCAATAGGCATATCGCCGATGTCAACCTACTTCTCTCTTCGCAACCCCACGCCCTGGCGGTCGGGCCAGCATGCTCCTCTCCTTCTTTCTGACCACACTGTCTCTTTTCGCAACTCACGTTTGTGCGGTTCCTTCGACACCGAGCACCTTCCCCCATGCGTATCCTGGAATACCGACCACCGACTTTGGAGTGAACTGGCAGCGATGTGAGTATTATTTTCTCATTCAGTTGGTCATTATAGACTCATTACTACGGGAAGACTTCGAAGTTACATCTCCTCTCCCAAATATTACGAAGCCACTTACGCGCAGTTTTGCGGGAAACGTGGGGGTGAATCGTGCGGGCCATCCGAACGCAACTCTTTTCTTCTGGGCGTTCGAGAAGACCAACGGGTCGCTCACTTCGGGCAGCACAGACCCATGGATCATCTGGTTGAACGGTGAGCATCCATGTCCACATTGATCGAGGACTGAATTCATTTGAGGCGGTCCTGGGGCGTCAAGCATGCTGGGGCTGATGACCGAGGTGTGTAGTCAGTTCAGCATGTGCTATTCATATCGAACTGCTGTTCAGAATGGTCCCATCCAAGTTACCGGAGCCTATGGCATCGTGGCGAATAATTTCAGCCTCACAAAGCTCGCGGACACCTTCTGGATAGACCAGCCTGGTCGGTGTCCCATCACAATAACTGCCTGATAGCATCTCATCGTTCCCCGTCTAGTTGGAACTGGGTACTCGACATCGGACGCCACCGGTTACAGTGCGTGGACGGCTGTTAGCAGTTGAGATGGACCGCTGAACTGAATAAAAGTCCCGGACGAAGACCAGATGGGTGAAGACTTTGTTGGCTTCCTCACCAACCTTGTCAAGATATTCCCTGGGTTGGCCAGTCGACCACTCTATCTCATGGGCGAATCGTATGCTGGGACCTACATCGTGAGATCAACTCCCTATTCTTATGTGTCATGCTCACTATTTTCGCCAGCCGTATATCACTAAAACGATCTTCTCCTCATCCAAGCCTCCGGTTACGCTCAAGAAGATCGTTGTAGGGGACGGCACGTTGGGGTCCGCCGCGGTCTTCGAGGAGCTGCCAACGGTTCGTGTTTCTCTCCATCATCAAGCTCACTGACATATATCCTGTGTAGCTGACCACTCTCGAAACATACCCTCAATTGATCAACTACGACCCCGCCGTTTTTGAATACTTCAAAACACAGCAGGACCTGTGTGGATATAACCTTACTTTGACCTATCCTCAGAGTGGCCACTTTCCGACTCTCCTGGACCCGTTCACACATGCCTCGACAAACGGCGCTGGATCTGCCTTCCTCGCAGCCAAAATCAACTCAGCCGCGAGGAATAAACTGAGGAGCAGTAATGCGCGGTACAAATCAATATCTGCTGCTTTTACGTCTGGAACAGTTGGCAAGTCCAAATCATTACCTCTCGACAAACGCACTCGTGGCCAGTTGACCCAGTGGAAACGTTCGCTTGCAGGGCGGCCTAATGGCACCCTGGATCCGTACTATGGCTGCTTCCTTTTCGACGAGATGTGGGACTATGCGGTCAATTTCACTTTTCCGTGGGCCACGAAGCAGGGAGCCAATGTTGATGTGTACAACATCCCGGACGCGTTATCTCCTGAAGTCCCATCTGACCCAACGATCTTCATGAATGGTGCGCGCAATCGGATGGCTTGATTTGAGTGCTGATTGAAGGGCAGATGCGACCACAAGAGCTGCGCTACATGCTCCGACATCCAAAGATTGGGCAGAGGTGTTCGACTATCCTTTCCGTAATGTGTCTATAAACTTGCTTTGGCGTTACTCTAATACTTCAAAGTATCCAATACAGCTACTGGAGCCATTAATGTGTTTGGGGATCCCAGCCCAGAGTGCGTTTGTCTTTTGCTCTGTCTTCTTTCGTCCTCACATGCGACAGGCCGATGACTTTTCTCTCACAACTGGCTGCCAACGCGTCCGCTAAAGGCGTCGGTATCGTTTTCTATTCAGGGAATGACGACTCGTTGGTTGCTCATCGTGGAACCGAAGGTAGAAACTGTACCTCGAAAACTAACAGAACGGTTAACATTATTTTGTGAAGTTGTCATCCAGAACATGACCTTCGGTGGTATCCAAGGCTTCACCCGCAAACCTTCAACCGCCTTCACCGATGACCAGGGCAACTTTGCGGGGATTATCCACCAAGAGCGGGGTCTGACCTACGCGCTATTCCAGAATGCGGGACATCTTGTGCCGCAATCCGTTCCAGCAGCGGTCAGGCTCTTTTAGTCCAACTCACTTGATGATTTCTGAATGGAGTCAGGCATTCACCTTTGTCCGCGATTTCGTGCTTGGGTCCTCTACAACGGGCCTGGTAGACAGCAACGCCGGCAAGGTGACGGGTGGCGAAGATCCCAAACTGCGGCAGGACGTCCTTCCCGGAAACCCCTTCATTTTCATGGGTGCGGGGAAGACGGCAGCGAGCACGGTGTGGCCAAGCGCAACGGTAGCCAAATGGGCCGCCTTTCTCGAGACGGCAACGGCGACTGCTGGCGGTAGCGCACCGCAGGGGACGGGCCAATCGATCGGGAATGGTTTACCGAGTGCGGGTTCCAAACTTGCTATGAGTCCATGGTGTGGCTTTTTGTTGGCGATCTTTGCTTTGGTGCTGTGAGTTCAGCGTTGCTTTTCACTTTGATTTCATTGGGTTTCTGTGGCTGTCTGTAGTTGTACATTTCCCGAAATTCTATCCTGCTTTGTACCGATTTCTCACGTGATGGCAAAAGCAAAACGCCATCCACGACGACGATGAGTAGCTAGCTGCTCGGCCTCTTACTCATACCTCCACTGCCTATGTCGAACGACGATGAGCGCAGCGGCCTCCTCGCTACCAACTCCCACTACGGCTCCATCTCTGGCTCCCCGTTGGAAGGAGCTGCGGTCGAAGGAAATGGTGCGACGCCTTAAGCTTGGTTTGTCAGACACCCTCTAATGTTGCCACGAAGACACCTCTGGCGAAGCCTTCGACAATGTGCCTCAGACAAGACGGCAGCTGGGCGTTGCGAGCGCCGCTTTCCTGATCTTCAATCGTGTCATTGGGACCGGGTGAGTGAGAGAACCGGGGCTACTTATTCAGCTTATGCATAATCTCTAGAATCTTTGCAACGCCAAGTGTCATTCTCCACTCTTCGGGCAGCGCTGGTGTGGCGCTTCTCATATGGATCCTGGGGGCGCTTATTGCGGCGGCGGGGACGACGGTTTATGTCGAGCTGGGCACAGTTAGACACCCTCCTGCTTACGCGGCACAAGCTTATCTAAACTTGCAGGGCTTACCACGGAGTGGAGGGGAGAAGAACTATCTGGAATATATGTATCGGCGCCCCAAGTTCATGATAACTTGTGCCTACGCTGTCTACACTTTCATATCGGTGGCTCACTACCTTCCCGCCCTCGACATCCATTGCTAAAATGCTTGTCTAGGGATCAAGCGCAACCAATGGAATCGTCTTCGGAGAATGTAAGGCCCCCCAAATAACTGAGTAATGCGGCAACAACTTAGGCGCTGTAGACCTCATCCGGGCTCTTGCAATCCCGCCATCGACCTCGGCAACCTTCTCTGCCTCGCGCATCATTGCACTCATCGTGCTCACTTTCAGTCTACTCATGATCGGCGTCTTCAGCAAGGCTGGGGTCCGCCTGCAAAACATTCTTGGCTCGTTCAAACTGTTCATCCTCGCAGGCATCGCTATTCTCGGCCTATTATCTCTCGTCGGCCTTCCGGGCATTGCTGTCCGTCCAGAATACGAGACGCCCGATAACCTGGTTTCGTGGGCCGCATTGTGGAAGGGAAGCAAGGGAGATGCAAACTCGCTCGTGACTGCTTTATATAATGTTATTTGGTGTGTCGAGGCCTTGGATTCCTGTCTGAGCTTGCTAACTGTGACGACCAGGTCGTTTATAGGCTACTCTAACGCAAACTACGCGTTATCTGAGGTCAAGGACCCAGTTCGGACGATCAAGCGAGCCGCCCCGCTGGCAATTGTGTCCGTTGCCGTCGTCTACATGCTGGTCAACATCGCGTATTTTGGGGTCGTCTCCCGCGGAGACATCCTCAATAGCCGCCAGATTGTCGCGTATGTAGACTGCTGAGAAGAATGCGATGGTCGCTGAGTGTGCCATAGTGCATTATTCTTTAGAAACCTCTTTGGGCCAGCGACCGAGCGGGTGTGTTGCGTCCTTTTCCTCTCTAGCAACTTGTACTTATAACCTCACCACGCAGATCCTCAGTGCTGCTATTGCACTCTCGTCTCTCGGAAATATATTAGCCGTTCTTTTCACTCAAGGACGAGGCGAGTGCCTCGTAGTTTCAAGCGCCGGTCTTTCTCACTAACCCGCATCTTAGTTGTCCAAGAGCTGGCGCGGGAAGGCATCCTCCCATTCTCTGCTTTCCTCGCTAGCAACAGGCCATTTGGCGCGCCGTTGAACGCCCTTTGGTTTCTCTGGGGAATCTCGGTGCTGGGAGTCATTTTGCCACCAGCAGGCGATGCATACTTGTTCTTGTTGAGCAGTAAGGTCTCTTGTCCATTCTAGTCCAGCTGCTGAATGATCCTCTAGTGTCTTCATACTCCCTCACCCTTGTCAATACTGGTGTCTCATTCGGCCTTCTATTGCTACACAGCTCATACCGGAAGAGCTGGCACTGGGACCCGCCGTTCCGGGCACCACTTGCCGTCATCATTGGCTTTTTCCTTTCCAACGTGTTTTTAGCGGTGACGCCATTAATTCCGCCTGCGCCAGGAAAAGAGACGTTCGAACGAATACCTTACTATGTCCGTTCTCACTGTTTCTTTTTTTTTTACCCTGGCAAGTCTGATCCATCACCAACAGATGCACATTCTCGTGACAATCCTTGCTTCCCAACTGGGGGTGCTGTATTGGGCAGTCTTTTTCCGCTGGCTACCGCAAAGAGGCGGGTACGAGCTGAAGCGAGAGCAGGTGCTGCAAGACGATGGTGTTTCTCGCGTCGTGTTTGTAAAGGTACCGAAGGTTGGGTCATCCAGAACTTGATGTGTATTTGGTACTGCTACCTGCACGAGTATCTGAATCTAAATCGGACATATCGAGCGACACCGTTTCTGGTTGACCACCATGCCGAAAGTGTACAGAGGAGCGCACAACATCGACGTTGGCTGTGGTTGATGTCCTCCTCGTTGCTGTTGTCTCGTCCTCATATGTGCTGAGATTCAGGCGCAATTGCAGCGTTAGCATCAGTGGGACTATCCCCAGAACTGTAGGAGGGTCGAGTTGAGCAAAATACCGAGGCTAAGAATGTGACAGACGCACTCTGCGTTGTCGACCCGGACAGAATCTCCAGACCGTTGTTCTTGGTCGCCAGAAAGATGGCGTTGATGAGGAGCGCGAGGGGGTATATGACGCCAGACTCTACAAACGGCGCGAGGAAGAGCTTCATGTGGGAGGCGAATTTCTGGTGTTGCATATTGCGGAAGCGGCGGATGACGAGCCAGAGGCGGACGGTGATCATGGTGGTTATGATGGTGTTGGTGATGAAGGACATGGTGTAGGATAGCACGACGAGGCGCTTGACTGGCGGCGGGAAAAGAATTGTTCCAGGCGGGGACACACGGTACTCGCGGATGAGCGCAGCCCAGAGGCCCACTGTCGCGCAAAGCGTTAATGTGGGAGCCAGGATTGCGGGCCAGCGTTGGTCAAAGATGATATATGCGCGGTAAATCTACGCTTGTCAGCAGAAATGGCGTAAGTAACTTGAAGGCTCACGAGGATGCCGTCAGCGAGAGCCGTCGCTGCTGCATAGACGGATTTCTGGATCAGGTCGGTCGGCTGGGTGTGGTCGAGGTAGAAGACGTCGGGCGGCAGGTCAGAGACGAAGAATGCAACGTAAAGCTGGCGCATAACGGCTGCCTAAATAGCCTGTTAGGGACATAGCGAAAAAAAAAAAACTCACCAAGTGGGCTGCACAGAGCACAAACACAGCGGTTACTACTCCAAACCCAGCCGCATGTTGTGGGGACACCACGCGACGCTGCCCGGGACCCTCCCTTCTGAACGTCAAGTAGCCTAGCGCCAGAAACAAGATAAAGTTGATGCCTATTCTATGCCTCAGCCCACACGATGACGGGTTGCAATGGAGCTACTCACCAAAGAGCATCGACTCAAACAGCGCCCCAAACAGACGTCCTTGGGCCAGAGAAAGCGACATGATGGGCAAGAACCATGCATCTCCGTGTAATCAAGCAGAATTTAAGCTTTGTGGGGGCGGGCTTCGTGGAGAAACCGGAGCAAGAGTTGATCGGCATATGTTGTGATCAGATGGATTGTGGGAATGCCGTGAAAAGGAGTCCAAGTATAGCCCTGCTCGATCTCTAGGGCCTACGAGCTCCAGTCTTTATCAAAGGGATCATCGAGGGTTGAGTGGTTGGGCAAGTTGCAAGCACATAGCGGACATCGACACCGAGTTCTTTATCTGGCGGATCCCCGCTTATCATTCATCAGCTTCTCAAAAAAAAACTGCTTCTCGAGAGAGACCGGAGTTGGCCGAGATAGAGCTATAAGTATTACATAATGAACCCCCCCAAGGAAACCAACTGGATGACCCCTCGCTCAGCTCTGCTTGAAGAACACCGCCGTATAAGCTGGAACGACGATGTAGTCGATCGACGTGACCGCAATATTCGTCTGCCACTTCGCCAGACCCGCCTGCCCACCGAAGTGCCGCAGGAAATACTTTCCCTTGGGCAGGTTGCTGACCTGGAATGCGATCGGCTTATCGGGGTTTTTGTTGATGATGACCAGTGTAAGCTTGCCCTTCTCGGTGCCTGCGTAGACCCCCTGGGTGTCGGGGAGTGGAGTTGCGAGGTTGACCTGTGCGCTGTTGGCGGCGAATGTTGTACCAAAACTACAACAAATTGAGAAAAAAAAATATGGAATTATTGCGCAAAGCTTACCCTCGGTACAGCCAAAAGGCCAGCCCAATCGGTCCATTCTCGTCGACTGTGCCCCAGTACATGGCCGCATCGACCTTCTCGCGACCGAAGATGCCAAGAACATCCGCAGCATGCAAGCCACCAGTGAGGTCCGTGTCTGCTTGCGAGTTCCACTCGCTGATGGAGAGCTTGGTGCCCGGATAGTTGATGTCGATGAGAGTGCGGAAACGCGGAATGACGGACATGCGCGTCGGATTCCATTGGTGGTTTTGCTGGGGCTCAACGCCGACCCAGGATTCGTCGACATAAGTAGTGTCCCATAATGCACGGGTCATACGCAGTCTCAGTGCTTTCGCAGCAGCATCGTTGGCGCTCGTGTCTGCTTGGTAGTAGAAGTGGATGTCGAGATAGTCTAATAACCTCTTCTTGTGGTTTTTTTCGGCTGTGGCCATCTGTGCCAGGAACCATGGCAGGAAGTCGATATTGTTGTGGGCAGCGTTGTCGGTATAGCCAACCATACTTGTCCAGTCTATGGTTCAACCATCAGAACAACGGGACATATGTAGTTACGGAGACTTACAAAACCACCAAGCACAAGTGGAGGGTGCGGCAACTTTGACATTCGGAAGCGCTGCCTTTGCAGCCAGAGAGGTGTTGACCACACGTGCTAGCTCTTCGTCGTAGTTGATTGGGTCTGGGTGCATGTCCTGATGAGTGGACGCTGCAATTTCGATTTCGTTATCAACAGCAATGATGTCGGGTTTGTTGGCAAGACCCTGCAGCCACGTCTTGGCCATATCGGTGTTCCACGGCGTATATGCACGAGTCTGCGAAGGGGTAGTTGTAACTGTGGACATATTAGAAACGCAAAAAAAAAAAAAGAAATGCAGCAGAAAACGAACTCCATGAGCCGTTCGGGAGTTGTCCATTTCCAGCATCACTGTTGAAAGGATCTGTTTTGGCTTGCCCGGGATAGACGGATGCAGGATAAGAATACGAGGACCCGTCTTTTGCAACCCAATCCAATCTTGGATTCAAGTTAAAGGGGTATAACAATTCCTTCCAAAGGGATACTCACGAAGGGACGACCAAGAAAGAGCTCGAACCACCGGTATTCACCATGTTTACCCAAGCATCTGCATCTGGTGGGTCCGCCACACGATTTTCAAAGTACCAGTCGTTCCCCGCATTCGTGAAGTGACCATTAGGGTTATATGCCGTGACAGCATTGCCTCCCCAGCGAGAAATTCCGATGCCGAGATCTTGAACATATTGAGAGGAGGACGGGAAATTGACACCGTAGATGGCGGGAGATATTGTGTAGTTGACCCCAGGGACGATGCTGACAGTGAAAAAGGTAGATGAGGACTGGAGAAGAAAAGAAGTAGACAAAAAGCTTACCTGACATATTGGACAGCAGGAAGAGTGACGTTGAAGACCTGGTTACCACCATTTTCAACACCGGTGTTGATTAAAAGTGTTCCAGGAACAAAGAGGGTGTTAAGGGTGAGATATGTAACGCTCTTTGAGGGAGTGCCGACTGGGACATAGGAAGTGGTATTTGAGATCTTGACTGCTTTGCCATTGAGTGAGACGGTGAACGTAGAAAAGTCAACAGCGCCTTGTGTCGTTACAGCGATAGTGTTGGCGGCCAACGGCTCGGCGGAGAGGAAGAGTGGGGTAACGACGATGGATTGAACGACGACAATGTTGTCAATGTGGTAGGCCGCGCCATTTGCTCCTCCTTGCCAAACAATTCGGTCCCATGTGCCTGGTCCCTGGAGAAAATATGAGGGAAATGAGCGTCAGATATAAAGGATGCTAACCAAAGCCGCTCCACTACCAGGCAAATTCGAAAAGTCGATCAAGACGGTTGTGAACGCATTGGGGGTGATGGTGTTGCTGATGGATGAAAGAAGGATGTTGGGTGAGACGGCTCCGTCCGTACTCGACTGTATGGTGATAGTTAAGTCGGGTTGGCTTCCCTGGACTCCGTCAGCCAGGAAAAAGAGGCGAACATAGGGGCACCGACAGCAATGTCAAATTTGAGACCGGCATAGTTAGGGAATGTGCCTTCTAACTTGGTCGACAGTGCACTCCAGGCCGAGGAGTTTATGAAGGCACTACTTGTTCCTTCAAACAGGTCCGTTGCCGCAAAGTTGATGTCGCTTCCCCAACTCCAATTTTCCCAACCAGCAGCGAGAGCGTTGTCCGCATAGATGACGATATCATCCGCCCGGGACTGCGAGGCAGAGAGGAGGCCAACAAGTGGCAGGAGCGCCAGAAAGGCGGGCATTTTTGCTTGACTATCGAATGACCATGACATGCGTCTTAATGAGGGATGCGGGTTATTCGCGGTTTAATCGTGGATCCATCTTCCGAGCTTGGTCCAGCCTTTAAGCGTGCGCATCGAGTCGGCTGAGCGTTGAGTGACATTTCCAGCCAGTGTCTATGAATCAGCCAATGCTCAGAAAACATAAAAAGTCGGTGGACCTTTCTTGACGGTGTGCCAAACATAGTCGAAGTCAAGAATAGAATGTGGATCTTATTGTTTCCGGTATCTCACTTCACGGAGACATTATGCATCGGCTTGTTGCAAAAACGACGATCATGGCAGAGGGAGGAAAAACGTGGATCATGTGCTAAGCACGGCGCATCAGCAACACCCGTGAAAGCGACGGTGATGAATATTTCTCGGCCAAAACGACGATCTTGAAAACACTCACGAGCCATGTCCACAGCGCCGTATCCTACCAAGCGACTTCATAAACCTCCCGCCTGCGACTCTTGCAAGGCTCGTCGTGTGCTTTGTCATCCACAACCCAATGGTTCGCGTGTCTTCATAAAAAGCCATATCGAAGCCTGAATTTAGAATATAGGCGCTCCTTGTCCTCGATGCGCGGAACGAAATGTCGTGTAAGTTGAAAGGCTCGCAACTCTCCGATGCGATCTTGTTAAAGAACCATAGTTGTACCACCACCCCAACATCTCGAGGACGTCCGAGAAAGAACCATGTTACACCAACACCGCAACAACCACAACCAATCACCGGTCCCTCGATGTCGTCCCTCACTCTTATTTCCCCGCAGGTGCACGAGAAACTCGCTGACTGTCCAACATTGACACCAGAACTTGTCTCCCATCTCTTCGATTGTTCGTGGCCATTTCTCGATTTTGTTGTCTGTTGTTTAACGCGTTTCCAGGCTTCGATCACCTCCCACAAGTCCTGCACCCTCTTATACGAGTGACCCTGATTAAATCATCCATCCGCTCCGTTTCCTTCCAACTCCATCTTCTGCCAACGGAACTCCGGGTTCTTGCTCTAAGCATCATGGCCCATTCATCAACCATCTCATACCACGAGGCCATTCTTGGTAGTGCAGAACCACGGCCCAAATCTTTCGACGATGCTCTCTTTTTCTCCTCCAGCGCCAATATTCGATTATGTGGAGTTCGTCGCGCCGCAGCTTGTCGTGCGCTACACGCCACTGCCCTGCGAGCAGCTTGGGACACCGGGGCAATGCTTCAGGTCTCTAATGCTAACGCTGCCACATGTTTCTTCCTTGACTTATTGGAACAAAGTATGTACATGCCAACTTTTCTAGCCTTTTCGTAGGGGCTGAGCCTGCCAACCCAGATGATTTCGAGGGTCTTTCGCGACCTTGGGCAAGCGCATATATGTCACATGTCCGTGCTCTTGCGCCGCTATGGCGTGCCTGTGGCACCGCTGAAAGAGATGAAGTGGGTTGGGCGGGTTTCCTGGTATGTAACATCTTTCAAGTGTCGCTACTTGACTCTGAAAGTTTTTTTTTCTAGATGGCAGAAATGTTACTCTCCACGAGAAGCAAGAAGCCTGCATTGGTGTAAGCGCGTTTTCTGCTTTGATTCCCCCCGTTCTAACTAGCGCGAGTTCATTTGAAGACCAGATCCTGCTAAGTGGCGGGGAGCCTACAACTTTGGAAACATTGTTGGCCTCTATTGAAGCAGCCGCGCATAAACCTGGAGTCAAGCCACTCTATCAAGCCATGAAACCGTGTAAGCTCATCATTTTCCAATGTCTACACAACACGCTGAGAGAACATTCAGATATGTTTCATGTAACGTGCTTAGCACGACAACTCTGGCAAACTGTCACTGGAGGTATAAGCACTATTAGTTCATCGTATCAGTCTTTAACCAATGTCTTTGGAAGACCACGCGCGTCTTACTCCGCTTTCGGAATCGTCCGCAATTCAAGCACTCAACGCGCTTGGCCTGCTGCACTCAATAGCCACACATTTACTCACACGTGCTGATAGCATTCTCTCGCCCTACCCCCGCCCACACACCCCCTTTGTGATTTCTGAGCCCACAGAAGAACGCGCAGTCCGTGGATGCACCTATATTATCATCATGGGCTTCGTGGGTCTCGTCCTCTCGCTGTACCAGGCCCTCGATGATCGGACAAGTCCTGACAGCAAAACACCCAATACAAGCTCCAGTATCACGCAAATATCCCCATCATCAACATCACTAAAGCTTGCATTACCTCAGCAGAAAAGCAATGTCGACTCCCCCCTGCAACGCGCTCGCCGCAAGCTGCTGACTGACCAGGCCCGCCAGCTAGCGCGGGCTGCGGTACAAGAGCTCGCGAGGGCAATCGATTATCTCCCTACCATCCATTACGTGCCCACGCAGCTCCATACGCTCAGAAACTATGCCCTATTTGCGATGGAGGAGCTTCAGACCGGGCTAACCTCGGGTTGCGATGAGGACGAAGAGCTGTCGCTAAAACAAGAACTCAAAAACTTGACGACGTAATCGTTTTTTTCGTTTATATCTTCGGCGCTGAAACCGCAGTAGAATTGCCTCGCAGCTGGCAATGACGGGCTATTCCCTTGACATCGCTGGCTCGTTGACGACTGGGCCCATCATCGACCGTGTCCAAAGCTTCGTTGGCGAATTCAGCATACCCAGTGATGGTCACGTACTCGAGGAACATTCGCAACTGGCGCTGCATCTACCATCAGAGCCACACGCTGTGCCCGCATACCCTTTCATGGAGCCTTTACCTGATATCGCGCTGCCGATGGACTTTCTCCAGATGCCACGCGCGGACGAAGCGTGGATGTCGACTATGCAGCCTCATCCGGAATATTAGGACAGGGCTTATCCACACGATCGCGGTTCGTGTGACTGCCGCTGGCGCTAAGTTTGCCAATGCGGCGTCGCAGGGCCGAGAGGTCGCTCGCCCAGCGCCGTTTGGTCGTCGCTTCGGGTCCGTTGAATGTGTGCTAACAAGCTGTTGACCATCATTTCTGTTCTCGAAAGCAGAATGACGCGTCCTGTCTATCGCCTTGCAGTATCTTCCCTCGATGATCGAAGGTCTTAGAGCTTACTTTCTAACTATCGCAATTCTGAATTCATTCACGCGCCTATGATATAATATTAATCCTGACTTTTATGACTAAAGCGTGTCGAGTAAAGGCAACAAGGTGTTCTGCCCTTCGTGACGGAATCGGAGTAAATGTATGCTTGAGTTACTGTAGGCACACTCAGGATTAGGATTATAAACCATGGTTGGATTTGGCTACCACAAGACGAAGGTGTTGACTCGGACCGGTTACCGGAATGATTCGATATGATCAGTGGATCATTGATGTAAACGCGTATCAAGGGTTGCTATGTATGTCCGGGACTTCATTCCAAACCATGAGCTCCCGTAGGCTCCAGGCAATGCTGAGCCCGGTATGAAGGCCAACGACCACGCCAGGCGACAACGGTTGATCGTCCCGATTCCGGTAGCCTTTTCCAAAGAGTCACAATTTTCACAATGGCATTTACAACAAAAGAGGTAGTAGTTACAGTGAAGTCTCAGGTCCGTGGTGTACGTGTCTTCTAACTAGGAAATTGATACAGTATGCTAATTTTGTGGTGGTTTGGTATGCAGGCCCAACGCCAAAACAAGGCAATCCAAATGGGAAAAGAGAGTGATCGGTTGCGCACGCGAAGTCGAAGGAAAGGTATTGGATGGAATAGTATGTCGGTTCGTGGTACTCTCTCTTTTTTTGTGTAGACACGAAGCACTCAATATGCCATGCTTGCTCCACTCACAGTTGCGGCCCTGCCTCTTCTCGTCGGTGAACTCGTTGGTTCGGAACTGCTCGTGATCAAGGCATCGGCCGAAATGGTCCTGGTCATGGGAACTCCTCCCGCATCCGTCTCGTCCATACTGTCGACCGACATTCCAAGACTTATTTGGACTGGTATTGGCATTGCGATCTCTGTCATCGTTCGAGACATCGAGTCGGGAGACGGGGAATCAGGATACATTCCGGAATTGGATGTCGCAGGGAGTGAGAGTGGGCTTGGTCGACCACCACGGGTGTCGCTTGTTGGAATGTGCTGATGTGGTCGCCCCCCAGTCATAGCCGCTGCCATCATTTCCCGCTCATACTGCCTTTGGTTGGAATGCGATTCAGTCCATCCCCGCAAGCTCCCTCGAGGAACACGGTCATCGCTGTCCGAAAAGTGTCTCGCAGTCGGAATCTCATACGAATGTCGCATGAACGAATCCGAGTTGGTCCAATATCGATGGTTTTGCAACGTCGCCACGCTGGTAGCTGGGCTTAGGTGGGGTGGTGATGCATGTGGAGATTGGTGGCCCGAAAAATTAGACGAGTTGCTTGATGCCTGTGTGGAGTATGGCGAACCGGATGGATAGGCACTAAACAGCGGAAAAGAACCAGATACGGCACTGTTGGGCCTGTTATTGGAAGGTAAGTGTCAGTTAACCCATCACATAGATACTGACCCAGAATCAGCTCCTTCGTAACTTCCTCGACCACTTGAACTGCTCGTTGAAGAGCTACGGGAGCTGCCTGGGCGATGACCCGATAGTGGATGAAGAGATTCTTCAGAAGCCGTATAACCGTATGCCTGTCCAGCGAATGCACCTTGCACGGGCTCGTTGTAGGCTGTCTCTTGGGAGGAATGTGAGGAAAATGACAAGTCTTTCGGCATGGGCTCAATTCCAAACACTGGATCGAAACTGCCTCGCCGCGATTCGGAATACGAACTTGCTGTCGCTGAATCAGGCGGCTCGCTCCCATACTGGTCGTTGTTGTAGACGGAAGGAGAGTAGTATCGGTCCAGAGTGCTGGTGTCAAGGCTAGATGGAAGAGAAAAGCGCTTGTTGCTGCCTGAATTCCCACCACCAAGACGAGTCGAAACATTCATCGGACCAGGAAAGCTTGTGTCCAGGCGGGGTAGGGCAAGAGGAAGGGGAACATGGGTACTGAGCGGTTCAAGACCAGACATCGTTGTTCTTCGACGGCGAGAGAGGCCACCATCCATGCTGGAGGAAGCGGCAACGGACTGGTCGCGTTTGACCTTATTGGGTCCACGAACCCTTCCCTCTTTGGCGTACTCGCAGATGAGGCCACGCGAAAGACATCGCTGACACGATGGGTGGTCGCCACTACACTGTCAAGCCGTCGACAAACAGAAATCACAAAAGCTTTCTCCAATTACGAACCTTTGCTTTACGCGTACGGCATTTCTCGCAAGCCTGTGCTGTCCTCAAACGAGGGTGCTCTGGGGTCCGGTAGAAGATGCCAGTTGTTGGGTCAAGGCTTCCGGCGAGCGTAATTCGAGGTGGTGGTGGAGGAGGTGACGCTTGGCGAGGAGTCCAGTTGTAGGAGGGGTAAGGGAAAGAGTCCATTCTGGGTCTCGAAGAAGAAAGCCGTGTATTTAGCGGATACCCCAAATCGGGAATCCGAGGAGCGTCCAAGTCAAATTCAATCGCACTTGTCATCGTCACGATTATGTCACGCTTCATCTTCAACCTTGGTTGAGACTGCCATGGCCACAACGGGTGTCGTATATATTGTCGCCGTCTGCGCAAAGGCACGGTCCCCTTGGTCCCAACGACAACACTCAACTTGAGTAGGTCTTGCCCTACCGAGCAGTGGTGCTTCTGGGTGGTTCTGTGCCTTTGTTACGGCGTTACCCAACTTCGGTCAAGCTTAAAACCTTTTTTTAAGTCGGCCCATTTAGCATTCTGGCTCTCCAGAAGCGATCCCTCCTTCGCTCGCTCGCGGGAGCTCCCGGGTGACCGCTAGGTCGCCGTGTTTGTGGATCTCTTGTCCTTTTTCTAGAAGGAAAGGGAAAAAGTATAGAGACATGAACAAGTATCCCTATTAGTGAGAGTCTTGGGCTGCGCTTCTTTATCGCATTGACTTCTGCGCTAGATCTTTTTTCGCTTGTAATTTTGACTGATGAGCTGATTCCATTGCACTGTCCTCCATTCTACCGCACAAGCAAGACACTCAGCATTATTCGTGGCGAAGCTGCCCTTCGGACTCATCAATTCCATCACCGACGCTCGGTCCCTCAGGAGGAGCTCCCTCATTCATACATATTTTCTGACCCCAAATCATTGTTGTGGCCAGTCATAACCATTTCTCGCAACGAAAATCGACGGAGATTAAGCGCATGCGCTGTGCTTGCCTTCTAGCTGGATTCTGCTAGCGGCCAGCACTTGGTAAGCTTCCGCATCGTGCTCGCGTGGCCTCGTCGTTGTCTACCAAACTTTTATCGTGACTTTCGTTCATCAAGTTAGTTACTAACTCACTTGCACGTCCCTCAATATCAGGATACCGTCGGTGGTGGAAACGGCATGCAAATAACACCTAAGGCACCCCGCTGTCTCACAATTCCGGCTGGTTCTACTCTTCTAGTTGGTGGCGGTGGCGCTGTCTACGTTTGCAGCCAACAGTACTTGAAGAAACCTGCGAACACTAGTAAAAAATCTCCAGTTCGCCGGTGCGACGCGCAATATTCAAATACCCCCGCAACTACATACGATAGGAGGATCGATCGGCTATGTTTTCCGTGATTGGCTGGATACTTCCGCTGATCGGCCCGGGTCTGGCAAATGCATTCCATTCTGGTTCCGTCATCTTGCCGAATTGTTATTCGTGGCCCCAGGCGGCAGGCCGACACTGTTCGTCTTCTAGGCGATTGGAAAATCCCACTTCAACGCTCCCGACCTTTACTGGCAGCCCCGCCTATAAGCTTTGCATTAAATATTCGTACAGCGCACCCTTCGTTTCAGAACGGCCAGTATCACCGCCTGGTTCCGTTTATGGAGATCATATGCGAGTATTGCTGCTCCGAATTTCCGGCGCACGTTTTTGTTTTCATTCGTCACTAAGCTTTATAGTACAGCTCCCCTTCCTTTTCATGTCCCTGGAAACATCGAAACAGCTCGCCAACTTTGATTCGGCCAGATTCGAGCATATATTGGATCTGCTGATCAAGCATTGTACATGCGCAACGTATTCCTGTTTGTCGAATGACTGATAGGCAGTGAAGTTCCCTTTCCAAATCTCGCAGTTGTAGGGATTCGCACCACCAGGCTTTGAATCGCCCTTCTATCGTGTAACAAGCTTCAAGCCATGTTATCTTTCAAGTTTGCTCCGTCGCCGTCACGGTGCCGCGTATGCCATACAGTAATCCTCGGCTTTCAAGCTTCAAGTTCAATTGGCTGTTCTCTGGACGCAACACGCGAAGCATCTTGTTTCACGACCATGCCAAGTTCCAACTAGCTCGGAATGGCGAGTAAGTCCCTGCCTGTCAGCTAAACTCTAACATTAGACGTTCAATATACCGTTACGAGGCTAATTTTGGCCCTAGTGCTCGTTGTATACACGTGGTAATTCGCCGACCGGCTTGGTGTATGATCACCGAGCTTGCTTTATAGCTCGCTCGGGGCCTCAGCTCTTTCGGACACCTAGCTCATGCCCCCCGCCCAATACTCTGAGCTTACCGACTTCGAGCTTTACTCTATGGTCCCATGTCACAGACTGTTTCAACCTTGTCGTCCAATATAATATCTCACCTTGTCTCGTACAACTTGAACTCGCTGACCACGCTGCAGTAAGCAACAGCCTGAGGACAAACACGACGATTTTCGCGGGTGATGTAATGCTCGACCTGACGTCGAAGCGCTATAAGCGTCCGCCACAGAAGGGAACTACTTGTTAAAATTTACTCGCTTTAAGCCTAAGGCAAAGCTCAAGCAGCGAATTTGACGACGATTCGAGGAATTATCGCCACGGTGATCTCAAGCTAGGCCTGCCTGTTTCAAGTTACCGTTAACTCTGATTACTGTACTTACTGCTCAGTGCAGTACTATAAGGACGCTAGCTTACAAGCTCCAGATCTTATTGAAATCTAGAATGTCCTGCTTCTCACAGCAGCCAAGTTATTAGTAGGCTTTTAGCCTTGACTCGGAACTTTGAACGTGAATTCTTACTTTCGTTTTGGACGGTATCAAGTAACGGATTTGCCTCAGGTTGAGGAAAACTTGGATCAAGTGGTAGAATCCCAGTCGATGAGACTAAGTACATCACGGTATGTAGTGCCATACATGACTCAGTGGCGCGCATGACAGCGCAGTTGATCGCATCACCACGACACCGCGCTAGATCACATGCACAGGCTTACTAATCAGATCTTGTTCTTTTGTCTTCTGCTTATGTCGCCGAAAGAATAAGGCTTAGATAGCCGAGCTGTCGTCACGCATCTAGTGAGGACCCACATGCACTGCTCTGTGCTTTGGACTCTCTTTCTTCCCTCATCGCTGGCGCTTTGGCCTAACTTTCCGCTTATATTCACGCGCTTGGGCCTGCTTGACGGTATAAGAGCTCAATAACTCGCGATTCTATCTTTCTCATCTACACTCAACAGCAATACCATGCCGAGACAAGAAAGCATCCTCCGCGCCAACTCCAAGCCGTACAACGCCCATCACTCTGGAGCGAAGAAACGCGTGGTGTTCGCCGCCGAGCCAAAGGCCGAAGACAAACTTGAACTTGCCCAGTCCGAGTTTGAAGAGCTGCTCAAAGCCCTGAGAAAGCTTGACGCACTCGAGTTGTGGTACTGGTGGCGCCAAAGATTCTATCGCGACTGTGAGTATGACACGCTACTCGCCTTCCTCAAGCATCGCAAGCATGGCGTTGGCCGATTCAGGAAGTATGGAGGGCAGATAATGAGGGCATTGGCATGGATTCAGGCGGAGATTGATTGTGGTGTGATGGAAGGTCCTGTTGACGGACAACAACTTTATGTGGGGAACGTCGACGAGGATGCGCTTGTTGCTGCACTCAAGGTCTGTCGGCGACAACGGCGACCTAGAGCTCAGGTGGCCATTTCTTCCGAATCAGTGTGGCGATGTGTTCTGACGAGTCATAGGTGGACCCACAAGCGCCTAACTTTTCCTCCCACGCCCAGCAGCAGGACGAATCGATGTTTAAGGTACTCGTATGCTGGCTCAAAGTCTCCCTTGACTAACTTAAAGCAGACATCTTCGTCTAAACCTACCTCAGGCATCAAACTTCGGCTCCCTTCGCTTGCCGCAAGGCAACGAAGTTCGTCCAAGCATGCAGCGGCAGATGAAGAACTTGCGGCGATGTTTAATGTATTGAGTGTGGCCCAGACACCATCAAATCGTCCTCAACCTCAGCCCACCGTTGGTAAACAATCGGAGATCGCCGACCACCGGGATGAAGCGCAACTTCTACTCGAAGACATCTTCGACTCATTCACTATGACGGAGAACAACTCGGTGGTGCGTATCCTTGTCTTGGCCGCCATTTTTCGCCCTCATTCCTTTCGTAGCCATCAGCACCAAGACTCGCTCCCATTTCCCTCCCATTGTCAGACTTCGACAGCGTACCTATTCACAGACCACCGCCCGCAGCGGTCGTCGTTCCAACTATTCCTCCTTCCACTGCTCCAATCCCCATTGTCATCACCAGAGTCGAACCTGTGCCCGTCGCAAGTTCAAGTCAAACCAAAGCCGCATCGCCACCGCCCCCTTATACGATGGCACACCCAGCAAAGTCACCTCCGACTAATGGAATCGCGGAGACACCCGTAAAATCACACTTACACTCGGCTTCAACTGGGAAGGGCAAAGAAATCCCTGCTCAGGCTGTGGACACGGAGACATACTCGCCTTTGAACCCTGACTTGGGATTGAATCGAGCTTCTCAGTGGACGATTTCGCCTTCCATCCCAATTGTGCACCAATCGCAACTGACTCGTGATGTTAGTATGCCCGAGATATCGGCAACTTCTTGGCCGACCCAGCAAGTGCCATCGATACCACCAGTGGAACAACCTTCCCCGTTTCAACCACCGCCCACTAGTGTTGATACCACAATGACCCCTGTTCCTGCATTGCTTCCGACGCCAACACCCAACCCCATCTATCCTGTCCCTGTCTTCCCCGCTCCCCAACCTCCTTCGATAAACCTTGCGCCGCCGTTCTCCTTCCCTATCATGTCCTCTCCTGATCTGACACCCGCTCTACAAATACCGGCTTGGCCGCCTGTGGTTGCGTCACAACTTTACTCTCGGCCTGTTAACCTGTACCCAGTAGAAACGCTTTCCAAACCAAGTTTGCTCTACGGACCCAACGGGCTCCAACTGGGCCTAGGGGACGGTTCGAGCTCCGCATCCGGTTTTGTCAAGCCTGTCCCACCGTACTCGGTTGGCTGCAGCCCTGGTTGCAGCCACCGTCGCAAACCAAAGGCTCGAGTACACCCATATAATCGCGAGCAAGAGCTGGCAAAACAAGAGTCAGAAACCCAGGCGCTGTTGGAGATGCAGAGTATTGGGCGGAAAGTTGGTATCTGGAGTTGTGTTTCAAGTGCTTTGGGCGAGCGACGGAGGATGCGGACAGGCAGCGGTAACACCAACTCGGAGTCATCTGGATCTCAGTTGTCGTCGCCGGCCTCGTCTATCTCGTCCTTGCCATCGGTTTCCTCGTCTCCCTCTGTCTCTTCTCGCCAGCAAGCGCGCCATGAGGCAAGGCCCCATCCATATACCCGTCAGTCGACCTCGCCATCACCACGACATCTGAGTTCGATAGCCTCGCCCCCATTTGGTTTCACGTCTATCCTGGGTCTATTCCAGCGCTTGGGCTCTCGGTGAAGTTCTGCTGTGTTTTCTTTTCCGCTTTCCTCTCGCTCTGCTGCTAGTAATCGCTCTCATGCATTTCCATCGCATTTTTTCATCATCTCATTTGTACTTGCACTGTCGCATTACTCTTAGATACCCGTCTTGTATACCGCGCTCTCAGTCGCTAGTGGCTCATGTAACTCAATGGATTCCTGCTCGTTTGGTTGTTGTTTTCTGACTTCGCAATGTGACTGATACATAAGCCATTAAAATCGCGATCACGTGGATAGTCGATAGAAGAGCTCATCTACGATTTGAACTCAACTGATCCAGTGGCCTTTATCGCTGCCCATTGCTTCGCCCCCTTCAGCTGGGCGATCCATATGCAGTCTTCGCTCTCATACATTATTGCACCGCCGTCACGCATTCTCTCTGTTCTCATCGCACCATTCGCGGCCAACACCCGGGGCTTCAAGTTTTCTTGACAGAGATTGCCGGATACTGCGCCAGAGAAGTCCAGCTCGGTGTAATTTGCGGAGCGCCAGTTTGTCTGGAGGGAGTACTCGGCGCCGGGTGGACACGGGTAGGCGTACGCGGTCGGATCCGAGCAGCGCCACCGCAGATCGTTCTTGATGGCATCGATGTTGGCATCAAACGCGAGGATCGTGCGGCGGAATCCTAGGGCGATGTCGCGGAGAGGCGTGACGGCGACAGTGTTTGCGTTGAAGGGCGGCAGCGCGATGGGCATTACAGCGTTGTGGATGTAGGGCGTTTCAATGGTACCTGAGGCGGTAGGGAACACGCGCCGCTCGCGTAGGTTGCTCGGGATGTTCATATGGACGACTGTAGTGTCTTGTCGATAGCTGTAGCACAGCTAAAACCAGAGAATAAGAGGAGAGTTGAGAAATGTGTAAGCTTTACCTACTTTGACGAGCCACGCTAGCAAGACGTCCGAGCTCGAAACCCACTCCTTTGAGCCCGCATCCTGCAGCTCGGCCATGACATCTTGCTTGTGTCTTTCGAGAAATGCCTTGGGCATACATATGGCCATCCCCACCAGAAACGGATCGAGGCGAAGACGGCGCTTGAATCGGAAAGACCACAGCCATCGCGAAATAAAGCCCAGTTTAAACAGTCCGCGTTGCACCCATCCCTTTGGGAAAGTTTGGGACGCAAAGCTGGAGAATGGTGCAACGTCCCAGGGCATGCCAGGAATATCGTCCAGCGGCTCGCCCGAGAGCACCCGAGTCCAGGCGTGGAGGAAAATCTTGGTACCCATCGCGTCAAACATCGCGTGGGTGGACGTGACGCCAACGAACGTGATGTCGTTGAAAGTCGTCACATGGATGTGTACGAGCGGAGTGTTGGGCTTGAGGAGATCCTGCACCGTATTTGGGCACGTCTTTCCGCGCGAAAACTGCCAAAGCGCCGGTGCTTGACACACAAATGGCGCTGTCGGTTTGGAGACGCGAAGTGTGGCGAGCGATGGGCGAGAGGGTGAGTCGTATGGCTCTGAATAGTCGCTACAGGTGAACGAGACCGCGGGCGTACTTGGGCTAAAATCTTGCGGTATCTGAAACTCGTATTTCTATCGATCATGGTCTTGTTTAGCTTTTCATAGCTCGAAACTTGAGGCCGTGGCGTACCTCATTTCGACGCGCTAGTCTCGCCCCCGCCCGCGGAAATTTCTTCTCGACTAGCAGAGAAACCGAGTTTTCGAGCTTCTTGGGGTCCAACCGAGCATCTACGACGAGGATCGTCGTGAGTATCATATCGGCCATCTCGGCGTCCATGCCAGTGCACGGGACCACACGAACGCCAGCTGGCGGGGGCGTGTCCCAGAAGCGCGAGAGGAGCCAGGAAAGCATAAAGAACCAGCACACTGTCATTGCGGTTTTTATAAATTTTATCAGACGAAAATATCGGCGCGGCCAGGATGCGAGTTTAATTGTCAGCGCCGCCATCTTTGTGATTGACCTGGGCTTGCTCGCTCTTGGTATAGCATCGTTTTCGTTTGAACTACCAAACATCTTCAGATAGCAGGTATTTTTAGCTGAGGAACAACAGTTAACCTCGCGTAGTTGCGGAAACTGAATGCATTTGCCCGTGGCCATGTGAAGCTCCGAAGTTTTCACGACCTGATCCACCGCGCGTCCCGGAGTCGGGGGCGGGGGATAGTCACCGTAAAATACTCGAGAAACAAATGCTTATTCTTGCACATCACTCTTTTCAACCTGATGGAATGCTTATCACTGGGTCGTATTCGGTTTTGATTGGGTTCTGAACACACCCTCGAAACTGTACAACTCGTATGCTTCCTTCATTTCAGCGCAACGTGATATGAACCTTCAACTTTCCTGCATCGGTGACGTAAAAGTCCTTGATCGTATCCACCCAATGGCCTGCCTCTGGCTCCGCAAAGCGCATATCGTACTGTTTGAGGATCGCGCTCGCGGTTATGAGTAGTTCGCGCCATGCAAGGTTCTTGGCCGCACAATTTGCTGCCCCGTAGGAAAACGGTATGAATGCCGCCTGATTGAGGATTTCCGAGTCCGATAACGGACGCAGCCAGCGGTCTGGATCGTACTTTTCTGGGGCCGGGTAGAAGTTCTTGGGGTTACGGTGGATAGCGTATGCCGGAAGACAGATTTGGGTATGTTCCGGAATAAAGAAACGATTGGCAATCAGCCTGGAGTCTCCGGCGGAGACCTTGCGGGCCCCAGCACTAGGAATGGGCGGGAAAAGCCGAAGGACTTCTTGTCTGGATTTGAATGAGTTGATGGACAAAGACAAGGGAAAAAAAAATGAACCCACAGGCAGGCAGTGACGATCTTCAGTTCTTCATGCTTACCAGCGTCTAGTATGGCATCCAAATCTGGGTAGACCGTGTCGACCTCAGCTTTTGCGCGCGCATAAATGTCAGGATTGGACAGCATGCACCAGACAAAGCTGTCAAGCGCAGTGAGCATCGAATCGAGGGAGACAATCGGGCCTACGTCGCGAGCGCCAAAGACGAAGTGTCGGTTCCTGCAACGATTGCCAAAGCGCCGTCCCCGACCACTTCAGCTATTGTAGGCTTCACTTTCTCATGTCCGTCTTCGTCCATCTGGCGTGCGTGAGCAAAAGGGTGGAAATGAGAGACCGGGGCTAACCAGGTGGTACCACAGATCCTTGTGTTCTTTCGGGCCTGCAGCGATACGAGCTTTAGTCCGCTGTCGCGCAAAAAGACGGAATTGTTGAACGCTCGGTAAAAGGTTGATTGTTGGCCACAACCAAGGTATTTGGGCTATGATCGAAGAAAGTCTAAGGACCATTCATGACGACTGAGAATTAGGGAAAGAAACAGAGACCGACTTGACCCCCAGTTTATTGGCGGCGTATACACCGTCCTTGTCTCCCCCGTCGCGCATCATTTCGAATCCTCCGCCAAACCTGAGGACGGGTTAGTGAGAGGGACAGCATGACCAGAGCGACCTACGCCATGTCGCCCATAAAATCCGAGGTCAGATATGTGAACCATTCTGCGATATCGATCTGTCGCCCTTCTCGGGCAAACTCGTCTAGCTGCGTGAGCAACAACGCTACTCGTTTGGCCAAAATGACTTCAAAATCTTTCAGGGAGTCCGTGCTCATGCCACGATTCCAAATCCGACGACGATTCGCATGTGCATCTCCTCGCAGCCCGAGTAGCGTGCTCGTTCCCAGCTTAGCATCCGAAAAAATGTCGTAGACTGCAAAGCATCAGCCAAAGGCTCCCCTGACTACGCGGACGCGAACATTGTCCTTTCTGGAAACCGCCGGGACCCAACACTGACTTGACTGCTTCCACATTGTTGATAGAGATTTCGTTGGGGCCTGTGTGGCACTGTAATTAGAGTAGAGTTCAGGGTACGAAAAAAATGCTTACCGATACGCACACAATCGCCGTAGAGGTCATGAAGGTCTTTGAGCACACGATGCCTGTTTCCGCTGATCCCTACTTTGACTGCCCAGAGCTTGCTGATTCTTGCTGCACGTGGACCAGGGATATGGGCCAAAGGATGCCAAGGGGAGAGACGATATGTGGTAATGGAGAGAGCTAGTGTTGTGAAGAAAACGGAATTGACTAGCAGCAATCCGGTAATGGTCTTGGGTCCCAGAAGTAGGACTAAGAGTATCGGCTGAGAGACTAGAGCTAAGAGCGCGTTGTGTGCTGTCTTGGGCTCGTAGCGATTACAATAAACATGATTCGCCTGTGTTCAACGATTCAGCTACTTGGATGTGGGATTGACTGGATAGAACAAACCAGCGCGAGCGCAGCTGCAGAAAAGGCCAATCGTTCCAATGCCATGGTTTACGGTCTCAATAGTGTTGGTCGACCATTTATAACCAACGTATAAGATTTTGGAAGCAAGTGGTCGCACTCTATCTAGACCTCTGTGTGAGCAAAATTAAATCGGCATTTGATTAGGGCGGCCACCAACTGTTCATAGCGGCGCGCGTTGTCCGTTCCGGAACTATCTACCAAAGGTGACATTCTGGGCGAATGACAGCGTTGAGAAACAGAACAGTCCTTGAACAAAAGATATGCTGACCAATACGATTCTCACAAAGTCGGTACGGCCAATTTGCGGCGTCTAGTCCAGTTCTGCCATTGAATTTTTTGCTAAAAATATCTGGGATATCGACCAAGGCGGAAAGTGATTCCGCCTCGCAAACCGAGACGACGTTCTTCACTATCAGGTGGTCTCGACCCTCATTGCCCCCCGATTTCCGCTCGGTACTAGAAGGTGGGTCAGGCCCCAAAGCCAACGGTACGCATCATGGAGACAAAAAACCCAACTGGTTAGTGTTGACATCCACCTGCAGCCGAGTTCGATGGATGTCGAAGGTTCTGGTGCGAGGAAAAAGGGTGGTGATCACGTGCCACCTCCACAGGATCAATCTGCCACACTGTCCTTGCAAACCCTCAGCACATTCATTGGACCCGCACGCACACTCATCGATTGCATGAATAGCGTTGTGCTTATGAAGCGAGTGTTAAATATAGTTTCTACCATGACTTCTCGTGGCGCCGAGTAGTATTGAAACCTTTCAACTCGTACTGACATGGAGAGGCCTACAACAAGCTTTGTTCGGCGAGCCTTCGGTCTGATCTGACTCCGGGGACTTAGAGGGTTCGCGAAGAGAAACCTGGCGGAAAATTCCGCAGGGTCCATTTATTTTGACGCGTTCCGTTTTCACCGCTTACTCTTGACTTGTGGCCACACACACACAATGGAGGCCCCACATCCCCCCGACACCGAAACCGACCACGATACCGCTGCTCATGCTGACGTTGAAGAAACAAAAACTGACGAAGACTCACACATGCGACGCGACTGGAAATTTTGGTCGATTATTGCGTCCCTCGCTATCAGCCAGCTGCTCACCGCCATAGAGTTTGTGAGTGCCAACTGCTCTCTTGTCGACTAGCCTAAGTCGCTATTCAGTCCGCCGTTAGCATTGCTCTTCCAGTCATCACAGAAGATTTGAAGGGAAACAACTACATTTGGTACCGTTCTTGAACTGTTGTTCTTCGTCTCCGTTGAATCGAATTACAGGATAGGGTCTGCATACAACCTCGCGTCAACTGCTCTCCTCCCCTTCTGCGGAGGCTTGGCCCAGGTAGTTTTGTTCCTCCTTGCTTGTTCAGTCGATAAACTTCCTTTTCAGATTTTTGGACGAAGAAGCGTAATGCTAGCTGCGATTGCCATCTTCATGATTGGAAGCGCGCTTTGTGGTGCTGCAAACAACATGAACTTCCTCGTGGCTGGGCGAAGTATGTGGTTATCTGACTTCATCCCCTGGTCTCATTCTTCGTAGCTGTCCAAGGGCTCGGGGCTGGCGCTGTCGTCTCTCTCATCCAGATCATCATCTCGGACCTCGTACCACTCCAAGCACGCGGTGGTTTCACAGGTATCATGTCTATGGCGTTCGGTATCGGTGCAGGCTCTGGCCCAGTCATTGGTGGTGCCCTTGCCGAGCGTGGACACTGGAGGTCATTTTATTTGCTTGCCCAAATACCATTGTCTAACATTTTTTTTTGAAGATGGCTCTTCTATATGAATCTCCCCATTGGCGGTTTCTGTGCTGTCCTCATTGCGCTATTCGTGCATCTCAAAACGCCCAAAGCCCCGCTTCGAGAGAAACTTCAGCGGTTGGACATAATGTGTGTACAGTTTCCGTCGACTTTCCAACCATTCTGACAAAGCATTTCACCAGTGGTAATGCTCTTATTGTGGCGTCAACTACTTCCATGGTTATTGCTTTGACATGGGGTGGAAGTGTGTTTCCCTGGTCGTCACCTAAGGTCATCGCGCCACTCGTCGTCGGCATCGCAGGGTTTGGCGCTTTCCTTGTTTATGAAGCTTTCGTTCCCCTTTACCCTATCGTAATATTTTCTTCGACTTCCTCATCCGGTTTGATTGATTGTTGTTGCAGATTCCCGTCTCCCTTATGGCCACCCGCACTGCCTTCAGTGGATACGTGCAAACACTGCTCAACGGCATCGTTCTCTCAGCTATCGGCTGTGCGTCAGCTCCATCCTTTCCCGATCGTTGTCTAACCTGCCACTCTAGACTGGTTGCCACTATACTTCCAAGCATGCAAATCTGCATCTCCCATCGCGGCAGGCGTCAACGGTCTTGCGATGACATTCAGCATCGCTCCAATGGCAGGTATCGGAGGCGTCTTGGTCAACAAAACCTCCCGCTATCGGCCCTTGATGTGGTGCGGCTGGGCTCTGATTGTGCTCGGTGCAGGATTGTTGGGAATGGTTGACGAAAACACGAAACGCGCAACACCGATCGGATACGAACTGCTTCTTGGATCTGGAATGGGGTTAATCACAGTTGGGGCGTATTTCCCCGTCCTGGCCCCGATTCCCGTCACACAGTCCACGCAGGCGCTCTCGTTCCTCTTCTTCCTCCGCCAGTTCGCTTTGGTCAGTTTTTTTTTCTATCCCCCCCCCGTGAGTTGCGATATTGATGACTATACGAATAGATTTGGGGTGTTACCATCGGTGGTACCATTATCCAGAACCGACTGGGATCCTACCTCCCGTCAGACTTCCTAGCCTCCCTTCCTGGCGGCACCGAAGCGGTCTTCTCCATCATCCCATCGATCCAAGGGTTACAGCCGGAATTGCGTGCGGAAGTCAAGTCCGCGTTTGCTCGCGCCTTCCAGCTTGTGTGGCATGTTCTTGCTGCGATTGGCGGTGCCGGTCTGCTTGTCAGTGGGCTGATGAAGGCGCTTCCCCTGCATACCCAGGTCGACAAAGCGTGGGGGCGGGAAGATGCGGTGAAGGAAAAGGAGAAGGAAAATGCGGGAGCGGCATAGAAACTTACTACATCGGACATATCACCTTCAACAAACGATTAGATTACTGTAGTCAAATACTCAAAATAGTCTTCAGAGAGCTTTATTTGATACATCGAGTTGGTACACAGTTCGATAGACAATTACCGGAAACAATACACTATAGCTAACTGAAGCAGATAAGACATAAGATAAGAGTACATCTGGTTTAGAGATGTTGAGGCCACAACCAGCTCAAAGTCTCCATCAAAATACCACGGGACGGCTGAGACTGGGCACGTGATATCCGTTCCAAGCGCTGCTTGAATGACGGCGGAGCACCCAGGCGTCGATACGGTGAGTAGCTCGAGGTCGACGTTCGTGATGAATGCGACGACGAACGTGACCGACCGGTGGAAGGTGATGACGTCACGCTCGACACCGGCAGGGAAGCTAGCGACGATGTGGGCGAGGCACTCGGCATTCCTTTCCTCAAGTCGTACTTGGCGATCGTCGCGGCAGCGCTTTTGCCCCTCTGCTTATAGACAGTTGACCTGCCCCATGATAAGGTCCGGCTACGTGGACCAGTGGGTGAAGAGTCGAGGACAACACGTGTTTGGCCAGCCTGTTGTCGTTGCTGTAGCCGCGCGGCTTCCGCTCTCCACACCTCCTCGGGGATTTTGGCAGGCTGAATAGTGTAAGAAGAGGGACGAGAAATTGGAGGGCTTGGATTCTCGCTAATGAGCTCGAATATTGAACTTGGCCGGTCATCGAGCTCCATGTCAATGACAGGTTGCGACTCTGTGAAGACCGGTGGCTCATTGACAAACGATGGGGTCACTGCTGCATAGCTTGAAGGACCAGCAGCACTCCATATGTTCGCTGGTGTTGGTACAGCAAATAGGTTCTGTTGGGTGGGTGTCGTACCATCATCCATCTCGATGTCCTGCAACGGAGGGGGGCTGACTACCAAGCTTGGCATGGACATAGACCAAGACGGTGTAGTCTGTGGTATTGAGCTGGACGGCGCAGGCCACGAGGATGTGGCTGGCTGGAATAGAGACGGCGTAGCAGTGAAAGCGGATGCAGTTGAGGTCTCATTGCTCGGTGAAAAGCCATTAGAACTCGAGGCGAAGGGATGCGCGGCATTGAGAGAGGAGGGGGTGCTCGGCGCCCCAAATCCGCTGCCGAATGCTGTTACCGTTGAAGCTGGCTGTGCTGAGTTGGACGACGACGACGAAACATTGTTATTGTCATTGGATTCCGTGGTTGAGCCAAACGAGCTTTTCGTCATGGTGGGAATAGACGAAGCTGGGGCAGAGTGACTGGAGCTGAGTAATGGTTTCGATGACTCCGCAGCAGACAACGTGGTGGGTGGTGGAGGATCGGACATGGTCGACTCGGCAGTCGAAGAAGAAGAGGCTGACTGCTCCTTCTTAATCCATGAAGGTGTGTCAAGGAAAGAAGGGATTGAGAAGCCGAGACGGGTGACGGGTTTGTAGTCAGACTTGACAGGCACTCTAACCTGCCTTGGTCCACTCTGGCGGTCAGACTCGGAAACAGCGAAAGCGCGTGGCCGTGTAGTGGGTACAGCCACCCCGTCGACATCACGACTTGAGCTGGCCGTAGTCGACGTCGCTGGCTGGATCGGTATCGGTTTCAAGTGTGCAGAGTCACTCAGACTCGGGGGTATCGCGGCTGCACATGTTGTGCGAACAACTGGGCCATCGTCCGCTGGAAACCTGGCAGCGCTTGTGGGGCGAACCAGCACTCCGTCGCTGTCGCTATGATTCAATTAGATCCCAGCAAGGATAAGAGTGATTCGAGTACGCACACTCTCCCCTTTCCTTTCCCTTCAACTGGTGGTGGAGCTAACAAGAGTTCGCCATAATTCTCCTCGAAATCTGCTAATCCGGCAAACTCCTTGTCGAAGAGATTGTCCATGAAGTAGGCGAGGTCGCTCTCAAGCTCGTGCTCAAGCTTGCCAATCGTCAGGTCGATAGTAGCGGGGAAGGAAGCATTCAAGAATGCCTCTGCGTCATCCAGACTTGATGATGCTGAAATACTGGAGCCAAGTCAGCTTGATTTTTGAGAACTGTCAACCCAAGAAGAACATACGCAACAGACATATTTTTTGGCCGCTACCCAGGTAGGAAGGCCGGTTGGTGTGTGGTGGAGAGAAGGAAGACGTGTAGGCCCTTCGACAGCTTGTTAGACGCCATCGTACTCACGCCTTGACCGTTGTTGTTGTTGTTCTTGGTCATTATAGCAAAAAGGGAAATGTCCGGTGATCACGCGCGAACTCCATCACACAGCTTGTTTAGTTGGAATGATTATGGTATATTTCATGAGGAGAGGCAGCCATACAACTACATGCGAACTACAACAAATGCCTAGTCAGCCATACGAAAACACCGAAAGCCAATACAATAGCCATCGCTCCTTGCGAGTTCAGGCCCACATTCAGGTTGGTCACATATCGCACCCCAGCACTAGTGCGAGATGCTCAAACGAGTCAACAACCACGTCAACTTCTCCACCTTCAGCTTTGCTCCGCACTTCCCCAGTCCCGTTCACTTTGCCTTTCTTCCCATTGGTCTTGCCATTCATCTTCGAGCTGGCGTTGATAAGCCGTTCCGATGCACGATGAACGTAGATAGTCTTGAACCCCACACTGGCAGCGACACTAAGTTCATCGACGTGGGCTGAGACGAGAGCGCATTTATTAGGTGGAAGACTCATAGTCGAGGCAGCTTGAAGATATGTGTCAGGCACCCTACTCAAAAGTTTAAATTACTCTTTTAATTGGATGAACAGCATGAAGCATACCCTTTGAAGCTTCCAAGCACAGTGCCAGAGAGACAAACGTCCCAGGACAACCCAGCATGACGGTTCTACGATTCTGTTCAACCACGTATCACGGGTAAAAAAAAAGATACTGACAATTTGTGTTTGTGTTCTCAGCGATTCGTTACAAATCGTTCCCACAGTCTTAATTGTCTTGATGTTCTTCAGTCCATCTTCAACATCGGGCCATGGAAGTAGTTTGCTCCAGAATTCGACTAGTTGTGTGCGAACTGGCGCCGTCCACTTGGCTGCCACGTCGGCTGCTTCCTTGCCAGAGAGAAGAGAATCCAGTGACTTGAAAAATACTTCAATTAATCGAGACGGGAAGAGCCATAGAGTACTGACAGTGCGATAGACTGTGGGGGCATCCAAGGCGCTACCAGACTCTGCGAGAGTTCGTCTACGGAACAAGGTGAGCTTGAACGGAGAGCCTGAAATAAGGCATACAGATTGGTCATGTAGATTTCCCGCCACTTCATCGCAAAACCTTCCCAATCCATCTCTTCCGCTGGCATAGATCTTAGGTGCTGGATTAATAATGGATAATGATCAACATACCCTCCGCCCAATATCGCCTGGCCGTTCTCCTTAATTCGGTAGCAACCGTTCCCTGCCAGTTCAGCACAGTCCCGTCCAGATCGAAGAACAGCATTTCAACTTTCGTCAGAGTAGTCGAGTCGTCGTCGGCGTAGGCGGACCTTCTATTTTCACACCATCAAAAATCGGGAGGGAATGAGAAACAAGACCGTACGTGTCATGGTCTCGCTCGTTCAAAGGGAATCTCCCAAACGTATTCTGCGACGAGCCGCGACGACCAGCTGCAGTCGATGAGGTAGAAGTAATATTCACTGGAGCCGATTTGCCGCGGGGGCCTGGGGCGGGGCTTGTGGGAGTGGGAGGGTTCTGACCAAGTCGGGAACCATTGGTATCTGACATGTTTTAACCTCAAGACGAACAACAACAGAATGCACGACACTCACTCCTCAAGGCGTCTTGATTGCTGGGAGTAAATTGGCGATACTGCTGTTGCTGTTGGTCTGCGAAGGCTACAAATCGGGTATCGATAGGTGAGCTTGAGGTAGTGCTAGCTTTACGAGTCCTGATGGCATCTGCTCCGAGTTGACTTGCTATTTTGACTGCAAGATGAAGCAAATACCTGGTGAGACGGATATTCCGGTGCTGGTGCGATAAGATTTGGGCGATTCGCTGACGTTACCAGGGACTGGGACAGCTGGAAACAGAAATAGTCCGTCAATGGCTATACGACACAATCGATTGACAACATACCAGGCGAATGAGCACGATGTAAACGCGCCTGCTCTTCAGCAAATCTACGTTGGACGTCGGTCTGACGTGTGATTTCTGCTAGCGATAAGAAATGAGAAGGAATTTAATGTGGACACTCACCCGGAGAGTGCGCTCGATTGTACCGTGCCTGCTCTTCTGCAAACTTGCGTAACATTGCCGCGCTCTCATCAACACTTGAACTAGCTATCAAGACCAATTGAGCGAAAAGAAGAAATAGAAAAAAAAAGAATTAATAACACACCAGGAGTATGAGCCCTGTCCAGCCTTGCTTGTTCTTCGGCAAATTTGCGAGCCCGCGCTTCGTCAACCTTGTTTCCATCCTCAACGAAGGGGTAGGAGCTGAAATGCATGATTGGTATCGAAGCTCCACTGACGTAGGAGGTGGCTTACGGTCGGCCTGCCGCCGTTCTGTTGGGGGGGTGAGGGTCAGAAGTTGTCGCGGCTGTGATAACCTAACTACGCACGATGGTCTACTTCCAGTGTTGTTATACATGCCAGCTAATCGCTTTGTGAGATGGACCAGAGGGTGGTAGCGAGGACGCACCAGCCGAACCCGGTCTAGTACCGCTAAGAAGGGAGGTTTTGTTACCTGCCCAGGCAGCTAAGTTTTTTGCAAGAGGCAAGAAGGAAAATGACGGCAACCCACCAAGCGATGATTTCCCGCGAACATGCCCCATCGTCGAGGCAGGCCGTTGGGTGTCCCAGTCACCAAAATCCGACGCATCTCCCACGAAACCACCCATTCTCGACTGAGCTCTGTCTGAGGTAACGCCAGCAGCAATGCCATTAGCGCTCCTCCGAATTCGCTCCTTGACTAGCTCGTCAGCGAGGCGTCGGGTCCCGTCCGCCTCGATAACGTTTAAAGTGTCTGTGTACTCCTTCAACAACGCCTGTCTCGTTTTCTCATCCCGAGTCTGCTTCAACTTCTCCATCATCTGTTTCTTAGCATTGAGCACCGTAGGCTCAAGCTCAGCCTTGATTTCCGAGTGGACACGCTGCTTGAAGGCAGCCAGGTCCTCCCCATCGGCTGGAGAAGCGGGGGTGGACTGGATACCCGTCATGGGCATCGTGGTCGGCTCCAAGTGGCCAGCCGGCTAGCCTGCCATCCGACATGATCCCTCGAGGCGAGCAGCCTCGAGGCAGAAGAACGCGATCACGTGGATGTCATCATCTGATTCACCGATTACACGACACGTGTCGGGTCGAGCGAAAGCCAGTTTCAGGTTCCTATCCAGGTGTAAGTACATAGAATGCTATCATAAATGTTTGACCCTGGACTCTCTTGACATCAAATGACCAAGCTCACGAGTAATATCATCGCGGTAGAGTCACTGCAATTTTGAGTGCTTCCCAAGAGTTCTGGGAGTCGCTGCCCGCCACGTATTGCGGTACCGATGCGAGCGCTAACGTCACCAGTTTGCACAGTTCCGCTTGACAAGATCTACTTCAAACTCGTCGATGGCGTCATTATGTACGCATGATCACAAATATAGGAAAGATGAGTGTAACCAAACTTACACTATGGAGATTAACAGCGACTTCTTTCCAGCGAGCACCTCCAAGACTTCACCTCAAATGCAAAGGTCCAATTACTGACTCATGATGTGACCAATCCCATTGATCCAATCAAAGCTGTCACAAATATTTCTTTTTTTCTTTCCACCGTTCCGTCGTTCGTTTGTCGTCAGATCTGAGTCCAACACGAGAGTCCTGTGGACCAGAACTGCGCGAAGCTCATGTTCACTTCTATATGGATGGTCAACAACGGCGACGGTGGCGACATTCAACGAAGGTCGATGAAGATTCTCCGTTTAGAATCATTGCGGTCATAGTCAATACAACCTGAAGACTCTGGTTCCCACTCCAAGTAATCTTGACATGCTCATGAAGGACCCAGGTGCGCTTACTTTCATGTGGTCGGGAAGCCATCCTCAACATATAAGTAGCTGACGGCAAACAATCTGACGACAAAGCTCTGCTTTCATTGCCACCCCTCTCTTTCCCTTGTTGACAATGGCGCACTACATGCGTGGCCTTCGCTTTCTATTCATCGCGGTCTCCGCTCTCAGCTCCGTTAATGCGATTCCCAATGGCATTACGCTCTTCGATCCTGCTGGCGACTTCGACTACCAGATTGGTAATGAATCTACAACTAACAGGACTCATTCTGACTTTATGATAGGTGGATCTTTTACCCCTGCCTCGTCTGTCACCACGGTTTCTCGCGACAAAGACGATAGTCCTGCTCCGGGGCTATACAACATCTGCTATATCAACGCTTTCCAGTCGCAGGATGGTGACGACAAGACCTGGTGGGAGCAGAATGCTGCAAATCTTCTCCTCCAGAAGAACGGAAAGCTTGTGATAGATCCTGACTGGGACGAGTACATATTGTAAGTGGTTGACGACAAATAACCAAGCTCCTGCTAACCATTATCTGACCAGTAACACGACGACCGCTGCCAACCGGAATGCACTGGCCGTTATTGTCGAGCCTTGGATTGACGAGTGTGCATCCAAGGTCTGTTTTTTTTTCGTTATATGGCGTGTATTAAAGTTCTCATTAGGGTTTCAATGCAATTGAGCCGGACAATCTCGACACGTACACCCGGTTCAGCCAGCTGACCAAAGCCGATAATCTCGCTTTCGCAAGAATTCTTTCGGACTATGCACACTCTAAGAACCTCGCCTTTGCTCAGAAAAACACGGCCGAGCTGCAGGCTGCAGACAAAACGACCGGTGGCTTTGACGTGAGTTGCCCGATCCTGAAAACAGGTTGACAAATGCTGATCCAGTGCAGTTTGCGATCGCGGAGGAGTGTGCGGTCTACAACGAATGCAGTGCTTATACAGCGTTGTACGGCAACCATGTCCTTGAGGTGCGAAAGAATAGCATTCCGTCGAGCGAGCTACCTACTCCGTTTCCGCTTAGATTGAGTATTCCGACAACGGAATCGACTACTTCAACCAAGCTTGCGCAGCCCTCGGTGCCCAGATACCCATCAACTATCGCAACCGCAACGTGACTCCAAAGGGTGTCGATATGCACTGCTGATGTCACCAGAATACGTTACTCGAATGAAAAAAAATATTTGGCCATACAACACTCACGTTCTGCGCAGCACAGAAAAACTTCAAAAAGCACACTCTCCGAATGACCCGCATCTGAGCGATCCGCCCTGCCTTCTATTGACCTTGATCTTGACGACAAATCTCACCAGCCGCAGATCCCGTAGGTTTGAGGCAGATTATCAGCTTCTACATTTGGGAACTCAGATCAACTTCAATGCATCGGCTTTCCAATCAAGGAGGTTTGAATTGAATTTCCTTCGTTCGATCTACGAGTGCTAGTTTTTTTTTGTCTCCGTGCAATAGGACGTTGCCTTGCAATATCTTTCAGCGTGCACTGCACTCGGCGAAACTTGCCTGTCGTTTTGAACTCGCCACCATATAAAGCGGGCAACTTTCAGCTACCAACAACACACACTCTTCTCCTTTCCTTTCTCAAGCCCTCAATTTATTCATTCCAATCTCAATATGCTCGCCCTTCTCACCATTTTTGCTGCCCTTAGCACTAGTATAATCGCTGCTCCAAGCTCGCTCACACTTTTCGATCCTTCTGGCGACTTCGACTACCAGATCGGTTCGAGCCTGCTTCTTCGCCGTCCGCATGGCTCAACTCATGTCCCAAGGTGGCGCGTTCACGCCCGTTTCCTCCGTGACCACCGTATCGCGCGACCGAGCAGACAGCCCCGTCAAGGGCCTCTACAATATCTGCTACGTCAACACGTTCCAATCGCAGTCCGGATCGGACAAAGCTTGGTGGGAGAAGAACGCAGCGAGTCTGCTTCTCCAGCAGAACGGCAAGCCATATCTGGATCCGGACTGGGACGAATATATTTTGTGAGTATGGACAACAACGGGGCGGTTGATGTTGAATGATCTAGTAACACGTCCACCGTTGCCAATCGGAATGCCCTTGCAGCCATCGTGAAGCCATGGATCGACGAATGCGCATCTAAGGTCTGTTGAGCTTTGAAAAGTTTATTGCATATTTTTATAACGCGGTTTGAAGGGCTTCAACGCTATCGAGCCTGACAACCTCGACACATACACCCGTTTCAAACAACTCTCCAAAGCCGACAATGTGGCTTTTGCCAAGATCCTCTCAGACTACGCGCACAGCAAAAACCTTGCATTTGGACAGAAGAACACCGCCGAGTTGAAACAGGCTGACAAGACCGCTGGTGGCTTCGACGTTAGTGTTCATTCATGATTTGATTAACCCCCCCAGTTCGCAATCGCGGAGGAATGCGCTTTCCAAAGCGAGTGCAGCGCCTACACGGCGTTGTACGGAAACCATGTCCTTGAGGTACTGTACCTACAGTTACATCGACGGTCTAATTCTGGTCACAGATCGAGTATTCCGACAACGGCCTGCAATACTACACGGACGCCTGCACGGCGCTCGGTGCCCAAATACCCATTACGTATCGCGATCGCAAAGTGACTGTCAATGGAGTAGATAAGCACTGCTAATAACGGATAACTCCAGCCTTGCACGCATTCGGCAGCCTCGCCAAGATGAAAGTTTCGAGCGCAGGCAAGACTTGCCTCGACAGTGGGTCCAACACGATGAGTAAGAGTATCAGCAGTTGTCGAGAGCTAATCAATGCCTTGTCGAGCACTGGCCATGGGTATTCCTCCAGGATATGCATGCCGTCTGGGTAGTAGACCGCATGACGCAGCGTTAACACAAGCTGGTGGATGGGACAATCCTTGATCTGTGGAAGAATGTTGAGGAGGCACGCCAGAATATTTGGCGCAGTGCCTTCGAGTGTGAGATGGCAGAGGTTGGGGTTGCAAGCCAAATTCATCGCGTTGACAAGACGACCTGACAATAATCCATATTCAGAGGAGAGAAGAGATACTAATGAGAGAGAAACTCGCCTGGAGCATCATTATCCCGGAAACGCAGTGAAAGCGACTTGAGCGACCGCCCTGTCTTTTCAAGGTACGCTGCGATGGCTGGAACCTCCCGTCGGACGATATGGTGCAATGTCAAAGTCTCAATTTTCGGCACGCAGTTGTCCAGTTTCAGCAGCCAATTGAGAATATAATCCAAGTCGCAAGTCAGGGTAAGCGTCCGCAAATTAGGAGGGAGCTGTACCCCAGAACCCAAGTCTGACGAGACGGAGCCGAAGTCGCCCATCCTCAACCAGCTTCCACCAAGCTCCAACGACGCAAGTTGAGGGCAGAGACATATGCAGTCGACGACCTGCCTGAGTGAATCGAATCGTGACTTGTAGTCGAAAGTCAGGTGCTTTATACGGGTGGCGTCGACCAACGCCTCGCGGAGGAGTGATTTGGTCAACGTGCGGGAAACCTCGTCCTTAGAGGGACGGAACGCAAGCCTTGTTGTCTTGGGGAGGCTGGCGATGACAGGCACCAGCTCACAGAGTGTCGCATCGGAGAACCGGATTTGGACCTCTTGAACGACAAGTGCAAGGTGGGGTGCGGAGGTAAGTATGGAGGTGAAGGCAGCTGCATTGTGAGCGGTCAGCAGGATGGTCGAGTAGAGATGGTATCGACTGGCAGGAAGCCATTGTCGACAGACAAGTCCGCAAAGTGCTAGCGAAGAATGGTCTGCGTGAAGGAAGTCGATGATGGTGTCCTCAACCTCAGCGGGAAGGCAGCTCATTCTGGGTCATACGAGACAGCGTTAGCTTGGCCGGTCGGTTATAAGTAATGGTCGCGTACCAGTCATTATACTGCCAGCATCTACACGTTGAGGGAAGAAGCGGTGCCTTGCTTATGCTTCATGGCCAGCCTAAACGACCCGCCGCAACCAAGCAGCCCTGGCCAATCAGGTCGATTCGGGTCCGAAGATTGGTTCTTTGCCACAAGGCGGGGAGCGACATCGGTTACGATGAGCTCATGGGTGTTTGTTATCAAAAAAGTAACGGACGAAAAATTTCCTCAACTTCACCCGGAAAATAATGTCGATGTACTGCTTTAGGAACGATTCATACAGAGTTTATCTTTCTATCTAACGCAAAGAAATTTTGATATTCAACTCGTCAGCGTCGGTGAGGTAGAAATCTTTGATTGTGTGCACCCATTGCTCTGCCTCTGGTTCAGCGAAGCTCATGTCGTATTGCTTCAGTATCGCGCTCGCCGTCATGAGCAATTCGCGCCACGCGAGATTCTTAGCGGCACAATTTGCCGCCCCCAATGAGAAGGGCATGAACGCCGCCTGGTTGAGGGTTTCTGCCTCGGTTGAGGGGCGCAGCCAACGGTCAGGATCAAAGCCCTCTGGGGAAGGATAGAAATTCTTCTCGCTCCGATGGATAGCCCAGGCAGGTACGCAGACTTGGGTGTGTTCCGGCACGAAAAAGCGACCAGCAATCAATTGGGGATCGCCAGCTGGGACTCTTCGGGGCCCTGCACTAGGAACAGGCGGGAAAAGTCGGAGGACTTCCTGTCTAAACCCATTTCAGTACACCGAATTATATAAGAGTCGAAACCTACAGGCAGGCAGTGAGGAACTTGAGCTCGCCGTGTTTTTTTGAATGCGTGATGATGGAGTCCAGGTCGGGGTAGGCAACGTCGACCTCTGCTTGAGCTCGCGCATAGATGTCTGGATTGCTTATCATGCACCAAACAAAACTGTAGGCTTCTCAACCCACGAAGGAGATAGAAAAATGAAGGAGCTCACCTACTCAGTGCCATAGAAGAGGTGTCCGATCCAGCGACGATAGTCAATGCGCTATCAGAGACTACTTCAGCTAGTGTAGGTTTGACCTTTTCATAACCGTCTTCGTCCATCTGCTTTGCGTGTAAAAAAAGCACAATGAAACTGATAATCAGCATTACCAAATGATACCACAGATCTCTATGTGACTTCGGACCCGCAGCCATCCGAGCCTTAGTCCGTTGTCGCGCGAAGACCCGGAATCGCTGAACGGTTGGGACAAGGTTGATGGTTGGCCATAGCCACGGTACTTGAGCTATAATTGTGGATAGTCTATTGTTTCATTAATAAACGTCGAGCGAACAACAGGGAAACCAACTTGACGCCTAGCTTGTTGGCCGCATATACCCCATCTTTGTCTCCGGCATCTCGCATCATTTCAAATCCTCCACCAAACCTTTGTGCAAGTTAGCACGCAAAGCTATGGTTTGGAGTCCTCCGACTTACGCCATATCTCCCATAAAGTCGGAGGTCAAATATGTAAACCACGCCGCTATATCCACTTTCTGACCGCTTTTGGCAAATTCATCGAGCCTCGTCAGAAGAAACGCCACGCGTTTGGCCAGAATCACTTCAAAACCTTTCATCGATTCGGTGCTCATGCCGCGATTCCAAATGCGTCGCCTATTTGCATGAGCATCGCCCCGCAGACCAAGTAGATTGGTGGTGCCAAGGTTGGGGTCTGAAAAAATGTTGTAGACTGGAAAAACATCAACCGGGAGCAACACGGAGCAAGGGAAACGAACATTGGCCTTTTTGGAACCCTCTTGGCCCCAACACGGACTTGACTGAGTCTACATTGATGACGGAGATTTCGTTGGGTCCTATATCCGAATGAGATGGAGTATGATACGATGTCTGTTTCTCACCAATGCGGACACAGTCTCCGTAACGTTCATGCAGCTGTTTGAGAACATGATGTCTATATCCACTCATTCCTACTTTGACTGCCCACAACTTGGTGATCTTAGCCATATATGGGCCAGGGATATTGGCCAATGGATGCCAAGGAGAAAGGCGGTACGCAGTAATCGAGAGCGCCAATGTGGCGAAGAACACGAGGTTGACCAAGGCGAAGTCGACTAGGGATCTGCGGCCTAGAGAGAGGACGAGAACTGGCGGCTGCAAGAGCAGCACGAGTAACGCAGTATGCGCCGCCTGAGGCTCATGACGGTTGCAATATAGGTGATTTGCCTGTGTCAGACAGTTCAGCTTCGGCATTGACAGTAAATGCGAAGCACAAACCAACGCAAGAAGTATGGTGGGGAGCAATCTATCGGACTCCATTGTGAGGGTATTGAAATGGGGGGCTCGTGTTGAAGACAGTATTTATATATACTTTTCGGAAGCTTGCTCTCTCTCTCAAGAGTTTCGTGTTAGTGGCAAAGTCAGGATCGAACGAACTATGAATTTCATCCGATTCTGCGGCCATCCTGACTCCACAGACGGGTTTCGCAGAGCACCGGAGATACGGCAGATTTGCCACTGTGTGATGAAACAGGTTTAGCATCCTAATGCTGGGGTTAATAGCCTACCTTCTCAGAATGAAGGAAATGATTCGTTGCTTGGATTAGGATATCTAGAGTTGCAAGTAAATCCAACTTTGGGAGTTGAAGTGCTGCTTAGAAATCCTCCGATTCTCTGGGGTTGGATGTAAACTGAAACCTTGACTCGGACTCCGACCCCAGCAGTTCGTCATAGGGGAAGCTGAGATGTAGGTTCAGAACTAGCGGTACAAATCATAGATAAGGACCGACTTTGTGCTACCTTCGCTTGCGAGCTCGATGCATGTCGATTGAGAGCGTTGAAACTGATATTGATTACTCCCTCGAAAGTTGGGATATAGAATCTGAAGCGCGATTTGGAAGGGATTGAGCGCACTACTAGTAGGACCATGAAGAGGCGGCCTAAGACGTATATTCTGGCTGCTTATTGGTTGCGTCGACGACGGCTACCACATCAATTCATTGTCATTTCTTCTTCTGCCGGCTTGGTATACTCGGAGCCGTGCTCCGCTTGGTTCGGCGTTGCACACGATACAACTCGACGAGCAAGCGAACGAGACGCGGGCGACGTTGCTTGAACTTGCTTCCACACAGACTTCTAGTATTGGTAGGACTGCTTTCTATGACGCTATTAGAAATAACAGGATTAGCTAGCACACAACGATACCTGCTGGTTTCCGTAGCCCCCTAAACATCATACATAAAGTCGTGGCTTCAGGCCTTCGATGGGCCAAAATGCTTCGAAACATGCCTCACATGGGGGCTTTCGGCGACAAACAAGTTAGTGTGACTTCGGTGTTACAGTGACGTCACGGTCTTGCAACTTCAAGTTGAAACCGACAACAAGCCTCAAGACTTGGTCTGTGGGCTCCATATAAGCAACACCAGGTATAAGGTACTGGTCGTCGCCCAAAATAAAACAACCCACCCAACCGCACACCTCTGGGAAGGCTGAATACTTAAAGACTCTTTCAAGTGAGCATTGACTTTGCGACTTCTCTCAGCAATTGACAACCAGGCAAAGTCAGACACCGTAGACACTGAGATTTCCGTTTGACACTGACCTGCAGTTGCTGTATCCACCGACGTCCACTCATGGGAGAACTAGAATTCTAGGATGGCTCTCAAGACTCGCCCTCGTTACTTATCCCCTTTTCTGGTTGGAACGCGGACCCGGCCTCAGGGACGCCCAGTCATGAGAATTGGGGTGGCATCTTTCGCTTGTCGTACCAGTCGTCGTCATCTTCCTGGCCGAGACATGGCGGAAATTACCCCAACCGAAATCATTCCGACTGTCGGCGGCTTCCATCTCGCCTCGCCTTTTTGATGCATCAACTTGGTTCAAGCTGACAAAAAACGTCGCCGCTCACTCGCAACTTGTCACTGCTGTTTTCTGAAATCTCTCTTGCACGGTGTCATCATTCACCAACCATACATTCAATGTGGATGGTGGTTCTACGTCAATTTAGTTGCTCATGGAAGAACATCAAACGTCGCTCACCTCGTTGTACCCCAGGCTACATCCCGTTTTCTGCCCAGAAATAACGGTACTTTGACGCTACCTTTCTAGGTTCCGAACTCAGAGGAGACAGGTCTTGGCACTCCGAGTCGGTCATCGCTCGATTCTTCGTTCCGTTAATATCCGCCCACCGTCATCGATGGCGATCCGTCTGCCTTCCCCACATGGTTAGCTGACCCCCCGCATTCCTTCTCCCGTGCTCCAACGATATATTCGTTATGTAGGTCAAGCCAGCGCGGGTGAGGGTACATATAGAACTGACTGCTGTCTCCCCCCTCCTCAAATCCTCCATTCACCGCAGTGTTATGATCCAAAAACGGAATCTTCCCGCAACGCCAATCTCACTGCCAACCCCTTGTTCTCTGGCAAGCTGATTGGCCCTTAATCTTGCGTTCATAGACCTCCACGATTCTCACATCAATGAAATCATCACGAATCCCGAGTCATTCAACTGACCGGCGATTCAACAAAATGCGACCTCACTAACTCGCAATACTATCGTCTACAGACTCATATCTAAGGCCCTCCCTGCGGAAATTTATTAGTACACTTCATCTCGTTGGTTTCCCCCCACTACTTATTGCTAGTCTTATTATTTCATGCAGACCGGGACGCTCATATCAAAACCCTTCCTCTAAAATACCCTTTTTCTCATTTCACCTTTGTCACAATACAGTGCTTTCGCAGTCCCTTATGACGTCCTAGATCTTCTTAGGCTCGACACGTTCAGAACCCGAATTACCTAATCTGGGCAACAGGATACAGAGGCAAGAAAATCAAGTTGTAGTTGACAGATCCTGGATACGCTCCTCACGCGTTTGGTTCCAAAAGAAGCGTATAACAGAGGGCAAATGACCGCTCGGACAGATTGGTGAGAGACCAACAAGCCACGAAGGTCAGACGAAGAGGGTGGTCATGACGAAAGCAAGCATCGAATCGGTCAGTGCAAATTTAAAGTGGGAATACGGAAGCAAGTACATGCTGGCAAACACGACGGACAAAGCTGAACGATGCCGGCGGGGAAAGTTTATACCATAAACCGTGGGCGCCGGCTTGTGACCGTTTACACCTCATCGAAGCTTTGCGTTGTTATGAAGCCGAGAGAAGAGAAGAAGACATCGTCATACCCGAGTGGGCTGCATTCGTTCATGACCACTGTCTGACACAAGATGTACCACATTTTCCTCGAGAACACGACTACTGAATGTGGTTTGTCACTGTCGTCAGAGTGGAGCACGGGTGCGAGTTCAAGTTCTGTGAGCCTATCAGACATGCGAGTTTTGTTGCGGCAGCCCCGCTTATTCATTTAATACCTCAAGCAAAACACAAACTCGCCTATTGTCGGCCTCGGAGTCACTTATAGCTTACTTGCGCCACCGTTGACCACATATTTCAAGTCGTCTACTTACTCTATACTGTCTCCGTGGTCAGTGCTCGCTGTCTGACAGTTTTCTGCTCGAAACCAACATATAGAGTGTATTATGATCGTGACGGGGAACTGCGCGTATGCATGTGCTATGTTTGGAACACGGAGCCGTCACGCACGGTCAACCGCGTTGAATACCAAGGGACAAACAAATCATACCAGCTGAGCCGGTCACCTGGCCAGAGCTCGAGACTTTCTCTCTCAGCGCCGTGAGCAATGGTCAAGGCCGAGACGGCATAGCCATACAGATATTCTGGTTTAGGCACACGACCACTAGGAACTGAATTCAAAAAGTATGGGCTGCCAGGTCGTCTTCGGCAACATTGGCAGCAAGCCGGAAGGACAGAGCAAGAGAAGAACTGAAACAATGAGCCGGAGATGCCCGTGTCTCCCTCCGCGGTTACTCTTCCCTGGTGACAGAGTTGAGAGGCATCGAGGTATGCATATCGGTGGACTCGTGACGCATACGAGTTCCCAATGTCGACGCAATGTAAAGCAGTCCTGGTGATTATGAACCACTTGGCCTAAGCCTAGCTTAGCCCTGGTCGTGGGAGACGGATCTACCGCAACGGGCACGAGACACACGGAATCAAAATCCATTGTAGGCTCCTATGTTTAGGTATGCGGTAGTCATGCGGCCGTCCGCGATCCTTGAGAGTTTTTGGGAACGACCGTGGGCGTTTTTCCTTTAAAGGCGGTTGGGTTGCCTTGGACGCGCCAACTGAAAGATAGCGAGAAGGGGGGAATCAGGAAAGGAAGACAGTCGCGAAAGGGAGTCAATTGGGAAGGAGAGAAAGAGGGTGTCGATATCCAAGCCGTTCTGGTAGATTGAGCGACGATGAGAGCCCCCCCAATTTCGCTTTTTCGCACTTTATTTGACGTAGCACCGTACGGAAATTAGGCTTTAGGGGAGTTGAATCTGTGTATTCAGAATCTTGGTAACTGTAGCCAATGCCGAAGACTGGAAATAGAAAGTGTGGCATTACTCCAAGTCTGTTTACGTCGCCCGGGTTGGAGTCGCACTGCAGATCGAGGAAAAAGCGTTATCCATTGAGGTTACATAATGTAACCCCGTCGCAGGACGCATCATGGCTGGCCATGCGTTTATTTGCTAGATATGATTTCCAATCAAGCCATTGTCGTGGGGTTATATGAAAGCTTTGTAATAGCGATAGTGGACGGAAGATGGGAGATTATTGCCAGGACGAAGCCCTACCCCATACTACTATGTTTTCCCCGCACCATAATAGAGTAGCCAGACGGGCCAAAAGTTGGCAACTGGCATGTCGTTATATTTGTTAACTCCGCGCGATGCTTGCAGGCAACGAGCAACAGGCCAACAGTCATTCAGGGCCTCAGGTAACGCTGCTCGTGCGGCGAACGTGCGAGTTGGGCCATGCTTTCAGATTGAATCAAGTCAGCGCAGACCATAAGTAGATTCCGCAGTCAACCCAGTCATTGCCATTCGGAGCCCCCCGATTACACAGGGTTATTGGAACATCGCGGAACGACTCCAACGGCGAAAGGTCTCTGGAAAATCGACACGGCGATCCGCAATTCGACAAGGTACTAGCAGCGAGTCTAGCGAATATGGCATGGAACAGGGAAGGGTAAACATTTGGAAACCGAAGATGACGAAGGGACTGGTATCTCCGTTGTCGACGAAGAATGCGATTGTGAGAGGAGTACCAGTAGATTAGGCTGATATGATTCAGATGGTCATATTCCGACAGTGCCTTTTTTCAGGTGCGGCTCATCCGTTGTCGGCGACGCGGCAAGACGCGAGAAGTTTCAGATACCCGCTGAGCGATGACGGCAGTAAGTATGCGGCAGTACAGGTCGTATTTGCGCGCCAAGTGAGAGGGAAGGGGTAACGAGTCGACGAAAAATGGGTCCAAAATTTAAAATGGTGCGAGGGCAATGATCCATATTGTAAACTCGATATAAAGCTGTCGATAGCAAGCGGAGGGAGTCGACCAAGCTCAAAGTTCTAGCTGTATCTTCGTCCCTTCCAGAGTTTTTTGCACCCGAACCTTCATCCGCGGACCGCTGACCATGGGAGAAAGGCAATAATGCCAATATAAACGGAGACGGAGGCGGAATCACCAGTTGGCAGATTGCCCCGACCAAAGCGTAGGCAGCATAAGCTTGGACCGCCCAGCGCTCGTATAGACAGCTCGAATCGGCTTCAGCCTGTTGAGGGGCCGAGTTGTTGCTATCGCTCTTGTTTCGACCCCTGTTGGATGTTTCGATGACGCTTGCGCCACCGAAAAATATGGCAAATGGCAATCATCGCTGCATGAATGTCTGAATGAATGAAAAAGGTTGGTCCTCGGCAGTGGGTTGACCTGACTAAACGGGGAGTACAAGAGTCAAGGACTGTCGTGGTAGATTGGTATGAAAGGTTACCATGCCAAAGAAAGAAAAAGCACGAGCAAAAGCTACGACCGCGATCTGGCCGTGTTTTTCGAGAGAAACATTGACGATTGAGAGGGAAAAACTGAATGAGACCGGAAAGGGACAAGCATGGCTTGATGTGCCTTTGCTGCGAAAAAGACATGAGCATGGGAGCGCGGAGGCGGAGGAGTCGTACTGTGTTGAGATCTGCCAGTCGGTGGGTATACAAAGATGCTTGACAAGCAGCCAACAGTTTGCCAACAGTCCGTCGGTCGATTTGAGCTCGTCATGGGGCGCATCGAAAGGAGACATGGGAAGCGTGGGTCGGTAGTCACGCGCCCACGATTGGCGGGCTTTTGAGGCAACGGGTAAACCGGCTAACTTGGTCGGGCGAGTCAGCCCAACAGCGGCCGATTCGTGGGCGTGTTCTCTCGTGTGCGCCAGATGTCCATGGGCAAAAGAAAAGTATCTGGTAGTAGTATGACGACGAGGGCAACAAGTTGCTCGGAAATAAGCTTTGATGTCAGTGAGCGGGGGCGGCCACGAGTTTTGTTACCTCAGCAGAGAACAACCGCATCATCAAAACAGAATATTTTTTTTGGATTTTTTACGAGATTCAAACGATCGAGATTGCAGCTCGTGTGTGCGTGACGTGACCCGTTTCGTCTCGGCAAGCAGTATTTATGCGAGTTGACCTGTCCACCTTGAAATTACCCTCCCCCGGCGAGCTGTCCGCCTTCTAATCCATTCTCTACCTCGTCATTGTCGTTCTCTTTCTCGCCGCTATCATGTCTTCGCGCTCCCAAGCCTCTATCACCGCTTTCCCCTCCGTTTCCAACTCGCTCTCTGGTCTGCCCAGAGTAACGAGCATGTCGAACGTTTCCCTACACCACAACATGAATGCGCAATACGCTCATGACAGCCAGAAAAAGGTTCGTCTTTCAATTTGCTCTTATCTTGACCTCCCGCTGACATTGCTGCTTACAGCTACAACAGGCATTGGGCAAGCCATCACAAAGCCACACACCAACAATGTCTGGCCCGCCCTCACCCTACGCCCCAGCAACAGCACCGATAATGATGCGTGCTCCAGTGAGTAGTCGTCCGGTCCTGGACCGTCCTCAGGGCTCATTGAACTAATCAATGTTGCAGCCAAAATCGAAATGAGGACTTGTACCCTCACTGTTTCGAACCCATAGACGTCTCTCCAACTCGCCTGGACCTCGTAGACTATCTATCTACGCCACCGGCTGGCCAGCCTTCAAAACCCCTGCACTCCTCCTCCAACCCGCCTGTACATATTGACACCCTTGCCGCGCATCATCGTCTTGCACTCGCTTTCGTTCAACTGCTATCGATCCCTCCAAGCATCACACCCTCATAGACATCATCTAACTATTCTACCATCCACCTTGCATCGCTCCTCCATGGCATATAAAGCACCTTTCTCTTCGGGCTTCATGATCATAATCTTCTTTCGGGTTTTGTGTTTCTAGTACTTACCAACCACTGTATGTCTACTGCACATCGTATCGCTATCTCACACGCACAAATTCAATTCTCCAATCCAATCCGGCAAGCGGTCAGGAACTCTAACTATTCTCAGCAAGGGCAGAAACCCTCGAGATGGCCGCGCACGAAGGCCCTCCTGTCCACTCTTGGGTAAAAGAAGTACTCAAATCGGGATTTCCATGGGCCAAATGAAAAAGAAGCCGCGGCCTGAAGGCACTCAGGAAAAGATTAGATGCAATCTTGTGCGAAGCCCTCTTTCATCGTCATTATTCATTTCCCGTTAGGCCGACGTCGAAATGAATGAAAGCCAACGAATGAGTTCATTGGACTTCTCTTCTAACTCACGAGTCGGTATTGGTAAAGGGCGGCTTGCAAAGCCTTACTGGTTACCGCGAGACTTTTCCCAGCGCATCCGTTCCGAGACACCGAGAAGAACACGTCTTAACGTGTGGTTTTCCCATCGCCATCTGGCGCACCTGCCTGCAGGCATATCTACTGGCACAAGGCACTTATCATAACGTCTTTTGACGCGTCTTTCGCTCCAGATGGTAAGAAAGCTGCCTCAGCGACGAGTGAGCCTCATAGTAGTGATACGGATATTTCGATTTTCCACACTGCGCGACTGTGAATTTGCCTCCGATGAAGGTCCCGTTGTTTTGAGCAGGGGGCCATGACGACCTCCAATTGACCGTGATTTTGCATCCGCTGCCTCTGACGATCGGACTTGCGCCATTTCTACTTGCGAGTGGCAAATCTAAATACCCCTTCAAGTTCAATCTCAGCGACTGTTACCAAAACGAAATGCTACGGAGGAAGGCCCAGTAACCAGTCGGCCGGGGTTGCGGAATGGGCTCGGATGCGCCATCTTCATGGGATGTCTTCTCGTTCGCTTTGTTGAGTTGCCGCTTATACAGTTGCAGATGTCGACGTCAACGGAGAGGCAAGCCAATTGAAGTTTTCCGGGTTGTCCATACTTCGCTGCAGAGAACACCGTTCAAATTCCAGCTCAATTCTAACTGGTCACTGGCATACTATCTACTCTGGCTGACGAGCTAAATTCCGCCGCTCACCACCTCCGCTCCGTGAACTGGACTGAATGGTCGAATGATGATCTTTGGGTACGCGTCTTGCAAGTCGCACTGGATTGGTCATCCAACTGTTAGGAGCGCTCGGCAAACAGGAAAAAGAACAGAGCCAATGCTTGCGCCGCCTTGCGGTCAGGCGCGCCATGTTTCGTCGTCAACGCGTCAAACTTTGCAAATTTTTTCTGTGCGTAAAACCGCAGGTGCCTGATTGAACGTCATTCCAACGGATGTAAAATATGACAAAGCTGACAAAGTTATTCTTGAAGCAAGCGCCAGCGTCGGTAGATACTTATGTAACAGCTACGTCCAAAGCCTCTCTTTTTCTTGCGCACGCGCTCTCCGGCCGCCAGAGCCTGATAGGCAAGACTTGTGCTAAGGACCACAACTGATTTTTTTTGAAATTATTTTCCCCCCTCTTGATCCAACTTGCACCCTCATCATCGTCCGCGTCGGGGATCACGTCACTATGTACGCCGACGCCGACGCGTCCTTTCGGGAATTGCGCCCATCCTTCCTGATCCGCATGATTGCAGATCAGAGGCCACATGATTTGTGATCGTTGATCATGCGTCACCGCGTGACAAGTCGCGTTCTTCCCAGGCTACGCCGGGCCGCGGAAGATATCTGTCGCCGCCTGGATTCTGGTGCGTCTCAAGACAAAGTAGGACCAAGTGCGTTTGGGGGTGAGTACTCGCTCGGCGGTCGAATCTCGACTCTCAACATCTCGGTACTTGTTCCAGCCCCTCTCCATTTCGAGCCCTGGAATGCGGAAAATGCCAGCGCTTTCTTTGTTCTACAGCGCGGTGGACAGCAGGAATCATTGTATCGAAGGCGAAGCCTGCACTAGAGAGACTTCTGAGTCTTCTAGATCGCCGGCGATTGACACGGTCTATAAAAGAAGCTAGAGACAACAAACCATGCCTGGATGGGACATCCCGGCCACTTGGACAATGAAGCCCGGTGCTCGTCAAAGAAGGGCCCTCGTCCTTAGTTTCGAGGTTGAAACAGCCTCTAGTAGATGGCATCAATCAGTACCATCGTTATCTTCCCCCTATCTTATCGCACCAAATTTACTCAGCCACCTCCGAGTCTGAGTCTCACTCTCACCGATTGCGCGCTTCTGGAGTACACACTGATCCCCGTCGACTGCTTGTCAAAAAGGCTTTTCTTCTTCGACGCGTTCCGTTACTCGTACAACCTTTATGCTTTGTGTGCCCACTGCCCAAGGGTTTCGGTGCGCGGGCGCCGTCCTCCCGGAATAATCACAATTCATTGTTACTGGCCGGTTTTCTCGTTTCTTTCATGCTTTTATGAATGGTGCTGCCGGATTGAGCGATTCCACCCATTATCTCCGTCTTCACCTCACCGCCTCCGCGCCTCAGGGCCCATCACGCATTCTCCGAGTTGTCGAAATTTCGGTCGGACGACGGGACGGCCAGAGATAGCTCGAACGTGTGCTCGTGCTGACAAACTTGTACACTTCTCGCGCCCCCGAGGCAGCTAAAAGTAAACAGCGGAACCATTGGGTATGAATACAATGCGATCTGAAGTCCAGAAGCCGTGGCGGTCCATGTTAGGTACTGCAGTTGACTCAAGTCCGCGGAGTCAGGCTTAACGACAGTCACCGAGAGACAATTCGTGCCATATATATCGGCACCGACAACGGCAAGCCATAGCTTTTTTCAGTACACGCTCGGAGCCAGGGAGAAGAACTCGAATGTCGATAAGCATGCCTCTAGCGGAGAGACTTTAGTGAGGCTAGTTGGAGCTTGATGTCTCGCAGAGTCTTGGAACCAGAATGGTGCTGGAATGGACCATTATTATGTGCTGTTATCGGTCTAAATTTTGGAGACTCGGAGGCCCTTCCTAGTCGAGCTCTATATGACCCGATATCTGCCGTAGATTGGGATAATTCAGTACCGGCTCAAAGTTTGAGTAAGATAGCAATAGAGGCGCAGGAAAAAGCAAAGAAGTGACTAAGCAACCATTGATGAGGTCGGATCGGTCCGAGCCGGGATATCGATAAGATAAGATGGTAGAGATAATCTAATAAAATGTCGGTCGTCTCGGTGCCAAAAAAGCCATTGACTTACGACTCGTCTGATTTAAACAGTTCTAAGTCCCCACATGAGCTTTGCTGTAGTGGTCATTTATCAGAAATGGGCTGCCCAATCATGTCATATTGAAACGGCTGCTGCAGCGAAGACGACTGGAGGGAATTCAATGCGATGTCACAGTAAATTTGAAAGCTGACCATGCACATAACTTAAATTATATTCTCTAGTCCGCGGAGTCGCGACTCGCATGCGCTAGTATTCAAGTTACCAGATAATCTGTTCAAGTTGACGATCGAGTTTCGGGCCAGAATGCCACCCGCGGAGGCTAGAGTACTTCTTGTCCACGTGGAGCTTGGAAGCAGTGCTAGTGGGAGGTTGTCGGCAAGTGCCCGTACGGCGTCTGAATAACCGAGTCCCCGTCCAAGTCGACCTCAGTTGGCCCAGGCCGTTAGAAAGAATAGGCAGGAATATCTTCAATCTAGGCGCACAGCAAGGTTTCAGAACATGCTTAGCTAGACAGGTTGCTTACATCCACAGAACGCTGGCAGCCGTCGACGTTCGAGTTGAAGCCTCAAATCCGTTGACATGGTGCCTTGGTCCGACCTACAGGAGAGTTGCTCATCGTCCGCCGCTTGAGAACTTGGATTCTGCGCCTATATACCGGTTTGTCAGATATACGATAATGGCTTGTTCATATCAACAGACCACGGGAGTTGTGACATTTCGCAATCTGCAGGTGCTTGGCTCGAATTAATGGGCGTTTGCTCCCAGACTGATCCCATACATCCGTATCGCACACACGCCAAGGGCTATTTGAAGCGTTTTGTAGCATCCGCGTCCTCGATTTCCGGTTATTGGGAGTCCGGAGACTCGCTCCGCTGCCCGTGAAGGGAAGTTGATTGGCGATGATGCTACGAGTGGATCGCTGTCCAAGTCGGACATCGGCCGTTGGATGAAACCAAGCCGGCCAGTCTACAGCAACCACTTATCGCTATCTTGCGTGCGGCTTGCCAGTGCGACTCGGAGAATCCCATCACTCGATTGGTCTGGGATGAACATGAGAGTGAATACCTGATGAAATTGAAGAAGCCATAAAGGCATGCGGACAGAGTCTAGGGCACGAAAACAACCCTAGAAACTCGCACTATCGCTGCAAGACCAGCCGAGGTCGAGTGGCAAGCCTCTCCATAGCTGTCGACGTCACCAGCGAGATTAATCGAGCATTCGCGTATCGTGGGCCATGTCTTTCTTCACCCAGAGACTTGGATCGTCAGCCCGTGGAGCACAATATCAGAGCTTGAGAGTGGCCGATGGCCCGACCACTTGCAAGAGTGCATAAAATGTTCCGTGCCGCCGTCGGGGAGGCGGGGATTTGATGGTGATGATGCGAGTCTCGCCAACGCTCGCCCCGGCCTACACTCTGGAAGGACATGGTGGGTGGAGCAAGCCAGAGGATAGGCGCAAAAATCAAGCGACAAAGTTTCGAGCTGATACCAAAATCAGACATGACATGGGATTTGGGAAATCAGCCATCACCAATGCCTACCCAAGTTGAAAAAGAAAAAGCCATCCTCTGTTTAATCACGGCGAGAAAGAGCCATGGGAGACACGAAGATGATCCACACGATACGTAGAAACGAGGGCTTTACGATGAGAACCCTTGGTTTCAATAATCAGCCCAAGTTCGAGGGTTTATATCGAGGGGACAAGATTATCCAAGTATCCTCCAAGTCTCCCTCCCGCCGTCGGGGACCCAGATAGGGGGCGTGGCAAGTTTACGGGCGCGAAGTCGATGCGAACGCAACTCTGGCCCCGGCTTGCTGAATCTGGATGATATTCAGCAGGGAACAGCCCGTTGGAGAAAGGTTGGCATCGACCACGAGTCCGGGCGCAATATATTGTCTGTCTGTGCAGAGCGTGAGGATGTCGGCCTACAGCATGGAGGTAAGGACGACGAACCAGGAATAGACACAGCATTGCTGTGTATCCCCGAAATTCTGGCGGACATGCAGTTGTGGCGAGGTATAAGGCCTACAAGTTGCTCGTAGCGTTGCGTTGTGTGGGCGTCGCAGGAGCGTTGTCCATGATACTGGGAAATGGCGCCGAGCTAAATACGACTCGACAAAGTGGGGATTACCAGTTTTTGCTCGGACCAGACCTTTTCGAGAAAGCCAGTTGCACACTAAATCAGAGGTCAGATAGGACAACGGCCGGTGTGAATTGCATACGGCCAACTCCAAGTGGTTGATAACTTCGAACTTGAGAGAGGTGACTATACCGTCACAGTCAATTTCTCTTTTCCGCATGCCGCATTTTGGTTCAAAGTGTGGCAATGACACGCAAGACGGCCATTTCGTCGAGGACTGTTGGATTCATTCAAGCTGACGGGAACTACAAGCAATGAAAGGGAGATACGTGCATATTCTGCTGAGCCCATTGCAAGCCATCAAGCCCATTGCAAGCCATCAAGTATGATAATGGTGCCAGTGAATGACAATACCCTTTGACAGCTGTTGGCAAAATTATAGGCCACCTCGAATTTTCGTCACTCAAGGATTGACGGGTGATTTGCCCCAATCTGGCTATGCGCTCCACAAATCCATTTGCTGGCAAGCAGCCGAGTGTGGAGAATGTATGGTGGTCACCAGTGACATCTCAAGCTTGGGTGGCCTATGATTTTGCCAACAGCTGGAATTCGACTGGTATAATCAGCCTTTTCAGCCCCTGAAAAGAGTCAAAGCTTGTCGCCAATCCGCAATGCGTCCTTTGTTCTATTCTATGTTCTATATAAACCGCGCAGTTGACGTCGCTCGACCAACTCGAACCACTGGATATGGACGACAAATTCGGACTTCAATACCCCTTCATCAAGGTATACGCTGGCCGTTACCACTACAATCCTTCATGCACTCTCTCGTTGTCAACCTTCGAAATGTCCTCCCACGATTTCTCCTCATCCCGACGCCGAAGAAAAAGAAACACGTATTCTCCACGTACTTTCTCGTCATGCGAGAGTGTCTTCGATATACTAAACGAGACAGCGCCACCGGATCCACTTTGGCAGTTCCCTCCTTCGGAAGATGTACTTGCTGAGCGCTTTTCGTGGGGCATAGACGGTCACGGGACTGTCGATCCGGCAGACGCATGCGCATATGAGCCATATCTTGCTTCTGGAGATAATGAAGACCTTTTTTACGACGGGACCTCCGATTCTGAGGTTACATCGTCCGCTGCTGGCTTGGTGGATGACGACAGGGAGGGGCAGGACTACTGCTTGGCAGCCGCAGAACAGAGCTATTTTGCGGATGAATTATTTGGCGACGTTTATTCTGTAGAGGATACCTTCAGCTTTATGGACGAGGAGTGGCCATCGCTTAAGACCTCCGAATTCGGTAACGAACACCGGCCCATCACTCCGTTTCTTGACCAGCAACAGACAGCGTTACACAAGTCGAAAATAAACTCCCGCAAGGCCTCGAAATCAGCAACTGGACGGACCCGAGCCCGCAGAACAACCAAAGCTAGGCAAAACTCACTTGCGCCACGTGAACGAACCTCTACTGTCGCGTGGCGCATGCAGAGCCAAAAACCAATATCTTATTCAGCTGTCCTCGAAGCGATAGCGAACGGCGCTCGACTTCCGCCAAACGCAACTCTTATTCCCCCTGACCTGCGTCACCTTCTGCTTCTGGGCTGCACCATCATCCGTATTCGTATTCGTGGTCTGCCCAACCATCAAACTCGTTTAGCATGCCAGGTTTCCTCTTGCCCGCAATTCGGTGTTCCCCAACGATTGACTGACATGCACCGGCATATGGGAACCCACTATCCTTGCGGCTCGGGTTGTCAAGTAGGGCAAATCCGCCACGTCTCCGCTCCACGAAACCGGACTGTAAGTTGCCCATGATTTGGGCGGGAGATTGAGTGTAGCAATGTCACAGGGTATCTCTTCGCTTCGACCAACTTTTGTACATGTATTACTGTAGTGTCTTTGGTTTGCAATCATCACTGTCGTAGAGTCAACTTCCTTAACATTTCCCCCCAACCTTGACCCTCAGTCGATGGACCGGACATGTCAAATGACCCGGGCATGGGCAAATCGTCGTCTTCGCCCGGCTTCGCATGTGGATGTGGTTTAGGTTTTGGCTTGACATCTTCCTCTCCGTCTATGCCTTCCGGTTCTTCGGTCATTTCTTGTTCGTTTTCAGTTGCTGGGGGCGGCGGTGTGACTGAAACGTGTTTATTGTCCGCCTCCCCTCCGCCAGGACTCAATCCGGGTTGTGTAGTTGCTGGGGTTAGGCCGGGACTCAATCCACCGCTTGATTTACCATTCTCCTCTTCTTCGTCATCATCGTCGTCATCACTGACAGCCGCCCAACCACTTTGCTTCTTCTTTTCCCGTTCACGCTGGGCCAACAAGCCACTGTTAAGTCGGCTTAAAGCACGAGCACTTGCGATGGCAGATCGCCAGCGAGCACGAGGGTCGAAATTCTCCCGCAGACCAGCACCAAGATCGTGTTCCGTCGAAGGGTCATGGGTTGTCAACCACTAGATACAATTAGAAAGACAACTCGATCCCACAATAGGACTACGAACTGTATCATTTAGAGCTTCTGCTGCTGTTGGTCTCTCGGAAGGGTTTGGATTGAGCAATCGTTTCACAAAAGCTTTGCCTGAAGTCTTGGGTTGGACAAATCCACTTGGAAGGTCAACAACATGCACACCTTCGTCCGAGACATTCTTCCAATACTTGGTATGAAATTCGATTTTGGCAGCGATAGTCTCCTTCATGAGCGCCTCGGGGTTTTCTGCTCGGAAAGGCGTATAACCGCAGAGTAGGACGTAGGTGATGACACCTGTTCCCCAAACATCTACGGCCTTCCCGTGGCCTTGTTTGGTGAGGACTTCAGGAGCGACGTAACCTGGGCTTCCCGCTAACGACAACAGTTGTTCGTCCGAAGCATGGAGGTGCTTTGCGCTAATGGTGTTGATCAGACAAGTACTTCGGGGCCGGGACTGACACCGACATCCCGAAATCGGCTATAACAATGTCGCTTTGAGCATCCTTTGTACGGTAGAGGATATTTTCAGGTCTGGAAATGGGTTAAAGACGCCCGAAACCGACCGAAAAGAAGCTTACTTGAGGTCTCGATGAACAATGTCATGGTCGTGCAAGTACTGGACACCAGATAATATCGATCTAAAGGTGTTACAAAGGGTCAAGAGGGAATTGCTCGACTTACTTGACCACATTTACAGCGTCTTTTTCCGTGAACTTGCCCTTCTCCTGGATGCGATAAAATAACTCTCCACCGACAGCTAGCTCGAACGATAGGTAGTATTTTGTGCGCGATTCGAACCATTCGTAGAATTTGACCTGCCAGCGATGTGTCAACAAGGAGACAAGGAAAGGAAAGCATCACACACGATATTCGGGTGATCGAGTCCTTTAAGCACCTCCATCTCCCCCCAAACGCTAGCTTCATTGCCTTTTACTTTCTTTTTCGGAATGAGCTTAAGTGCCACCTCTTTCTTTATCGCGCTTGTAGAAGTAGCGGACGGTGATGGCGATCGAGAGCGCGAAGGCTTGGAAATGTTTGAGTTCGCCCTCGATAGTCGAGACGAAGAGTCTGATTCGATACCAGCTGATGCCCCATGTTCAGCCAGAGCCGCCTGTTCTTGCGGCACATGCCAGGTTGCGTGCTACATTTCTTCATGAATGGAACGGGAATGGACTCCAAATATGAGGAGCTACTAACGACGACTTTGCCAAAAGTTCCGTTGCCCAAGACATCATGGACTTCGTAATGCTTCTTCTTGTAAAAGCTCGCTGGTTGGGGAAGGAGGGCATCCTTGATTGAGAGGTGCATGGTGGTCAGGTAGGATGGCCAGGTCGGGGTTAGGACGAACCAATGGGAGCCAGAAGTCGCGTAAGGATATATTGGGGAAGCAAATGCTGTGCGTGTCAGTGACGTCACATTGCTTATGCAGTCCGGCCGCCCGGGCGGCCCGGCCCCCAACGATAACGACGACCGCAGCTCACGGTTTGAATTCGAATAGGTCTGAACATAAACCATAAGTCTGAAGCTATACTACAGTAAGAAGGGACTGGTTCTTTTTTAAGTCTTAAATTGGGATTTACTTTACTGCTTGCTTAGAACCAGAAACAGACTCCGAGAGACTACTTTCAGGATCGAATATCTGTTACATAGGTGATATGTGGGTCCATTTTCCTTTGTCGGTTGAGCTACTGACTCGAGTAATCGAACATCAGAGAATCTAGTCTTGGGCCCTTGGCCTGGACTACGGTTCAACTTTTGTTCAAATCAAAACTGAAGAAAGTTGAACTAGACGCGTGACCGAGAAGCGCGTCCTGCTTTGCCTTGCGCACTTTTTGGAATCTCCACTTCATTGTTCATTTTTTTGCGCACCTACAATCGTGACAAGGTCTGTTATGATCTCATCAGTCACGTTCTGACTTGCCTTCTCCCGCTAATTTGCGAGCATGCCTTTACCAGCAGAGACAATAACATTGAATTTTGCCCCACAAAATGGTAAGAAAATTAGTTCTGCAATGCATCCCGTCTCATCTGGTCCATAAGATCGTTTCCAGCGTTACCCGATTACTCATCCACGCGGGAAAGCTCTTGCTTCTGCGTTTCGCGCCATCGAGGTATCTCGTTTCAATTTGTGACGCCTCTCGAGCAATCACTCACAATTCCTTGTTTAGTCACTTTTAAGCAAGAAAGAGGGTATGCTCAGATCCGAGTCTTTCCTCACTGCTCAGTAGACTTTTGACGTGTCACATCTACAGGTTCTCTGAGCTTCTCCTATGGGAGGAAATGGTTGAAAGATACAGACTCACCACTCAGTGTTTGTATTATTATTCTTCAAACCTATTTAAATATTCCAATTTTTTTTAGGCTGGCGTTGCTGAAGGAGATACCATCACATGCTCCATGATGCTAAAAATTAGCATTGTCAGGCCAAATAAGGGTAAGCCTTTCTTTTTACCTTTGCACGCGCATGCTCAGCTTCTACAATTAGACCCAATGACATTTAGAGTGTCTGCGTCTGACACCCATCTCACTTTCTCAGAGCTTTATGAACGATACGCGGTGAATAGTCACGTCTCCTAGTGCTCCTGGGCGAGGTCAAGGCTAAGATATTACAGGATACATTTCAAAAAAAGTCAGGTTCGTTTGTTTATTGCTCTTCCTTGCGACTTATTGACCTTGTGATATAGATGATTTCACCTTCAGCCTGAATAACAGACTCGTCGACGGTAAACGCCTCATTGTCGATACGGTTTGCTCTCACAACACTTTTCGAACAAGTTGACTCATTTGATCCAGATTTCGGCATCCAAGTCCGATATCAACCTCTACGCGTGCCCAGTAGAACGGGCCGGCTCGTCTAACCAGAATATGGCTCAGGCTAGACGAGATGACTTGTCCAAAACTGGCGAAACAAATGGGCACTTGCCCATCCACAGAGCTTCCTCTCGGCGTCCCTCATCCCGACTTCAATTTTCCCCAGTCGTTGAGCAACATGGGGTAGATTCTCTGCCCGATAACACACAAACGCCGGCGGGGACACAGTCTGGGTCTGGAGTTCAATTACATTGGACTCCCCCGTTAACATCCCTTCCAAGTCGACGCTACGCACCCACCCTATCTCAGATTTTAGCTACGAGCAAAGAACAGCCGAATCTCCCTCCAGCACAGTTGCCTACACCTCCTGCCTCCACTTCACCCCCAGCTGTTAACACACCGTCTTCCTCATCACAGACCCCATCTGAAGAAAACCTGAATCCTGTTGCTTTTTTCACCAAGCTACGTACTCAGTTGCTCGTTTCGGATGCAACGGTCCTCTCCAACATCATTTTCGCTGCACTTGCTCCCGTCCCCCCAGCTCTCAAGGATGACGAGTTAGCCAATGAAGATGACAACGCCGTATTGCACAACGTTGCGCGCGAAATCTTGATGTGGAAGGGCAATCTTGTGAAGGCCGATATGGCAGCTAGCTTGGCGGGGTTTCCTGAAGGTGTCGCAGAAGGTGAATTTTCTAATGATGTCGCGACATATTCTAAAAAGCTGCTAGTCGAGTTCATAAAACGTCAAACATCGCATTTGGCTGAGGTGGACCGGTTATGGAATGAATGGAAAGTGAAGTTATGCGATGATTGGGACGAGCACCTCTTTGACATCGAGGATCTTGAGCAGATTGTGACCCAACAAACTTCGCAATTGTCGCTAACACCTCGCCGCCGCCGTAAGACTGGAGGACCCCCTTTGGCCGTTCGTCCACCAATTCCGTTTCGAAAAAACATGTTGGAGCGCGCCACGAAGCGGTTGCTGCGTGATGCACGGTTGGTTCACATTCTTGGCCTTGTGCTCGAAGGGTGGAAAGCGCAGCTGAACCTAATACCGGCCTGGTCTACCAGCGGCTCTTATATTATCGAACTGCGAATAACCCAGTTCTGCCAGACGCGGATCTACCTTCCTCCCCATGCGGCAAAGGGCCGTACGGTCTTTATAGACATGCTTAACGGAAACACTCACCAATACCTTGTCAATGCCAACAACGAACCCCACGGCTCCCTCTCCCGTCGCTCTGGACGCCTGCAAATCAAGCCCACGCGGAACTACCGTTTCGGAAGATCCAATAAGCGCTCATGGAAACAAGGCGAAGCTGCACATCCAAAAGACGTGGGATTTTGGGCTCAGACAATGACACCCCCGCCCTCCTTCCAAGCCCCCCGACTGCCAACACCCTTGTCGTCAACATCTTCGTCGCCTGCGCCGTTTACGCATATGATCCGGTAAGGCCTTCCTATGCGCTATGACTACTCTCATCTTCTGCAGACACCATGTTCAAACTGAATGGACTAAATTGGCTCGTGCAGCCGGCGCGGCGCCCATTGAATTTGTCAACAGCATCGACGATGAAGAGGTGCCTCCCGGAATCAACAGTCTCTTCCGTTACACGGAACGGGACTATATCATGTGTGTCTTGGATGGTCTGGAGACTGTCGGCTTATCTTTTCAGGAACTTCGGTATTTCGCTCCCGACCAAAATTGTCGGCTGTGACTGTCGCCAAACATGCAGTCATTCGAGTGGTCCATCGTGTCATCAGAACACGCCAGCATATAATCCTCATGTAGCTACTATATCATCATTGACTTCAAGTTCACGTTTCACGAACTACTTCATAGGGCCTTTTCATGTTTAACACGCACGAGATCGTCGAGTGCAACAAGGTAAGCCTCTTTACGGGTCTCTATGCTGTCCAACTCAATCCGTTTTAACTCCAGAGTTGTTCATGTCCACCTGATTGCATGAATCGCGTTGCTCAGCGGCCTCGTCAAATCCCTATCCAAGTCGTGAAGACTGACACACGCGGTTGGGGTGTCCAGTCCCCCATGTCAATTCCAAGGGGGAAAATGCTTGGTCTTTACACCGGGTAAGTCTATGCTTAGCAAAAACAAAACAAAAGTTCAATTGATCGACTCAAACAACCACAGCATGCTCATGTGCGTGAAATAATTTCTGGATAGACTCGACCTTTTCTCATGACTTTCGTTAGCAAAAGGGAAACTGCTGATCATCTTACCAAAGCATCTTACTGTTTCGACTTGGATGCTAGAGAAAATCTTGATGATGACGAGGAAGACATGGCGGCGGAGCACATGTATAGCGTGGACGCTTTTCCTGCGGGAAATTGGACCCGGTTCATCAAGTAAGTTGTTGGTTGTGGTACCATGTCGACTCTCACTGACTTGATCCCAGTCATTCTTGCGATCCTAATATGGAGACAAGAACCGTTATTTTCGACTCTAATCCTACTGTTTGTGCTGAATTTGCTGTGGAGGACCTTTATTGACCCTTCGAAGGACAACGTTGGCTACATTGTTTTTGTGGCCTGCAAGGACATTCCACCGTTCACCGAACTTACCTTCGATTACAACCCACATCAGCAAAGGAAGTTCGAGATGATGTCTATGCGCGATAGGCTGGACTATCTCAAAAACGAACGGCGACACCATGCGGATACGCGGTGTTTTTGTGGTTCTGGAGCCTGTCGAGGTTGGTTCGCTTGAGGTATTGAACACTGTGTATTCCTCTCACCCAGCCATAATGGCTTTGAATTTATTGGTATCTAAAACAGCAGAGTGAATCAACTTGAGCGAGCCATACGCACATATACGCTCGTCATCGCCACACCCATCGTGAATCCAACCAAAATATTGACAAAGCTTGCTCCGCGGAATATCTTGGCGTATTGGGTGCGCTCTGATTCATCGTCGGGCTTGAAATTAACATCTCTCTTTGAAAACTTTTGTTCTGTGTACGGTGCAACAGCGAGGCCTGGCAGGCCGTCGAGACTGCGCATGTTTTTGGTATTCCAATATCGTCTCAGTCCGTCCACGAGACCTCCGTCGGGCTTCCCGGACTCGTCATGCTGCTGGTCAAGACGTTCCTTATTCGTTGCCCAGGTCAAAAGTCGGGTGCGATGCGACTTGAAGTCGAAGAAAGGAACAGAATAGCCACAGGACTACGAAGGGTCTAAAACGGCTTGCGGCGGAGAAGATGAAACTCACCGTCCCAACCTTGAACACATCTACCACGATGATTGAGCGCGTACCGGGTTTGCGCGACTCTGGAGATATGTAGGTGTCGAATTCGGGTGTCCCAAACTCGTAGACGGTTCCTACGATAAGCCAGAGTTGTCAAAATGTTGCATTCTGGATTTCGGGCCGCCAAGCGCTTGCAGATCAACTTGAAGCAGACACACACCTCTTCCATATAGCCTCGCGATACGAGGGGGCCCTTCAAACGCGTTAAAGAGTACAGTGATGCGCCCGTTCTCGCGGAGGTGCGAAATGGTCTCAACACCTTGATGATGAAAGTCAATAACGCGAGAAGTAAGCTAATTGAGGAACCTCACCGCTTCCTGTGAGATCCTCATACCACACTTGACGCTCGTTGACAATATGAAACATGCCTATGAATACCATTTAACCATAGACCGCGAATAGCATGGCAGAGCTCTGGGAGACGGACCATCCCCACCCTTGGGAGACACATTGACATGGCCATCCCCCGACAGAGGCGCGGTCGCAACCCAAAAGACCTGCTGCTTGTCGATCCATTTGGCTAGACTAGGCGGTATCTCGTCGAAGTATTGCACCATAATGGCGGCTTGGAGAGTGAGTCACAATCCATGTCATCCAAAATAGGCAACACTCGTCCGTGTCCTACATATGGCAATTTTCGGACCTTTCGGCCGAACGCAGTAAGTAGAGCGAAAACGCGCGGTACTTTGAAGATTACAACACGTATACTGGATGAATAGAAGATAGACTATGTAGACTTGTAATGACCACATTTGGCTATGGTCAGACTAGATATTGTAGTACTGATTTACGTGATCCTCGGGATAGCCTTCTGGAAATACCGAGTCTCGATCAGAGAAAGAGAGAATATGCTCGAATCAGCATGGATGTCCGGTCAAAGGACTGTTTTTGTTACACGCGTGGTTGTCTTCAGCTACCTGTGGGCGAATCTAGCCATTGCTGAACCCGCGCTCGACCCAGCATCGACCCAGGAATCGGTGACAAGCTTCACAGCATGCGAGTACCGCAGTGTCTGATAGCCATGCAGGGTATCCAAGTCTATGGGCCAAAGCTCGACGACCACAAAGTCGTGTACGCGAACGGCACCAATGTCAAACATGCCTGTTTGGGTGCTTTGGTGGGGGCGAAGGGAGCCAGAGAAGTCTAGGGAAGGTAGGGAATCATATGAGGGCGGCTGCAGTACGAGCGCTGCAGAAGCAAGAGTGAAGGCACGGGAGGCTCGTCGCCCGTTGATCTCGATGGCAACTTGCCGGACGAGAGAGACACTTAGTCCTTCTTTTCGCTGGGTCTTTGTCGCTGCACTGTGTGTACTGTGTGGTGATACAAAGTGTTGTAACGCAGACACAGACCCAGAAAGTTGAACATGGAAGGGGATGGTGTCATCAAGACCGAAGATCTCGACGGCGGGCAGGAAAAGATGAAGGTCCAAAGGCAATGCTGTTGACTTTGGCCTGGGCGACACTTCCCAGCTGAGTTGGCGAAACTCCTCCGGCATGGCCTTCACGTCAGCACGCAAGTCAGAGAAGGGTTGAATTGGTCGCCATGGCCGTAGCCGTGGAACATATTCGAAGGGAATAGTGATGGTGCGACTTTTGTTCAAAAATTGCAGCTTGCGACTTCTGGAGCGAGTGATCGTGACAGAAATGGAATAGCTGCTCTTGAAATACAGCCCAGGGACCGTTGTCCATGGGATTTCATACGAGGGTGGCAACGGATGCGCCACCAGGTTTTCGTCCTCAAATTTGCCGCGAATCGGCACTGAGAAGGGGACGGCGCTTGGTGACACAGATGTGGAAGCCTTTTGAGAAGACCACAACGTGAAACTGTCGTTGAACAGTTTGGTGCTCATTGAACCGCCTTCCGAAATCATGAAATCCATCTTGCCCTTAACCTGTAAATGCTGTTAGTCGCCATTAATAGCTTGAAACGCGTGAATAACGCACCTTCAACACGATTTCGGATACTGTCTCGCGTTCTTCAACGCTCACGAAGCCATTGATGAGACCTTGTCGTCCGTAAGAAGGAATTTCAGCAGCGGGGTCTTGGTCTGCAAGAACGACCGCGTCGTTGCCACATCGTTGGATGTAACTCCCAGTCGGAAGTTCGCGAATTCGTGGAGTATGAGCCACAATCGACTCGTCATCTGCTGGCTTGGGGGAGTAGGAAGGTACAGGGGGAGGTGGTGTGTATGGTGGTAAGACAATTGTTGTCATTTTGGGCTTTGTGGGGAAGCCGGAAAGCTAAGGAAATGGGTGCTGTCAAAAAGCTAAGAGGCCGCATTTTTATAGGATCGCTTGCGTAGACACCGTCGATGACTCGAGCTGCGGTGCTGTGGAGGTTGGCTTACGAGACACTGCGATCAGCAAGCAGACATCATGAGACCGCGAACTTATCGGGTTCACAACTTGGTTGAAAGCCCCCGGAAAGCCGTCGATCTACTACGGGTAGACATTTCAAGGCAGTGAGTTGAGATAGACACAGTTAGAGGGCTGATAATCGCCAGAAAATCAGTTGTGTGAGGTCAATGAAGTGGTTGATGCACCGGCTTGGTCAGAGTAATTTCGTGACTCACACTGTTTTCGGCGAACCTCCTGCGGAGCCGCTGCCTCGTTTCCATCCAACAGGTTCTATTTCCAACGCCAGCCACACGAAATGAATATTCCCATATCCTACTAGTATCTACAGCTAATAATCCGGTGACCTAGCCGAATCCCGACTGAACCCTTGGCCACGCTCTATTTGCGCAGCTTCCGCAAGCACCGAACCTGCAGGAAGCAGGTCAGGCCGATGTAACCCCTCGTCATCGCTTTCTTCATAACGAGCAAAATCCAGTGTACCGCCACTCGCGCGACCAGGCAACAGTAAGCTTCCCATTCGTCGAACAGATCGTAACGGCGAAAGGAGTTTTGATGGCACGGCTGGAACTGGTGGTTGCGGCGGCGAACTCGGGGGAGGTTGAAGTTGCGCAATTGAGGCTCGACGTGGTAACGCGGGAATACGAGATGGGATGGGGGAAGGTGGGCTTGGTTGTTGTTGAAGTTTTCGACTTGAGTCGGATGATTGTTTCAGGACAGGCGATGAAGGCATATGTCGCAAGCCTTGCTGCTTAGCAGGACCTGTTGGCGACAATTGGGCATGAGATGAGCGTCTACTGAGAGTAGGCCGGGGGGAAGCGACGGGAACTGGCGACTCTCTGGGGGAAATTTGGATCTGGGATTGCGACCGGAATGGAGTTCGACTTCTACGAGCAATAGGTGAGTGCAGTCCTTGAGAAGAACGTGTTATGACTGGCGAGCCAGGTTGGGTTGGCCTTGGTGAAGTTACTGTCATGGAACGAAGCGACGAAGCTGATCCAGGAGCTGGCGAAGGCATTGGCGAGTAGGCAACTGTCGAATTCGAAGATGAGGCCAACGGAGAAGGCTTAGTCTTCTTTCTTATCGGAGCCGGCTGTCTCAAAAACGTGGCTGTCGCAGTCGGTGCACCAGCTCCATATCCAAATGGCTTCCGGAGCTGAAGTGCATTTTGTCCACGCACTCGCTTTGCCTCCGCAACACTCGGCAGATTGACTCGAGACCCGAAAGTTGGCGTTCCACAGCGACTGCTTGCTCGTTCGACGATCTCCATCCCGTCTCCGTCGTCAGCTCCGTTCTTTGCGTTCCTGCTATTGGCAGCCTCTCCAGCTTCAAAGAAGGCCGATCCGCTCCCAGACCGAGCTCTACGAGAGGCTGAGATGGGCACGGCGACGGGAATCGCTACGATATGACCAAAGAGCGAACCGGGAGCTTTCGTGACACGGACAACCTTCCATCCAGCAGAGGCAGCTAGTCCAACAATCTCACGCAACGTACGTTCTTGACCATTGAAGGTTACTTGCATCTGACCTAGCATTAGACTAAGAAATTGAAACAACAAATCACCCACCGTGAGGTCCATCCAGTATACATTCGCGCTGGCTTTGCCTAGATTAGCGAGCAGCGGTGCTGGCGCCAACATCTTCTCTGCGCCTTCGACTTGTCCAGCACTTTCTTCTCCTACTCCAAAGTCGTCTACACATGCCATGGGTAACACCCAGTCGGCAATCACCAATCGAGTTTCGTTTCCTGCGGCCTCCCTCAGTCTGAGGAGGATCTTGTGGGCAAAGGCGTCTGGCCAATCGTGCAACACAACCCGGAGAAAATATACCGCCGCGTTGAGAATGGGCTGTGGGGTAAAGAAGTCATGAACTTGGTGGATAGCTCAGTCTACTAAGCATGATCAAGGCGACAACAGACCTTGGAATCGGACCGAGCCGGAATCGAGAAACTCTGGACACTTTGCACGCCAAGCCTTTTCTCCCATCTCCACTACCACCTGTCGATCTTGCACAACGAAGCGCAAACCTTGAGCTCTTTCAGCGCAAATGACGCAACACTAGATAAAATCCTACCATCGCCATCGGTCCCAGCGTAGTCGCTGGCGAGAATCATCGTTGTTGACCCAATACCGCCTCCAACGTCCACAATTGTACTTCCTGGAGGAAGCGAGGCCCAATCGAAGCCGGCCAACACTGCACCAGGAGCCTCCCAGCTGCCCGTACCTGCCATTGCTTTCCCAAACCGCTCCAATCGGAACTGGTTCGGGTTTGACGCTATTTGGGGCGGTGGCGCTGGCTGCGGACTTGAACTCGGCTTTAACGGAAGTGGCAGCGGGATTGAACCCGAGCTTGAAGTCGAAGTTGTGCTTCCACCGATACTTCGAAGACGACGATGTCCGTTTTTCTTGGGATGATCTTTGGCAACCTCGACCTCTGAAACACAACCCTCGCCTTCTAACCATGCAAAGTATCCCACTCCGGCGCATCCGAATGCGTGGTTGAACGGCGCACGAGTAGGATCAGAGTGGGCCGGTAATGTCGATGTCGATGATGGGTTGGACGGAGGCGCCCTTGCAAAGAGAGAACGTTCTACTTCCGGAAAGATCTTATCTACATCAGGGAAGACAGCCTCAGTTAGGTATGCGCTTGCTTTATGTAGCTCGTCGGTACTGAAAACCTGTTCAGTGGTCGTCTGACATCGCAACAAACTCACCAGAGGCCTACGAAGGCGGCCACTGCACCACCGTCTTCGTCATATTTTCGTTTCGGGCTACATGAGAGAGCATCAGCCAGAGGCGGAACTTCTAAGCAGAAGACGAGGGTTATGACGCCTTCTTAGAGCAACAACGCTTCTTGCACGTAAACTCGGATCCGAGTTGCCCATACGCTCAACGAGGTAATGGGAGTGCTCTTGCAGGTGGAAGAGAACCAGATGCACGATTCAAGAGGGAAGGGGAAGGATGGTACGAACTTAGCTCGCAGTGTGGCAGCTGGTCTTCCGCTATCTATCAGCGATGAAATTCGGTTAGTGGCGAATACATCTGGCTCTACTTCGCGCAGGATGTGATGCGTTGCGAGTAGCCTGAGTATATGGGCTGTTCGGCGCATGAAAAAGACGCGTTTCGGGAGAAAAAAAAACATACCCAGCTTTCCCTGTTCGACCCCAGTCTTGTTTGCCAACTCTCGAACGTGAAGCGGTCCATCTCGGAGGATTTCTGGGATATGAGTGGCCTCCAAAAGGCGGAGACAACTTGGCAGATGATAGCCCATAGCAGCGTCGCAAATGGTCAGGAAAGGTGGATTGACTGTCGCGCTCAGCTGACCAGCGGCAGAAACAATACGATTTATGGCTGCCGCCACGGTGGGATGTGTTGTGAGTTGCTCTGCTTGAGAGAGGGGATCGAATGACGCGTCGAGAGAGGGGAAATCGACCAAGTTTGAAGAGGGAACAGGCGATGTCGGTGAAGGGGGCGGGCTTGCATACGGGCCGGAGAGGTTGGCGTATATGTGTTCAATGTCAGAGAGCGCGTCTCCGATAATTGTGTGCAACGCCCGCAACACAGAGAAGGTCATAGTGGAGAGAGAAAGAGAGGCAGAGGTGCTGCCCGGGCTAATGTCACAGTCGACCGTGGACTGCTTTTTCGGGAAACTCATGTCATCCATTGACGCGTCTTCTCCGAGTTCTAAACTCCATTCTGACATTTTTGCCGCCGCGATCGTAGGTGTTGGTTCCTGTTGAATCAAGGCCCAACAGTTGGAGTCGTACCAGCAACAACAGGCCATTCATGTCAAAAGTTTCAACGCTAGTCTAGTACTCATTCTCTGTTCACTATCGTCAAGCTTCGACGAGAGCGGATGGTAGACAATCTTCTGTTCGTTACAAGCCAATAGATCGATTGACTAATATGAAAGAATGAGCCTGAGGGATGTTTGTACTCGTCCAGTTAGCATGGAGAGATGAATTTAAAAAGGTGGTTCAACTCTCCAGCAACCTCCTGAGGTTGGCAGCAACCTCCTGAGGTTGGCAGTCACGATGGCAAGGCGAGACAAAGGCATCTCCATGCTTGATAATTCGTTCCGCAGAGCATGCGTTACTATAAGACGAGTAGTCGATGCCCAAAAAAACTGACCGCGGTCAAAGTTGATACAGGCGTCTGGGGTTCGCCCAAGGAGCTGGGTTCAGAATTATTGCTAATCGAAGCCTAAGGTGTCCGAGTCCAGAAGATTTGGCGGCACAAGCTCTATGATGCAACAGGTTGAGGAAGAAAGGACAAGAAAAGAGTGAGCCAGAGGGTGGCGGAAAATATGAATCTCTGAGGCTTTTGAAGCTTCAAGTTGCTAGTTGGATGGCCACCACTCGTTATCCAACAACAGGTTAAAGAAATGGCACTGTTCAAGCTGCTCGCAAGCTGATGTAAGCGTGCCAGATCGGCCGTCAGAGACCAAACCCAGTGCTGTACAAACGGCCGTCCAAATCGGGCGAATGGCCCCAAAACGGCCCCTTTTTTGATTTTGCCTGAAGGGACATTTGATTTGTGACTGAAGGTGCCTATATTCGTACCTGAAGGCACTTAAATTTGCACCTGAGGTCTCAATATTCATGCCTATAGGCATCATTCATTCTTGCCTGAAGGCATCTTGCAATTTATACCTGAAGGGACTTATAATTGTGCCTGAAGGAAAACTTGACTATAGGCATTTTCATCGTATAAGTACCTCTGGGGACTTGATGGTGATATGTTCCAAAAAAGGCAATTTAAATAACATGTCATTTCAACTCATTTAAGCCACTCTCTGCTCATAACACAATGTATCTCATGAAGGGATAAATCATTAAGTTGTATCAGACTGGTTAAAAATGTCCTCAATTAATTACAGCTTGGATTTCTTAGATCATAGTAAGGCCAAAGTACAAACCATTTATACCTATCTTATAGCATCTTGCTCTTGTTGGTTTTAATGCTGTTTCTCTGTTATTTGGTGACTTGCCTATAGTGCTTTGCTTCAGGATTTTGAACTGTAGCTTTTTTTTTTATATTACAAGTAACTTGAATTCATCTCAGTTTCTTCAAGTAATGATAGGCCTGAGGGCATTTTTATTTGCTACTGAAGGGAAAGAACAAAACTCACTGCAGGAACAAGAATGAGCTGTCCTACAGTGACCAGAACTTACACTGAAGGGGCAAAACATAATGTACTGTAGGTTCAATGCACTTGCACCTGAGGGAACAGAAATTGTGCCTCCAGGCATGAAATTGAATGCCTGAGGGAGCATAAAATATTGCCCTCGGGCACGATATTTCGTCCCTGAGGGCGCATTGGATTTTGCCCGAAGGCAACTTTTTTGTCACTGGGCCGTTTTGGGGCCGGCCCATCAATGGGCCGTGACTCGTACAGCACAAGTGCCTATCTGGGCCGTCACAGAGATGTCACATTTCTCAATTCCTCATCCCGACTACCACAGGATCAACATACATTATGCCCTTTACTCCCATCGTAGCACTCTTGCCTCAAATTATACTTTCAAGCCGATGGGAGTTTTTCCCGCTATTGGACCCCTCTAACAGGCGACCGATCGAAAGTCACGGTTGTCTTTTGACTTCCTGGGCTGGTGCAAGTCTTACGTTCCACTTCAGGCCTGTGCATAAGCTCTCCACTATCCTCCTCAGTCTTACTTCCGGGACCGAGCGCAAAGACAAATGGAATGGTGGTACCAAGATGATCGCTGTTACCATTTCTTTCTTCTACTCGTCCGTGCTGGCTAGACGAGAGACTAGGACGATTGAGCCCATAGCTAAATCGATACATCTGTGGACCACCGATCAGCCTTGGCCATCTCTCGACTCATTTGATGTAACTTGTGAAGTAAAAATCACTCTGATTGACTGGGCATCCGTATTAGAGATAGACGGCCTTGAACTCCCGGTAAGTTGTTCATAGTCTGGATTCATCTTGGCTCAAACAGGCGACAGAATGATTGTCATATCTACAAACCTTCGACGAGGGCCACCACCAACATGCTTTTCATCGGCGACTCAATTTCGAGTGGTTTCTCTTTGGAAGATGCGACTTCGCCAGCCCTTCCTCTTGGGATCCTCGATGCTTACCCTTATCAAACGGCAAATTCACTGTCGAATAATGGCATGGACGTAGAAGTGGAGGTCGTTGCCTACCCTGGCATCACACTTTGTGGTGGGATGTCTGACAAATTCTTCTGCGTAAGTTGTGCCTGGAGTTCACCAATCTCATTTTCTCCTTTGACCACAAAATCACGCAGCGCAGCGTGTGGGATGCGACGCCTTTCAAGCCCTCATTATCCGTCATCGACTTCAAATACGTGTTTATAGCGCTCGGTACATGACTTCGGGTGGATTCTTGTCCATTGCTATGCTTATGACAATGATGTTTTCAGGAACGAACGACGTAGTCTCTGCTTCTGAGTTCTCCAAGACGCTCCTCAAGTTCATTAAAGAGCTACTAACCACACCGCAAATGAAGGAGACCGAAACGGTCTATATTTTAGTATGCGTTTGTGCTCTCGTTATATCGTCACTGAAATTCAAGCATCCGTTCATCGACTTTACTGAGCCTCTGGACTCTTTGAACATCGAAAATCTCCCATTGCATATATCTTACGAAAGCAAACCGCGCAAAGACATCCGAATAGTGACTGTGCCTCAGTCCCGAATATGCCAAGATCTGAACTACGAACACACTTTGGATGGGTTACACCCAACTGTCGATGGGCATAAGCTGATTGGAGGGAATTTGGCCAAATTTGTTTTCGAAGATCTCCGTGGTAAGCTCTCATATTCGAACACATTTATGGCTGAGTAACAGGAACTACTAGTACCAGACAATTTAAATTCGTAACATCAACCCAACGCGAAGTCTTTGGGAATCTGCTTTACCAAAATGTCGTCTTCAATCCGAACACTCGTATCAAAATGCCCTTGAATCATATGATTTTTCCCCCACTCACGCAACTTGTCAAAGTTTCTGCAGGTGTGGACAACGTCTCCCTGGAATCGTGACCTTTTGTTCTCTGGCTCCCATTGCCATCTGCGAGCAAGTTAACGCCAATGGATTGCCAGTGTTGGAGTCTTCACTTACACTATTACGCTCGTGTCTCCCGCGCACATCAGCGCCTGTCGAATCCAATCTGAAGGTGAATGTCAGTGATTTTGCGGCGTCGAATTTGCTGATAACACTCACCAATGCAGTGATCAAGGTGATCGAGCTCCATGGGCTTGTAATATTCTGTTGAGGCAGATCAGCCTCGATTCGTCGGCAGCAAATCGACATGCCGACATGCAGTCCTTGTCGGATCATATTCTGGGTTGATCATCAACATTCGGGCCTACGGCAATCGCAATTACACACCAGGCAATGCAGGTTGTGGAACACATCGAGCTCGACGATCTGACCCCGTATCAATAAGTACACGAGGAACCACAGGCCAACGTCACACGCACATAGTTGGATTCGTCACCAGGAATAGGATACGTCTTGTTCGGCAGCAGGCGCGCCTCACTCTTCGGTATCTGTGAGATTCCGACTGTCAATGAGGGAAGAGTGAGCTCAGAGAATTTGGGTGGATACTGGACAAGCACTGACAGTTGTAGAGGTCGTCCCAATTAGCATCAAGTTCAGGCGATGGCTGGATATGGAACTTTGGGTCTCCGCCAATGGCGTAGGATGTGAGACCATATTCGACAGCATCCTGGGCTGGCGCTAGAATTTTGATTACAGCGATGAACTCTGGACTGGAGGCGAACTAACAGTAAACGAGCGAGGGCCAAGAATGGCTGGTCTTTGTGTGAGGGCGGAAGATAAGGTAGACAATGACCAGTGTTTCGAAGGCGAGGAGGCAGAGCAAAACACGGCGTGACGGCGATGGACGAGAGCGGTGAGCAATTGGCGCCTCGAAATCTGCCTTGGCCTCATCCTGCTCTGGCCCGTCCTCCATAGAGAGTGGGGAGTAAATGGTGGAGCCGGACTGTTTCGCCATCCGAGGGTGCATGCTGGGGGCTTTCCGCAAGTGCCGTCTTGTTTAACTTGCTATTTCTGACAGTCTGGCCCAGGTCCGCAACAACCATCCAGCCGGTTTTGTTCTGATATTGATAGCGAAAGATGTCTACAGCCCGAGCCTCGCAGGGAGGCATTTTACGATGAGTGGAGGTGCTATTCAGTGCCGGTCACCCCCTGCTGCTATTGATGAGCAGTTCGAAGCTGTCACATTGTTGACCGAAGAGACTGATCGTCTATTCAGATCATTACTCCGACTCGGACATGAACCCACACACCAATGGCGTGATCCTCTTGGCCTTTGTGCACTGTATTGTTCACGTCGGACAGCGGAATTTATTGGGAGGCAAGCCGATTCACTGGCTGGACGACCGCGTGCCAACAGGAGACCATGACTGGCCATCCAATTACTGGTGTACAATGGCTTCTTACCTGCTCCGAGTCGCTGACAATTGGTCATTTTAATGTCCTTACCGCTTGTCACAGTGCACGGCTGTCTTCAATGTGTAAGCATCTTCGTACTCGAGCTCGACTTGAAAATTCTGGGCATTCTAAGTTTATAATAAACAAGCATTTAGCCGTCCTCGGGCGACCTTATCTGGCTCATTTTAGCCTTTCTCGAGGTTTTCTCAAGCCCTCGGAATTTGTGACCACCCCATCAGTGCGGCAGCCAGTTACCATTCGTCCCAACTCGTGGTGAATCCGGACATCTCCCCGAACTTGCTATAGAAGAGATAGCAAAAGGCTCCATAACATCAGTTCGCAAGAAGCTCAGAATGCTACGAAGTCGGTCGGTCGCAGCCCTCTTATCAATATGAAGTCCTGGCCATATACTACCGCGGGCGTATTTCCGAACAAGTGGACATGTGTCAGATTCTCCGCGCCGACTCAGTTTGCGCGAGAGATAAGATGACATCTCACCCATTAATAACCGAGGCTCCGAACCGTGGGAAACCAGTCTCCGTTCGGACCCGAACCTCGGCCGATGGGTTGACTTTGGGGCTTCCAATGTTGTTGTTCCAAGGGCAGTTCCGCCGCAGGAACTAGGCACAGAGAACCACTCCACTTGGCCACTGGCTTCGATTGTTGAGCGTTGGACGTATTCGTTGTTGTTCATAGAATCAGCGCGTGCAGCTCCAACTGAAGAAGAACAAGGCACTGGCTGATACTTATCGTTGCTGTCATTACATCGCGGTAAGTACTTAGTATTCAAAAGGCTCAGGTTGATCCGGGGTTGTTCGGCCGAGACAGTCGTATCACCTTTGATGTTGATTTCTTTCGTTTCGCACATTCCCCGGTCGCGAAAAGTTGTTTCGATTGAAGTAGTCTAAGACATATCGGAGTGGAAGATTGGAACTACGATGTCGTCCTCGATCCTCACAGTTGGGTCAAAAGTCTTGAGCAGCATTCTGTCCTTCGCCCAGTCCTGTATCTTATCGAACTTGCGACAGGTGTGCGCGACATTGCCTTGAACGAGGCTTGCGTTGGCCCAGTTCTTCCATTGCCAGCTGAATAGGTTGCATGGGTCTGACAAAGTTGTGGGAAAAGCACAAAAACTCACACAATAACACTCGTATCCGCTGCACACATGATAGACTGACGAATCCAGTCGATGCAATGGTGAACATGCTCTGTCGCGTTCTTTTGCTCCTCGATCCAGTTGTTAGTCGTCGAAATACGCCACTCTGGGTAGTAATCCGGATCGAGCTGTAGTTCTCATCAGTATACTGACTTTTAAACGGTGAAACAGAGACATACGGCCATTCGCACTTTGTTCAGGCAGTGCAAGTTGTGGAAGACGTCGAGCTCAGCAATCTTGAAAGGTATCAGTAGATATTAACATCCAGAGGGGCACTCTCACGTAGTGTCCTGGGTCCCCGGGTATAGCATGGGTCTTATTTGGGAGTTGAGCCGCTTCTTCCTTCGTGATTCTCGAGATACCAACTGGTCCCAACTAAGTGTGAAGCGCTAACAAGTTATGGGGCACCTACAGTTATAGAGGTCGCTCCACATTTGGTCGAGCTTGACGGAGGAAGGAATTTGGAAGGGGGAGAGATCGCCTGGAAGAATTAAGCTCGGCCCCCCCAGGACCAGGGAGGAGAGGTACCTGTGAAGCCAACATTGTAGACACGAACTTCGTGTTCTATAGCATCCAGCGCAGGAGCTGTTCAACAGTCAGTTGCAGCGTCCAGTCCTATATAAACAACGACGAACAATAGAGGACTTGTTGGGGGGTAGGGGTGACGAAGCACGTTGGTCGGTGACGCTTAGTGCTCAAAGTTACGAGAGCAACGATGAGAGCGATCGTCTCAATGGCGATGATGACTCCCAGCACGCCTCGGGTGAGTTTCGAAGTGCAACGCGCCACAATACCCTTCCTCTGTGGACTGGAGAGGGATGGCTCGGTTTCGCCGTCCTCGGCCATGAGCGGACTGTATTCTTGCTCTTTCGACATGACGGTGTTGACGGAAGAAGAAAGCTGGGGCGAATGGCAAGCCTGAAGGATGATAATATCCCACTATGAGTCCCGAGATTCATGCATGCGCGTGTCGGTCCTTTGATTGTTCCTTCCAAGCTCTACTTCGGGTGGTAGCGATCGGAGTTCAGACATCGAATTGGGTGAATAAGACGAGAAGTGAGGTGAACGGAGTGAGTGTCCAATGCCATCGTGAATGGTGAAAGATGCAATTCTATATTTGGCATGTTGATCGGCAGGTGTGTGACCTGAGTTCTCGTGACCATGTGACTCGTCTTCTTCATCATTCCATGTTTCCGTGCAAGGACAAAAAAGCCGAATCATACATCTACATTGGAGAACGACATGCGAACGACCAACGCGTCATCTATTATCAATGCTTCAATGGATTGTCAGCACGCAACTTGTAGAAGGTGCAGTTTTCTTGGCGATCAGAACTTTTGCGCGAGGTACGACATATCCGACATCTGTAGCTAGCTATCAGATACCAACCTTTCTCGACTTGACCCCATTTGGGCATTCAAGTTCGAACCTGCTCCACTGGACTCTCATTCGTCTTTCCCGCCGATGGTCAGTTGCATGTGCTACAATAATGGCAGCATCTTTGGCTTTCATCTCTGAAATCTCAACAGAATGGTACCATGAATCAACTTCTAAATTTATTCTCCGATTGCAGTTATGTGCCTCACCAGACTCGGACTGCGGAAGAGTGGAGGTCACGCATCTAGCGTATAAAAGCCATGCAGAACGAGCACTAAAGTCAGAGTCTTCTGCTCTTGTCCCTCCTCCCCTCAGCCACCATCATGTTCAGCGCCAAGTTCACCTCCCTCCTTGCTCTTGCACTCGCTGCAATGGTCGTCGCTGGACCCGTTCAGCGTGCAGTCGCTCCCGACCTCGTCGACTCCGACAACACCAGCTGGCACATTGGCCGTGCTGCCCCAACTCCCAATCTCGTGTGTGCTTCACGTGTCTCGTACCACATCTCTGATTTCTCTCGGTGCACAGGACTCCGATAACAGCAAGTGGGTGATCGGCGACCGAGGTCTCAAAGTGGTACTAGTATTTGTTATCAGTCCAAATTGCTGTAAACTGAGCACCCGAAACCTAGGACGACAACAACACCGGCTGGACCATCGCGGCCGATAAGCGCGAGCCTGCCCCAACTGCCCCCGTGGTCAGTGGGGACACCAGTTTGAAACTCGCTATCTTACTCGATTGTTGCAGGTTGACAAGAACAACAACAACTGGACCATCAATGCCGACAAACGCCAGCCGGCACCCACTCCAATCGTAGGTCATGATGCGACAAGCAATCCACAATAACTTATCGTCATTGAGGTTGACAAGAACAATGATAGCTGGACGGTAAAGGCTGCTGACAAACGCCAGCCTGCCCCCACTCCGGTGGTAAGCCAAAGTTTCGTGCCAGTATCATTAAAATAACCCATTGCCCTCAAGGTCGACAAGAACAACGATAGCTGGACGATAAAGGCTGCTGACAAACGCCAGCCCGCCCCCACACCAGCGGCAAGTCATAGCATCTCTGCAGCGCTGAGACCACTGAAATAACCTTTTGTCAACAGGTCGATGCTAACAATGATAGCTGGACCATCAAAGCTGCCGAGCGACGCCAACCCGCACCAACCCCAGTTGTAGTATGTATCACTTGATTTGCTAGTACCAACACTGACCATCTTTCAGGTCGACAAAAACAACGATAGCTGGACCATCAAGGCCGCTGAGAAGCGTGTTGCTCCCACTCCCAATGTGTGTCATGGCGGTTGGGTGTTTCATGGAGGATCTAATTGAGGCTGCTAGCTGGACGCTAACAACGACCACTGGACCATTAATAATGCCAAGCGCGCTGCACCGACCGGAGTATGTTTTGCGACTGCCGGTGGACGAGTCATGCTGAGATTGGATAGCTTGACAGCGACAACGACCACTGGACCATTAATGACGCCAAGCGCGCCGCACCGACTCCTGCGGTAAGTTTGTTTTGTGAAGCTACTTTGCAGCAAACTAACCAACATAACAGGCTGATACCGGTACGCAACATTGCCCACACCTCTCTTTATCTTAGGCTCATCCTGTCTCAAGACAGCAAGAACAAGAGCTGGACTGTTGGTAACCGGGCTGTGGATGAGGGTGTGTAAAGACACATTGGTCTACATAATCGAAGCTAACGGATAAACCTAAAAGACAACAAGGGCTGGACCGTCGGTAACAATCGCCGTGCGGTCGACCAAGGTACAATTAATCGTTCTGCCAAATTTCACGTATAACCTATCTTCGCAGACAACAAAGGCTGGACTGTTGGAGACAACCGTCGGGCAGTAGACCAAGGTACTACTCAATTCGGACTTGCTCGATATTCTCCCACCGACTGACTTCTACAGATAACAAAGGCTGGACTGTCGGCGACAACCGTCGAGCTGTTGACAAAGGTAACAAATGGCTTGGTTACCAGTTCTGCATATACCTCTAACATGATCTTAGACAACACCAACTGGACCATTCACAACGCTCGCGCCGCCGCCACTCCTTTGGTTTGCCGTTCCTCGTCTCCGAAGTCATCCTGGTATCTAATCGTATCCTAGTAAAAGCTTTCGGAGTTGGGAGCAAAGTGTTGGGCTTTTGCCAGTGCACACGAGTAAACATTAAATATTCTCAATATACATGACGAATGGCAACGAAAACCCATTTCTCTTTCAAGTCTATGATTTGCTATCCCAATACCGTCGCAGAGAATCGATCTTGCGACGAAGTTCTAAATCTTGACTTGGGCAACTCGATCGGGCACACGTGACTGTGCTGTGACATCGTAACTGTGAACGGCCATCTCACTGGTCTTGCCAGCGAATCCAAGGAGTTGAGAGGCGAACACGGGCGTGGAAGTGTCAAAAGGCGGCTCACAAATTCATTATAAGCAAAAAAAAGCTACTAGTTACTGACGTGTCCGTTGCAAGTTTCAAAAAAAAACTTCAACCACTCGCTCCAGCCCTCAAACAACCACCAAGGAGATGTTTCTGGTCTCAAGGAAAGGGAATAGACCAGCCTGACGCGGTTACTTCAAGTCAGCCGCGAAATCCGCAAGAACGACACGACTATCTTACCCCAATCAGCGTTGCATGCACCAAGTTCAATTGCGCGGGTCCTTTCTGGATATTTTGGGGGATCGTGACTGTGAAGTTCTGATGTGGCGGCTTGCCCAAAGTCCCCTGCTGGAATTGGGGGTTGAATGGTCCGTTGTAGAGTATGGAGCCCGTGATGTCGGAGGGAGCTGGGCAGCTGGGTCGTCCAGCACACGACACGCAGCCAATGACAACTGCCACTTCTATGGAGCCGGTGAGAGAATCCTTTTCAGCGGCTGATTCAGATGACAGTTTCCGCCAGAGGTCAACGACGCTTACAGGACGATCCACCTCAACGACGAGAGACGAGCCTGGGCGGACATGGGTGCCCGGTGGAGGAGCGCCGATTTGAGCAGTTTGGGCGTTGATGCCAACGAGGAGGGCGGCTAGCACGGTGAGTCGAGGGATGAGTTTCATGCTTGAATGGAGTGGAGCGTTCAGAAGAGGTTGGGGGCAGCTCTTATATGCGTGCGGCCAGTCATTACCGCAGCGAAGACTCATTAACTGGACGGAGCTAGACGGTGCCGGGGCATGAGGCTATAGCATCACCTTATGGTTAGCTGAACCGGAATGTTTATGCAGACTCTGTTTCGGCATCCCGCAAAGAGTTCATTATCCAGCTTAGTCCGGGAAAGTCACTCTCATCTTTTGGCTGAGGATCTCTCTTGGTCAGAATGTCCCAGATAACTCGGGAGCGCCCTTCCCCTTAGTTTTCATTCTCCTGAATGGAGCCTAATAAGCGGGAAGCGGGCCGGAGTACATGTAGGTCCAAATTTCAGCAAGCAAGGTAATTTAAATGACTTTGTTGCTGTAAGAAAAAAGTAAGAATTAAAGAAACCATCGTGCCTCACTGCAGGGCCAACTTCTACATAAAACTCCGGAGAATGTTTTTGTTGTGATCATGATGGTGATAACAGATTATCATCAGATCGTCACCTTTTTTCCCTCACAAGTCACCTCCAAGTTCAAGCAATCCAAACGCCGGCGCCAGTTAATTCGTAGACCCATAGCCACTGTGCGCCGATAGGTACCTGATCCCCCGCTACACCTACCTCCGGTAACCGCCTCCCTTTTTTTTTACCTAAAACCGTCCGAGTCAATAGTCAACGCGACGCGAAAAATGGGAAGGTCATAAGTACTTCTTGCCGCATTTATCTTGATGTATGCTATTTAAGCTCGTATCAAAGTCAGGGATGCGCATCCACAAAAGCAGGCGTGTTCTTTGCTTGTCATCCTTGTTTTCTGCGCTGACCTCTCGACTCGGAGTAGAGCGCGACTCTTTTGGGTTGAGCAATGAATGTCCCAAGGTATAGACTTGCTCCACTCATGGCCAATGCGTATGTAACTGATGTCTCTCAAACAGTGGTATCGAACGGGAACCTGTACTGACTCGACTGGACACCACTACTGGACATACGTCCGTTCTTTTCCTCGAACCTGGAAGTCGTTTCTCCCCAGAACTTATCCTCAGACACGAGAGGGCCGGTATCGAGTGCGCTACGTGCCACCAACCACTTTCTTTTCGCAATGACAGCGGTCAATTGACGCTGGGACATTGGGAGGAACATGTGGTGAGGTGGTATGCGTGCTGAACCGTTGTTTGTCCACACTTTCTAACTTTCACGCTCCAGTTCAGAACCTAAAAGCCTCCCTTCGCCACCGAATACTGCTGATGCTCGTCGTATGAGACGCTCAGAAGCAGAGCGCATCGCCTACTTCGTCAATGACCCTCATGTCGGGCAGGTAGAACCGTATCAAGTGCTTTGCAATGTCTGCAACCGTTGGATTCGCCTTCGCTCTCATTCGACCTATTGCTCGATTCCCTGGGACGCACATCGCAACACTTGCCTGAAGAAGCAGGGGCAGCTTTTCATCTCAGTTAGGTGAGTCCTTGTTTGCTCTTCTCTTCTTTGATCCACTTCCTTGCTTGCGCCACCACCAAGTTACTTCGGCTCGCGGGTGCTTCCACGTCACGAAGCATCTAAGTAGTCTCTTTTTTTTGCAACTTCTGCCGCGATGCTTGCTTACTCCCAACTCCTTCGACGTAGCCCGCCTCTGACCAGTCGTCCCCTCAAGCGTGCAAAATACGGGTCGGCTCCGGCTGTGAAAGAGGAAGACGTGGATGGAGAATATGAACTCGAGGAACCGACAGTGGCAATGCCAAAACAAGACTCTGTGACGCTCACCCAACGAGTCGCTTTCTTTGCGAACGACCAGACCGTCAAGGAGTTTGACGAAAACGGGGCCCTGTGTGCTGTCTGTAGCGGGTGAGTCCCACCAACTTCGATGTGTTCTAGTTTGAATGGCTTACTTCGACATATAGGTGGGTTGCATTTCGTACAGACAATCATGAAGTTGCGGTACAAGCCTGGCGCGAGCATCGTCATAAATGTCCCCCCAGCCCAGTAGAATCTATACCAAGGTTCGTCCTTTCAATTTTGGCGCGAAGCACACGTCCTCAATGTTTTCATTGGCAGTCGGCCTGCTTCTCCGAGCGTTCTTCAACCACATATCCGCCTTCCGCTTCCTGATGCACCGAACATTACTGTCGATCTCTCGCCACAACAGTACCATCCTCCCCACCAGTTGCGTCAACGAAATGCCGAAGACCGTCGTGCCCGACTCCAATCAGACTTGTTGATTCGTACTGTGGAGCCAAGTCGAGTTTTCTGCACGCTGTGCAAGAAATGGGTGGCTCTGAGACGAGATAGCAGCTATTGTGCCTATCCTTGGGTACAGCATCGAGCCAAATGTCTTGCGCGATAGTATGTTCTTGGTTGGGCTCGTCAGATAGACCACTGACGAGTGACAGCGAACGGAAACTTCAAGAGCAGCGAGAACACGGGTCTGCGAATGCATCGACTAATAGTCGGCCGGCCCAACTTGTCGCTTGCCAGCCTTCGCCGTCTTCTCCTTCAAACAAAACGATTCCAAGTCATCCTCCTCGCCATGTACCTGGCTACGCACTTTCGTCGGTCCCAATAGAATCAACGAACGAAGACCTCATCCACGATGACTCGAGTGTGGTCCAGCGTGATGAGCAAAAAGATAAACCGGAGCTTCCGAAAACCCCTGTAAAACGCGCTATGCGTCTCGATCTTAACTTGGGATCTGACCGGTTTGACCTTGCCCCATGCTAAATTTCTCGTAATTGACATTTGTCAACGCAGCAATGTCTTCGTTTGGTCTTCGATCCGCTACCTGTTCTGCACCACGCATGCGTCGAGTGACGAGCTCACTGTTTCTTCGTTGTTGGCCTATGTTAACGCTGCACTACCCGTGGACAAACACGAGGAGTTTGACATGCGGGAGGTGGTTGTTGCGGTTTCTGCTGCATCTGGTGCTGAGTTTGTCCTTGAAGGTGATGTTGTTCGTCCACGGATTGGATGACTCATCACTCTGCTTGCTATTGTTTTGTTGCCTGTGTTCGTTCTTGTGATGCTTTAATGTTGCTCTTTCAATGTAGAAACCTAATAGTAACGGTTAGCGTTGTTATTAATAAGTTAGATTCAGATACACTAGTGAGCTATTTAACCACATGATACAGTACGACTCCAATTACACGCTTCCGTAGTACTGATATTACAACCTGACTGAACAAAAAAGAGTGGGGTTAGGGTCTAGTTTTTCGTATGACCATCCTTTAGAAACTGTTTGTACCTCTTTTGGGCATTCTCTCCCACCATCAGCTCGCCGATCCTCTGTTCTACAGCCTTCCACTCGTTGAACTCTGGCGGCAGGATGTTTTCGCGATGCACAAAGTTCAGCCCAACCCGGCGTAAACACGAGCTGCGCACGCCGAGTAGCCCGCGGCCCCAACAGCTATCGAGCACGTCGTTCGGGTCGTATTCGGCCCGGTTTTGGCCGCCATTATATTCCAAAAGCTCGACAAACTCGAAAGTCAAGTTCGTCAGAGAGGACATGGCAGCGAGGTGCTGGAACATAGGGCGCAGTTGTGGATCGGAGTTGAACATGGCCAATGGGGAATAGCTGCTGTACCAGTACTGCAGCCGGAGATGCCGTATATGGGGCAACGCGATGGTCTCCCCCAGTCCACAGCGAACAATCAGGTCAAGCTCGTTCGGGAGCACATCGAATGTGTTGCACTGAAACACGATGGCGTGGGCTTCGATGTAGACCTGGCGACAGACGCGTAGAAGGGCGACCGGTATCGGATGCCGTTGAGTGGAGGAGGGCTGGGCGTGGAGTTGCGAGATGCCTTGCAGGAGACTGATTGGATCACCTGACAACAGTTTATTATGGTCCGGCATCGCCCTCGCACGGACCACGCGTCTTTTGACCCGTCTGTCATCTGCGACGGATAAACGAACTCGCCGTCCTCCCAGCGCCTCTTCATAGATCGCTCTCCGCAGCTCGAGCGGTAGCTTGTGGAAGAAATGACAGTTTTTCGGTTGGGTTGCTGGCTCTTTTGAACCGAGGTCAATGCGCCGTCTAGGCAGTGGTTTCGGTTCTGGGAGTGGTTTGCAGTTGTGGCCAAAATGCCCCTGCCGAAGATCGCCGAAACAGCACGAGTAGAGCAGGAAGGGGAAGCAGAGTATGGCGCCGAGAGTGTAACCTAGATAAATCCCGCCAGCAAGGAGAAGCTTTCCAAGACCTGTGCTGGGGCCATGCGACTTCATGGGGAGAGAGATGGTGGAAGGAAAGAGAGTGCGCGCTGAGGGCTGTGTTATAAAAGTGGCCAAGTTTTGATCTCGAGTTGGATTGACGATCACCGATCCGAATTTTGCGGACCCTGGTGGAGAAGCGTCCCGCCGGAGTACCTGTGAGTAAGTACCTCGATGTTTGTCGAGCTTCGTTCATGCTGCCACCAACCCCTGAAACTTGGGGGACCAACATCGGCGCCGCAGTGATAAACATCCCAGGTTGCCAAGGCCGCTGTTGCTCGCGTGGGGCAGACCACCGTTTGAATACTCTACTATCGCAGTCGCGTCTATCGAGGCACAGCAATGACCCTTGAGCTTCTCGACCCAACAATCAGATCATTCACCGTCTGTGCCAGAATCTTCCAATGCGTATATTCTGGAGGGTATATATCTGAGTCTTCCTCGCCCTGGCGACGGCGATAAACAAATTTAAGTTCAACCTTTTGCAGGTTGGGGTTTTGGATGCCCAGTAGCGTTCGTCCGAAACGAGTTGTCAGAAACTTGTCCGGTTGGTAATTCTGGCGCGGTAGGTTGGGATCGAACACCCTCAGTTCGGCGAATAAGAATGACAAATGGGTCAACTCGGGCATCGCCGCAATGTGCTTGAACACCGTAGGCTGGGGGTCAGAGAAAAACACATCGGGCTGGTACTGCATGTACCAATAATGTACTCGCAAACGCTTGATGTGAGGCCGTCCCAAGTTTTCTCCCAGGCCATAGCGCATGATAATCTCGAGTTCGTTGGGAAACACGTCGAAAGTGTTCTTGCTGAATAATATCTCATGCGCCTCCACGTAAACTTGGCGACAGACACGAAGTAGTGCGATAAGGAGCGGTGAAGATCTGACATCACGGTAGGCTGGTCCTCCCTGCGTATACTGAGGTGAATCTTCGGTGAAGGAGCTCGAGTCTACGAATCGTCGTTTCTTTTTTTTGTCGTCGGAAAGGTACATCCGAATTTGGCGATGGGCGATTGCGTGTTCATAGACTACAAGTCGGAGCTCCAGTGGCAGTTTGTTGAAGAAATAACAGTTCTCAGGCTGAGTTGCTTGAGGTCGAGAACGAATGTCTACCCTCCGCTTTGGAAGCGGCTTCGGATCACCCAGTGTTGGGTGGGTTGGCCGCTGGTAAAAGAACGTGACAGGGCAACATACCAGCGCAACCAATGCAGACGCTGCAAGGCCCACACCTTCAAGCAGCCGTTTCACCAGTGGCGGCGGAACCATATGGGTGGAGGCAAGACGACAGAGGCAGTGCTCGACATTTACACTCGGCGCGACAGCGAAATTTGACGGGAAGCAGCCGTTCGGCCATCACATGACATTTGCCATTCTCTCTCTCCTCCATCCATGTTGGCTGAACTCCCATCCGAGTTGGTCTACGAAGTCACATCCCATCTCGCCCGTATCGAGCTGTTACCCCTCACCCAAGTAAATCACACTCTTCAACTCCAATGCGAGCCAGCAATCTATCGCACAATCTCATTGTCCTCTCCGACACACGGTCAATTAGTCAAATTTTGTCGGACTCTGGTGTCTCGAGCGCAACTGGCGAGCTATGTGCGAGAACTTCATGTTGATATGTGAGCTTTGCTGTGTAGTCTCAATCCAGTCTAGAGCTGATATTCGTAGTGCGTGTGGACCCGCGGGAACCTGGTTGTTGAAACCCTTCGAGACCCTCCTGCTCCGAGCCTTGGGAATGTTAGAGGAACTCAAATCACTCTCCGTGGTCAATGCGCCCTCGATTCTCCCTTTTCTCTCCCGTGGCAACATTCATTTCCCTTACTTGACCGCTTTCCGCTGTCGTCCCAATCTTGCCTCCAGCTCCTCTCTCGACGATATAACAAATTTCTTGAATAAGCACTCTTCTCTTGAGTACTTGGCCATCTTCCCTAGCCACCTACCACTCTCTCCTGACATGTTCTCCCGCAATATCACTCCGATCAACCTCGCCAGCCTCCGTACGATGCTTTCATTTCCTTCATTGGCCAGTCTCGGACTTATCTCTCCTGGATCATCTTTCAATTGCCTTCAATTGGTGTGGAACGAAGATAAACTTGACGGATATCACTTCCTCTCGCAACCTATCGCTGTTCTGGACAATTACCTGCTCTCGTGGCGATATTCTGTACTACTTCAGACCATCAAGTCTCACTTTCTGCAAGTTCATACCCTCAAATTTACTTTCATCCAGTCTCTCGTCCATCAAAATGAATGGGAGGTAGGCCTCCGAGCGCTTTTTGAACAGCATTACTAAGTTTACGCGCCAGTTATTCCTGGTCAACTTCGAACAAGTTCTCCCCTCATTGAATACCCTCCAAAACTGCAGCTTTCAGAATACCGAGCCAATTCATGTCACCCAAGATGTCATTTCCCAGGAACACGTTTTGTTGAGTCGTTGGAGCTCCCTTTCTTCGTCGTTGCTGCGGGTGCTCTTTCCAAGCCAAGTAGCGTGGTCTCGGAGTAGCAATCCACTCTACTGGAGCCTAGGTTCATCAATCACCATCGAATATCATCGAAATCTCGATGGATCGCGCAGTGCTACAATCTCCAGTCACAATGTCGAAGTACTCAAGTGGTTTTTCACGAAGGCGGTTTCTAAAGAGGTTGGTACTGGCTCGATGTATGCTGTTGCGCTTGGCCTCGTTGGCCAGGAAGGTATGGATGAAGTAACCAAGTGCATTGAGATGGGGAAGGATATTTCTGGCTTCGGAGTGATCCAAAGGCTTTTGCAGAAAGGATATGGCCTTCAAGACGCGGAACTTCATCTAGCATTCACCGATAATCTGTAGTAAATTTGTTTGTTTGTCTGTGCAGTAAATGGTACCATCATCTTGCTCATCAATGACTCAAGTCTGAATCACACCTTGTCCACGACCTCCACAACAAGTTTGACCACGTAGTCCAAGGACGTGGTCCTTCGACATTGCTATTTAACTGAAACATGGCCTATATATTCTTCAGTTCCCAAGCTACCAGTCGCTCGAATCATGGCTGTCAGTGCCGCGTTTTCTCGCCTCCTGCCCGTTTCTCCTCCATCCGACGACAAAAAATTCCGAGCTCGAGCAGAGTCGGCTGCTGCCCGTGCAAAAATAACACTTGAGCTCGAGAACTGGATCAACAAGGCAGAAACGGACGTTCCAGATGTTGTTTTTCTGCGGCGTTTCGAGGACCTTGCTCTATCGAAGGAGGAGTGGAACCACTACGCGCTGATTCGAGTGGTTTATCTCATGCTGTCTGGACGCGGTCGAAGGGATGGTGCGCAGTTTGTTTTCTGTCTGTTTAGCAAGCTTAAGTATGCTTGTAGGACGAGATGCGATACTCCAGGGCATTGAGCTGAATGACAGGAAACACGGCCTACGTTTCAATGTAACCAACGCGTACTTCTGGCTTCAAGTTGTCCACTTTGCCATCTCCAGCACCCCAACGCTGTGTATGCCAGACCCATCCAGCTCTCTCGCCTTCCTTGAAAATATGCTAGCAGATCCAGATGACGAAGTTCTTTTCGAAACAGCGTCAATCGTCTCTACTGCCCCTAGCGATTGGTCATTGCTCGATAGCCTCGAGTCGAATCCAGTTATTGGCGCCCCGTCTTCTGATGAACCAAGTTCCGAGCTCACAGGCAATGACTGCGGACCCTGCGAGACTCTGGACACCCCCGCGAATTTGGAATTCATCTCATTTCTCCGCCAAAATCCATACCTGGTCGCCTCCGATTTGTGGTTAGTATACTACACCGACGACCGGATGATGAGTGCGAAGGCGTGTGCGAGAATGGAGCTTCCGGACAAGAAGCGACTGCCGAATCTTATTGGGAGAGATGTGGTAGGTTGGGTGTGAGCTGCTATACTTAATCCGTACCTGTTATTATTGGCTCTCAGGTGTCGACTTCTCAGGCTCACGGTTAAATAACGTTATGTGGTCACGATGTGACATACTCTACTCTTCCTCTCCCACCGCGGCTGCTTTTACTATCCTCCTACTTTAGACGCGACAAAGCGTGTAATAAATGGTGCATGTCGTGACATCGGTCCGAAATTGCTTGAATCAAAACAGGCTGCGAGTGTTTTAGGGTGAGTGACAGACCGGACTCCAACTGCGAGACAAGCCAAGCTTATTGACAGTGATAGCGCTGGATAAGATACGGGCAGTTTTGCCGTTGGCACTGCCTGCCGAGTAACAAGTCCACAACGGCTTCAGGCGGACTTTTTGGCCGCTAGGTAATCAGAATTCTCGTTTGAGAAGTCAACGGACTCAATCTGTACAGAAGGGTAGATGCCGCATCGGCATTCGTGTTACCCCTCCCACAATGGTGGAGAGCCTGCTAAATGTGTCTGATATCATCCACCGAGTAAAATTTGGCGTGCGAGCGTTTTATAACACCAACCACCGTGTTCATGACGCGTGTTCTTCGCGCTTTTCTTATTCACGACGACGATTTCCCCCCACAACCGACCATAAACCTTCTACTAATCGACTCCGACACCTGAAAACAAGACTACTGCAGTCGAAAACCGAAAACGGGCAGTGCAGCGATGGTTTCGGGAAACGCGTGTTCTCTTCCAACGATGTCCGCCACTTTCCTTGCGGCTTTCATGACCTTTTCCGTCTTCTCGCTTGCGACAGCCACCAATCCTTTTATCACATACCCGAATGATTTTGTGGACCCACAAGTCGCGTTGGGGCCGTTTGGAAGCAGTCTTCAAGGCGCGCAAGACACGGTTGTTGCTTGGGCTGAGGAGATGAACTCCCATGGACCGTGGAGTGCGGTTGTTATTCTCGTCAATTTTCGTGTCGCCTGAAACGTGATTTAGGTGTCACCTTCAAGCCTGTCGTAGCTCCAAGTGGTGATAAGCATGACTATATGAGCTGGGCACCATAGTACGCTCTGCACTCGTTTATCACTTCTTGTCCTCAACGTTAACGCGCCTAGCCAATGGCCAGATTGCTCCAAGGTTGGCAACAAGACTGCGCTATCCCCAGCCCAGAGTATGCGTCTATCTGCATTCAACTGAGTTCCAAGCTAACGACAAGTCAGTGCGCAAAACGTGCCCTTATGTCTTCCGAGACGGAGAAGTCAACCCCGATCGTAATATACCCGATGATTTCCAATCGTTCTTCAATCTTTCCGACGCTGTCCTTTACAACGCCCTTGCCTTCAGCTTCCAAAACCAGTCGTCCACCGTCTACTCGCAGAATGTTGGTCAGTGTTTGCGCTAACAAATCGGTCCCAGCTCAAGGCATGCAGTCAAATTTGTCAAGACGTGGTTTCTCGACAGCGATACGAAGATGAACCCCAATCTAAATTTCGCGCAGATGAATCTCGGGCCGAGTGGCCAGAGTGGTTCGTAATTTTTACCTTTTTTTCATGATCATGCGGAACTAACTTTTTTTTCCCTGTAGGGACATTTACCGGCGTCCTGTAAATTATTCATCATCTGCGCGAGCTTAAACTAATGCCGAATCCCACGACAGTGATCTGCGAATGCTTGCGAAGATCGCTTCTGGTGTCCTGATACTACGGAAAAGAGCCAGCAGCGACTGGACGAAGGATGTCGACTCCCAATTTGTGTCGTGGTGCAGACAGTATATCACCTGGCTACAAACCGCGCCGCCAGCCAAACAGGCTGCGGCCGCCACCAAGTTTGCTGAAAACCTCCAGATCGCGACGAATAAGCTGAGCATTTTTTCATAGTAATCATGGGACATTCTACGTCAACCAGCTCATGTCGCTCATGGTCCTGGTCGGAGACAACGCTGGGGCAACCACTCTCGGTCGAAAATACTTCGGAGGGCTGTTCAAGACGCAGATCGCAGCTAACGGTGAACAGGTTGGCTACATCAGGTCGTATTCTTTTTTGCTCGGTCTCAATCTATTTGCGCAGCCAATGGAAGCCAGTCGCTCCCGACCTTTCCATTATCGCAACTTCAACATTGCTGGGATGATTGTGGGTTCTTCTCTTCCAATCATCACTGAATGGTTTATATGTCTCTAGACCAATGCTCGTCTGCTCAAATACGTCGACCCCACGTCCAATGATTGGAACACCACGAGCAATGGTGCCACAATCCAAACTGCGGTGGACTTCGTTATGACCGTCAACCCGGCGAAGACGCAGGAGACGAATGTAACGGTGGAGATATACCCCAATGTCGCTGCTGTCGCGGCAACGTATGGCGACCCGAGTGGAAAATACTCAAAGTTCCTTAGCAGTTCGGGATTTCCATATATGGACGACGCGTTTTGGGTGTGGGATCATCCGAAGACGCTTGCCAGCGCGAATGCGGGGGCCAACACACATTCCAACGCAGGTAGCTCAACAACGCTACCGGCGCCAGATCGACGGCCAAATTCTGGAGCTAGCTTTTCTTGCCGTCAAAGCTGGCTGGCAATCGTTGTTTGGGGTGTGCTAGGACTTATTTCCCTAAGCTCTGTGACCTGACACTTGACCATCTTACCTTATTCATTCTCACGGACAATGTTGCTATTTCTGTAGAAACCTCGCTCTTTCCAGTCACCATCATTACAAGAGGTCATTGATTCAGAAGGTCGAAACGATATGGTACAAGTACATACAGCACTGGATAGTAGTCTGAATCCAATAGCAAAACCAAGTCCCCCAATCTGGGTATAACTCTTCGACCCAGCAACATGTCCCCCACAATCAGAAGTTCTCTACATTGGGTGTGATCAGTTTCCAAAGCGGTTTGGTTCGGCAGCCACCATACCTTTCCCGAAGAAGAACCGCGCACCACGGGCATCCGAGTTCTTGTTGCACTGGTAGCGCAAGGTGGAGGCGAGGGCTTTGGGGCCGCAATAGAACTAGTGACGAGTTGAGAACCAACAAAATAGCGTAAGAGAAGGAAAGCAGACGCACCACGCCAATGTCGGATTGCGAGTGCTTGTCGCCCAGCGACTTGAAGACCTTTTCCCAATTCGGCCGCCCGTAATGGGTGGGGGCACGCAGCGAAGTGATCGCATCCTTCTCCGCCCCAACGTCATGGACGACAATGTTGTTGACGTCTTCAACTTGAATAGGGCCAGTCAGGTAGATGTTGATCTCAATCTTGCTTTGCGAGTCTTGCTCTTCGATGGCTCGGAGTAACGAATGGAACCATTCGGCTGTGCCAAAGTCGCGTATGACCCAGGTAAAGTAGACCTTTGACAGGCGCGTTTTCTTGGCGTCGCTGAAGTTCTGCATGCGGTACCAGATTGACTTGAGGATGCTGTGCGAGGTGTTGCTTCAGAACCAAGGTAACACCGAGAAATAGAACGCACGATGCAAACGGAGTAACGCCAATACCAGCACCGACAAGAAGAACCGTCTCGAAATTCAAGAAATCTTCAGACGAACTCCCAAACGGACCATCTACCATAATCCGGGGGAGAACGCGATTGAGTCTTGGGTTCGCAGCAGCAGCGACAACAGTGGCTTCGGCCTCCTTGCCCTTTTCTGACACAGCAGCAGCAGCTTTAGTCTTGGCCCCTTCAAAATCACAGCCAACTGATTTAGCCAGCGCCCGGGTAAAGTCGCCAGTGACACGAATGTGAACGGAGATATAATCCTCCTCTGGGGCGCTCGTCAACGTGAAGGGGTGCCATTGGAAGTACGAGATCTCCGGGCAGTTAATGAAGATGTACTGGCCAGCGCGGGTAGTCGTTTTTTCCTTCTTGATTTGGAGCTCCATCACGTCCGATGGATGTTGAATGACTTTCGAGATGTAGGTGACATGACGAGAGCGAACCTCCCGAAGAATGCGCTCCGATATCCAAATGAGGCCACCGACAATCCAGTAACGCTAGACCAAAGAATATGAGGATCAACAAAGAGGACAACAAAGTTCACACACCCAAAAAACGCCAATGGTGTTCCAAGAACAAAAAGGCGGGCGATCCGGTTTGATCATACAAAACATGCCGTGGAATTGCCACAAGATGAAGAAGGGGACGAAGAGGTGGTGGGTATACCAGAACCTTTCGAATCCGCCATTCTTCCTTGTTCGACGCTTCTCGGTGCTGAAGTAGACCATAACACCGAGGCATATAAGCATGAGCCAGCCCGTAATGAGTGGCCCAATCACAAAATTGGCCGTGATGAAGAAAGCAATCCGAGCACCAGTGGTTGTTGCTGAGGTATCCGCCATTGTCAACTTGAATAAATTCACCAGATGTGCAAGAACGTGGACGACAGAACCGATGAGAATAGCCCATCCGGTCGCCTTGTGGAGGGTTATGTTCTTGTGGAAAGGAATGACATCTCCCAATGGTGTGCGTCGCAGGACAGTGATGAAGTTTCGGCAAACGGGAAGAAGGATGAAGATGACATCGATATGCAGGACCAGAGCAGTTGCCCGAGCGATTGCTAGAGGTCATTCAGCCGAGCGGACCACTTCCGGGGAAAACGACTAACTGTAGGTGATGCCAAACGTGGCTCTTGCATTCTTGAGGTTGTCCTTCAGCCCATAATGGACGAAGCCAAATATAGCGACAAGGAGGTGCAGCAGCAGAAAGACGGCAAAGAAGACTTTCTGGCGGCCCTCGTTTATCATCCAAAGGCTTATTCGCTCAGTCAGCTTGATTTTGCGGGTGGGATCATGACGAAAACGGTCGTTGACGGGAGGTGTGGATGGAAGTTGGAGGCCCTGGAGACGCGCACGCTCTGCTTTATTGCGGGAAGCTGAAGAAAAGGATCGGACTGGGGGAGACGTAATGTCCTGTGGTACCAGCGCGGCTGGAGGGTTGCCATCCGAAAAATCGAGCCCCGAAGAACGATTTGGGGAAGTGAGTGGCATTTCTGGTGGGTCGTTGTTGTGCAAATGAAGGTCGGAAGATAGAGAGAGGGAGAGAGAGAGCCTGGCTAGCAGGGTCTCGAGAAAAAGAACAAGACGAGCCGGTGAAAAAGGAGATCGAGTTGGTGAGGCGAGTGACACGCCCGTAACGGTGGGACACGAAGCATGACATCAGTCATCGACCTGCCCGAAAGTTTGGGCATCATTGCAGGGCTTCATTCAAGTCCCTTGCCAACACGGCGGCAGTATACCGAAGGTGGTTACTCAAAAGAGACAAAATCCTTGAAGCGCGAGCTACAGTATCGCCAATTCAGAATAAAAGATTCCGGCTTGAAACCCGGACTCCAGAGTTGCGGGAGACCGATACTTGGATATTGTCGCATTTGACCATATTGACCTGAACCATGGTAGCGAGGACATCTTGTTTCAAGGGCTGATCGAGCCTGTCGGTGATGACGGTGACGGTAAGCTAGCATACGATTTGACACAGCAGCAAGGGTTCCCAGCGGAAAGAACAACGAACAGGAGATAGCGGTAGCATGCTTGACTAGGGAGATTCCACATGGTGGTGAGCAGGAGCATGGATATTGAGGACGAGGTCGGCGGGTAGTCTGGAGAAAGGACACCGTTGACCTTGAAGGATCGTTGCGGGTAGTCCAAACGAAAGAAAAATGTCGTAGACGGCACCTGAGGCCCAGTAGTCGAAATAAAAACTCTTGATCTACTATTGATGGGCCAACAAAAAGCTCTGAATCGGTGTGTAGCTCGATTTCGCTGGTTCCAGCGGTCAGGAAGGATGAAAGGCGGACAAGGATGAGCGTCGAAGACAAGAAACAGGCGCTGCTGATTGGCCGGAACGGGCGTTGCAGAGGACAGAGGTCCAGACCACAATTCGAGAGTCCAGACCATGTTCGCATCAAAAGTCGGAGAGTCTCTATTAAAACGCGGTCACGCACAGTGTGGAGCGCGTAATTATATGCGCGTTTGTGATTGATCGGCCATCATGGTCAAGGACGAAAGGCTCGCCAGTAAATTTACAAAAAGCATAATAAATAAGACAATAAATTCATGTCGTTGATCATCAATAGATAAGCACTCAGAAATTCTCTACAAGGGACGTCAGTGCAACTACGGTATTCAGGGGTAACTCAAACTCACCTTTCCCGAAGAAAAACCGCGCACCACGAGCATCCGAATGTTTGTTACAATGGTAGCGCAGCGCCGAGGCTAGTGCTTGTGGGCCACAGTAAAACTAAACGCTTCAATGAGAACAACTTTCGGTTGCTGGACAACTCAGCACCCACCACACCGATGTCCGACTCGGGGTGCTTCTGGCCCAGGGACGCAAACACTTGATCCCAATTTGGACGGCCATAATGCGTCGGCGCCCTCAACGAGGTAATGGCATCTTTCTCTGCACCAACATCTTGCACGACAATGTTGTTGATGTCTTCGACATTAACGCTGCCTGTCAGATAAATGTTGATCTCAATACGGCTCTGCGAATCCTGCTCCTCGAGAGCACGGAGGAGGGAGTGAAACCATTCGGCAGTGCCGAAGTCGCGAATGACCCAGGTGAAGTAGACCTTTGAGAGACGTGTTCTCTTGCCTTCGCTGAAGTTTTGCATGCGGTACCAGATTGATTTGAGGATACTGAGCCAAAGAGTGAGCGAGTAGAAAACAGTTGGACCCGAGCTTACGAGGCGAACGGAGTGACACCAATTCCAGCACCAACAAGAAGAACGGTCTCGTAATTGAGAAAGTCCTCTGACGAGGTACCGAACGGCCCATCGACCATGATTCGCGGCAAAACACGGTTTATACGTGGGTTGGAGGTTGTCATGACAACTTGAGCCTCCTGCTCTTTGCTCTTCTCCTTCCCTTTGGCACCTTCAAAGTCGCAGCCAACAGATTTGGCTAATGCTCGCGTGAAATCACCAACGACCCGGATATGAACAGAAATGTAATCCTCTTCTGGGGCGCTTGTGAGGGTGAATGGGTGCCATTGGAAGTACGATATTTCGGGGCAGTTGATGAATATATATTGCCCCGCACGGGTGGAGGTATTTGCCTTTTTGATTTGCAGTTCCATCACGTCCGAAGGGTGTTGGATAACTTTAGAGATGTAGGTGACATGTCTTGAGCGAGCCTCGCGAAGAATACGCTCCGAAATCCATATAACACCACCGACTATCCAATAACGCTAGCAAGCGTCAGTTTTTAAAAGAGAGGGACGAAGCCGGATCATGTACCCAGAAAACCCCGATAGTGTTCGAAGAGCAGTACGGGGGACGGTCTGGCTTGATCATGCAAAACATGCCGTGCAGCTGCCAGAGGACGAAAAACGGAATAAACAGATGGTGGGTATACCAAAATTTCTCGAATCCGCCATTTTTCCGCGTTCGACGCTTCTCGACCGCGAAAAAAACCATCACTCCCAGGCAAATCCACATCAGCCACCCAGTGATCAGTGGTCCAATAACAAAGTTGGCGGAGAGGAAGAAGGCAATCCGTGCACCAGTCGTAGTCGCTGACGTATCAGCCATGGTGAGGTGGTATAGGTTGATAATATGAGCAATCGAGTGAACCGCTGAGCCGATTACGATCGACCAGCCGGTCGCCTTGTGCAAGGTAATGTTCTTGTCGAAGGGGATCACGTCTCCCAGCGGTGTGCGTCGGAGAAGGGTGATGAAGTTGCGGCAGACGGGAAGCAGAATGAATACAACATCCACATGCAAAACGAGGGCTGCGGCACGGGCAATAGCTGGAAACGACATTCGAATTTAATGAACAACCAGAGAGAGAGAAAATAAGCAACACACTAAATGTGACCCCAAAAGTCGCGCGGGCATTGGACAGATTGTCCTTCCAACCATAATGGACGACGCCCAACGCAGCCACCAATAGATGAAGCAGCAAAAAGACAGCAAAGAAGACTCTTTGCCGGCCCTCATTGATCATCCACAGGCTTATTCGTTCGTTGAGTTTCTTTGGCCGTGTCGGATCATGCCTTCGACGACCATCCACAGGCGACTTGGAGGTGGTCTGAAGTCCTTGAATGCGAGAGCGCTCTGCTTTGTTGCGTGTAGCTGAAGAAAAGCTGGCTCCGGCAGCTATCGCAGAATTTTCTCGGTGCTCCTCCAAAGCCGAAGGCCCGTCTGAGAAATCGAGGGTTGAAGATCGTTTGGGCATCGCAAGTCGTTGGGTAAAGGAGGGGAAGGAACCTGGCTGGCAGGTGGGACGAACGAACGAAATGAGAGTGGAAGGAAGAAAGAGACAGGGACCACTGGCCCGTCACAGTGGGTATGACACTGGAAGGTTCGACGTTGACACAAGCATAAGTAACTGCGAGTGGGATCTCGACAACCCGGGCACCATCATTAAGCTGCATAGCTTCCAAGTTTGCCAAGCCCGGAGGTCAATTATAGTCGCGGACTGTCGCGGGCAGCGTAGATCTCCGCTTGACACGTAGTAGTAGTTCCAGAGTAAACCTTCACTTCATCTCAGTCTGTGTGGTTGTCAGGAGTTGGAGATATTCAGCAGGGTACGTTTGCTTACTCTAGATGTCAAAGAACTCTGGCCACTCATGTTCAAACGACATGTCGATGTTGAAACGCATCAGCATTGGCAGGGAAGGCACCCTTGCATAAGCCTGCTACTATAACTCGTACTGAGGGTACTTTGGCTCCGTTCCAAATATCGATGTTGACGCAGGTTGCCTTCGGTTTGCCGTCGCAATCGTGGGGGAGACTCTGGGAGACTTTCACCGAAGTGTCGCTGTTGGTTCGTCACGTTACAGTCACGAGTCAAGGTCGGCCAGGCCTAGGTCGCCCATGGTGCAACCGTGGTGTGGGAGACATCCATAACTATTTATTATACTTACAATTCAAGCTGTGGCCTTGTTTACTATAGTACTTTAATTGTACCTCCAGCTATTGAGTGCTAACTTGACCGTCAATCTGGCTATCAAGCCCCATTTCCTGCCTCTCCAATGTCATTTCCGCTCGCCATGCCTCTTCATTGATCTCCTCATAGTCTTCCAAGCCATCCGCTCGTTCAATACCTTGAATTTCCGCATCTAGATCGGCATTCATAATGACCACCCACAGTAACTTCGACGACTCCCAATATTCTCCCAAGTCGGCATTAGACACACCATGCGTAAGCGGTCTTTCTCACGGTCCTGCAGACCACGTGCACCGCGTAGGCCGATACCCCTCTGGGCGAGCAGACCCGCGAGTCCACTTTGTATTTGTCCAACGCGGGCCCTGTTATTGCTGGATGGCGGCGGGTTTCTGTTGTCACGGTCGTTGTTGCGGTCCAACGCATTCACGGCCAGGTTGATAGTGCCACCAATAAGGCCACCCCCCACCTAGAGCTCCGCCTCTGCGGAGAATTACACCACGATCACGGACTCCAAGAGACCTTCGGGTGCCAAATAGGCCATTGCAGAGGACCCCAGATTGTGATGGCTGCTCATGATTCGAGCGCGAATCTCGATCCGAGTCCAAAGCTTCCAGTTGGAGACGCTTGTCTTCCGCTCGAGACTGCTTGCGAGTCTCTAGCCATCCGTCAAATCTCACCCCCCAGGATGCCATCGTATCCATAACACCGTCGGCCATGGCTGGCTTGGGCATTTCAAAATCGAGTGGCAAGATGAATCCATCCAAAGAAGCGACGCGTCTATATGTCGCCAGAAGCTTCTTGCTTTCTGGTCGTGCGCTTGGGTCCATCGCAGGGACTTTGGGAGGTTTTTTGGCAACAGCATAAACGAGCATACCCGCAAGGGGCAAAGGCACCTTCATTGCGACTGACCCCACTTGACGTTTAAACTTATCCAGCTTGGACTCGGAGCTCGCTTCTCCCGAGTTGAAACCAGCGAGGGCCTCTGGAGGAAGCACAAATCGTTGCATCGCACAGGTCGTACAGATCCGAACGAGGTTTAAAAAGTTGGTTATTGGCGGCACGTAGGTAGCGGTCGGTGAGTGTCTTGGAGAGCATACCGACTTGGGCACCAGTTTGAATGGCGGCTCCAGCGATCATTGCCCAGTGATAAAGGCTTGAGCGAGTTTGAGCAAGACAACTGCGGACATTGATAGCACTCACATGAACCCAATTACGATGCCAGCCAATGAAACGACGCGCAACGGTGGACTGGCGGTCATTGCGAGGTTCAGCCCATCGATAAACGCCAACAGCTCTTCCTGTGAAATATCGACAGACTCCAATACGGCGCTATATCCTCGCAAAAATGGCGAATCAAAGCCAGACACAAGCTGTGGAGCACAATATGGGAGTGGCAAAGCTGGTTGCCTTTGAGCTACTAGTTGTCGTAGCGTGTGATGATGGCGGGAGAAACGTCTGGATGAGAAGCTCTGCGTCGCGAGTAAGGTTGAATCCAGTTGGAGATGCTTGGGGAGATGTCATGGTAGACGAGTTTGGCAAGCGCTGAGCCAGAGGGATGGATAAGGATGGATAGTCTCGAGAAGTCAGTGACTTGAATCCCACAGCAACATTGTGTTAATTCATGGTGATATTCATAGCCCAGTCGGCGCAAGACGGCATTCAGTCGCGTTTTCAATTGGAGTTGAATGGGGCAGAGACAGTTGCTCGTGCAAACTTGTGGTGGATCACTGGATGGAACATTCTTGTCCATGGTCACAAGTCACAGTTTGATTTGTCATCAAGACGATGCCATACTGCCGAGCGAGCTTCAAGAACGAATTCAGGCAGGCGATATTGTACAGGGTAAGATTACAGTTACATCCGAGACATCCAGAGCGGCAACAGAACGGTCACATGATCAATCAGAGCCCAAGCGCTTTTTGCAGCAAAAGCGCCTGCGAATCACCCAAAGACTTGAGGGCAGCGAGGTCGATGCTGCTCTTCTGCACACCTTTCGGTACCTGCATACCAAACACAATATCTATTGATGGATCAAAATGATGAGCAGAGAGAGAGAAAGAAGACGAACAGGCAACATCAGCCTGAGAATGTGCATTATTTCCGTCGACGGTGTTCCCGAAGCATGTCTGGGCAATGAGGATTGAAGCTTCTCCGATAACCTGAGGACTATCCGCACTAACGCAGTTCATATCAGTTCTATTAATTGGAGACTGAGAGGAAATGGAACACACTCTTGATCACCATAGATGCCATAGAACATCTTCCCGTTGCAGATGATCGCTCCAAGGGCGTTGTGCATGAGCAGACTCTTGTAGTCCTTGGTGAATCTCTCTGGAAGGACAAAGTACGGCACTTTGGTCGCATCGAGTGCGCCAAAAGACGTCTCCGATTGGCCGTCTCGGTTACCCTATCAGGTTTATCAGATGTCCTAGGCTTATCTGATTATAAATACCTTGCAGTTCGCCTTGGGCCCATCGCAGTCTACATCCATGTCGGCGATGAAATGGAATGCGGAAACACTACCCGTCAGATTCAGCCAGTCGCCATATATGTTGCTGTAGGTCTTCCGCTGAGGGGTGGTTGGATAGCTAGCAAGCGTTTTGCTGCGGGAGTTTTGTGCAGCTGTGTAGAGCCCTGCGACATTGATGCCGGTATCTGCCGCGAAGCTCGAGGCGAGACTTGTACTCGAGTGTGATCGCTCCGACGCAACCGATGGCGGACCATTAGTGTCGTGGGTATTGTGGGCCTCGCTATACTGGAGGCGAGGACGCTGTTTGACGCGTGCACTATGTCTTCGATGGGACTCGGAAATCCCACACGCGGCAGGAATAACGAGCAATGAGAGGGTCAAAAACGTAGAGAACTTCATGGTCAAACGCTGTTTGGTGCACTAATCAGCGCGAGTCCTTTATATCGTCCGTTTTACTCACCTATGGGTGCTGTTGGGTAAAGACTACAATCGAAGGAGTGCAGAGAGGACGATGGTTTGCTGCACTGAGATGGAAGGTAGTGGGTTTAAATAACCAGCGCTCATACTGAGGAGGTAGTTGGGAATCCTCTTCTATGGACCAACTCTCTGGCCCATGCGCAACGGTAGGAGTCCCGGTTCTTCTCGGGACGACAGAGCCGCGAACGTACTAACTCAGTCGAGTAAACAGCTGGGTTTGCGACGAGACCGAGGCTCCGATAACCATGTCAACCAAAATACGACACAGTGGCTGGATCGTCCGGAAGAGTTGGTGGTAATAGTGCGCCGAGAGAAATGGTTGAGAGAAGTTGGATCGAAGCAGACTGTGGGGTGTGCCTGGAATGAGGGCTACTGGAGATAATGAAAGGCAAGTATAGGTAAGACAGAAGCCATACAATCTTCACAGCGAGGAAATCACGTATGTCACCATTCGATTCTAGATTAGATCTGGTGTTTATGCTACCGGTTGGACGATCGCAAGGCAGCGGCGCGCCTGTCGGAAGGGATACCGTGACTAACGGGAAGAATTGACCTGTCCACAGAATGGGCTAAAATACGAGGTAAAATCGTCGACGCACATTTGGGAAGTCGGAAGATGACGGAAACTCGACGCTGCAAGCACAAGATTTGCCACCAAAAAGGGCAAGAGATATCAACCAATGTCCGAAGTGACTCCAACCGAAAATCGTTAATGAGCGCTGGTTCATGTGGGTTGTTCATCTTTCATTGTAGCCCCGAGGAGTTTCGGCCTTGAGCATGGACTCAATTTACGGCGAGCAGTGTTGACTACTCACCTGTTTGACCATTTCCAACCAAGTGTATTCCATTTTCAGCTGTGACGAGTACTGTCTGCCCTTTCCAACCAAGTGTATTTTCACAAGTTCAAGAACTAAACTCACACTGGGATGGTCGTTCCCTTCAGCTCTAGAAGGCCATAGCAAAATGACGTCGGAAGGAGGTTCGGCCAAAGATGACCCGGCCTCCCGGTTTCTGGATATGCGAGGACCGGCCAACCTTCAGAGTAGCAATGGACTCGCATGGTGAGTCTGTGGTCGTCAAGGATATCGGAAGCCTATATTCCGCAGAAATTCCAAGAGAAGCGCTCCACTGAATATTTGCGGTTGACGAGGACTACTTGGTAGCTTCCAAGTGGATCAACGTGACAGTACCGTCACGTTCGGCAGCCACTCGGATCTGATCGTTTTTCCCACATTGCTAAATAGGTTCTTCACTGGGGTTACACTATTCTGACCAAGAAGTCTTGCTGGATGTGTGTCAACAGAGCCATTCTTCGTTTGATCTGCTTCAACGAAGCACTGAAGGCCCAGTGTAACCATTTGAACGGAAGACTTTGGTTGTCTGTGCTAACGTTACAACAACTGGTATAAGTGATCAATACATCTCGGTGCCAAATAGAACGAAAGGAATGGGAGACTGTTCCGAGCCCAATTTACACGGGACTCCACGGCTCCTGGTGCTTCTCAGGATCACGCTCCTGTAGTTCTCTCCTGCTGTCTGTCTCCAAAGAGCTTGACACTCCGCTGCTCTGAACATCCACGATCTGGGAGACGTCATTCTCGTCAGTAATCGTCGTTTCAAACAACTTAGCAACGAACCTTGGGTATTACCAACGCAGGCTGTAGATCGTCCGTCCCCAACGCCGTACCTGAACTCTCGGGATGACTCTCAGGATTGTAACCATACCCGCTCGTGGCAGATGTTGCGGTGCGCCACCTCACACCGCTTATCTGCGAGAGGTGAATATCTACGGAAACTGGCCCGTCGCTCGCAGTTCCGCGGAGACCAAGGCCATTCCTTGCGTTAAGAATTGCGAGGTAGGAGTTGAGGTATACTGCTCATTTTTTAGTGCCAAGTAGATACTGTTGAAGCCTTCGCTCACATTTGCTCAACAACAGGTAACATCCTAGCACAAATTACATAAGTTTGCATCACTGCAAGAAGTAGACTGTACCGAGAAAAATGAAGTTGTTAGGCATGAACGCATAGGTGAACATGCCAGCCGTTGCATCTAAGCTGGGAGGATGGATCAGACTGCGAAAAGTCATGAATCTAATCGACGAACGCAACGAGTAAACCGGTGTTGATTGTGTACGCCATCAGCACTCGAATCAAAGAATCCGTCCTTGGTCACTTGAGTAAAATGACTAAGAGGTATCGTGAGACTAGCCTTTTGAATCCTGTTCTGGACTTGTGCAACAGGTAGCACAGCGCCAAAGCAACGGCAATATCGCTTCCAGTCCCAGCAGCGAAGTTGAGGTACATCAAATTCTGAGTAGTCAAGTTTATGTCAACGGTCAAGGGCAGATAGATTAGTTTCAGCGCACTGAAAGACCGGCGAGCTGCAGGTACGACGTTATCCCAAAACTGCATAAAAGATCAATTAAGGGGAAGATGGCCTGCAGCCAAGCCTCATGAATTGCTTACGCTTTGGCTGTGATGGCTAGATGACAGATGGTTGAGCTCCATCGACATGAAATGTGGACAACTCACTTATTCCGCAAACTAAATGCAACGTGGTCAGTGACAACATTCGAAAATTTGGCAGCTACACATACTCAAATCCAGGGTGGACAGTGCCACGATCAGGAGTGTACCCGGTATATTTCCCTTGCTCACTGCGTGGGAAGAGGTAAAATGTGAGTGGATGCTTCTCATACTCGCCGAGCGGGACGGGACACACATCGATAGACCCGACGAGCGAAGACACTTTCAAGAAAGCCGTCCGTCAGTCACGCCATCATTAGAGAACATCAGCACGTCAACACACCTCCGAACGATGAAGTTTGAGATGGACTGTTTAACGGATTAAATGCGGTGTAGATGCATTATATTGTTTCTGCTCACCGTGGCAGCGACATGGATCTGGTGAAAAAAACGGCGTCTTTGAGCTATGTTGACCACAAAGATGAAGGAACAACGAACGATAACACTCCTTAAAGCTAGGTTGAGCAAAAGAGTGAGAGAAAATAGGAATGGACTCACCACACAGGAAACAGTATCGTCTGGGGCGCGAAATAATTGGTGATGAGGTAGAAGTAAAGAATGTGGCCGTTGAGGACTGTGTCGAACGTATCAAGCACCCTGTCGACGCGTCATTGGAGCTGATGCGGCCAAGTCATCGGAGAGGAACGCACCAAAGGATAGCGACCTGGTATTGATGAGTGAGCGTTGAAGAGAATGTTTAATCCAGCACTTACAAGTGATTTTTGAAGCCTCCGCGTCGGATCGGCACCAACGCGCAGAAAAAAGGAGAATGTTTGGACGCAAGTGACGCCCCATAGTCTTCGCCAAGACTCAGCGAAGCTCGTGGAAGTAACATATAACGCACGCAGTTGCAACTAATCCGCCTACTAGCAGCGCACCTAGTGTGTTATCCACGGCAGGAAGTACTGGTAGTTGGCCAGGAGGCAGCACTGTACTATTGGCTCCTACGTTTGCCATGGGGGAATGGGTGGTGGTGGTGGTAAGGACGAGACAACACGGGCGCGTGAGTCCCTCGAATAGAATCCGTCATTATACATACGAAGACGTCCAAGAATAAGCTGGCGTTTTGTAGGGACAAGAGGGAAAATTTGGCAAGTTGGTTTCCCGCGAGTTTGGCGTCGCCGATGTCGGCCACGAGGGGCGTGGAGCAGGTGATGCTGTAAAGTTTCTTGGGCCCTTTCGACGGTGAAGTATTCAATGACCGACAGTTGGACGCGATTGAGATGACTGAACGATCTCATTGCCCGCGGAATTGCGTTTCAAACAACAAGGGTCAATATCTTGCACTCTGAGCTCTCTCCACTGGGCAATCTTCGTTGGGTTACCACCAGCTGGCCGGCGGCAGAACGATGGAAGTCGGCATTCGGTCGGTTTTACGCTCAAAGCAGCCGAAAATCAGACGCCGTTGCTTGTGGCTTCTGCAATAATGAAGGTGATATTTGGTGAGAGTCACCGTTTTCGGAGAGAGACGTTAGCTTCCGAGATTCCCACGTGCCAACAGGTTGGAGTCGCGACCATGTGACTAGATAAAACGCGGCCAAACGCGTGAATTTATGAAATTCATCCATCCATTCCTTTTCAAGTGGTATCGAAACACAAAGAGTAGCCTAAATCCAAAGCTATAAGAGAGATCCTGCCAATGTCAGAGAGAGAGAGAAAACTGTGGGGTAAGAGAAATGAATGCAATGCCAAAGAGAGAGATAGCGAGCGAGTGTGTGGGTTTGAAACGAGTGGACGGAGGCGGTGTAGCTAGACACGACGAGTGCTCCTGAGGATGCTGACTAATATGCAAGAAGAGGGCCGGATTGGTGGCCAAATAGAGGGAGATACAATATCGCCTTTAAATATGCGATAAAAATTGGGGCCTGTCAACTGGCGGGAGAGTTCAAGTTGGCGTTGAAGGTTACGATCGAGCAAGCTCAGCCTGGCGTAATGCATGGAGGGTTTGTTCGGAGCGTGGTCGAATGTCACAGTCGAAGTAATCGGGAAGTCTAGCAGAGCGGATGAACTTCTGACATTAATGATGGAAAGGCACAATACCGGAACACAGCATTGTTAAAGTCGACCTTGGGCTCAACAACATTGCCGAAATCATCTTTAGCTTTGGAAATGTCGAGTGTCGCGATGCATGTAGCGACAAGGATCCAAACAGAGGACTCGACGAGGTTCACGCCTGGACACCGACGACGACCGAATCCCTAGAATCAGTTCCGTGAGCACCATACTACTCGACATGACAGAGGAAGCCCGCTCACAAAAACGTAGCTTCTGGGATCTCGTCTCTTTGCGAGTGGCGACTCTACCGCCTCCAGATAACGCTCAGGAAGGAAAGCAGTCGCGTTAGGGAAAAGAGTCTCGTCCCGCATTATTGCCCTGATCGGTCATCTCAGTAACGGCGTCTAAATAATGGAGCGGGGAGCAGAAAAGTGGCAGGAATTCCGATGGTAAAAAAAACACACCAGACGTTACCGAATACCTTGCAAGAACAGTGAGTTCTGGATACCGAACGGTTCTGTAACATCACACATACCAGAGATCCCTTTGGAATGACCATTCCACGATAAACGTCATCCTCCATCAGTCGATGAGGAAGGCCTAGCGAAATCAGCTTTCGATTTTGAGGCTGCAGATGTGACCTTACTGAGTGGTACCGGGACCCCCCAACGATAGACCTCATTCAGGATAGCTTCAACTGCAAAACGCAAATCAGTCCCTTATACCACAAGTTGAAAGGTTCACAGACTGTAGGGTAGCGATTCGCGGTCAGCGAAGGTTGGTAGACGATCCCGTCCAATGACGGAATCTATTTCCTGTTGAGCCTTGGCTAGGACTTCAGGATGTAATATCATCGCAAGGAGGAAGTGGCAGAAGACTGTAATCGTCTGGAGGCCAAGTCAGCAGAAACTTCGGAGAGTTTATAACGACGTACGGTGTCCATGCTGGCTGAATACATGGAGTTGGCGGTATACTTCAGGTCGGATTCGAATTGGGGAGTGCATTTTTTCTCGTCCTCAAGTAACATGGAGCAGAAGGAAGGGACATAGTTGCCAGATTTCTAGAAAAGATGAGATGGTGTCGTTCGTCTGAGGCAGGCATACCAGGGACGCTTTGACGTAGTTATAGGGAAGATCAACGAATCTAGGGTGGTCTTATGGAGGCTCAAAATTCGATACTTGACAGACTCACTCGTCCATCCTCGCTTTCCATGTCTTGGCCTTAAGTAAGAAACCGGAGCCAGGTGCCCATGTCGGAAGACGCTTCAAAGAGGGGAAGATATCACTATGTGATGGGAGGACGGTGAGTGGGAAAAGAGTGAACGCCAACAGAAACGCACACAGGCCACTAGTTTGAACACGTCAAATGTTTTGCAAGGAATGAGTAAGTGGACATACGATACCGCCTCCGGAGGCAATCTTGTTAGAGAGAATATCAACACATTCTTCACCAAGGTTCAGGAATTTGTCGTCTCGTGCAGCAGCTTCGTAACCATAGACAACAGACAGGGTAAGCCCGCCCGCGTAGCGACGAGAATGGTCCATATATTTCTTAGGCTCTGCGATAAGACGACGGATGAAGGAGTGGGTTTCGGTTTCGATGAGAGGGTGGTAAGCGGGAATAGCAGAGACGCCGAACGCCTGGGTGAGAAGGCGGCGTTGGCGGCGGGAAACATCGCCATAACGCGTGAATGCAACCTGGATTAACAACGGATTAGAATTGTAAGATAGGCAAGGCACAAGAAAGACCAGACCATGTTGTCGCAACCACAAAGCTCGCCAGCCATGACAAGCGAGGGTTTGTCACCGTAAATGCCACCTTTCTTCTCAAGGAGGTCCATTGTTGCTTCAGGCGAGGAGAGGAAGACGAGCCCTTGACCGACGACATGGACGTGAACGACATCGCCTAGTGCAATAGATGAGAGTCGCGGAGAAGATAACGCGCGTTAACATACCAAACTGTCTCGCCCAGTTGGTTGCAGCAAGCCAAAGCTCCTTGGGAGTTAAGTCGAGGACGTTTCCAAGAATTGGCACGGGGGTTGGACCTGGCGGGAGGTGTGTCGCACGCGACCTGGCGGCGGATTTGCGATAGAGTACAAGTGCACCAGCCAGAAGCGCCGCAGTGAGAGTCCAAGATGTTGAACCCATTTCGACAAGGAAGGAAAGAAGGGAAGGAGAGAGTTTGTCTGCCGCTGCGGCACCAGCCAGTTTTTGTGGCTGTCTGTCAAGCGCTCACATCCTAACGAGGCTGAGGAAGATGAACGTTCACGGCAACTTGACCTTCTATTTTCGGCAATGTAGACCCAGCGATGTGGCCGGCTGTCAGCCTTTAGTCTTCTCTACAACCAGAAAAAACCTTGATTCAAGTCTATCCAACACCAAACTAAACTTTATGCAGCCAACACATCCAAGTAAGAATGCTACCTAGTCCAGTAGTCTAGCCAGAAAAAGGACATGAATGTATCGTTGCAGTGAAATTCCTCACAGAAATATGTGTAAGGCGAGCGCCCACCTTCACGGCAACAAATGCACTGGCGTTCATTTCGCGTCTCCGATATCAAGCAGGGACAGCGGGAGCTCTCGCCTACCAGCCTCGTGGTGGGTGAAGATGGAGCCCAATTTCACAAACCCAGATTCCAGCCAAGGTCTGGAAAGGTCATAGTTAACCGAGCAGGACGGAGTTGAGTGCTGCTTTCTCTCTTTGCTGCATCATAAGTTAACTGCCATGGACTTGAGATCCTTGTGTATCGGGAATCCGATCTCATAAGAAAAGGCTAGACAAGTGCGGGAGCGACGAGAACTTAGGGGGGTATTTCCATCGTGCAAATGCGGCCCTGACTAGCTTTTTAGCCTTGGAATAAACGCGGCTCCGACCCAACTCGGAGTATGTCGATGAAAGTCCGGAGGAAAGATTGTGATCCGATGCCACAAGCGATCCGGGAACCCGACATAATGGCAATTATTAGGTAAATTTACCTGAAGCAACTTTTGCCTCGGAATCGTCTGGCTCTCATGAGCAGCGAGCAGGCCGGAAGATATCCCTCAAGATCATCAGGGAAGCTAATCAACAAAATTTTACTCTAAACGTGCTTAGAGTAGAAGCCGCTACCCTCCGACACTCCTCCGACCCTGATTTGTTTCGGCAGAGAGTCCAGTAATGACATCATGCCGATGAGCATCTGGAAAATGAATTGATGGCCGTCATGGCCATCACGCTCCGTCACGGCATATTCTGAGCCTTTCAGGAACCCACTGTCCTTGAAGTCGTCCTTTGACCAAAGTACACTCTTAAGGTACTCCTTAGAAACTAAAAGCTGCGGGCTTATGCAGTGATCATCAACGACGCGATGATCCTGATGCACATCTTTCCAACTTTTCAAGTTGTTCTCAACCTTCACCATCTTCAAACCATCTTGCTTCCTCGAGACTTGATGACGTTCCGCTAATCTATCTGGAGCTCCCCTGCTCCTCACACTCTCCGGGCTCGACTATTCGTCGTGTTCAGCTGAAATCACTGCGAACTTCCATCTGTTCCAAGATTCTCCTCAGCCCACGTTCTCAGGCTATGCTCCGACGAGGAATCTGACTCTCTGATCTTCTCCCGATGTCATTAGCCGTATATTGAGCTTCGACAAATGAGCACGACCTACGACTGCGTCCGAAACTCCTTCCTTTTTACTGCTACTCCTTTCTTTGGCCGCGAGCGTCATGGCCCGTGAGCTTGTGCTGGTCGCCCTACTTTCTTCTTTTTTTCTCTCGACTGTGCGGGCATCGACCAACTTCACTACACCACTCCCTTCCCTCTCGCAAAGGACTAAACTTGCTAACGACGGAATTGTGGAGGCATTGGGACACATTGGAAGCAATGGCTTATTTCCAGGTGCGTCCATTGTACTACTTGACCATGTTTCGTCTCTGACGCACATCCTCGTAGGACAACCATTCGACCTCGGCGCCAAGTTTTACATTATTTTGGCGGAATATGACCTGTCGATGAATGAGACCAAGTACCAAGCAATGCTGACCCAATACTTCGCCCAGGCGTTACAAGGGCGTCCCCACTTTGATACTGGAGTGTGCGTGTGCGCACCTAAGAAATCCTTGAACTACTAACTTCATTCCAGGGTTCGTATTTTTCGATAACATTACTTCACTATTCCGATGATCATTCGTCCGTGAAGACGTTTGACAGTCTGTAAGATCTCCTTCGCTGTCGTCTGTTTTTAGTCGCAAATCATCCTCAATTTATAGACAATATGGTTTCGCTGCTATGCGAGCGTACGAAGCCTACAAAGACCAAACTTTCCTTAATTACGCCCTCGATGTCTGGTCATTCATTGACTCCATGACCCTTTCTCAGCAAAATGTGGACTCAGGAAGCAGTCCACCGAAAAACTTGACTATTCGTGGCACTTGCAAAGATCGTGAGTACTGGCGCTTGCCCATTCAATATGTGCTCAGAAATTTCCCTATCAGAAAGTTTGCTTGGAGGGACTTTCATTGTCAGCAGTAGCCCCAGTCATTTTGAAGTGCCTCATCTTTCCTAGTCGAGTTTTCCCAATGGATCGAGCATCATGAGCTCCACAGTATCCGCGTAAGCGATAAGCCTATCTTTCCGCTCGCTGTCTAATCTTCTGCATCAGTCTCTTTGCGATGTCAGCTTCCATCCGATCCAATTTACGATTTGTTGACATTGTGATCATCTCACAGTCTATCCATTCACCTTGCGTCAGCGACCTCCGATTCAAGCTACTTGACGTCTGCCACCAACTCTATCGGCTTCATCGAACGGCAACTGTATTCTCCGACACAAGCAGTAGACCTTGTTATGCAACAGGTCTCTGCGACGACTTGCTCTCTTGATCAATCCCTTTTTCCTTACAACTCAGGGTTTGTCATCGAGGCAATATGTAACCTGTTGTCTTTTGGCTCCAACTCGGAATTACAGTCTTTGTAAGACTATGTGCTGGATTGAAGACCGATTTTCTTACAAGACAATGCGATAGACTTCACGACATTGTTGATGCTGCTACGACGAGTGCTCCCTGGATGAGCACCTCAACAGGTGTCATAAAAGGCTCGAAATTGCTATCCAACTGGCTTATATTACCCCCACTAATGACCATTTTCAGGCGGAGACATAGCACTACCCCATAGCATTGCTCTGGCACATCAATTGAATACCCTCCCTCCAGATCAGAAGTCTAGAGCGGAGGTCTTTTTTACTGCCCAGGTACTCTCTTGTTTCCATATAGTTTAGCATCTTGAATGATGCGACGCGCATAGTATAACTCAGTGACTGCACAAGCTTCCAGCAATACGAGTATTTATGGCTCGAACTGGGGAACGCAAGCGAATTCAACGCTTACTTTTAATGCCCCAGCACAAATTGTAGCACTAGGCACGCTCGTGAGTGCGCTCCAATTACCTGAGATTGATCCACAAACTCCGACGGCGAGTCCATCAAGCTCACCGGCCCTTCCAGTCGACAGACACGATGCCAGCCACTTCAATGCATTAATTGCAGGCGCCATCATCGGTGGGATATGTGTGTTGGCTCTCGTGTTAACTGTGACCGTCTTCGCCATTCGAAGAAAGCGCCAGAGGCGGAAAAACTGGACCACGAGTCACGATCTTGAACACGGTTCTGGTAATTCATCAGTAGAGCCGTACCCATGGGGGAAAATCCCGGGCCCCAGGGCCTCAGCCAGCCAGGTGGCGCATTCCCGCTCGGATTCTCATTCAGACGACTTGGAATCACGCTTCAATAGCAAAAGGCTTGGCGGTCATTTGCGGCAGCAGTCGGAAGCTGTTACCAACACCACAGAAAGTCATTCCGGGAGCTCTGGCGATACGCCACCAGTGCATGGCTCTAATAGCTCCCAACGCCAACTATCAACAGAAGAGGTCGTGCGTTTGCTGTATCAGAGGATGCATCAGTCGTCCTTGGAAGGAGAGGCGCCACCGGACTATCGCACCTCTGTTGCTGACCGATAGCTTTCTTTTCCCCCTTTCCGTTGTAGTTACAGTTTCTTTGTTGTACCCTTTGTAAATGATAATTGCGAACGGCGTGTCGCATGGACTAACTGATGGCCGAACTTCTCTCCTCGCAGCCGAACGTGGTGCCGTTGATTTAAAAGTGATGCATTGGTCTGGTCACTGTAGCTTGACATGGTATAGAGACGCTACGTTTACGCTGTTAACCGTGATAGCCAATGCCCAATTTTTCAACATAGTATATGCCCATAACCGTTGCAAAGCTTGAACTGGAAGAGTTTTTGACGAAGGGGTATAACCCAAACGAAGATATCGAAGCGGCGACTCTCTTGCTCCTTGGTATCGCACAGACAGCATTGCAAAGAGCGCAGTACACCAATCTTGGAGTTGTCTGGCTGCTAGTTCGTGAAGGGGCACGGCCAGGGTAAGATCAAGAGTGGCGAGTTGTGGGCAGGGAAGCCGGTTCCGGGGCCACATGTACATCTGATTCCCGGCAAGGGCGGTCAGTAATGCGATGTGGTCGATCGAGACGGAGGGGGAAGAGAACTCGAGGTGGGTGAGTGAGGCAAGGCTATTGAGCAAACTGCTCATATTACACAAATACCAAGGATGTGCGTGATTTCCACCTGGAGTCGCAAGCTTGAGATGCGACAACTGGCATTTCCAAAACTCGGTGATAAGCAGAATAAAGTCCATGGCCTGATGAGCGTCCCAATCGTCTTCTACAAGACAAGAAAGTGACTCTAGAGAGCGAAAGTCGAGCAAGTGGGAGAGCCCCCAGCTCGAAACAGAACCGTTGAGGCACATCGCGTGTAATTGGCAAGAGAATGGGTCCACGCGTCTCGTCCATTTATCGTGATCAGGACTCCAGGCATCCGGAAAATTCGCAAGGGAGACATGTCGAAGCAGCGAGGCATCTCGAAGCAGTCGATGCAGTTGCATCGCGGGAAACGAGTTCGCAGGAGGACCACCATCAATTTCTAGGTATTCGAGATGTTGAATGTGTGGTAGAACAAATCCGAGCGTAGATTTGCGTGTAAGCGGGCCTTGTATATGCAGGGCGACAATACGGCCGCGCGAGTGTCGAATCCAGCCTTCTAGTCGTTCCTTATTTTTGACCCCCGAATCGAGACTTTTGAGCGAAAAACTGGCCCAAAGTTGGGGTATTGTCTGTGCCATGGCGCGGAAAGTGTTGCAGACGGAGGAGAGGTGAAGAGGAAGTATTGTTGCCTGTTTGATGTCGCATCCTGTTGGCGGAAGGGAATGGACGAAAATCATCGTCCATATTTCAACCGGCAAACGCTCCAGAGGATGTCTGTGACCAGTCGTGCCACCTTCAGAGTTGGCTTCGAGGCGAAGAGTGGGCATTTTGAAGGAAGAGACTCCGAGAGAGTCACGGTGATTGCGGAGTTTGTAGCCAGACAGTGGGCAGGCCCCAGGGTTACTGGCTATACATACGGACGGCCAACTTGGCATCATTGTTCGACGAAAGTGGGCAACAAGCCGCTTGGTCCAAGTTGCAAAGCACTTTCCATGAATCTGGGGGGGGGGCTGATGACGAATGAAAAATGACCCTGGAGAAGTTCAGCGAACCTTGGGTAGGTGTCCATAGCTTCTCACTATGATCTTGCCGAGGTACTATCGAAGAAAGCACTCCATTGCATAGCTTTCATTCGACGGGTATGGCTCGCTCTCGTGGTCGACGCTCTTCTTCTCACATAGGCAAGAATACCTCAAGCCTCCCTGTTAACACACGTTCCATCTCCACAGCTAAGTGAGCGTTGACAATGCTGTAAATGCGGGTCGATTGCAAAGTATGAGCGTCCTGTTGCCAAGTCCGGTTCATTCCACGGCGCCAATGAGACAGCAATGAGGATGTATAAACAGCAGCAGTGCAGTCGCAGAATGCCCGCAAGAAACGAGACTGAAACGAGTCAAAAACGACACGTGTCACGTGTCATTCTCCGTCCTACTTATATTTTACCCTCATCTTCTCGCGGAGGCTTTTTGTCTTCTACCCTCCACCATGCTTGCTGCAACCACCGCCTCGCGGAAAGGGGCACGAGCCATAATAGTTCGTGCCCGTAATGCAGTAGCTGTGCCAAAGCTACAATCCACCTCCATTCGGTCGATTCAGTCAATGGCCCAGACCGACCGTGTGCGTAGCAATTTTCTTCGTTGAACAAATGACCCTGACTCTCTTTAGGACACTATAACCCGGCTGCTCTACTCCATAGGCACCAAACGGGAAGTCGAGCGTCACCTCCGAATTTTCTCCTCATCTTCACATCCGTCCCAACCTGCTAAATTTGCCGTCATCAAGATTGGTGGGGCTGTATTGGATCAAATAGACGAGCTTGCGCTCAGTCTCAGCTTCCTTTATCGTGTTGGACTATACCCCGTTGTGGTCCATGGCGCAGGGCCCCAACTGAACCATATCATCGAGCGTGAAGGAGTTGTGCCAGACTATATCGAGGGCATACGTGTAACCGGTTCGTGAATTTTCTTTTTCTTTCAGGATTTATGGCTCACTTGCTCATCCATAGATGCCAAGACACTTCAGATCGCTCGTCGAGTTTTCCTCGAAGAAAATCTCAAGCTTGTTGGAGCACTGGAAAAACTCGGAACGCGGGCTCGTCCAATAACATCTGGTGTCTTCACTGCAGACTACCTCGACAAGGACAAGTTCGGTCTTGTCGGCAAAATAACCAAGATCGACAAACGTCCACTTGAGGCTTCCATTCGTGCTGGGGCCCTGCCCATTCTTACGAGTTTGGCCGAGTCTCCGGAGGGCCAAATTCTGAACGTCAATGCCGATATTGCGGCGGGGGAGCTGGCTAAGGAGCTCGAGCCTCTGAAGATTGTTTTCCTGAATGAGAAGGGCGGGCTGTTCCATGGAGTCACAGGAGAGAAATTATCTGTGATCAACTTGGACGAGGTTTGCTTTTCATCCGCCTTGTGAGACGGTATTCTCACATGTATCCAGGAGTATGATCAGCTCATGAAAGAGCCATGGGTCAAGTATGGCACAAAGCTCAAGCTGCGAGAATTCAAAGAGCTGCTTGACTACCTTCCGCGCTCGTCGTCTGTTGCTGTTATCTCTGCGTCAATGTTGCAGAAGGAGTTATTCACCGACAATGGTGCAGGCACACTCATTCGCAGAGGCTACAAACTTTTCAAGCATAATAGCATTGAGGAGCTTGGTGCTGACCGCTTCCGACAAGTTATCCATGACCGTGACCCCGATGTTCTCAATGGATTCCACAGTGTTGCTGGGGTCCTTTCCGAGATGAAAGATACTCCCTATACGATCTATGGAGACGAGCCTCTTGATGTAGTGGCTGTCGTTTCTCATCCCCCCGGCGAAACTCCCGTTCTTACTAAACTTCTCCCTTCCCGCGCGGGCGTTCTCAACAGTGTTATTGATAACGTCTTCAGCGCCATCAAGAAAGATCACCGCCGACTTTTCTGGACCGCCCAAGCAGATGATGAGAACCGGGCATGGCACTTTGAACGTGCTGAAGGGAGTTTTACACGCGCCGGGAAAAGCCTCTTTTGGTACGGGGTGCAAGATGTGAAGGAGGTGGAGCGAATCGTCCGCGAGTTTGAAGAAAAAGGCCGCATATCAAGGGTTTACCTTCCTGTTGGACCGTCTGCGTCTGCGCAAAAGGGAAGTGGGTCTGCTCCCAGCGGCACAAGACCGTATTCGACGGGTAAAAGACGAGGATATGCTACGATCGCAGAGCCCACTGCTCCAGTCTCAACTGAAATAAAAAGACTTGGCCTCATTGGCGCCCGCGGGTTCACCGGTCAAACCTTGACAACAATGCTTTCTAACCACCCCTATCTCGAGCTGGCGCATGTCTCGTCGCGACAACTTGTTGGCCTGCCGTTGGAAGGATATACCAAGTCCTCGATCACCTATTCTAACCTGGCTCCAGAGGATGTAGAAGATATGGAGGCTAGTGGGGCCGTTGATGCTTGGGTCATGGCATTGCCGAATGGCGTCTGCAAACCATTCGTGGACGCTGTCGACCGGGGGGCATCGAAGCGCGTATCATCTCCTGGTGGCACAAACACCAACACCGGAAGCGTCGTGGTTGACCTGAGTGCGGATTATCGATTCGAGGAAGAGTGGACATATGGGCTTCCTGGTGAGCAGCGCCAGTAAACACATCTGGATTTAGTCGTGTTGAATAAAGCTTTTCTTTAAGAATTGTATGATCGAAGCGCAATTCGTGCCTCAAAAAGGATATCAAATCCTGGCTGCTATGCGACCTCTTCACAAATGCTCCTTGCGCCATTGATTAACCATATTGCTCCAGGAGCGCTGCCCACTGTGTTTGGGCTGTCTGGCTACAGCGGAGCGGGGACCGTGTCAGTCACAGACCCCGATGGCCGACCTGCTAGCGCACCCAAAATTTCTCCAGAGAGCCTCTTTGGCGGCGTCAGACCATACTCCCTGACCGGCCATATCCACGAACGCGAAGCCGCCCATCATCTTTCGCGGTTGGCCTCCTCGCCATTAAAAATTGCATTCGTGCCGGCAGTGACTCCGTGGTTCAGCGGAATCATTTCGACAGCGTCGATCCCGCTCAAAGACCGCATGGCAGCGCGAGATGTAGCCAGGCTATTTGCAGACCGCTACGAGGGCGAGAAACTAGTTAGGTTGCTCTCTGGTGTTCCTGGGCTGCAGGACATCGAGAATAAACACGGCTGGACGGCAGGCGGATTCCAAGTTTCGAGTGAAGGCGACCGGGTTGTCGTTGTTGGCGGGTTGGACAACCTGTTGAAGGGAGCCGCCACACAATGTCTCCAAAATCTCAATCTGGCTCTTGGATATGACGAATATGCGGGTATTCCAATTGAATGACTAGTGGGAAAGGATGGACAAAAGTAGAGCTTATGTACTATTAATTATCAACCACGAAACTACTCGTCGCCCCTTAACTCGTCCCGGCCAACTCGTAGCATTGTGTGCTCTTTTGCGAGCATTTGCTCGCAAAACTTTCTCGACTCGGGAATCAGTGTGATAGTGAAGAATATCTTCTGCAGCCTTTCGCGATGTAGCGCCGCGAAGAGACTTCGGAGGGGCAGCCCCAGGTCACGAAATCCAAAAATGTCATCGAGTTCGTCTACGAAGACTACCTTGAGCTGATCGACTTTGAGTATTTCCCGCCGAATGAGGTCTTCTACTCGCCCCACGGTGCCAATGATAATGTGAACTGCCCCATGCTGCCCAGGTTTAGTTAGCAGTTCATAGGTTTCCCGAACACTTGTTCCACCGATACAAAGATGGGCTCGGAAACCAGGAAAGTCTTCCCGTCTGATTTCCGTGTAGATTCGCTGGGCCTGGTCGCGGGCTGGGGCGAGTATAAGTGCCTGAACAGCGGTAACAGACGGATCGAGCAGTCGCAAGATGGACACAAAGGCTGCCCGGTGGAATTTGGTGTCGAAAGCAGAGATAGCGTTGACATGGAGATCCTGGCCAGCGAGAATGGGCGTCGCGACACGTAGTTGGAGTTGGGTGAAGTTGCATGTACTCAAGCTGACTCTGGACATTCGTTGCTGGCTAGAAAGGATCTCAGTTGAGCTGGCGCAGTTCAAACTTTTGCAGTGAACCTGGTTGAAACTTGAACGTCACCCGACGATTCTATTCTTCCTGTCATTATCGCATGCTCTCAGACGGGCTCAAGTCCCCTCCAGGTAGAAGCGATGTTGAAACCAAAGTGAGCCGATGCTGCTGAAAAATGTAGTATGTAGTCAAGTAAGAACCTTTGGGCGTCTATCGGCGTTGACGGCGCGGAAAGCTGTGCTTACCAAGGATCGACACGTTACGGCTATCATATTGCACCTCTAAAAAGTCCAGCTTCCTTTTGAACCACACCCTCTGAGCGTCAACCCTGTGGACGAGCCGGATTCGAAGCTTGTCTGTTCAAGTTTCTAGCTTCTCCCCCCGCTCTGAAGACGGACAACGTTAACGGTGTTTTCCGGAATAAGTCGGTGCGCGTCCCGTAAGTAAGTGACCGCCTTGGGCGCTTAACACCAACCACCATTGTTTTTTTCGCTTCTATCTCGGCTGATTCTCCTTGAATTTCCTGCGCAAGTAATAGTGTCGTCAGCTGCCTCAATTAGGGATGCCAAAGTTTCAACATGTACATCGCCGCAGACCATGCCTCGTTATAAAATGCTTAGCGAAGGAGCTGCATGCACTTCATGGCGTACTGCTTCCTCCCAACTCACAACACAGACTTCCCCACCTGGGGAACACCTCCTACCAGCGCATCGTCCAGCAGACAACCACTCGTTCCCCCTTCAAGTTCTCCGCCCGTTATAACAGTTTCCGAATTCATCCCCCCGCTTGAGTTCGCGATGGAGCCCGTAACGCTCACGGTAGCACCTCATGGCCCCCACAAAGCTATTCTCGACGCCGATTTACTCCGCGAAGACGGTCATCCGCGTTTCTTTGTCAGCACAGACGCATCACGGACGGTCATTGAGGACGCCAGCCGACATCGCGTTGCTCTGATCGACTGGAATCGGAGCGGGACCCCAACGGTACTGATAGACGAGCTCGGGTTTCCTATGAAGGCGTCAGAATGGCTCCAACTGGCATCCAGTCGAACGTGAGCTGTTGTTGCTCCAAGTATCCTGGAATCAGAGGACTGATGAACTACATGTAGCTGTCGAACAATGCTAGTCCATGGTAGGCAGTTCAGCTGGCGCCCCAATGGAAAGAGTATTGAGGTACGAAAATTATGGGTTTTTTTTTAACGCGGTGCTAAGAAGTCAAAATAGCTATTTCCTTTGAATGACCCAACTCGTCTCAATATCTACGCGAGAATATCGCTAGATTCATCTGGGACAATCCTTCAGCTAGCTCCCCGTGCCCTTCATTTAAATCTGCTGGACGCGGTAGTGATTTCAGCGGTGCTATTGATGTCGGGCAGAAATATAGACTAGAGTAGAGTATTTATTTGGACAACCATTCAAGTCTTCCAGGGCATCGCCAGACCGGACAAACGTTTTTTTGAACGGAAGCTTGCGACAGAGTGTTGACTCGCAGACTCTCCAACTGCGGCATCAGTGTTGGTGAACAGTCGAGATAATTTGTTCCTCCAATTAGAGGACTTGCCTTCATTCGATCCATGCAAGAATATGTTGAACGAGCTGGTGCTGCCCCACGCAGGGCTGCTTTTCTGTCCAAGTCTTGAGAAATTTTCAAAAAATGTGAGAAAACGCACAGGTGGAAGCAGGCTGACTCTGAGTGACGGCGCGCGAGACGGCGCAGAGGATGAACTCGGCTCCGGCACCAAGGACGAATTCCGACTTCGAGGCGGTCGGTACACTGCCTGAGGCTCGCTAATCGTACCAGCCTTTCGATCCGCCTGTTCTTGCTGCAACAACACAAGTTGTTCAACTATCTGCGCAACTTTGAGTCGGGACTTGGGCTCCTGATGCCAGCATGTCGTGATCAGGCGCCAAATGGGGGCTGTGAATTTGGAGGGAGGCATCCGCAAGGGCCGCAAGCATTCCGATACTTGACGAAGGACAGCGCCGACAGGATGGAGAACGATTGCGCCACTGGCGTCTATATCCGAGAAAGGCGGTCCCCCATGGTAAAGCTGAGGGGAATGAAAACACCTGAGCGACTACCTCGATAGATGGTGCAGCATACCTCGTAGCAAACACAGGCGAAAGCGTATACATCTGATTCTCGAGTCCGCCGAAAAATTTGGCCAGGTTCGGGCAGCAACAGTTCGGGAGCCATCCAACGTGTGGTGCCACGACGAGTGGAACTTTCAATCGTTGAGTTCATGTATGAGGCCACCCCAAAGTCAGCGAGTTGGACATGACCGTTGTCGTCGATTAGAATATTGTCCTACAGTTATTCAGCCAAGGTAGATCGAACAGGAATGGACAACCGACGCCGCGAAGATCTCCATGGACAACGAGCTCAGAGTGCAGGTATTCTAATGCTTGAGCTATTTCAAGTAGCTAGTTACGAAAGTTCAATTCAGTCAATTCCAATATAGGTCAAGAACTGAACAAACCATTGGTTCCACAGCAAGTAAAGGATTGTTCGCAACGTATTGTCCAATTGTCTTATTCTTCATCCACGGGCAAACCATAAAAAGAGAGCAAAGAGGATCCATGTCTGGAACGCTGGGATCCTGATATAGACCCAGGAAGGGCAGGATGTGTGGATGGGAAAAATATTTCCATAAAAAGACTTCTTGCAAAAATTTCTGTATGATTAGATAAGCAGCTGCAAAGCGAAACTCCTTTATAGAACAGACCTCTCGATGTTTCCGCAGCGTTTCTTCTGTGTCATTCTGATACAAACGAAGCTGCTTCAATGCCACAAGTGAGCCTTTATATTGCGCTTGATAGATGTCTGCGAATCCTCCCGCAGCTATACGCTGTTGGGTTCTCTCCGTGACGGCTTCAATCAAGAGCGACCGAGGCGGCTTGCCAGAAGATAACGAAATCTTGGTAAGCAGCTTGACCAGTGGAAGGTCATGAGCGATCTTGTCAGTGCTGTCGCGGTTGTCGATTATCTGAATGCGATATAAGTGGGGGCGGGGGAACTGATAACCGCAAACAGACATCCTGAATGACATCTACTATCCCCTTGTGCGATGTTGGTTGCCTCAAGATTTCGTTTTGGGACTCGATCAGGGACTTTTTCATCGCGAGTCGATCTGCCTTCAATGCCTCGTTCAGCTCATCATTGGGCATGAGCAGCAGGTCAGCAAGCTGAAAACCCCGTTAGGATAATAACTGGAGTTGTTTAGGGAGGGGTGTAACCTGGTTCAGTTCTATTCGGGTGTCCATCGCATGTACAAGGTCATATATAACCGGAACCAGGTTGGATGTTTCGGATTTCACCGTTCGAAGAAGTTTGAGAATCCTTGACTGGACGCTGGTGAGGTTGAATAAGGATAGATGCAGAATGCGTAGGTTACGGACTTTGGGCTGCTCTGTGCCTGTGTCCACAGGCATCGCAGAAGATTCTGTTGAATTGAGACGATCACCGCAGGCTTATGAAAAGACACCCTACTTCGTGTAACTGTAAGTTGTCATGAGACAAAAAAATTGCTCTGAGAAGAGAGACCCACCGAGTACTTGCATGCTTTCGCCAATGCTGAAGGGAATTCTCGAGCAGGTTCATTTCCTTTCGCAGGGAAGGGGATACTTGACGCGTCAACATGTCGAGATGTGTTACTACCCCTAGGTAGTCGGACTATCGGGATAACCTGAGGGCCCCATGAATGAAGGAGATCGTATGGTTCCGCTCCGTCTGAAGTTTCAACGAAAATCGGATAAGAGACCATTGATTCAGGCAATTCAACCGAGTTGGAAGCAACTTGGGGTCGATATGCTGGTACGGGTTCGGTGAGGGGATTCTCGAGGGTGACGCTGTTGACAGGAGGAATCGCATTGTTCGGGGATGTTTGGTCTGGCCTTTGCGCCTTGCCTGACCACCGCTTCAGCCATGATTTTGTGCGATCCCGAGTCCGCTTTGACATGTTGTCACTGGTAGGCTGTTGTGTAGAAACCGAAGTCTGCACTTGTGTATTCTCGGAGGCCTCCCCAATCTGGAGGTGCAGCTGTTCAGCCTTGGCCGGTCTGTTCGATAATTCGTCGCTGGCTCCTTTCTTGCCGCGACGAAACAGAGAGGCGATAGAAGGACGCCTAGAAGGAGCACGGCCTGCATCTTGCGATATTCCCTTCTCCACTGGCTTATTATGCGAATCGGGACGGACACTTGCGTCGCCTCGCTTCGTGGAAGTAAAGGAAAACGAGACCCGCTTGCGAGGCGTAAGGCGACGAGATGACTCGGCTCCTGGAGACAAGACGGGACTTGCGGCTTCAGATCTGGACGATTTCTTGAGGACTGAAGGGAGGGCCTTTTGGACATTTGTAAAGAGGTGTCCCAGGTGGCTGCCCGATGACAGGTCACCAGAAGTGTCCCTTCGTTTCCCCAATTTCACGGGTGAAACTAGGCTGACAAGTGAAGTCACCGATTGCATCGCTGCTCGCGAGGTCGATCCCAACGAAGTCGGGTCAACGTTAACACCACCAAATGACCGCCTTCGACTCCTAGCGTACTGCATATTGAGTGTTGGAGTTTCTGCTGCGACTTCCCCGAAATATAGTGGCTTCGGGCGTCCAGAGTCATTCTGAGAGTCTCTTCTTGTCCTATAGCGTCGACGCCGCGGGGCTTTAGACTGACTTGGACGTTGGTCGTTAACGGTGGGCATTGTGAACTACAGAATGCTTCGGCAACTGATGTGTTATGAAAGATATGGACGCACCTCTACCGCAGCGTCATTTCAGAGGTGCAAGCATATATAACACTCGATGAGGCTGTACGATTGCGCCGATTCATCCGCAGAAGCGCCTCGTCGAAGGTGCAAACAGAGGAGTTAAAGCGTGTTTATTGCGAGAGGTGGCTTGTTTTGAGTGCCTTTGGTTGCTGTCTAGACATAGATGTCTGCTGTAATGTCAGTTGATTATTGGGGGGCAAAGGTTATGCGCACAACTTGAGCGCTGAGCAGCTTGCTCAAGTTGAATGGAATTTTGGCCACAGAAGTACTGGGAGTGACACTACTTGATTTACGAATCTATGTAGTAAGAGACTGAGTAATGGACGTCTCGAGGGGCAAGGAAGACTCACACATTTGGTCAATAGTTGGTGTCCTTTTCCTTCGCATCCCAGACCCTCTGGCTTCGATAATTGTAACCTTGACAAAAAATCTGTTGGTTGTTTGTGGTGGGAGGAAGCAGAAGTTTGTTCGGATCAATGACATTCGCATATCCCATCGTCCTCACCGTCAACATCGAACTTTTTTGCATTTCCGCGATGGCTAGTCACTGGTTGGTCTTTGTGCTCGATTGGTCTCACGAATCGATGACACTAGCCAACTCTCCGATACTGTGGACTCACGCTTTCGGCAACGCTTGGGCCATGTTTGGCTCATGATTTAGTACACTGTGACATTTTGTGCCAGTGCTTGGGACACGCCGGGCACCGACGCCTGGTATTCGAGATTCTCTTGGGTCAAGGGGCTCGCCCGTCCGATTGCATATTCTCTGGGTAGACAGATCTTGAGATTGGATTCTCCCTATACTGGTCACGGAAATGCAAGCAATCAAAGCAGCCAGCTGCACAGCAACGGGATAACAATGGGTTTCTCAATTTAGCTCGCACGGTCATGCCCAGTTTGGTATTGCGCTTGGTACGCTCGAGCCAGACAAAGGCGTCGAGCAGTTCAACTATAAAACCGCCCGGTCTTGCATCAGTCTCCACCCACCAACCCCCACCGAACACCCCCGTTTACGATGGCCGGCATTCACAACCAAGCCAACTCCGACTTCCTCAGCAGTCGATTGCCATACAACCCCAACCTCTTCAGCGTGTTGAACCACCCCCTTGAAACTCCCAACCCCAACTGCACCATCCACCAGAAGCTCGATCCCTATCTCGTCCCGCGCTTCTCTTGGGGACGCAATGGACGCGGCACCGTCGACCCAATGGACGCCTGCGCTTTCGAAATATACCACGATGACGCATGGAACCCGCTGGGACGCACGCTTTCGCCCCAGCCTGAGGAGGATGACTCAGACAGCGAGTCTGAAAGCATCTTTGAGGTGGAAAACACGCGAAAACCGAGCTCAGGCCCCGTTCGCCGCCCTCGAAACAACTCCGCCCGTATCGAGGCTTCCCCTCTCCAAGTTCGCCAACCCTCGCCCCCGCCACCATTGCCAGCATCTGCCCCCAACGATCCGCCCAAATCCAATCCGGACATGGACAAAGAGAACCGGGGCCGCAGAATTCCTGAAAACGCTGTGAAAAAAGCGATTGCGCGGGGAGCCAAGTTGCCTCCCGACGCGAACGTCATACCCAAGCATCTGCAATACATGCTGCTTCTAGGCTGCGAAATTCGCTACGAGGACAAGAAACCCATGTTGGCCTGTAAAATCTCGGCGACCTGCCCTGAGTACAATAGGCCGAAGCGACCAGCTGACTGCGAGCGGCATCTCGCAACGCACTTCCGATCCGAACTCGACTATCGCTGCGAAATATGTTCACGCACGTTCTCGCGGAAAGACCCACTCATCAGACACCAGTCTCGGTCTGAAAGTGAATGCTACGTTGCTCACCCCAAGTGCTAAAAGCATGAACAAATGTGCGCGTCTTATCTTTCGCGCGTGATGTTAACCTTGCTAATCTTATCGCGATTAGATCTCAGTCAAGAATGTAGATCTCAGTCAAGAATGATTTTCTTAGCCTTAAGTAATGTACGCTGTAGATTTATACGTAAGTAGAGTATAACAGTAGAGTATAACAGTAAGTAGATCTCTATCTCCTAGTCCCCAATCCCAGTGAATGAATCAAACCATGCTCAGAGCACCCAACATTGCCCCACTTCCACGCTTGACCCAAGTTTCGGGACCAAGGCGCTCGTCACGGTCGACGTCCGACACAAACAGCATGTCATTCTCGGTGGCAAACACCCAGCGGTCCGGATCTGGTGCGGCAGCACTCGTGATAGCACGCAGCTCGGTTCGAATAATGTTTTGCGTAAAATGGTCGAGGTTGAGGTCGTTCTTGTCATACCCGAAAGGATCTAGAAAGGCGATCAAGAACAAGTGACGGAGAGTTGGAAGGCTAAACCCACTCTCAATTTCTTCTCCGGCAACCAAGAATCCGAAGAATATGAAGGCGAGGATGATGGTCCCGGGAATAGTGAGCCAGTGCATGCTCGCGACAATCTGGCTGGGAAGAGCCAGACAGTAAAGCGACACGACGACCCAGAGATGAATAGAATATCTGGTCAAGATCAGCAAACTATAAAAGAGAAAGAACCAGGACACACGAATATGGGACAGGAGTGGTCAAAATGCGCTCAAGACCCGTGAGTGCATCTACTAGTTGATTGAGACTGGCGAGGAGACTGTCTGAATAACTATCAGTGGCATGAAAATCACCCGTTTATCGCAATGCTCACTGGTGGTGGGAACATCCGTCTGCTTGCGACTCTGCAGCGTAGCGATATAAGAGCTCTGCCAGATTGTAAGCGTCGATCAACGGAAATCGGAGCACCCACGAGGTAGAGACTGATTTCTAATGGCAAGTTATGACTCCCGTTCTCTTTCTCCCTCATGATTTTCGCCCTCATGCGTGCCGCCTTTTTGCCTTTGATTTCGCGCCCACGCTTCGTAAGATACTTGACCAGTAACGAGAAAGGGAAGAGGTCGAAGATATTATATTTGGGGGGCAAATGTCCGGGGAGTAAAAACGCCTCGTCTCCCCGAGCAAGTATGACCTTTTGTGGTTCTCCGGGAATAGGCGAGCGAATGGATTGCATCGACCGCATGCTCGTCATCCGTCTTATGTGTGTTTCCTTCTCCTCGACCGAATTCATTCGTGTTGGGGGTGAAATTGTCAGGGGCGGGGGCTTTGCACGCAGGTCTTCTTGAGGATTAACGCGGCCCCTGGTGCTTGATCTCCGTTCTATACTGACAGGAAGAGGCAAGTGTGGCGCTGACAAAGACGAGTGATTCGGCGACGTTCTCTGGTAGAGAAACGAGCCATCTGGGGTTTCAGGCATCGATGGACGAGTCGAAACGCCAGTGTTGGACGGACGATTGTCCTCGCCATCGACGCCATTTATCAAATCGGCATTGGAGGGTATTCCTAATGGAAGGGCGTAGGCAGGAAGAAATTTTACGAGGTAGTATAGGTCTCTGAGGAGGGGCTTAAGGTGAGTAGATGCATGTTTAAGAGGACGCACTGATAATAGATACCATCTTCACCTCGCAGATAATGTTTCACAGCGACCGCGAAAGCTTCGATAAGATTAATAACTGTCTTCTTTTCAACCATTCCTCTTGCTGTCATATCTTCTGTGGTAAACCCTGATTTCACAGGTTGGTCTAGATATGGAAGGTCAAGAAAGTAACTAAGAAAGAGGTCGCAAGCGCACCAGGGACATGAAACCATACTGTTCGGGCGAAACCACGAGAAGCCAAGATGATTTGCGACCAGAACCGACGGCCCTCGTTGTAGCGCTCGAACGAGGAGGTTGTCCGATAAGAAACAATGAAACCCAAGACTGTACCAACTCTGCAAATAGTCAGTTGCCAGGATAATCGTGAGCATGGACACGTACACCGTAAGCAGGGTCATTGGAATGCGGACTTTGAATTTATTCTCATCGAGAAGGGTAATGCAGGTCGACCACGCTAAGGAGTTGAGGTTAAAGTGTTTCCAAGGGGGTCCCACCAGCTCGTACCGGCAAAGAAAAGAAGGATGTGCCAACAGCGGAAAAGGGCAGTGGCTAGTAGTGCATGAACGAATGATGTCCCCGGTCGTCGCCTAGAGGCAGTACTGATGGAGGAATGAGAAACGGTGACAAAAGCAACTTGACGACATACGCATCCGGAGTCGCAAAACCCTTGTGGGTGAGGGTCCCCGAAGTAGGCTCAGACTCCATGGTCAGGAAGAAAGTCGATGGGAATAGGGTACACATACCTTTGTCTGAGACAGTGCTGGCATCCTCACAAGGGAGAAAAATCCAGGAGCTCGTCACCCATTACATATTAGCGACCCTGACCGAGCCAAGGCAAGACAAGCAGGTACATTCAATATCCTGATCGAGTGCGTTGAAGGTCTATTTGAACGGCAGAAAAAGTGTTGCAAACGATGCAGAATCCCAACCACTGCCGCCCCCACATCGACGAATTCGGTTGAACGATACTTTTCAGAAAGTTGTCATTGCAAATAAGTATCAGTTGTCGGAGTAAGCCGAGCGCTGAATGTCGAGCCACCGTTCAACTTCTACTCAAACCAACAGCAGTGAATTGGCAGTGAACTGTGTCTATGTGATAGCGTGACATCACCGTGACAAGCTTGAGATCGTTGACAACACTTTCGAGTGAACTTCAAGTCAACCTGCGAGTGAATGCGTTGTCCCGAAATGTCCGCAAGTATTTGCTCCGTCAACGGTCAAACCCAAACAGATCTTGAACAGATGAGTGACTACGAAAGTGGGTCTGGAATCTGCCGTGGCCTGTGCGCCTGCGCAAACTCACCGGCAAAAGTTGCGGCAAAGCAGCGGCAAAGCAACACCAAGCAATTTCGAAGGCTCTGGACTCGACTAGCCGGCTCACTCAACAGTAGCCATCAATCTCCAGTCGTCATCAAAAAAATATACGGAGCCAGACGAGTCTAGAACCGAAATGCAGTCCGCGCAAAGCGACCACAAATATGGGCCGCTGTCTACCGGCTCTGTTTTTTTCCTTCGTAGACTCTTGTCTCCGTCGCTCTCCGCCGCCACTCACCCTCTTCATCCCTCGTTTTCTTTGGTCTGACTGGACTCAGATTGCCCACCGTTCCTTCGTGCACTCGTCTTTCATTCAACACTTCTCCGTTGTCTAACTATGGGAGAAAGCTGGTTCGCAAGAGAATTCCTTGCTCCCCGGCGACTCGCTTTCAACGTCATCTGGTATGGGATACACTTCTTTCTGTTTGCGTACGGGTGGCACAGCCAGGCGAGTCCTTGTAGTCAATCGTTGACTTCTTTAATTGACTGTGGGTCATTCAGGAAACGAACAAGAAGCTCGCTGCGCTCAACTTGCTGCAATATTCTGTTTGGGTCAGTCGCGGTGCTGGCCTCGTCCTCGCATTCGACGGCGCAATGATTTTAATTCCAATGCTGCGAAACATTATCAGGGTTGTCCGTCCCAAATTAACATGGCTCTTCCCTGCCGACGAGAACATCTGGTTCCACCGACAAGTGGCCTACTCGATGGCTTTTTGGTCTGCCGTTCATACAACAGGACACTACGTCAACTTCATCAACGTCGAGCGAGCGCAAGTCCGAAAGCAGACCGCTCAGGAGATCCATTACCAACAGCCTGGTGGCTTCACTGGCCATTGGATGCTGCTGATCATGTTGCTTATGTATACAACTGCCCACCAAAAGATTCGTAACCAGTGCTTCGAGGCCTTTTGGTAAGTGCTCTAGCCCATGAAAATTCGTCATTTCACAGCCTCGTAGGTACACCCATCATTTGGCGTTCTTCTTTATGCTGGGTAAGAAGACTACATATGTGGGATCATTTCTGGTTCACTGATTCTTTTATTCAGGTCTTTACAGTCAGTTGTCATTCACTGAACGACCAGCGACTGACTCTTTTTCAGCACACGCTACTGGGTGCTTTGTGCGTGACACAGTTGACCCAGCGTATACCGACGTCTTCCCCTTCTATGACAACAGTAAGCAGAAACCCTTTCACGTGTAGCTTGATCTGATCCTTCTTCTTTTCACAGAGCACTGTAATGCAACTCTTCTTTGACTCCATGCTCATCCCCATCTGATCACATTTCAGGCCTCGGTTATCTTGGATGGCGCTACAACATTTGGCCTGGCGTGCTCTACTTCGGCGAACGTGTCTATCGCGAATATAGGGCGCGTCGCTCAACCCGCCTGTCACGGGTTTTGATCCATCCCAGCGGCGCTATGGAGCTTCGTATCGTCAAGCCTAGCTTCAAGTACACCCCTGGACAATGGCTCTTCCTTCAAGTCCCCGAAATTTCGCGTTGGCAATGGCATCCCTTCACCATTACTTCTGCTCCCGATGACCCCTATGTATCTGTTCACGTCCGCCAAGCTGGAGATTGGACCCATTCTTTGGGCGAGCGCCTTGGTGTCGGCCCATCAGTTGTTGCATCAATGACGAAGAGGGCAATGAGTGGCACTGAGAAGGAGGACAAAGTCTCTGGCTTCCGAGGCGACTTCGTTGAGCTCGATTCGAGTACGACTGGCGAGATGCCCGTTGTTCGCATTGATGGACCATACGGAGCACCCGCTGAGGATGTTTTCAACGTTGAAGTTGCTGTGTTGATTGGGGCTGGTATCGGTGTTACGCCATTTGCTTCCATCTTAAAACACATATGGTATCGCCAGCGCAAGGGCAATCTTGGAACCCTCCGCCGTGTCGAGTTTTTCTGGGTATGCCGTGACGCCCCCTCATTCGGATGGTTCCAGAGTCTGCTCGCTGAAGTTGAGGCAGCACAAGCTGATCGTATGTTCCATCGTCATTCAATCAACTCAGGAATTGACCTTAATATCCAGCCAACTTCCTCCGAATTAACATTTACCTGACGCAGAAAATCACTGGTAAATTTACCCTACTTTTCCATGATCCCGCTCAAGTCTCGCTGCAGAGGACATGCTATGGAATATTGCCGTGAACGACGCCGGTGCTGCTTACGATCCGTTGACTCTGCTTCGCACAAGAACCATGTTTGGGCGCCCTGACTGGATGACGATCTACGGTCAAATATCCCGTGCGATTTCCGAAGGCCAATATATTCCTGGTACTGGCGAGCAGCTCAAGACCAAAGTTGGCGTGAGACTTGGTTCGTTTGTTGCTTGGATTCTACTAAGTTCTACTACAGACATATTTCTGTGGGCCCACTCCTCTGGCAAAGATCATCAAAGAAGCGACTGTTCACCATTCAAGCGACCGTGTTGAGTTTTTCTTCGCCAAGGTCTGTTAGCTTTGGTGGTTGAACAATTTAAGGCTGACCTTTGTGAATAGGAACATTTCTAATTGCTGTGGGAATCTATATCCTGTGTAGTTTACATTCGTCGACTTGTATTTATCCTTGGGTGTATAATGATGCTAATACTGCGTCCGATGTCGAACAAATAAGCGGTTACGGTGTGACATAATACCTCATGATACGCGTGACGTCACGCCTGATGTCTGTTTTCGTCCTGCGAGGAGCCCTCCGTGTATGCCGACGCCAGACACTTAAAACTGCACTTCTACTCCACCACCCGCTCCCTCCAACAGGCAACCAGCCTGTTCGAACTTATGCGTCGAAGAAGAACGTCAAATCCACTGCTGACTTCGTTCCGGGCTCAAAACAACCCATTACAGATGAGGCTGCACGAGCTGAGTATGAGAAAGCAGAAGAGAAGATGAAGGCTGCCGTCGAGTGGTTCAGGAAAGAGTGTGCTGGCGTAGAGACGCGTGCAACTGGTCGCGTTACCCCCGCCGTCCTCGATCCTGTTCGAGTGAAGCTGGACGGACGAGAGGTGAGGCTCGTTGAAGTTGCTACGGTTGGTGTGCGGGACGGGTCTACACTGCTGATCACCATTTTCGACGAACAAGTAAGTGAGTGCCGCTCGCAACTTTGTTGACACAGTGTGTCCAACCAATTTCATTGGCTTCACAGAACATGAAACAAGTCGAAAAGGCGCTATATGACTCCAAAATCCCAAATATCATTCCGCAAAAGCATGACGCCCGGACAATAAAAATTCCCATACCGAAGTGCGTTTTTTTGCGGGTTCTAAGAGTGGTTGGCTGAACGTTGATCAGACCCACAGTGGAATCCAATCTGGCTTTGGTCACCGCCGCAAGCAAGCAATCTGAGGATGTACGCGTTCAAATCCGTAAAGCTCACTCGACGAGCATTAAACGCGGCAACTACAAAAAGCATTCGATTGAGCTGGAAGAGGTGCGAGTTGTGTTCTAGTATTCGCCTTGACTCATATAGACTAGTTTCAAAAGCTAGTTGATCGCCACATTGCCGAAGTGGACAAGACTGTTGTGGATCTGAAGAAAGCGACTAATGTGGGCGGGAAGAAAAAGTAGACCCCGACCAATCTTCCTTCCGGCCATCATGTTAAATATAACTATCCAATAGACGGCTGGAACTTTCATTCATTTCTGTGGCCCGCTCTGCCGTTGTAATCCAACAGACTGCTGGGTCAGCGTGCGCTAGTGGGATCTTTCTTCCACGTCCACTATGTCCTCCTCCCCCCTACCCCAACAGCTCGCGGTTGCCCATGCTTTCATGGAACATCTTAATGCCTTGGAGTGGGACCAGTTGGCGGCCCTTATCCATCAGGATTTCCAGCAAAAATACCGCCCCCGCTCTATCGTTCCGGTCGATGGCAAAGAGACGCGTGACAAGGACACTTGGATTGGCATACTGAAGTTCAACCTCACTGAACTGTTTGAGTATATCAAATGGACCATTCACGAGGAGACGCATGGCGTGGATCGTGTCGTATTCCATGTGAGTTTCTTCGAAGGGCAAACAAGCAAGTACTTCTTTGACTAACTGTTGTAGATGACTTCGGAGGGTAGAACAAAGTCGGGAGAGGACTACGATAACGAGTACATGATCACCTTCAAGTTTAGCCCTGGCTCGGAACAGATCATTTGGCTGGACGAGTTTGTGGACTCCAAGTACTCGTCAGCGTTTTTTGGTGCGCTCAGGGCAGAGATGGCTGCGGAGGCGGCACGTGAAGCGGACAAGGGAAATTCTGACTCTGTATCATCGCGCATCTAGGTAACGCATGCACGGGAAATTGTTGCGAGATGGAGCCAAGAGCGCCATCCGACGCGTTTGAACGTTTGAACGCTGATCGGTTGATTTTCGGCGCGCTCCAATGCTGACAGCAATGCGACTGGATGTCTTATCTCTTGGTTTGGGGCAAGTATGTCGGTGGGAAACAAAGATAAGATTATTGAAAGAATCACGGTCACATGACGTTTTAGAAACACTTCAACACGTCTTCCGTTGCGACCACATCCGCCAAATCACCGTCAAGATTTGCCATAGCAACCGCATGGGCCATCTCTGCACTCCAGTTTCGCCCCTCCTTCGCGTCGCCCTTCAGTGAGCCTTGATATTTGGCGACACCCGTATTAAATGTTCCGCAACCATCCCCCCACGACGATAACCTTGTAGCCAGCATCGTATCCGCTCCGAGCCGTAGAACTAACGCAATGTGGCGACGAAAGACCAACAAGAATAATGGTCTGGATATTTTGGGCATCCAAAACGTCTTTCAAGGTCGTTTTGTTATCCGTGGTTAACTGAGCATTGAAACCCGAGCTCTGGTCAAATTTACGCAGCACAGGTTCACCGGCGATTGGCTCAGCGAAGTCCTGCGCCGATGTCCACTCCGCGCCGAAAACTGTTTCGTTCCAGGGGGATTCACCATTGGGGTCGCTCTTCTTGGTATCGATGTGATGCACGTGAACTACTAGCAAATTCTTCGTGCGGAAGAGCTCGAGAATAGAAGTGACATTGAGCTGAAGGTTGGGAGTCGACCTCTCGCGCGTACCGAATATATCGTGATGAAAGGCTGCCTGGGGTTAGTAGGTGTCATCATGATCAGCGGTGGACGGTAAGTGACCCTTTTGAATGTCAATAACGACAAGTGCCGTGTTGGGGAGAGAGGGTTTGAGGTAGTTCATATTGGTAGTGGTGTAAGGCAAGAGTCGACGTTTAGACTCGGAGTCAGAGCCATGATATTTTGATAAACATCACATGCCTCCGATTCTAGCTAATTCGGGCTTAAATTGGAACCAATCAGTGATGATTCTCGAAATTAATGATGGGGCTGTTTTGCAATTTACCTGGTCCCACGAATCACCTACATCGAAAAGAAGTTGAAAGCCTCCCATTGCCGCAACCAGAAAACTGCAGCGCAGCATCGACGGCCCATTCAAAGGCTTTCTTGCTGCCATGTGCAATCCACTCCTTTCAGCCGCGCGTGGCATCGCTTTGCCGTCTCAGTTCATGAAGGTCATCGTGCGTCGTTTGAACTTTATACTTTCATCAGCCCTTATGTCTCTACGACAGTTGCGCCCAAGCCAAATGATATAGAAAGTTTGCTCAACAAGGTTGAGAATTCTCCACCCCCCTCGACTTCGATGACGGGATCACCTAAATGATCACACTGTTTTCGTCCAAGAGTCAATAACCACCTTGGATACCTGGAATAGACTCAGCGCCCATGCAGTAAGCACACGAACAATAATATCGGCATTCAGGCATTCACACGGCTGGCTCCGATGGCATATATGGGTGTTGGTGCAGTCGTTGCAATTCTACCTTGCCCTCTTGACTCTAATTTGGAGCTCCTCCAATGGCAGCTTCGGCGGCCGGGATGGTCGTCCAGCTTAGAGACGTCGTAGGCCATAAACCCCCTCCTCTTGTGGTGCGCGCATCCCGCGCATTAACGGTCAACAATTGACTTAATTCCTAGGGTGCCTCGACGACAATGCTGGGCTCTAAAATATTCTTGTTCGTGAGTTTCTCAGTTCCTTTCCGACAACCATTACTCAATGTAACAGGGCGGCTATATCCCTTTCAGCGGCAGAGTCATGTCAGATCTGTACATTCTCGACGTCGAACTGTGTAAATGGGAGAAGCTGCTTCCACCACTGAATCCAACAGAACCCAAGGGGCGTTGTTTTCATACCGCTGATATCTGTCCGTCTGAGTTCTCTGACTTCCTGAACCAATATTGACCATCTGATGCAGGGAACAACCACCTGGTCGTCTTCGGAGGACTGACTGCATTCAACGCCAGTACTCACTTGCAATCAGAACGCTTGCAAGATCTCGGCGACGTCCGTTTGTTTGACCTTGCCAGTCATTGTTGGCTGCCCGTCACATCAAACAAGTCAGCTGCGACGATCCCCCCGCCAGCAAGGCATAATCATATCTCCTGCATAACTGGCAACCACCTCGTTATATTTGGGGGTGTCGATGCCTGGGGAGAGCCGCTGTCAGACGCGTGTGTGTTCAATTTAGAGGCCAGGGAATGGGTCCGAACGCAGCACTATGCTTTTCTCGATGTCGATTATGCGTTTTGCGCAACTTCAAGATGGCGAACATTCACTCCAACACTGCCTCCAGACTTGGAAAATTGTTTCCTTACTAATCCCCTGCCATATTCTGAGGCCATTTCCTCGAATTCTCCCGTCGAAGTTTCCATTTTCAATGTATGTCGTACCCTAATGCTAGTATTGTCTGATCAGTTCTCGATGTCTCCAGTCTTCTCGGCCTACCAGTGTCGATACACTCACGTTCTCCTCCAATGGCGAAATCGTACTGCCCCCCGCCCCGATCGCTGCCTTCCAGCAGGCAGCCAACTGCCGTTTATCGTCCCTGTGGCACGATTCTCGGGACCAAGCTTGTTGTTGCTGGCAACTCGGCACCCTGCCCTGGCTTTTCTCCCGTGTTCACTGTCTGGACACAAGACCTGTCCAGCAATTCATGGACCCGTATCGACACTGGTGACATAATGAAAGGAGGTTTGTGGGGCAATGGACTTCTTTGGAATCCACGCAACAAGTTGATCGTATTGGGAATAAAACAAGCTCCCTCATCTCACAATTCCGATGCGGCACGACGTTCTCTTTTCGCTGCCCATTGGGATACAATGGTTTTTATTGATTTAGAAGCTCTCGGCATTTATCAGGCCCCTGCACGTCCCCTCGATCTCGCCCACCAACAACGAGCTCTAGCTATCTTAGCAGAAGGACAGCATGTTGACTTCGCTTTTGGCTGCGAGGATGGACGAGAAATCGGATGTGCCAAGATGCTCGTTGCTGGACGCTGGCCATGGCTGAACGAGAAACTTGAACTTGTCCGAGTTCAATCCACCGCAGAGTTGAAGAGTGGCAGTCATATCACCGTCGCTGTCAGCTCCTCAAAGTGCACTGTCGGTGCATCTTTCCCTGTTGTGCAGGCGCTGGTCCAGTACCTCTACAGTTTGTCGCTGTCAACGTCGCTGCAACGGGCTCCAGCGGTCTTGAGTCACTTGCTACTTATTGCCACCGAATTCCGCATGTCGTATTTGCAGGCATTGGTGAAGCACGCTATGCACCTTGCTCTGAGCGAAGCGACTGCTGCGGGTGTTTATGAGGTTGCGGCTTTGTGTGGATGCCGGGGTCTGCAAATACGGTCGGGCTGAAAATATATGTTCTTGCGGTATTCTGACACGCTTTAGGGCCTTTTCGATTCATTCACGACGTTGGGTACGTCCGTTTACCTTTCAACCCAGCAATAATGTTGATGTTCCGCGAAGCTCAAGACCGGGCGAGCTCGCTCCCACTCTGAGGGTGCCCAAACCCAGCGTCGTAGGGAATCTTTGTTTCGTTAGATCACAGCGATTAACAACATTAACTTAGCGCGCAAACAGATCGTCAGTTCGCAGTCGGAATCGTCGATGGACGATCTTGCTTCCAGATTTCTGCACAACGCCGCGATCCCAGATGGAGAGCCTAAGCTCACTGGCAGCAACCCTGGGACGAAAGTCCGTCGGTTGCCTTCACCGCGCATAAATACGACAACCACAGTCCCTCCTCTACCCACACCATTATCGCCCCTGCTGTCGACAAAATTTGTCACGGAGCCAATCGCAAAAGGCTTGAAGACGGAACATAGCCCACTAAGACCCAATACTCCTCCGATTGAAAGGGTTGGCCGGCCGGCCATCATTCGGCAGACCACGGCTCCGGCTATGGTCGGAGCCGGTCTACAATCGCGTTCACAATCAGCGGGGCCTGGCTCGCGAATTCCACGGGCTCCTTCCCGTCAATCGACTAAGAGGGAGACGACTCAAGTTCCCGCTCCTCGCAGCGCTTCATCGACGCCAACACCAAGGCTACCGAAGGCTCCTAATGGGAACACGAAACGACTAACATCAACATCTCCCCCTTTGAAGAGCACAGAGACACCCAAACTACAGTCTTCACGGTCCGCCCAGAACCTCGGCAAAGGGAAAGAAGTAGCGGGACCAAGACTTCCAACGTATAGGCGGAGAAACACTGTGTCGCAATCTAAAATACACTAAAGTACATTATCTCGTTAGTAAGCCTGTCGGTATCCTTACACGTGATCCCCTAAATGGCTCTTTAGGATGGTGGGATTGACACCAAACACCCGCTCGTCTGTGAAGAAGTTGGTGATTTCCCGAGGACAGCGGGTTTCTGGCTCGGTGGGTATGACGCCTTCAACAAAGTATCGTCGAATTATGCTGGCAGCACATTCCGTCATAGTGCCAATATACGAGTGGCCTGGATTGTGGTTAGTACAATTTTATGTCACTTGCAACAAACGCGCCTGCTGTTTCTTGTAAGATGAGTCGTGATGAGTTACCCATCGTTTCATGGACGATCTTGGCAGCAGCGTATGGCGTTACGGGGTCATCTACGCTGAATGAAGACAGTGAAATGAAGTCAGATGAACCACAAACGGGAGTTGGCAACGAGTAGCATGGGAGTTGAGAGTGTTTTCTACGAGCGTCAGACATGAGTTAGACTGACATTGGAAAACTGCAACGAACATTCCAGGGGCCCTGATCAATAACGTTGAGTGAACTGGTTTTAGGGCGAAACAAATAAAATAAAACGCACTCTAAATCGTGTGGGGCCAACATTCATTCCTGGCCAAAACTGACAACCACCATGTTGCTCCATTAGATGCACGCTGATGTGGTGTTCAGTTGAATGACTACAAGCACGTTTGGCCTTACGTTGCTCCAAATCTTGGAAACGCCCTCAACGTCGTCAAAATTTGATCGACGATGGTCTCTGCTGTCGGCCACTGCTCAGCTTGATAGGGTAACGCATCCCCACAAGCAATTGCAAGCCTCATCAGCTCCGCTTGGCCGGTGTCGACAAGACCCTCGGGGTCGGCGGGCGGGTTTGGCTCGCTGTATGGGAAAGCGATTACTCGCATGATTTTGGACGAATCGGTGCCATTAATGGCACTCGCAAGCATCTCTGAATATATTGGCCATTCTTCGGGCATTTGGAGGGCATTGAAGAGCGAGCCTTAGAGGTTGACGTGAGCTCCAAACCAAAAGTAAGAAAGCAGCTTACTCCGGATGCCTCCCGATGTAAGATATCCAGGGCGAACATGGTTCGGGACTTGGATGGGTTGGGTTTGCAAGCGGTCGATGAAGTCGTCAATCCGCTTGCCAATCACACTGGCAGAGCTGTCGCCCGCTTTCGTGAGCGCACAATGTTTTGGACCGGCATTAAAGCATTCTTCGAGAAAGAGCTGATATGTCTTCCTGCATGGGGATCAAGATGTCTCAGGAACGGCAACAAATCACGTACTCCGAATCGGTGAGGAATAATCGAACGAGGGCTTGAGTTTCATAGTGCTCGTTGCTCCATCTGAACGCAAGTCAAGCGTCTGGCTATATGGCAACAATTTACCCACATATCCGCAGGAACGACACCATCGATATATATCTTCCCCGCTTTGTGAGGGAGGATGTTGGCGAGATAGCCACCAACAATGGTTCCTGGAAGTAGGGCCGTTACTTGGCTGCAGCCCCTTTAGAACTGAAATGCACACCATAGGACTAGATAGGACACCTTCAGTCAGGTTACCAAAGTCAGAGTCCCTACTTACGCCTCCCCACTTGTTAATATTCAGTCGCGCCGGTATGGCATGAGCAAATCACTCACAAAGTTTATCGGCGCCTTCTCTCCCTCCAAAACCCTTGAAATTTCTTCCATATCGTAAACCGTCATGGTTGTACTCATATACCCCAAGGCTTGGGCACCCATCGTCTGAGAACACAACGTCGCTTGCGCTTGCTCCAGTACCAAAGCTTCCTTTTGTTGCTCGACCAAAATGGCCCGGCCTTCCGCTGAGAATGGGTCCTTTGGCACGGAAAAGGTGGTTTCGAGAACTGTGTTAGTCTTGAACATCTGGTATCTCAGTCGGGAGCCAAAGCAATCGACGCGGGGCGTGCTGTGGCCTAACCCGCGCTGATCGAACGAGATAATGTCGTGTCGATTTCCGGTCATGTTCTGGATGCGCCGGGCGGTTCCAAAAGATGCTTCGCGGCCAGAAACACCGGGCCCCCCATACTACTTGGAAAAGAACTGAGACTGCTTGGCGGGGAAGAGTGCGCGACGACGTACATTGGTGATTATAATGCCAAGACGGTCTGTTGCAGAGCAAGTCGCGGGGTATTTCGTGAGGGCAAGCCTTGATGTCCCCGCTGTGGGGTCCTTGTAGTCTGTCGGCACCCTACAGCGGTCGTCAGCTGTAGTAGCAGGAAATTATGGTGGTTGACACACCGAAGATAGCCGCAGTGAAAAGTCGGGTCCTCAAAACACGGTCTCCACTTGATGCCAGTTGATGAAGTGAAGTCCTGTGGCTATATCAAGTTGGAAAGTGAGGAGCCTGCACTATTCTTGACCTTGAACGGGCTGCGAATAGTCCAAATCGACTGACCCCACAGCCAGTACAAGGAAAAGGCGATCGGAATGAGGGTAAGCAAGCCCTTCGCCTCCCTAGAAAGCGAGGCCAGCATGAGAGGAAGGTGGCCAGACGACCGGTTTGGTGGAGGAGGTCAACAGTCCTGGTGACGTCAAAGTGTTGATAGAGTGCTCTCATTCTTCCAACCACAATGAGCTAGCTTGAAGATTCGATGACTACTTGGTGCTCAGGCAAAGTTCAGATACAGCCATCTCGGGAAACGGAGCTGTCTTAGACTTCTTCCGCTCAGTGAAAAAAGCCGAAGCAAAATAATGCCTGCGGTCAGCCTCAATCTTTGTTCCACCGCAATTCGAAGACGACACTATGCCGCCTACGAGGCTACACCAACGTTTGAGTCGACTCTTTGTTGTCAACTTCTTTCTGCTAGGTTCTACACATCGCTCGAATTTTTCCTCTGTCCAAGCTTATCTGTTACTCCTCTCTTGCTGGATCATATGGCTGATAATATGGTGCTGTGGCAAGAGGATGCTGATTTTTAAATAACTGCTCATCGCGGTTGGGCCAGACCGAATTTAAGAGCAATAAAATTACTACAGGTACATGGAAGCGTGATCAACTACACGGCTTGTGGCCCCAAATGGCGTGCAGTTATGTTCAATTCATCCATCTTATCCAGTTCCATCCCCCTGTCGTCATCTGTGATAGTCCTAGGCAGCACTTCACTGTCCATCTTGACCGAGCCACCGGTTAACTGGGACCATAATAAGTTCGTGGTTGTCGATCAACGAGAGAACGCACCAAAACGCTGCGTGAGATCTTCACTCGGACACCTTGTCTTCCGCTGCTCCGTGTGCCATCTGATGTTACTGAAGTGTGTTGCTGACTGAATCGCAGGCTGCCCCGATTATTGATGTTGGCAAGAAGCGCGCTCAGGAAAGAGCAGGGCATAGCGCTAAAGAACAGTATCCACACATCTATATGATCATTCCTTCAACAACGCAGCAAGCTAGATATGAGGCCTTACAGTTATCAGGCGCAACTTTGAGCTGTAGTTATGGTCAGAATTTACTGTTCTTCTGAGCATAGTAGTGGAGGGAAGGAAACATACGCAAACTGCAGATGCGACTGCGACAAGACTGTAGCTGCTCAGTCTAGAATCTCAAATAGAGGCGCCGCCCGTTAACTACCTTGTTGAGAGTCCCGTTTCTATCAAGTCTTATCAATTAGCCACTTGAGAGGGGGTAAATGCTCACGCAAGGTATATACGACGAGTCGGTCGACCAGGGTAATTGTTCTACAGCAGAAGATTAGACTAATGGCCACGCTATTTCCAGAGTCTTCTGACCTTGTACTGAATGCCGATTGGCGCTGTCGCCTCAAGTAGAAGCACAAGATGCTAGCGTTGATGAGGTCTAGAGCTGCATCCGAGAAGAATAGGACCAGTAAGAGGCGGTAATAGAGGGGGCTGTGTATTGAGATGGCGATACTGCGAGTGCGGATGAAATGGGCGGAAAGAAAGAGTGTGAGGGCCTCAAGAAGGGCAACAAGAATCCACAGGAAAATGCACAGATATAAAGCCCGGGTCGCACGGAATATTTGGAGAATGAAGAACGCCTGAAGGTCATTAGTCGGCCTCGAGGACCTGCGTCGCAATAGGAACCAACTTGGACGCCATGATTGATGACTCCCCTGAGCAGCATGAGAAGATAATCCCAAGCAAAAGATGGAATTTACCCGAGGATTTGCGCGACGTTCAGCCCCCATGGTGAGTACAACAGCGCGAATACCTGTCCAAAATCGGTCACTAACAGGCCATATGCGTTTTGGCATATGGCTATGGTGAAACCCAACTGGACAGCCCTACAACGGTCGATTAAGATTTCCTTGTTATCTCGGGAGTGTGCGTCAGTACCACAAGAACACCACCTTGACTTGGTGATCAGAGCCACTCTTGCAGTTGGGAGGTTGTGCGTACCATAGACTTCACGTAGTTGGAGTCATTTGGGAATGTAGTCAAGTAATGCGCCGTTTGCATGCAGATGACACCAAAGAAGAACACGCAGACGAAAGCACCGCAGATTATGGGCCCAAGAGTGAGGTCGAGGTTAAAGACTTGCGCCATTGCCACGGACGGCGAAGAAAGAAGGGAAGAAAGGGCGGAAGCGCGAGTTCGGGCTGGTCAGTGAGAAGATCATGGTTTTATGGCTTGTGGTCAGATGGAAGAGCGGCTCAACAAACAGATGAGATGACGAACACACATATATTCCTCACAACGGTCATCAGAGCGGCGTCAAAGCGAGCGCCGAGCGGTGGCCGGACTGTCAATACGTTGCCGACGGAATGCTCATTGCTGAGCACGCTTCATTTTTGTAGCTTTCGAGCCAGTGCAGCTTGCTAGGCTATGCTAGACAAGGTCTTCATGCGCGATGTATGACTCGGGTTGAATCCAGTTGAATAAAGGGACGGAGGAGAGATTTGAACGTGAAAGAGGTGTGGGCTCGTGCGATCGGATCATTGTTGTAAAGCCGCTTGCTCGGCCGCCCTGACATCTGTGCCGACATCACATCATCAATTATTCAGGCCAGGCCCAGTTGGAGGGAAAGAAGAGTGTACTTAAGCGAGGATGCATATGCTCTCAATAACTGCAAATGTGGGAATTGCGATTTGCGCTGCAAGGCCATGGCAAACGCCAAGAAAAAACAATACTGTATCAATTTATTCAATTCGGCGGTCACGCGTCACACCCGGACCTCCGGCGCCGAAATATTTCGGCGTGTCACAACTTATTATTCAGATGCCGAATGTCAGACGGCCATCAGAGCATCAAAATTTCTCCGGCGGCCCTCCGGGCCGCTGAATATGCCGAATTTTTTCGGCGGTCACACAGATTACCAGGCAGCGCCGATGTCACACAGTTTTTCGCCGCCGAATTGAATAAATTATTACAGTAGATGTTTCTCATCATGAAGCTGAGGACCCAAGGATTGCAAAGCGCGTTTCACGTGTAACATACAAAATCGCCTAATTGGGATGATGGACGAGTCACTGGCACCCCTTCATGAATGACAAGTGCTATTTCCACATACTATAGTAGTAGGCGCACTGCCAAAGGCGATTACTCAGTCTCTCATCGAAGTTAAACGCCAACCGATTGGCCTCGAGAATATCTACGACCTCACCCGCAACAGCGGAGACGGGATCACTCATCTTCGTCTTGATCACGACGGCAGCTTTGTTTGCGGGTGCCTGCCTGTTGTTGTTTGCGTTTTTCTTTGTGGCAGCGGTCGCTTTTGCCTTGTTCGTGTCCTTCTTGCCCCTCTTTCCACATTTCTTCCCCTTCAATTGCCAGATTGCATCTTGTCTAACGAATGATCAATTCCTCAATAATCGATGCAGCATGCTGAAAATAATTTCCAGGGACAGATCCCATACTTGAAGGAAACCCAGTGCTCATTGAGCAATTCAGTCGATTCAACAAGAGACTTGGGCGGCATGAAAAGTTTATAAGCCCACGGGACCACACCATAAGTAGCCCGCATGGCCTTTCAATGCTTCACGTCAAGGCGCTTAATGCATGGCTTGAAGCTAGTGGAAATTTATCGTCTAGATGTTGCCCACAGCAAGAGTCAAGCACTTATAACTTGAACTACCATTTCTAGCCTGGAACTACTGCTGGATGGTATTCACCAAAGCGTAGAACGGTCGACGCGGGCTGCCCAAACCTGTAGACTGTAGTTTGGCCCGAGTTCAAGTTGGGCGACATTTGACACCCCAATGCTTGACACCTTGCAGAACGGTTCTCTAAAGATGTGTTTGAACTTTGCGCACAGGATAGGATGCGGTCATGTTGGTTAGACATGATTATGTAGCTTCAAGTTGGAAACAGGGCACGTGATCCGTGATGAGCTGCTGACCAACTCCTCAGTCGACTCGCATGAAACTTGTCTATCTTTCCTGCTTCCTTCGCTAATTAAAACCGATATCGCATTCTCAAGAAGAACCCTGAATATAAATAAGATATAATAAGTTAGGTATAAAGAGGCAGAAAAATCTAGGGAGTGTGTAGGGCTACAATCAGGGATTACAATGAGTGTTTGGGTTGGTGAGTGGATGCCAGTGCGGAGGCAGCATGTCCGAAAAATCTTATGTCAGCCGGGTGACCTATCGCGATGTTGAATTCTGCGTGTCGTTTTTCTTGGAGCGATGTGGCCAGACACCCGTGTAAGGTAACAATGGCATGACGGCCATGTCGCGGACCCGCGTGCCCTCCTCCACTTTCAGTATTCCTCGGGCCCTTGTCCGAGGAAGATGATCGCTGACAAAGGAGGGATAGTTGAGCAAGAGCGTCGGTGGGCTTGCCTCAGCTACGATTTTGAAAAGGACTTCTTTGAGTTCCGTGAAGCCAGTGGCTTCGTCGGACAGATGGAAATCAATAGCCTTCAGACGATCGACGCAAGGATAGTCGAGTCCGGCATCGACTGCCTCGAAAGGAAGGTGGATGACGATGGTCAGAGACTGGAGGCGTGGATTCATGGCCCGAAGTCGGGCTACGAATGGTACCAGGAGCTCGGGAATTGTGTTGACGCCCTTCTTGATGATATGTAATTGAAGGGCCCGCATCATGTTGAGTTTGGAAGTGTCAAACGGCTCGTAATGCGCTATGGTCATATTAGCTTCTGAAGCGCAGATTAAAAGGAGGATAGGGGACATACATTCATGAATCTGCACGTCCAGCCGCTCCAAAGTAGTTTCAACTGAACTAAGTACCTTCGCAAAGTTGCCAGCGCTATTCGGACTATTCGGAATCGGGTTTATTGCCAAACGCCGAACATTTGCGAAGTAAGCTGAGCCAGGAGCACGCATGTACTCCAAGATAGTGCCGACCTTGCTGTCGACCGAAAGATTGAGGAATTCGGGGGACGAAGACGACGACGAGTCCCGGATATGAGGAAGCCGCAGCGATCTTTTGACATTCTGCTTCGAGTCCACACTAACGTGGAACATTGAGAGGACACGGACAGACAGGGCACTGTTGAGAACAGCAGGAGGCACGTTGGAGGCGGTGAGTAGGTGAAGACGGTCGAGAGTACGCAATGAGATGACACGGTGAATGGCATTGGCGAAATGGCGGGGGATGTCTTTCCAGTCGCCCCAGCAGCCGAGAAGGCTGAAGCGCTCGACATGATTGAGCATGGACAATATGGCAGGAAGAGGGCTGCCTGGTTTCATCCATAAGTCGGTACCACAATCGCGGTAGATGGTCAAGTCTCGTATGTAGACCTCAAGATGTGGGTTGCGGGCCAATATAGCGAAGAACTTGGCAGGAGCGTCGTGAAGCATTTCGAGACATACAGTGTGGAAGATGTGGGTCCGACTCGCAGGGACAAAAGCCCAGCAGACAAGTGAACATGCCTTGAGAGTAGCCATGTCGTCGATATAGTCGATTATGGTGTCAATGAGCTCTTGCGGCACCTGAGGAACGTAGCGGTACGGCGTGCATCTGAAAACCCTGGAATAAGATGTGTGGCGCTAGGTAGTCGGATTCTGACTTACACATAGCTGCTGGAGTGGATGGCTTTCGTCCTGAGGAAGATGGGATTGTGGGTGATAGGATGGGGAATGACATGGTTGCACATTTCGAGGAGACAACTTGGATGAACGGATGAACGGAGGTCTTATATGCAACAATAACGTACTTGTTGGTGTCTACCACCCGAGGCCGCTTAGGGAGTGTCTTTCTGCTCCTGGGCATTGCGGCAGCGAGGGGTTCAGGCATCGTTTGGTCTCAAAACCGCGGAAAGCAAGAGTGTTTTGTGTGACGAGTTGTGACCCGCTGTCAAATTGTCTCGGCTGGTTACACGCGTTGCGTCAACCAGATTGGAAATTGCGGCTGATTACATACTCATACTCTTGTTGGTCTCTTACTCAGTTACTTACTGTAAGGTTGCTCTAACAGTTGTCGCCCGTGGCTCTGTTCTCTAAACAAGCTTTGGACAGAGGACTCTTCTTTCCTTTTCCTTTTGAACGGTACATGTCATCTTACTTATTTCCAAATGAACGGAACCGAAGAATTACAAGTATAATATGAAAGCATTTCATATTCGACTTGATCTTAGTGTCCCGAAATGCTTCAAGTTTGTTGTGAAATGGTTGTCTCCCTTCTGTGACCCATTCAGGTCTGATTTCAAGTTTTCCGTCGATAGCTGGCCTCGATCCAAGGTTCATCTAGGTCCAACCCCTAGTCAGCCTAAGTCAAAGGATCTCGGCTTGCCCCTCCGGATTTTGTAGCCGTGAAAACAAAGGAGATGCCGCGGAGATGCCATTAGTTCCGAAGACCTTATCGGCGGTGGAACAGCACCCTTGGATAGTTGAGAGTCTCGATGCAGACTCGGACCGCAACAATAATCTCAGGCTAACACAATAATGTGGCATACTTATTTGTTCTTCTTATCGCAGAAGGATGAAAGAAAGCATCGCGGTCACGTGGGCTCCTGTCAAGTCATCTGAATCGTCTGCAAGTCCAAACAGGCCTAGCAACAACACTCGTCGATTGCGCGAAATCTTATCAGTCTATCGCAAGTCGTCGTTACCCCACCTTTCCACTTCCTTGCGTGCTCTATATCGATACGTCAAATCTCAGCCAATTTCGAACCTGTATTGCGTGCGCTTTGTAAAGGTGGTCTATATAGAGTGTCCAGTTTAGCATTGAGAAGAAACAAGGTAGCATTCGCAGCAATGGCACCAGTCGCAACCGAGGCTAAATCCACTACTCCTGCTCACCCAGTCGTGAAGCCAGCGCCGGTTCAGCCGGTTTACCCCGAGGCTGACAATGCAACCTTCCACAAGCCACCGGCAAATACGCTCCGCCGGTACGAGAAAGCCGGAATTGACATCTCTCGTGAGTGGTCGATGGCACTGCAGTCGTTTGTGCTGAGGAACATCGTTCAGAGGGCTACCCTTACCTTCCGAACAAACCAGAGTTTGTTCAGGATGTCGAGAAGCTGCAGACTAACCTGCGCGATTATGTTGACCCGGGAACTCGCGCTGACCCAGAGAAGAAGGCTCTGTTTGGGGCTGCCAAGGAGGTTCGCGATTTGTCGATCCACATTGGGGTAAGTTGTTCTATGTTGGCTAGGGGCATTCATTGATGGGCGTGCTGTAGACGGAGATTGTTGGCCTGCAGTTAGCTGAGCTGACTGACCAGCAAAAGGACGAGCTTGCGTTGCTCGTTGCGTACGTTCTTGCCGTTCTTGACTATTTTCATTCTGAATCCTTCCAGTGAGCGCTCTGTTGTCTGTAAGCTGGACTAGTTCCTATCGTTGTCGTCCCTTCTGATCACTCGTTCAGTTTTCCGCGACCAGGACCTCCCTCCTCAGGTACAACGAGAACTAGGCGTCTATCTGGGCGACGGCGAGATTGAAATCCACCCTCAAGTCCCCCAAGTGCCTACCCAACCAGGCATCACACTCATCTGGGAGACCGCTCGAGAAATTAATACGCCAGGGAAGAAGACTGTTCGTGGCTTCCGCAACGCATATCCTTCAGGAAATTATGGCTGTGAGTATTTAGTCAACATATGATCCAACTCACATGGAAGAAGGGCACACTGACCTTGTCCACCTAGCTTTCCCGCCTGGCTACACGCATCTTCACCAGGACACCGTCCCAGCTGTTGGAGGCGATACTCTCTGGGTATGTTCGACGAACTCGAGTTATTTGAAATACTAAAAATACGTCAGGCGTCAGGCTACGCGGCATACGACAAGTTCTCGCCTGCTTTCCGGAAGGTTATTGACGGCTTGAAGCAAGTCCTTCAGTCGTTGTCCTGGCTTGCGATTTAACTAGCTTTCCAGCGGAATATACCGCTCTGCCCATCCCTATAGAGATGCTAATGACCCAACTGCGGCGCCTCGTCATGTCAATATCATCCACCCGCTCGTGCGGACCCATCCTGTAACTGGCTTCAAGACAGTCTTTGCCAACCGTTCGATGACTGTGGGCATTGAGGGCTTCGACAAAGCGGAGAGCGATGCTATCCTCAACCACATTCACGAGTGAGTTTCGTGGCACATCGGTACCATTCTCTTGATGAGGCTTGCAGTGTATTTGAGCGGTCCACGGACATTCAAATTCGCTGGCATTGGACACCAGGTACCTCTGCCATGTAAGTGGCCGTTACTTGTGTTTTGAGACCAGAGACTGAGCTATAGATTAGTTGGGACAACCGCACGACAATTCATACTGTGTCGTACGACTATGAGGGCAAGGTCGAGCGTCATGGAACTCGCGTTAGCTCACTTGCGGAGAAGCCGTTCTACAACGCTAGCTCCAAGTCGCGCCGGGAAGCATTAGGTTTGGACGATTGAGTAGCAAAGTTGTTGCAAATGTACAAGCACAAATGGCTCGATGTCGAGAACTTGAATTCAACGTCGGCGACGAAAATCCTTGTGACGTGTGTGACCGTGACGATCTGAGCAACATGGACTTTGGTCCAACCACCATCCCCAACACCCGCGACCGGCCAATCAAATCAGTAAGGCACCGAAAACGCGGTCCACTGGCTCTGATTCACGCAGTTAGGTTCCGCAACCTGCTGTACATCGCCTCTCTGACGCGGAGTTCTTTGCGACCGATGAATTTGGCGCTCCCAAACCCAAGTAATCATCTCTTTTCTCCGTAGACAAGAAGAAACTTACGGACACGCTACAGCGCGCGTTTATTACGCGATCACTTTTTCCGTGAGGGGAGACTGTCAGAAGAGCATGCACTCTACATTGTCGAGCAAGTCACGGCCCTCCTCAGTCAAGAACCGAACATGGTCGAGGTCCAAGGTCCGGTGACCATCTGTGGTGATATTCATGGTCAATACGTGTGTCTTAACTCTATCGTTGGCCGATGTGATGCTGACTGAGACCTTTAGTACGACCTGATGAAACTTTTCGATGTTGGAGGCCCGCTCACTGACAACTCGTACTTGTTTTTGGGCGATTATGTTGACCGTGGGTGCTTCGGTATCGAGTGCCTGCTATATCTCTACACACTTAAGCTGTGGTTCCCCCAAAAGTTCACGCTCCTTCGCGGAAATCATGAATGTCGACATTTGACGGAATACTTCACGTTCAAGCGTGAATGTCTCCACAAATACTCACTAAGAGTATACGAGGCCTGCATCCAGTCTTTTCTAGCGCTTCCAATCGCTGCGCTTGTTGATGGGCGCTTCCTTTTGCGTTCATGGTGGCTTGTCTCCACAACTCATCCACCTATCCGACATCGCCAATCTCAATCGATTTACGGAGCCTGGATCGACAGGACTACTCTGCGACTTGCTATGGAGTGATCCAATTGTCAGCTTTGGGCACGAAGATGACAGTGGAGTGCCGACTGGGACGACGTTTCTCCACAATATCACTCGAGGGTGTTCGTATAATTATACGTACGAGGCAGCTTGCCAATTTCTTGAGCGAAATGGGCTGCTGGGTATCATCCGTGGCCATGAAGCACAGGATGCAGGGTACGCTTTTTTTGCGTTTGTGTTGATTGCTCCCTGACTTAACCTGAAGCTATACAATGCATCGTAAGACCCCCACAAAGAAATTCCCCTCAGTGATCACGATATTCTCTGCCCCCAACTACCTGGACGTCTATCACAATCGCGCTGCCATTCTCAAGTATGCCAACAAGAACATCACGATACGACAATATAATGCCTCACCCCATCCATATTGGCTGCCGAACTTCCAGAACGCCTTCACGTGGAGTTTGCCCTTTGTTGGAACTAAGAGTAAGTCGGTCTTATATTACAAGATCCTGGTTACTGCTGATCTATGGCCAGTCACCGAAATGCTGCTCGCCATATTATCGATTTGCTCAGAAGAGGAACTTGAGGAGAGTGACTCTGAGGAAGAGAAAGCTGACGTTGACGGAGACGTCGAAATGAGAAATGCACGAACTTTGGGTCTGAGCACGCCAGCCGAAGTCGCACAAAGGCGGCAAGACATCAAGAGCAAGATTATCGCTGTCGGCCGAATGCAGCGAGTGTTCCAGCTGCTGCGAGAAGAAGCCGAATCCGCCTCAGAACTTGTTGATGCTGAGGCCGGTGAAGCAAGTCCCGGTCTTGGCGTATCAGCCCTTGGAGTCCAACGACAAGTACGGCAAAACATTCACAATTTCGAGGATGCGTGCGTGTTTATCTGCTTTTTTCCTTGTTGATATGCCAAGTCCCATTTAGCCGTCGCTCTGATATACTTAACGAGCGTCTTCCTTCTCTGCCCCCATCGCCGTCGCCGTCGCCATCACCCATATCACCCATTCCCGTTCCCTCGCCGCTTGTACCTTCTATGAGGATTCCGGGTCGAGGGCCTTCCGAGGGCCTTAATATGGAGTTCCTCATTCGGCAAACACTCGAAGACTCCTTCGCAGGAGAAGATGTCGAGCGGCTGGCTGACCGAATTGCATTCCGCGGAGGAAGGACACGACCTGGTGGACTGAAACGACACGACACGGTATAGCATTGTTATATATCTACTGGCATTCCCATCTGCTCTGCATGCTTTGCTTACCTTGATTGAAGTGCTTACTCTTGTACTTTACTGTACCTTGCTCACGTGCTAATCTGTTGTCATTCATAACCGCTCTTCCGTTTCTGGTGCTATAATGCTCTTGGCCCAACATCGTAGACCACATCGCCCATCTTGTTCAGCTCGTCAACGTGTGGTGTGCTGTTATCTCGCGGGGCAAACTACAAAACACATTATTCGATGAACACGCAAATGCGACGACAGGGACCCACGACAACGTTTCTTGAAATCTGGCTGTCGATACCACGCGTCCCACTGTGGCCCCCAAAGGTGGAAGGAATCGACTGTTTGGTCGACAGCCGGGATTTGGTCCGATTGTTGATGTTTGCGAGCAGGGCGTTTATAAATGAACAAGGTATCGCCATGAAGAAGGTCACCCAGACGTCTTGGTTCGGATATCAGTGCAGCCACATGATGGTGGGGATTCCACACACAGTTCGTTGGGGCGATCTTGAACTAGAAACGAGTTGAACACGTAGCACAAACTAGGGGTTCGAAATACACACTGCAATAGCCGCCCCAAAGGCCAAAAGACTGTGACTGAGAGTAAGCTGAGGGCAACGCATTGCGGTTGTTCTCACCTCGTGGTAAATCCAGTCTCTGCGAATAGATGAGCTCGGGTGATGACTGCGATTATCGTGATGGACACTTACGCAGAGTATAAATGACTAGTTGGTCAACAATTGCCGTTGTGCTGCGAACCGAAGTGAGTATCAGGTAAATCAAATCACCAGTTCAAGGTGTACCTCCGACTAAACACGATTTGTCGCTGTCTCCCTAGGTGGAAACCAAGAACACCAGCATTAAGGAGATCCATCAAGGCATCGGCGAAAAACAGAATCAGCAAGAGTCGATGGTATTGGGGGTGGGCAATGGAGATCGCAATACTAGCTGTGCGGACCCCTTCAACCGCGACAATAAGCGATAACGCTTGAAGGCCAGCGATCAGGATCCAGAGCAGTATGCAAAAATAAAGAGCGCGGGTAGCTCTGTAAACACGAAAAACAAAGAATGCCTGTGAATGGTCATCATAATCGATTGCCTGTCGCACCACCAAGTCACCCGCCTGAACGCCATGGTCTACAATCGAACTGAAAATCGGTAAATAAGAGAGCCGAATGAGAGCACATTAATATTGATGCTTGCCCTAAAATGACTGCTGTGGTGAGCCCCCAAGGAGTAGACAACAGAGCGAAAAGTTGTCCAAAGTCTTTGACCGACATCCAATAAGTACCCTGGCAGATGCAGATTGTGTATGCCAAGTGAACCGTCCTACCAGTGCTGAGCGCCAACCCGAAAGTTATTCAGAATCGTATACCATAAGAACAAGACCTGGGCCCGTTTTCAGCCAAACGAAATCCGGCCAAGACGGGAGCGCACCGTGAATTTGACATGTAAAACGTCCTTCGGAAAAGTTCTGAGATAATTGACTGTTTGAATGCAAAGCACGCCGAACAGAAACAGGACAAGCCAAGCCCCAGAGAGTATCGGTCCTAGAGTGAGGCTGATAATGGATGACTCTAAGTGGGACACCGCAGACATGTAATCAGCGGCGAAGACAACCACTTGGAAACTTGAAGGAAAGACGATAACAGCTTCAATGCAGATCGGCGTTCCAAGGCACATCCCCGAGCCAACAAGATTGCGGAAGTTGATCAGGTCCTCCGTCTAGCCGCTGAATAGCGCCAAACTTCGTCGTGTCTTCATCACGGTAGTTTTGGGTGGGCTTCGTTTCAAGATATGAACGCGGAGCAGGAAGTGCTCAATCACGTCATTGCAAAAGTCGGGATTCGCCCGAGATCTGTCAGCGGACATTGAAAATGTGCTTCTTGAATCCACGCGGCGATTCCGCAGAGAAGTATACAGACAGCGTTGATGCGCAACAAGGATTGACATGGGGCAACCCGTAAGTGGGGGGTCAAAGCGCAGAGAAATGTAGCCCGCGGCAGCCAGGCCACCGCATCTTGATTAAAGAAGAGTTCATGATCACACCGAACTCGCTTCCATCTTGTTCAACTCGATCTCTCCATCTTCTTGAGAATCACGCATCTCTTCCGGCTTTCGGAATCCTGCAATACTTGCGTCGCGCGCGAGCTAGAGCAGAATCAGTTTCATTGACCTCCGAGGTCAAAAGTTGCGTGACGAACCACAATACTTCGCGAGATCTGGATTTGCAGTCCATGGGGTCTGCTGTTTGTCGCGCCGGCACTAGTCGAGGAATATGTTGCAGATTGTTTTTGCCGGTACTCAAGCGAGAGACTCCCTCTGTTGTTGACGTTGGCGAGCAGGGCACTCACGAACGAGCATGGCATGGCTTGATAGAACAGGACCCAGATAACTTGCAACGGGTCAGTACATCTACGAGTTTGGAGAATGAAAAAAGAAACACAATTTGTCGGTGCAGTCTTGAACTGTGAACGGTCAGGCAGTGTAATTGAGTTGAATACATACGCACCGAGATAGCTGTTGCAAGAGAGACAAGACTTGGATATCAAAGCATTAATTGTCCGCCTTAGAATAGTTCGAGTCCGGATACCTTGTTGTAAGTCCAGTCTCTGGGAGGCGGGGATGAAACGGCAGCAAGGAGAGATCAGATATAACTGACGCAGAGTGAAGACGACCAGTTGGTCAACCAATTTGAGGGTACTAAGAGTCTGTCAGAAGGGGAGATCGAAAGTGCATGAGAGAAAGTACTTCTGACTGAAAGCCGATTCACGTTGTTTCCTAAGATAGAAACATAAAACTGCAGCATTCACGAGGTCGATTGCCGCATCGCTAAAGAAGAGAACGAGCAACAAGCGATGATATAGCGGATCAGCGCTCGAAATTGCGATGCTGCGGGTGTGTAGCAGGCCCGCATTGAGGATTCCGGAAAGAACTTGGAGCAATGCGACTATACTTCCAAGAAATATGCAGAGGTACCGTGCGCGCGTTGCCCGGTAAATTTGGACCACAAAAAACGCCTAATAATAAGTTAGAGAGGGCATCCTAGAGCAATACGGGTCACCTGGACACAATGGTCTATCACACCTCTTTTTCTGTTCAGCATACCAATGTGGTGAACGAGTGGCAGACTTACCCCAAGATTAATGCAACCCAATCGCCCCACGGAGAGTAAATCAAGGCAAACGGTTGACCGAAATCCGTTACTGCGGCCACATAACACGCTTGAAGAACGCAGATCACATATCCCAGCAGGAGGGTCCTGGAGAGCATCGACTTCATTCCAACACTGGCCACTGAAAAGGAAGCTAGCGCACCATAACGAGATGATCTTTCTCGAGTTAGCAAAAGGCATGCTGATTGGACAGGTTGCGCACCGTGAACTTGACAAATAATGCGTCGCTTGCGAAGGTCTTGAGGTAGTGAGCTGCTTGCATACAAACGAGCCCAAATTGAAAGACGCAAATGAACGAAGCGGCCACCACAGGACCCAAGACGAGGTTGAGAGCACTGGCAGTGGCAGCCATGAGCGAAAGCCAATTGTTGGGTTAAAATTGGATAGTGTCATTGGTGTGAATGAGCATCATTGTATGAAGCGGGATGCTATTGCATTCCGGGCCAAAAGCAAGATCATCAAGGTTTGGAAGAACCGTTTTCTGGCTGACAATGATAAAATTGAGCTCGGAACGCGTGACAGTCTATGTGACACGACTGCTGACTCAGGCTGCAAATTCGGAATTCTGTTTTCTTAATCTTTATACAGCTTGTGGTCCGATATCAAACACTCTGCCCTCTCGCATCTTATCTAGCTCCATGTCTCCAAACTCCTCATCTTCCCGGATGACCCCCACTTCAACCCTGCGAGACGGGGGTGTCATTGTACTGATCATTGAAGAGACGGTATCTCGTCTCGCAAACTGTTCGTGTTCGTCACTCTACAATCACGGTCCTAAAAAGCAAGACAACTTGCCACAATGTTCCTTGAGATTTCGGTATCTGGATGTGCTCCGGCTGTACTTGCATGTCCACTTGTGCCTCCTCCAAGTGATGTTGAATTGTTTGATTTTTTCCCATTGCTTTGTAGGTTTCTTCGATTATTGACGTTGGCCAGGAGTGCATTCATGAAAGAGCAAGGCATAGCCATAAAGAACGTAACCCATATATCTGAGACAACAAGTCAGCATCAGTTGTCTGAAAGACGATCGATTTACAGTTGGTCGGAGCGACCTTGAACTAAACGATGATCAGCTAAGGGGAGAACTTGCAAGTGGGGATGTCACATACTCCAATAGCCGCTGCAAGAGCAACGAGACTGCTCAAGGCTTAGTGAAGGAACACGGAGGAAGTTGACCCTGTCACCTTGTCATGAACCCGGTCTCTGGGTGGAAATAAGCACTGAATGAATAAATGATTCACTCTACTCACGAAGAGTGTAAACGACCAGTTGATCGACAATCGCCGTTGTGCTGAGGGAGAGTTGAGCAAACTTCTGAGGACAAAACAGACAAATACCTTCGACTAAATGCCCGTTGGCGTTGTCTAGCCAAATAAAAGCATAAGACAGCAGCATTGAGCAAATCCATTGCAGCATCGCCAAAGAAAAGGATCAACAAGAGGCGGTGGTACTTGGGATTGGAGGTGGAGATGGCGAGGCTGTTAGTGCGAAGTCCTTCAGCGCCAAGAATAAGGGACACAGCGAGGAGACAGGCGACGAGAACCCAGAGCACTATACACAAGTAGAGTGCCCGAGTGACTCTATAGATTCGATACACGAAGAATGTCTAATCGGTTGGAGAGGTGCTTGCTGTAAAAAGGGCAGCGTACCTGCACACCGTGGTCGACGAGGGCACTGAGGAAACTTAATGGCACTCTTTCTGAATGTTGACCGATTACTCACCCCAGTACGACTCCCACTGTGAGCCCCCAAGGGCTAAAAAGCAGCCGGAAAACTTGGCCGAAATCATCGACAGTCATGCCATAAGTACCCGCACAGATACAAATCGTGTACCCTAATTGCAGTGTGCTAGACATTTTGGATGAAAAGACCACAGAAGAGGTGGGAAGGACTTGACTTACTAGAGAAGACCCACCTATAGTCATTCAGCATGGATTCGTCGCAAAAAACGAGCGGAACTCACAGTACATTTGACATATGGATGGTCGTTTGGGAAGGATTTGAAGTAATTCGTCGTCTGCATGCAAAGAATCCCGAAGAGAAAAACCACGATGAAGGCGCCGCAGACGATCGGCCCCAGAGTTAAGCTAATGCTGAAAACAGCCATACTCGTCAAAAGCTGGGTGAACGAGGGAACAAGCTAGAGTGAACAAGGGCACTATGTAATAATCGTCCGATCTCCGAATTCGCAGGCGGCGGTTACATTGCTGAGATATTTGTCGGGGTTCTAGAAGAAAGCCATATATTAAGAGCGCCGCTGAGCCAGTGGTTGTGCAAATCAAGTGAAGGCAACCGAGTGCACATTGCGGAACAAAATCAAGGAGTCCCTGTGATTGATTGACCGCATCAACTTTATTTCCTCATATTTCCGACTTGGTTAGGCAGATTTTCACCAAATTATAGAATTCCCATGTCACATGTACTCAAGTTACTTCTTTTCTCTTGCCAGCGTGCTGGCATTGCCTGGCAATTCTCATTTCCTCAGGCGACGATCAGAACCCCAAGATGAAGCTTACAGAACTCGGTCTTCCCCCGAAGATATCATTTGCAAGCGGCGCCAATAGTGTAGGTCTGATGAACAAACATTTCTTCATAAGGCTTGTTCAGTTTGTTTCCGGGCTCATCTTCGATCTCCACTTTTCTTGTATTGGCCGACGCCAAATCAAACTGTTATGATTCAAGTCGTCGATACATAAAGCTCGACAAGATCTTGCCTGGGCTTCTGGACACACCATGCGTCTCTTTCTTTCTTTTCTTGCACTTGCGACCTTGGCGAATGCTGCAAACGTGCAACGTCAACTCCCTGGCTTCCCATGTTTGTAATACACGCCAAGAAACGGGTTCACCCGCTCAATCCATCGCACAGCCTGCGCAACGAACTGCTTGAACAATCCTACAACCTTAGGTGGTTGTTCAATCGCGGATGAGAAATGCCTCTGTCAGAGTGTTCCCTACCTACAGTCGACACTCGCTTGCATCAACGCCGCCTGCCCTTCCCCTGAAGACCAACAGAAATCCATCGTCGGCGCCGAGAATCTCTGTTCAAACTTTGTCCGTCTTCGCAGTCATTCGGAAAACAATACTGAATCCAACTAGGGTGTCACTATCACCAGCCAATCCGCCGCTATCTTTGGTGGGCTTTCGACTGTCGCCAACTCTCCCTCAGGCGTTAGCGGCGGTTCCTCTGGACCATCGAGTCCTGCTCCAAGGTATGTTTCGCCTGCGACAAGCCACAAATTTCATAGCACTAACACATAACAGTCCACCAGCACCATCCAAGGGCTCTGCCACGAATCTAAAAGTTGGTGGATTGACGTATCTGCCCGCCATTGTAGTACCTGCTTTTGCTGTCTTTCTGTAAATACACAAGATAATTTGCCGAAATCGGCCGACCAGCGGGCCGCAATCTCCGGCGTTGAGGCACAACTTTTTTTTAGAAAACTCTCACCCTGACCCACGTTGTAAACCAGCTTGAGCGCGAAACAGTGGCTTGCTAGCGACCAGCTCACTGGCGGCATGGCGAGCGACAGTCAAGAAACTCAGGTTGGACCACAGATTGAACACTCTCTAACAAAATCCCATCGCCTGGATTTTGGCTTTCTCCCTATTCCTCGTTCATGTCGTCCGTCGGTGACTGGAGAGCTCCCATATTTTGGCTACACAAAAACGATAGCATTCGGAACTGCGAGTACATTCAGTAAGTACTATATATGTTGCGTTCTCCACTCTTCTGCTTATCGCACGAACAACTTTCCAGCAGGTACTTCCAATGCAGCAAAACTTGTGACTTGGATAAAAAATTCTAGTGATGAATTTATACTACAACCAGCCTATCTTGCTTGAGCTCGCCAAAGCCTTTCGAGTGGACGACGAAGGGGTATCGAAAATTCCCACTCTTCTTCAGGCAGGGTAGGTTTGAAGCTGCATGTTTCATCTCAAAATCGCGAATAAAAGTTTCCGCAGGTATGCGTCGGGTTTGCTGCTCCTCTCCCCGCTGGGTGACCTTATTAAGCGTCGTCCACTTATCCTTTTGTTGATTGCAACGTCTGGTTCCCTGACAATCGGTCTCGCGCTTACTCGCTCCTTGATTGTTTTCGAAGTGCTGTGTTTCTTGATTGCCTTTGCGTCCGTTACTCCACAGGCAAGCAGTTGGGCTTGAAATTAGCTCGTCTGACAGAACTGTAGGTCCTCATCCCGTTGGCAGCAGATCTTGCACCAGCCAACCGACGAGCAACGTTCATGTCGATAGTGTTCAGTGGTCTCCTTCTGGGTGTCCTCCTAGCACGTTTGCTTTCGGGAATAATTGCTCAATTTTCGAGTTACCGCAACATATTTTGGATGGGAGCAGCAGCACAATACGCCCTGCTCGGTGTGCTTTATTTTATCACGCCTTCAACGCCCGCGAAAAATCCGCACTTGACATACTTTGCGATCATGCGTTCGATGGCCAAGTTTCTGATAACAGAGCCAGCGCTGATTCAAGGCTGTCTCATCTTCTTCTGTAATTCGGCCATATTCAGCGGCTTCTGGGTGACCTTGACGTTCTTATTGGGAGGACCGCCGTACAACTATTCAACGTACGACCCCCAATTCCGACTTGGCTTTGGAGCGGGGCTGACATGAAATAGAATTGTTATCGGCCTGTTTGCACTGGTGGGTATGGTCGGAATATGCATGGCCCCCGTTGCAGGACGCGTCGTTGATGGGATGGTGCCTTGGACTACATCGCTGGTGGGAATGTCGCTTTTGGTTGTCTCGCAGATCTTGCAGACATTTGCTGGCCAACGGACTATTGCTGCAGTGGTCATATCAACAATTCGTGCGTTGCGTTTTTTCTAGGGGTGGGTCACTCATGTCAATGAATCAGTACTCGATATCGGGATCCAAAGCACGCAAGTGTCGATGACCGCGACAATATTCAGGTTTACCCACAACTTTGGACTGATTTAGCGCTGAGTATCGTCAGTATGGCTCCAGAGGCTCGTGCGCGGCTCAACGCCCTATTAATTCTTGCCATATTCATCGGACAGGTGGCTGGAACAGCAATTGGGACGAAATTATTCGTTGAACGGGGGTACGAGGTTAGCTCGGGAGTTAGAGTCGCGTTTGGTGGTGCAAGTCTCTTGCTGTTGGTGATGAGGGGGCCGCATGTGCGAAGGTCAACATGGGTCGGCTGGGAAGGCGGTACAGACTTGCGGAAGCCCAAGGAAGTCGTTGTTGAACCAAAAACAAATGGATAACGGACATTCAACCGAACTACACAGGCCCTACTACTATATGATACAGTCAGATAGGATCCTGTTTAGATACTAAGATAGAAAGCACGCACCTCTAGACTACTCATACGTTGTTGACGAGGCTGGTAAGCTTCCCAGTCTTGAATGCAGCCTGGGTATCATCGTTGCCTGTACAAATCATAAGCCTTGCCGTCGTCAGATGAATAGATAACGCTCACCACCAACATGCTGAGTGTCTGGAACACATTGAGTAATTGACACAAGACGTCGGAAGATGATGATGACTCACTGATGAATACGTTCGGGACGGTAGTCTGACCCGTCTTGGAGCGCAGGTAGCTTTGGATCTCATCGCCATCCTCCCGAAGGTCAAGCCTAATGTTATGAGCTTAGAGTGACGCGAGCGTGGATGAGCGAGGAGGTACTCGAAGATGACCGGGGTTTCATTAGGGAACTCTTTGGCGAACAGAGCCTTGGAGCGTTTGCAGTAGGGGCAGTAGGACTTGGAGAAGATCATAATCTTGTTGTCCGCAATTGCAGACTGTGGATAAGAAGAATGAGCTCGAGCCAGTCCTCAATAGACTGAGAAAGACGTACCTCTACAAGGTCTTTGACGGCCATGCTGGATTCTGAAGTTGTGGGCGAACGAAAGAGACTGTTGAAGACAGAAGATAGCATAGGCACGTCAGCTTGACGCCATCGATTTCTCATACGCCAGTTCTGCTTTCCAATCCCGAGCTGTGCCCGCAAACTGGCAGAGGACCATATTCCGATGTGGGTGAGAAAAGATAGGCGCTGAGGCACTTGCACTGGCACCGGCTACTTCATCTCCAGAGTGATGACGTCTCAACAACATTTCGACATCCACGGCCAACTGCTGGATATGTAGGAAAATCCCCGCCAGTATCATCATGGGTCTCTTTCAAGCGCCCAAGTCCTCCCCAGATTCTAACGGCAGGCGCGGTCTCAGCGTCCTACTCCTGGCTTTTCTACTCTGGTGTGGGTGGCATCGAAATTGCTTGTTCCCCGTTCGTGACCACTCGTTGCGGTTGACGATGCTCATACCCTAGGCCTCCTACAATAGACCCCTCGACGAGCCTTCGAGAAAGCTAGAATTGACTGGCAACCGTGTCGTGAAGACCCAGAGTTCCTTTGTGCTTTCCTCGAGTGCGATTCCACTTCCTTGTTTCGCATGCTCTGGCTCACTACATGAATTCCCAGGGTTCCGACAGACTACACCGATTCTACGGCGGGGAAATCAGTACTTGCCCTTACAAATTTTCCTACCAAGGTCTCCAAAGACGAGCGTCGAGGCATCATCATAACGAATGTAGTGAAACATTCCCTTACGCTTTTCTGTTGCTCAAGTCTTCAGTACGGTGGCCCAGGAGTTCCCGGGCGCGATGCATCGTTTGGACAAGCTCGTCGAATCCAGAACGTCACCGGAAACCGACATGACATTATCTCCTTCGACCAACGCGGGCTTGGCCATTCATTGCCCGCTGTCAACTGCTTTGGCTCAGCACTCGCATACGAGCAGTTCCAAACCAACACAGTCTTCGAGACAACATTTTCAGTCCCCAATGATCCGTTTTCTGATGCGGGAAGAGCGGTTTTGATTGAGCAGCAAAAACAAGCGCTGGCACTGGAAGAGACACAGGGTGCTATTTGCGGGCAGACGGTTGGGGCGAAAGCACTAGGTTACATGAGCACGACAACAACAATTCTTGATATGGAGGAGATCTCAAGAATCATCGAGGGAGAGGATGCGTTGATCAATTTTGTGAGCCCATTTGCTTCGTTCGACATTCACTCTCATTCCCCTCTCAACAGTACGGCGGGGTGAGTGCTATCTGGCTATGCTCTCATTGCCTTAATTTCTCTAGTCGTATGGTGAGGAGGCACTTACTAGCTTTCTATTGTTGACGTTGTGCTTCAGGCTCAATTGTAGGACAATATCTCGCAAACATGCTCCCGCACAAAGCCGGCCGGATATATATCAGCGGAACCGTACCTGCTGACATGTAGGGTCCTCTTTATTCCTACTAGCAACAACTGATGTCGGTGCAGGTGGTCAAATATCCACTATGAAACTCAACAGACACTTCGCTTACTACTGACTGACTCGGAGTAAGTCGGTTTTGGCCTGGTTATAATCGCTAATCCTTTTCAGAAAAGTCCTCCAATTCTTCCTCAATGAATGCTTCGAGGCTGGCCTCGACTACTGTCAATTAGCGAGAAAAGAGGATACGAGCTGGCGAACTATTCAAACTCGCATCGATGCGTTCATCCAGCGTCTTCAAGAGCAACCAATGAAGGTCACCAATTACTCACGACCGGGATATTTGACTTCAGGCGGAGTACGAAGTACGTCGATTATCGGTTGACGGGGGATCTTTTTGACTATTCTAGTGACACTATTCCTTACTCTTCAAATGCCCGCTATGTGGCAACTACTTTCAAGCTCACTTGCCAGGGCCATGTACGACGCAGATGGGTCGCAGCTTCTACGTTTTATCAATCACCGATACCCGTCCCCCAATCCACCCTCTGATCCCGATGGATATGTGGACATTGGCCAAGGAAATCTCGGAAGGCTCGCCATTTCGTGCGGAGATGCACTGCCCAGAACTCCAAAAGAGAATTTGCCCACAGCAGAGGACATTATAAATGACATTCTGGCCACACTCCGAGACACTAGCCCACGCTTTGGCGCAACGTGAGCTGCTACTTGGCTTGTAATACTCTCTTTGACGATGAAAAGGGTACACTTGATGGAGCAGCATGGAGGATGCCAGTTTTGGCCAGGGACAGGGGTTGGACCAACACGATTCCGAGTAAGATACTTCGAGTTTCATATGTGTGAGACTGGGTTGACGATAGATTCTAGGGACCCTTCAATGTAGGCTCGTGGCTTACATACGAGGTAGCCTGAACTGACTGTTACTCAGCAAACATTAGCAACTCCAATGCTTGTCGTCTCCAATATCTGTGGGTCCATTTATTAGAGGAATCCTCGCAACTCACTTTGCGCAGATGATGCTATAACGCCTGTTGCTGCTGGAAGAATTATACGATCCCAAATGCGGGGGAAACGTCCACCATCTTATCCAAGACACTGCTGGTGAGTTTTTTTTCTTCGTTCTCTTGACTCATCTCCCATGTAACCTCAGGGCACTCGTATCTTGCTCCAGACACCGATTGTGCTGCGAAAGTCATCAGAACATATTTTGTTGACGGTCTTCTGCCGGAGGGGAAAGAGACGCATTGTGAGCGCGAAATGGGCAATTACTTTGTTGACGAGAGGCTTCTTGAGTTGGAAACGGGAACGGCTACTAGTATTTCTGGCATGTATTTGCGCCACTTTTGAACCAATAATCATGTCACATTTTGTCCTTGGAACCAACGACGATGAACACTCCAACCAATTCTCCGCTTGACAACTCACAATCACCGCCCGACAATCCACATGGAACACTCGAAGAACTTGCCCAAGGCTACCTGAACTCGATAGAATCTCAACGTGTCATTGCGAACGCGAGTATGCACCACATTCAATCCCTCAAGAATGCCCTTGCTGGTGCACAAGACGAGCTTTCAAAAGCGAACGAAGCGACTGCTAAGGCTAAGGCTGAGTGTGAGGAGGCGAGAAAGGAGGTCTGGAAGCAGGCAGATGCGGCAAGAGTAGAGCGTGAAGAAGCAAGGAACGACATTCGCAAAGCCCACGAAGAGGCAGACAAGAAGGTCGAACGCATGCGAGCTCAAGTCGACGAACTTCAATCCAAACTCCAGGCAACACATGCGGAACTTCGCGATTTTGACTGGCTTGGTGCTAAATACGCGGCGCTGAAAGAGCAGTATGCTGTAGCGCAGGTGCGTTTTGTTTTAGTCGTCAAATGAGAACTGTCGCTGACCCATATTCAGGACGAACTCAAGGAATACAGAAGACAGTCTTTGCCCAGAGTCCGCTCCCCCATCTTGTCTCCATTGCAATTCCCATTACCTGCGCGTCCTACCAGTCAGGTGAGAGCAAAACCACTGCGATACTACCCTTTGAACACTGTTCGTAGATGTCTGACGTTGTCAGGCTCGAGCGATCCACATACGATCGCCCAGTTAGCATTTACACCCGCCTCAACGCGCACTCATTTTTAACAGGCTCCCAAGACTCCAAACTATAGCTATTCTCGGTCAAGCACGACACCCTTGACCTCCGAAAAGTCCAAAGACCCGCGCATCCGTGATCAAGACTGCGTATTCACGCCTCGCACGGTCGATGTCGAAATGGCCTTTGACTATGAACCCAACGCGAAGCTAGGACCAGAAACTGTTGAGGTCCAATATTTGGCAATCTCACTGTCTTTTCTTTAAGCTCTTTTCAGGCTTCCGACTCTGATTTCCAAGTCCGGGTACCTTCTCACGATAACATCTCATCGTCTCAACATGGTGAGCTGGAGTCCAAAACTTAGAGAAGCGCTTAGATCTTGCTTCCCCAGGTTCGCGCTGACCGACTTATATCCTATCTCTCGCATCGCAAGCATCCCCAAGGAAATTCCGGGTACGACACTGTAGCATAGTTTCACAGACTGGATACTACGGTACTGGACTTGAGACTGGTTAATATACATTCAGATGATCATGTGACCGGATGCTCACATCGACGGTCTTTTCATGTCCGCTTTTAGAGGCAGTTCCCTACCCGGAGTAGATTCAACCACTGGCATTCAGTCAAGCCCGGAAAATGCTAAGTGCCCGTAGGAATGGAGTCGCGTCGACCCATGGTCGCAACAACTTGACTGAACCAGTCGACGGGTTGGTTGGCTGGACTCGACGCTCTCAATATTGTATCCTTAGCTTTCTTGCGACTGGCTGAGCTGCCTCAACTTTCCTCCGACTGCCGTATGTGTGTCTATTACACTTCTTACGGCCATTCCTGACCGTGAACTAGTGTAAGCGCACTCGTCTCTGCCGCTTTGCGGCGGTTTCAAGACTCAATGGAATGGTTGGGGTTTTCGCGTCGCGGAGGAGGTATAAAAAGACCTCCATTGTCGCTTTGAAGGCATCTGCTCAGTCCACTTCAAGTAACCCTTCCAACCAACGATGAAACTCTTGGCTTCTTTTGCGGTCGTTTGCGCCACTCTGGTTACCTCTGCTCTCGCTCAGAGCGTCCGTATTGGCGCGCCAGCTGATGGAGCGAAGGTCACAGTAGGGTCAAGCCTTGTCGTTGAGATCGACCGCCCAGTATGTCCATTAGGAGCTATTTTTTTTCTGTATAACATCTCTCATAGGACACTCTTACGCCGTCCACCGAAATCGCCATTGTCATTGGTTTCGAGGCGTGCAACGATGGACCTTGTCCTTCCCCCGCAGATCAAATGGGCACGATACTCTATAACGGACCCTACAAACCAGAATTCCAAGACGATGGCGTGTTTTTCCCGCACCAGAACTTCACTGTCACCATCCCGCAAAACGCTGTCAAGGGACCTTCACAGCTGAACGTAGCGCATTTTGCGCTTGTTGGGGTGAGTTTATAATGGGCAGGTCAGATGGAATCCTCACGCAAAGCACAGGCCGTCCAGTTCCCTCTTCTCCAGACGCGCAATGTCTCCCTTATCGTCGCTTGAACGATCTGGCTGTATTACGAGCATTATGTTGCCTGCATTTTCGTTTGAACAAATTCATTGAAAGCCCCGACTTGAAACTAGGGTTCCCGATCAGGTTCTCTTCCTTGAACTCCGTTCAGTCGCCGCTGCCTGCCGATATCTAACAGCCCCATCTTGCATCTTTGCTGAATGAAAAGCATTCAATGCCTCTCGCATCTGCTCCATCTCGACGCTTGGATCCTTGTTAGAGATATTGATTGGGAGGCTGAGTCGAATCGAACTGGCAAGAGGCAGTGGTCATTCGTGGAACGCTGCCAGCCACCTTCCGGGTCGGACAAGGGAAGCTGATTGAGACTTGTTGCTTCAGCGAGCGCAACAACTTGACCAACTCGGACTGAAGTTGATCGGGCGATGCGACTCTACCGGGAAAAAGTTTTTGTTCTTGTCCGCTCCGTTGGGCTTCTCTTACTAACTGCCTTCATGGCTCGGGTTCGCGAATGAAATTTACTTGGGACCTCCATCGGTGAGCGCTTGAAGCCGATGTTTGTTCGCTTATAGCACCCATGCAGACCAACTGTAATAACTAATTTGAGTTCTCAATTCCGCTGTAACTTGAACGTGCTATGCCTTCTTCAACCAGATGACACGCCCGCAGCTTTCCCGAACGAGAGAGTGATGTTGAGTATCGTCTTCGAACCTTCCTCTCTCTGTTGGGAATGGGTAAATTCAAGGTTAGAGACTTTGACTTGGTACCAAATGAAAAAAGAATGACTTCAGAACCAGCATCAAGACTGCAATCAGCGACTCAACAACGGCACTTCTTCGCATTCAACCTTTGCATGCTTCGTCATTGGTCATAGACGCCCATCACGGTGATGTTGGGGTATGACAGGGATGCAAATGGATCTGAGGAAGCTAGATTTCGAGAACAACAGAATGCTGTTATTGGCTGATACCGAATCCTGGTTCAAGTGCTGTTGATGTGGACCCTCAAAATGCCTCGTGTGTGGGCGTAGATCAGCTGCGCAGGTATTTTTTCAAGTTTTCACCGAGGAGCAGGACTAATAGCTTTCGGTAATAGACTGCGGTTTTCGTCCGAAGGCGGCGCGGGTAGCAGCGCTCTCCGAGTCGCGAAGCACGGTCTTGTGTTGACTCAACAGCTTTGACTTGATATATTCAAGTTGGTGTTTTCGTCCCCACACTTCATCTCAGTTTACCGCAGTGCCGACGAGGAGACGAGAAGACTTGCCTGTTTTGCTTCTTTCGGGCCATCAGCGTATCAAGGGTGACTCGACGCCCGGGATTGTCGCTGGAGTTTGCGGCTGTAACTCCGGCCTCAATCTAAACCGTGAAGCTCGATAACAACGGTGACTCGCTTGTTGACTGTACAGCTTTTGTGCAGAAATCACTGGCATCCGACCGTATTGACCAGCTCTCCTGTTATGAACATGTGTTTTCACGCGCAGCAAATAACCCGCGTCCGCGACACTCGATTCCTACAGGAGCCAAATCCAGATAAGGCAGTCGCCCTCAAATTCACGCCACAGGTGCTGTAAAAGAGAAAAATATACCTCTGCCTACACAACCGCTACAGTATCCGACACGTAAATATAGTGACTCCGCCTCCCTTCTGGGAACGGGGCTAGAAATCGAGGATCTCCCGGTCCGGAAATACTCACCTTCCATTTAGAGATGGCTGGGGTGTTTCGATGCTTGGAATCGTTGACTCAAGCAGGTATTCCACAGCAACAATTAGGCGTACTAGTATAAAGCTGGCTCATATTTCGAGTCAACAGGACAAACAACACCAGCATGTCGCATTCTACTCAAGGTCAAAAGCGAACCAAGTCATACATGGCGTGCTCCCATTGTCGACAGAGACACATCAGGGTTGGTCTATCACTCATTCTTACTCGAGTCAACAAGCTGATCCGGTCTTCCAGTGTGAAGCTGGCGAGGATTATCGAAAGCCTTGCAAGAGATGCAAGCGCAAGGGACTCGAATGCATATACGAACCAGTAGGATCTGGCGGCTCGTCGAGCTCTGACGCTGGCAACGCTGGCATAACCATTCCAAAGGTGCCAAACTTCGATACCCCAGGCTATAACACTGGCCGACAGCCCTCGTCTTTGGTGCCCCCCTACGGGCAGCCTGCGCAGAACGTATACCTTAACGTTAACCCAGCGCCTTACTATGGAGACTACACATCGTCTGGAGGTGGCGGCATTCCTTCATCGGCGGGCGGCCCGGGACCGAGCTACTATGCCCACGCAGAACCAAGCGGGTTGCCTATGGCCGCTGCCCCGTCATACTCTCAGAGTCCCTATTATCAGCCCCCCTCATACTGCACCTACTGCAGATACCCTTTCTCGCAGTGCCAATGCACTCGTTTCCGTTGATCAGTTCAATGAATTGTGACTCGGAAGCAACTTCAGATCTAATTCTCAGGTACTTATCTACGCCTATAACGATAAATCATGAACGAACGGACGCAACTTGAATGAATTCTCCGGAGACTCGCTCACCAAAGGCTATTACTGCGTTTTTTTTCTAAATTTTTGTGGTAGTTTGTTGTAAAGTACATGGCATGACCCAAGGGCCAAATTCAATCCACTTCTGATGTCATAAAAGCGCGTCGAATCACGCGTCATTGTTTGCCAAGGACGGTCACGGGATCGAGACGCGGATCAAACAGCACCTGGCACAGCCGCATTCGACTTTGACCTCTGTTGACCTCTGCACCTCGACCGGACTCCCATATCGCCTATCCCTCTTAATTCCTTCTGTTTTGGGGCTAAAATCGATGAAACAGTATTAATGACCTCCCACCATAGGCCAGCTTGGTAGGTGACTGCGTTTTTTCATGCTTGCTGGGGACTCATCCAAGCTCAAGGCCATGGTTATTCCTAGCTTCCCAGCTCCGAGGAAACGCCTACACCAACAACAATAGCCGTCAATCCAAATACACCACGTCCTCGCCGAGCTTCGTCACTGGTGGTTCGAGTCAACATGATCCTGTGATGAGTGGTGAATGCACTGGCATTCGTCTGGGAACAAAAATGATACCAGCGCTCTGGCCCAGCTTCAATATAAGCAGCGCATAGCGAACAAGTGAGTGGTTTGACGGTCCTATGTATCACCTGGTCGTTCAAACGTAATCAGAATCGGAGTTCAAACGTTCAAACGGTGGCTGGCGATTGAAGTTGTTGATTTGACTGTCGGACGATGAAATGGGAAGTGGATACTTGTGGGCAGCCTGGCCTCAAGCGGTCCCGTAAATGCTGGTACAGTAGTGACGTCGCCGCGACTGATGCACTCCTGCACTATTCGGGTGTGTACGCCTATCTAGCTTTGCTACTTCCCTTTTCATTCCGCTTCCACAGATATTTGACAGTCCTGCATCTGCCTACTGCGACATTTCACAGACATTGTTTGTAGGTGTCAATCTTATCAGCTCCACACCGAAGCCGATTCCCCCCAAGAATAACTTTCAGAATCCGTGACGGGTCCTTAAAGTTCATGCTGCTGCCCTGTCTCTCGGTGGCTTATAGCACCTGCCGCCTTCCCACTGCAGTCTTCAACTTCACATGGCAACGCCAGCGCTCGACCCTAAAGCTGTTCAAGCTATCGTGAACTCCACGCTGGGCCCCCTGGTTGCTGGAGGCTTTTTCACCACCTTCTTCTTTGGATTAATATGTCTGCAAACGGCACACTATCTCAGGACGTTCCCTAACGATCGTCTTCTTGTTAAAATTCTCGTATGTCGCAATGTTCTTCAAGTGATATCGAATAACAGTGCGCAGGTTCTGTTTTTGTGGTACGATAAGCGACTCAATGTTGAGCTAGAACGCTGAAGTTACCTCCCTCCTCAGGGTCGCACAACTCGTCTTTACGCTGTGCATTTGTCAGGGAACCTATGCGTAAGTCCTACATTTTCCATTGTTTCTTCGTTGGTAAGTGGACCAAACAGAATGGCAGTGACGGATTTTGGGCGATTAGCTGCATTCAAAATTGCGCCGTGGGGTTTGGACGCAGGACAAATTTTAGGGTACGCTTGCTTTCTGACCTTTGGCAGTCGCTGATTTTTTGTTCGATAGAGGTGTCATAGACCATCTCATCCAGGCGCGCCATACTCCGCCCTGTCAGAGTAAATGTCAGTCTGACAAGCCATGTCCAGGCATTTTTTGTATTCCAAATATACCGTGCCACGCACAGACTAGTTCTCTGCATTTTCCTCTGGATTCTGGTCGCTCTCCTGGAAGTCCTTGCCGCGTATCTCTGCGCCCAGCTGCTCAAGACACACAGCATTTCGATAACTTTTGGCAACCCCCAGAACCACCGACTGCTGATGCTTCTTTTCTTTGGCGACGCCACCATGGATCTGGTCAATGCCGCCATATTGTGTTTCCACTTGAGAGCGCAACGAAAATCGGCCTTCAGCAAACGCACAATCTCGCTGGTTGACCATCTTTTAGTGTACACCCTGCGTGCGTGAACTGGCTTTTCAACTTGATTGCTTTCTTACGGTGCAAAAGAGACGGGTCTGACCACGAGTTTTGTTGCATTCGCTGCAGCTATCTCAGTATGTCTTCTCTCTTCCCCCCTCCTAAAATGTCATTTCACCGTCTGTCCAGTATGCAGTTAGCCCAGACAACTGTAACATTGCCTGCCTATCAATGTAGCCTAGCTTTACTGACGAGCATTCAATAGACACCTGGGTGGTCTTCTTTGAGTTTCTGCCCAGCTCATTCCTCGGCGCATTCCTTGCAAACATCAACAACCGCGCTGGCCTTCGTATTGCACAAGATAGCCACAAGCATGGGACACCGTCTCAGACATCTTACTTGTCCTCGGGCGTGGTCAACACCGGTAACGGAAGCCAAATGCATCCGGGCGGGTCGGGAGTGCAGGTCCAGATTTCTCGTAATGTCGTGGCAAGTTTTCGCAGTTTTCCGGGACCTCGGAAAATAACTTGGTTTGTAGTTTGCGAGAGACCGGGATTTGATAACCTCGATTGGTTCGGTGAAGGCGGGTGAAGGTGAATATGACCCGGAGCTGGAGGAGCGTGCGATCGAGATGAATAAGATGGAATTAGACACGCAGCACCATCGGCCGGAAGCGGTCTAGAATAAACGAGTAGAATTATTTCACGGACATGGTGCGAGGGAATGTACTATGTAGGAATAAGGATTGTACTGGGTTATCAGCGGTCCAATTCGCACAAGCACGCTCATTGTGTAGATTGGGCTTTCTTCCGCCGCCGTTCTCGCCATCGTGGTCCAATGATCATGACCACCCACATCAGCGGCGATGCGGCGATGCAAAGTCCTGCTAAAAGCACGTATGTCCATCCGACATCAATAGCGTCGATTATTAGCTGGATCACAGCGACCATTGCAGCAGAGAGGGCACATCGGATTAGATTGTTCTGATTAGATCAGATTAGATTAGATACGCTGACCATTAGACAAGTCACAAGACCTAGACGTACGCATGCGGTGACAGAGCTGCCTTGGTCTGGGACCAGGTCGAGAATAAGCGTTTGTGTGGCGTTCATGACAGCCATGGACAGAAATCCCACTAACAACATTATGAGTGCCCCTTGAATCAATTTACGGATTTGCGTACCCCCAATCAGTAAGATGACTGGCCCGGCGATGCTGACTTTTTCTTGGATGCACCATCCATATGCGGCACACATGGCTACGTAGAGAGCGACAAGGAAGGGCATCAGACGTATGCGCGCCTCCGAGACAATTCAGTAATAGGTCGAACCGTGAAGAAACACACCTTTTCAATCGGAAACGACGCGCCTTCGACATTTAATCTCGACTCTCCCCTGGCTTCGGCAGCAGCAATAATACCGCGTTTTACTCTTTGGTAGTCCCAGTCAAGTAGTTTTCCGCACGTTGCAGAGCCGACAAGCATACCTCCACCAATGGCTGACCAAAAAAATTAGGGCGTCAATGCGGTCGAAAGCCGTAGAACATACCAAGATAGCATAATCCCAGCTTTGTTTGACTCAGAGACGGGTATGTCTCGTGGAATATTGTTGAGATCGACGTATTGACGCCATAAAAAACCGCGCAGATGACACCGTTGAAGAAGAGTAGGAGAAAGATATCCACATTGAGCAGCAGGAGAAGAGGATTCTTGAATGGCTTTCGGGGCATCGATTTTGACGTGGCTGTTTTGCGATGCTTGCGACCAAGAAGAGGAAGAATTGGACGAGAGATCGGTCCTGGTATGATGCTGCCATTGCCAACTATGGAACGCAGCGTTTCGGGTAGTAGTCTGCATAGAGACATCAGCCTTGGAATCATTCTGGTCTTGAATAACGCACAAGATCAACACGACAGCACACGCGGCTGACGCGATGCAAAGAAACCAAAATATTGCTCTGTTATGAAGGTTGTGAGCGCCTCTTCTGCATTGTCATGCCCCAATCACCTCCAGCCGAGTCCGTCTGCTAAAGCGCCACCCAGAACTGGGCCAATCGCAGGACCAGCCAGGGGACCGATGTTATACACGCCGAAGAAGCCGCCCCGTTCTGCAGGCTCGGATATGTCGCCGATGACTCCCGCGCCAAGAGCAATAGTACTCGCTGAGCCGGCTGCTTGGACGCATCGTAAAAGCAGAAGTAGCCAGTAGGCGCTGGGCGGAACTAGGGCAAGTCCGACACAAGAGACAGAGAGAAGGATGAGGCAGGCAATGAACATAGGTCGCCTTCCCCATGAGTCAGCTAAAGTTCCCCAAAACATGGGGGCTATCGGGTGCCCAAGTCAGTCAGTAGATAGCTTCAGCTTGAGTGAAAATCACCGAGAGCTTGGAAAACAATGTACATCGTTACCTTTGAAGGCTGGATGAGCCCAAAGAGCAAAGCATCGGAGACACGTACGGTTAGATTAATTAGCTCTATAGATTTACCAAAGACTTGAGAAAGTGCTGGTATTACGGGGAAGTAAATATTTGAAGACAGTGGGCTACCAAATGCTCAATGCAACAAACAGTCTTGAAGGAAAGACTGACCTGAAAAGCCCGCCATATCCAATAAGGGCGACAATGAACCACTTCTCTTTGGTTGTGTATATACTAAATGACTCGGACTGATGCGAGTCTGGCGTCGAAGAACCTGGTGTGGTTGAAGGCGACGGTGAGTCAGCAGTCTCATTCATCTGGGCATCAGTGCCAGTAGCGGCCTTCTCATGTCGTTCGGTCATAATTGTTTTGAAAAAGTAGGCGGCGTGTTATGGAGGAAGAGAGTTCGAGGAAGAGGAACCAAGGCACTATTTATAACCTTGATCGTCTCCGCGTCATTTTAGTCCCGTTCTGATGGCGGAGTTCCGGATCAAAGCCGATAGGACGTCATCGGCCGACAACTGGATCTAATCCGGATACGCAACAGCAGTAACTCGACTTCCTGGTAGCACCGTACTGACTTCCGAGCGGAAAATATTGGCCTCCTGCTCAAACGCAGGCCAATCACCAGATGGTGGTTCCGCGGCTTCATGTCTACGAAAGCTAGATCGCGACCATTTTTGCTTCTTGGGTAAGGGAAAGAAACGGAAGGCGAAAGCGAAATTGACCTCTTGGACGGCTGGAAGGGCCGACAAGAATAGGATAAGTGAGCGGGCAACTTGGAACGTCGCTTCAGGATCGGGAAAGGGTCCGAAATGAATGTCGACGTGTTCTAAGCAAGACAGTCCACTTGCGACTTCCAGCAACGCGTCGCATTCCAACAGGGAGGCGTGCCCTGATTGAAGTAGTTTGAAGTTGATTTTCATTTTGAGGAAGCTGTTGTCGCTGCGCCGTGAGATGCACCCGAGATCACGGATGAACCCATCTATTGCGGTGGAAGGAAGAGGAGTGTCAAATTGGAACTCAAAAACGCGCAACAATGAAGAGCTGTGCAACATAGGAACAAGTGACCAGCGGGCGTCTCCTGTATACCGCGTAAGAAGAGTATCTAAACTTGGGTGGTTGAATAACTCAGAGTCAGTTGCAATGATTCATTCGTGTCCACCCATGCGTTGTACTGGATCCGCGCGACGTTGGTATGCGAGCTGAGAAATCGCTTCAACGCGCTGAGACTGTGACTTGATATCATAGAAGATAGCTCGATATGTCGCAAGTGATCCTCAGCGCCAAGCACTGATATGCCATTCAAGATTGACTCTGAATCTCGTCGCAGGGATGGCAATATCAGCTGAGCGAGTTCCGGTTTTGGTCCAAGCGGCACGATAGAGAAGAACGAGCTCTTGCGTCGATTTACAACGAGGATGCTGGTAAACGTTGGCGCTCCTCCACATCTCCGCAGTCGAACCGAAGTAAGTTGGGTGGTGGGCATAACAAGCACCTCTCGGCCATCATGGAGGAGAGTAGATGGGAACGGAAAGGTCGGTCGTGGCTCAGCTGCGGATTGTCCAGGCGAATCCCAAGGACTCCGATAAGCTCCCGGCGGTCGATGAAGTAGCGGGTGGTAATGCGCGACATTGAACTTTGATGGATTCCAGGTGAAAAGACTGCAAAGCGTGTCGCAGACAAGGACAAGCGGTTCAGAGGTTTGTCGAGCCCCATTGTCTGCCATCCCCGAGTGCCATTTAACTGCTACCCCGCTCACAAGAGCGTGCAATCGAGTTCGAGCGGCTAAAGGGGCGTGATACAACGAGTCTTCAAAGAAAAGTTGAAGCTCCGAGAGGTGGGGCATTCGATTCTGTCTTGCTTTCACGATCAACGCGTAAAGAGCTTCGAGAGCCGGTTCGCGGTCTACATTGGGATGCGACCAGCCAAGCCGAACAACCAGTCGTGTCATGGGAAGTGCAGGAAGGGTAACATATATTGAGAGGGCGTACACTTGTTTCGCATTCAATTCGAGAGACTCCCCATCGAGGTCGACGCCAGTGGTTCGAAAATGCCGCCGACAACAAAGGACGTTGAAGACGTGGCAAGTGGTGGCGAGCTCCAGAAAGTTGGAGGTATTTGGGAGTCTGTAGATGATGATTTCCCAGAGTTCAAATGGCAGTAGTTGGAGCGCTGGACATGCAGGCGAGTTGACCATGGAAAGTTGAGTCTGACCTGTCAGACACGTGGCCGCGGGAAACAGTGAATGATCGACCAAAATCACGAAAGAAAGATCAATCTGGATTCGTTTACTGGATGTGATGGTCTCATTTACTGTATTCGCATTCGATTCGCGGTTATTGGATATGATAATTGGGGATTATAGTAGAAAGGGTCTTATCGTTGACAGCTCCAGATTAGATTAGATTAAACAACGTTTTCTGCTATGTACTACGTTACGGTTAAGCTACTTTAAGGCATTATTGTGTTCGAGACATATTTCCACTATATGGCCATTAGTCAGGGAAGCTAACACATCTCTGGACAGGCGTACCGGCTGGGTATTGAGTCGTCCTTCTCCTCTACAGCATCTTCGAGCCGTTGGTATCCGTTTTTAGTAGCTGATTGCTGCGTGTGCTGGCTCGGACCGGAGCTGGCTACAGCGTGATCATGTTTGACTACCTGGTCCTCAGGCCAAGCCGCGAGATCGGTTTGGGGGAATCTATACCCCGAGAGGGCCGATAAGTCGGCGAAATGAAGATCAAAAGGCATTGTTTGGTGGTTTTGCTTGAGGGCCACATTCGATGACTTAAATATGCTCAGATCTGGCCCACGAGACCCAAGAGCGTCAGCGCAACGTTCAAAGTCGTGCGGTCCGGCACGCATCGGACGGAGAGATGGCGGTGAGCCAAAAAGTTGCGAACATGTCAAAATGACAGCAGCGTAAGCGAGATTATGTGTACACCGATCCTAAGGACCTCGAGTGGTTTAACTCACGACGATAGCCAGGACTAGACCAGAAGCAAACTGTCCTCCATAGGAACGTCCACGAAATTCGGTTTGGGCCCTTTATCCCCAATCATTTGCATTCCCTCCTCAATCGTCTTCCAATAGTCCTTAACCCAGCCAATCCACATCACAATGCCCGAATACCGCAGTTCAGAGTCGTGAGTGTTGACCCAGTAGCGTGGTTTTGCGACCCGCTCGAGCGCAAGACCCGCTGGAACACCGAGCGCAGCAAGCACGCCAAATGCCCGGTTTAATTTCAGGCCATGGAGCATGGCGAGGATGGAGATATTTGGTGTTTTCAGAAAAGACTGGATGGTAGGCCGGGAGACATGGATGCCATGAGGAGAGTAAATTATCGCTTCCGAGTCCGCTGAATCGTTGTCAGGTGACGGAGTCCAGACGATGGCAGTGGCGAAATTGAGTTCTGTGTGTCCAGCGAGCCGGAACACACTCAGCCAAGATGGGAGTGGGGTGCTTGGATGAAAGTTGCGCCAATTAAGTTTGTCGTCATCGTTCGGGGTGAAGTCCTTCATCGACATAACGGTGTCGAAATGTTTCCATCCTTCGATTGTTGACGTTGCTTCTGGAGCTGCGAATACGGGAATGGCTGGATCGAAGGTGCACAGGGTCGCTTCATGCATGTGGTCCGTTAGGCGTGCAGAAACAAAGATTGCGTCGACCTTTGCTGACTCCGCATTTCCAGAACCTCCAGCGGCAAGTTCAATCTCCTTCACAAGCACATCTACACCTTTTCCGTCCTTGATCTTCGCTTCTTTTACCAGTTCGATGTGAATAAGCCAGCTTCCATAGCTCGAAGGGCCCGCAAGCCAGGGGTCCAACACAATGTGGTAGTATAATTTGCCGCCTGGAATAGTCTGACGAGCGGCGAAAGGTTTGGGAAAAGAGAGAAGCCAGCTGCTGTCGCCATTGAGCGAAGTGAGAATAGGCCGTCCTGGCGCTGCGGATATGCGCGACTGTAATGACATGGTGGGTGGGGGGAGAAGAGTTCAGACTAGGATGTCGCCCCGGAAAAGGAAAGGAAAGGGCGGTATGGTGGGAGTACTGATCCGCTCACTCCAAAATTTCTATAGATAGTGCATAAATTGAACGAAACTGCTGTGCATTCAATTGCTCACTCTGCCAGCATCTCAGCAAAGTGAATTTTGGCAAGAAAAAAAGAAGCGAACTGACGAGGCACGAGTTTCGGCCAGTGGCCACGAATTGAATCTCTCTTTTGAGCGCCTTTGTCAGCTGCTGCAGCCAAACACCCAAGTGAGCGCCAAATTATGGTGTAGTCGTGTGGAACGCAAGATTAGGCAGGAAGCAAGCTATATATGGGTGTTCAGCGGGGATGCAGAGAGTCCCAAAAGCCATGAGCACCTCAGATTGGTGTCCCCTGCCTGTTTTTTCGCCATTAGCAACTCCCCCAACTCCTTCAATCGGCGGTAAAATGCTATACGTTAAACTTGCACTCCATCGACGGGTGTTGCAACATCGAAGATATAGAGCTAAATTTCGTGGCCTTGATGGACGACGAGACCAAAATGTGGACAATCGACTCGGATCAAAACTTGTCACGACAAAACCTCAAGCCTCTTCGGACAATGCGACAACGCTGGCTGCGTTCGTACAATATGTGAGTAGAAGTGGTAGCTCTTTGCCTCGCTTATGCATCGCCTCTCTTCGTCGCCAGCGGAAACAGAAGTGCATGTCACTCACCATTGCAACGCTAGTGCATTATAACGTCGCAAGCTTATAAGAGAACCACAACCACAACCTTTAATTGAAAGTACCACCACCACCACCATGAACTACGCAGAAACCATCCCCGTCGAACTCTGGCTTCACTGTGGGTCGTTTTGTTGGATACCAGAGCTCCGGCAACTCTGTCTCACCTGCACGACCTTTCGGGATATCTTCCAGCCTGTCGTTTTCGCGGAGAAGAAGGTGGTCATCCCCAAGCGGGAGCGATACGATGATGAACGGGCTATTGGTGGCCTGCAGCTTGACCACTTCTCTCAGTTCTCTGATACCTTCGATGGTCTGATCACACACAGCCATCTGGCGTCCTATGTCAAAGTACTGCACGTCGTCGACAATCTCGCCGCTGAAATAAGCCACGGCGAAAGCCTGACTAGGAAGGCAATTCCCGACCGGATCCTGCGTAAAATGGGGGCATTCAGTAAATTAAGGTCACTCAATCTCTCCAATCTCCAGCTTTATGGCGACGGGCGAAGAGCACTGGATGAACTCCCGTCATCTCTGGAGCACTTAGGACTCGAAATGTGCGGTCTCGCATCGGGCAGTCTTTTGGCGTTGAAGAGCTTCCGCCTCACCCGGTGCCTTCATCATGCCGCTGAAGACAATGGTCTGCTACATATCGTTGATCCGAAAACTGTGCAGACGTTGGTTTTTGACGCGTCAGCAAACCCCGGTGGCTGGGAGGACGCTATCAACAGTGTCGTGCGCTCTCTCTGTGAAACGACTGATGCAGTCTTCCCCTCCCTTCGCTTGCTCAATGTGTCCTTTGCTGCCACACCCAAGTTGTTGGTGTCAGCGTTTCTTCGAAAATGCGAGCATGTCGAAACGCTTATATTGGACTCATCAGCACATCTGTTCGAGATGCGGTATCTTCCGAATCTCCATAGTATTCATTGCCCAACCATTCTCGCCGAAGCCTTGGTCTCCAATCGTCGTGTTACGACATTGACGCTTGTCGACCGAGGGTTAAGAACCCTGCCGTTGTCAAAAGCACTCGCCTGCATCAGCTCGTGTCCCACTCTTGAGACAATCAACATTTCTTCTTTCATCGGCCAGGACGATTTGCTCTCCGTCCTCGATGCCACCACTACTGCCTTTCCCCGCCTCCGAAATCTCCGCCTCGCACTCCAATATCCTTACGGACTGTTCAAACTGCTAATGTTGCTACTTGCGTCAACGCGTAGTAAACAGATTCCGCTCCCTCCAGGACTGCACGCGCTTTGTCTAGTCTTGCCCACATCGCGGGCTGATCTCACGCGAACGGAGACGACGCTTGAGCCAATGCAGTTGGCACGTCTCCTGGTCAGAGACACGCCAGCAAAAGAGTTAATCAAGCTCTCGATCATGTATGTCGGGTGTGAAGTAGTATGTCTCAGAGCTGTGGAAGGAAGTCGGTGGATTATGGAGCAATGGGAAGCGGAGCTTAATTAGGCATTGTCCGCTTGTTCTTTCTTGGTTGTACTTGTAGAAATGTGTGATTAGATTCATGCTAAATGCCTGGTATGTACTTGTACAAATTGGTCGTCAAAGTTCGTAAATTCGTCAGTTCATGTCCAACATCAACTACTATAGTTGATAGGCCAAACGCAATCACCCTCCGCCCACCCATTAGCATCTTGCGGCAGAAACACGACGGAATGGGCAGCCATTGCCCGCTCGCAATACGGCCTCTCACCCGTCGCGATAGCTGACCAGTCCAGCCCAATACTATCTGATTCGTCAAACCAGCTCACCCATTCGACAGACGGGTCCAACTCCAGGATAGGCGGGAGATGGGCAGCAATGGGCGACCCTGGACACCCGGAGAGGTGCGGCCCGGACGGGGGACATGACTGCCCAATAAAGGAACTTGGGTGGGACGGAATGGGAGTCGCTTCGCGCTGGTAGCCACTCGAGTGCCCATTCTCATGTGAGCTAGATGATGAAGAACTTGAACGTGTCTGGGGTCGAGGAGAACCGACAGGTGTGTTGGCAGCTGACTTTGCCTGCACGATCGCATAGGCATTCGCCATATTCCGCATAAGGTTGCTGGTGGCAGTAGCAACAACAGGGTTGTAAGCCAGATGGGATGGTTGCTGGATGGTCGAAGGTGGGGGGCTTGGATTTGGATACACCGACGCAAAATGCGGTGTGCCATTTCTCCTTCGTGTGGCGCTGGCTGATGCTGGAATGCCATTTCCTAGAGACGCCTTATCTCTCGCGGCCCACTTGTCGAAGCCGGGGCCTCTCAAGTAAGGTGGCTCCATCTTGTGATGCTCGCGATAATGTCTCGTCATCGCTGCCTGTCCAGTCGTCGAAAACGTGCAGCGTTGTTCTTGACAAGTAAAGCTCGGTTTTTCCAGTCGAGCTGGTGCTGCTGGAAGAGGCTGTTGGTGCGCCACCGCGAGATGCATGTGAAGGTCCTGAACGTTGAGCAATGCTTGTCCACAAAACTTGTGCGGGCAAGACATGATCCCGGTGTCCGTCGAGTTGAAAGAGCGATCGCGAAGCATGGCTGAGAGTGGAGGAGTGGACAGCAGACTGACACTGTGGCAGCAAAACAGCCTCGAGCGGAAAGAGCTTTTATAGCTTCGCTCTGCGGTCATAGCGTCCATTCTTGAGGAGTGGCTTGAGCTTGGAGGCACAAGCAAGACCCCAAGCAGACGCTAGCTTGGAGCGACGCCCATGCCAGATTGCCAAAGCGCAGGACATCATCGATGAGGATGCAGAAGAAAGCAGGGTCACATTGACATTTGATGGCCAATGTGGTAGCCTCACTCGTCCGCGTGTGGTAGCTAACTGATGATGAATGATGTGTGACTACTGTGACATGCCCGACTACGGCCCGCTGCCCGACCTCCCATCACAGGTGCCCCCATTTAAAATGGCGTCGTCCCCCGACGCCTGCATGCCCTCTATCCGCTTCAACTCGGCTTCCATCTCCGCTACTCTCTTCTGCTCGGCCTTCTCGCCCTCCCTCTCCTTGTCTACCCTCTTTCTTTCGTCGTCGCCTAGCTTTGCTTGTTCCTTCCGTACTCCCTCCATGAATACATCCTGCTCCGTTGCCAGTTCCGTGCCCTTCCTTGCCGCGAATTTTCTTAGTCTTCTCGCGCTGTAGTGCCCTGATACCGCGATGCCATCCAGTGTTTCCAGTTCGTACGAGTTCACTCGCCGTGCTTTCACGCGATGCGGATCGCTCCATGGTCCCTGTATCTTGCGATCTGCGGCTAGGGTCTTCATTCTCGCAGTGTCGTAGACCTGTACTAGCTCGCCCGGCTCGAACCCTACCTCACCTGCCCTCGAGTCCTTTACGGCCTTGTCGAATAATGCCTTGCGCTTGTTCACGTGGTTCAAACGGTTGTCGTAGGCGTCCAGCCGTTGTTGTTCTGCGTAGCGCATATGCGTATGTATTTCGGCCTCCGTTGGTTGTGTCGTTGCTACCATTGCTGGCGTCGGTGCCGTGTTAACAGCCTTCGCGAATAGCACTTCCTTTGGTGTATACCTGATGGACGGCAGTATGCGCTGGTTAAGGATATGTAACGCTTGCCTAAAGAACTTCGGCCATGTTGCTGGCAGGTCCTCCGCCCTTGTTTTCCTCCAGCCGTCTTCTCCCAGCTTTGGTGCACACAGCCGCGCTAGCACAAAGATCAGCAGCTTGTTGGTGCCCTCCACCAAGCCGTTGACCCATGGTGAGTACTTGGGCACGGGCATGAACTGGGTCCCCCATTTGTCGCATGTCGCCTTTGACTGCCTTGTTGACAAAATGAGAGCCGTTGTCCACCATCAGGGTCTCCGCCGGCATGTAGTCCCTGAACAAGTTGTCGAGCACCTCGACCGTATTCCCCCCTGTTCCCGCTCCCTTGTAGATCTCTCCCCACACGTGTTGTGATGCGACGTCTATGTATAACCCCGTAGTTTTGTAGCCTTCCACGCTGAGTGGTAGAGTCATGTAGTCTGCGGCGATCAGCTCGAATGGATGTCGTCTTACTATTGGCCTCAGTAAGGCATGTATAGCCGTTGGTCCGAAGTTTTTACACTGGCTGCATTCCTTTATTGCGGCCACGATTGAGTCGTCCATTTTTGGGCTGTGAAATTTGTCCATGAGTGCTATTTTGATATGGTCGCGGTGAAAGTGGCCCCCTTTAGCGTGCACAGTTGCAGCCTCCTTTTTGGCTTCCTCCCTTGTTATGCATTCTCGCCTCGCTCTGGCTCTGCCCCCCGTCACGCCGCCCAATCGCCACAGCTTGCCGTCTTCCACAAAATACTGCGAGGCCCGGTGTCGTGCTCTCTTGCGTTCCCGCTTCGCTCGTGCCGAAGTCGATTTCCGCGATAGCGTTGATGATCTCCAAGTACACCGGCTCCTTCTTGAATCGTTCTCTTAACGCTGCGGTTCCTTCCGGTACCGGCATTACCACGTAGTTCCCTTCCGCTGTGCCAATCGTGAACACGTCGTTTATAATTCCTGATCGAGCCTCCCAGTCTGGTGACACTGTCCACTCGCTTCCGTCTTGTTCCCCCTTTGGTTTCCCTTTATCCGCCCTCGACAGCGCGTCCGCGACCACGTTATTCTTTCCTTTAATATGCTCTGCCCCCACTATGTTGTAGCCCAAGACCCCGTCCCTCCATCGTGTATGCGTGACATTGAGTTTCTCATTCACCATTATGTCTCGCAGAGCTTGGCAGTCCGTCTCGAGCTTGATGGGCTGGCCCCAGATGATGTCCGAGAACTTATCTAAGGAATATTTCAGCGCCGCGAATTCAAGAAGATGTGGTTGGTATCGTTCTTCCGACGATGAAGTTCTCTTCGACGCGAAGGCTATTGGGTGTCTCCTTATCACCTCCTTCCCTCCCGGTAACGTTGTTGCCATTTTCTGCGACAGCATTCCTGCAAACGCCTCCTTGCTGCCGTCTGTCGTGACTATAAACGGGTACTTGTCCACTGTGTCGTAGTTCGGTGCGCGTAAGACCGGTTCCCGCAACAGTGTGTCCTTGAGATTGATAAATGCTTTGGCGTGTTGTTCCGTCCACACCGGTGCCAACTTGAAGGCCTTCATTGCCGCTTGGTATATCGGCTTCTTTGCTCCTGTGGGTATCTTGACTTTAGCCAACAAGTCCCTTAGCGGCTTTTCCAACTTAGCGTAGTTCTTGATCAAATCTCTGAAGTATCCCGTTAAACCCAAAAATGCGCTTAGATTTGCCGCGTCCTCGGGTTTCCCCCATCGCACTATGGCCGTGAGCTTCGCCGGGTCTGGCGATACCCCGTTTGGGCCGACTCTCGCTCCTGCGAATACGGCCTCCGTCATGAAAAGTTTCGTTTTAGCTGCCGAAAGCGAGAGCCTTTCCTCTCTTATCCTGGTGAACATCAGTCTCAGCTTCTCCATCATTTCGGCGAAGCTGTTCGCTGCTGAGCCGCTGTCATCCACGAAAAGCTCCATTATTCTCTTGACTAGCAGATCGGAGAGCTTGTTTGCCGCCATGTGCGCGAATTCCGTGGGCGCGTCTGTCAACCCGAATGGCATTCGCATGTATGCGTAATAGCCCTGACCAGGTACGAACATCACGATGTACGGTTGGACGTCCTCTGCTATCTGTATGGCGAAGAATCCTGATGCAAAATCAAACACCGACACGTACCTGTGGCCTGACAACCTCCGCTGTTTTTCGCGTATGTCTCCTTGCGGCATTGGAACGACCTTAAGAAGCTCGTTGAGCTCGTGGAAGTTTTGGCATATACGCCATTTTGGTTGTTTCTTGGCTTTTCGGGCTCTCGGTCCGCTTGTTGCGGCTTTGACGGTAGATCGTATACTGGTGGAAACCCCTCTTTAATGCACTCGTCGTTCAGCGTGTGCTGAAGCTCTTCTAGTGTCATTCCCCCTCCGTCATGCTCCTTTTGCGCCAGCTTAATCGGTGAGACGCATTTGACGTCCCGTGGGTGTATTGGTCTGATTATACCGGCTTCTTCCAGCACCTTCACCTGTTCCCTCAAGTACTGCGCCTGTGGTTGCGACAACGGCTTTTGGTGTATTTTCGTGCTGAATTGATAGTCTTTCGGAATGTGTGGTGCGTATTCTGCACCTTCCACCGCATGGACTTCGCTCACTGATAGCGCAAATATGTCCGCGAACTCCGTTACCAGCTTTTCGACTTCCTTCCTCTCCCCTTCCGTTACGTCGTCGCCTATCTCAACTGCTTTCAAGATGCGTTCGACTCTCGCTGGATTGAAGGGTTCGGTTTTTCGGGTGAAGATGTTTGCCTGCTTTTTGTCTTGGTTCGTTCCCCTTTTCTCCACCTCCACCACAAGCATTCCTTGCGCCCCTTCCTTTTCGCTTCCCTGTTCCCTCATCCCCAGCGCCTCCATTGCCTCTTGTGCTATTGTTCTCGCTCTTCCCACTTCTGTCTCTCCTTCTCCCCACTCCCTTTCCTCGTTCTCCCACTCAATCCACTCTCCTCCTCCTACTACGCTATCTTCCTCGCTTTCCTCATCTTCCGAGTCCATATCCTGTAGCTGCTTGTCATCCACTTGGAATATATCGTCGTTCACTGGCCTTTTTTGTCTCAGTTTTGTCTCCTGTTTCCCTCTCTTTCCCCGCTTCCTTGACCCATCGCGTTTCTGCTTGGTTTTCTAATGTCGCTTCCTTCCCTTCCACTTCTATCGCGATTCTGTCCTTCTTGTAGTCGTGTACCACACCGAATAGAGCCTGTAACGGTTTTCCGAGCAATACTTCCATCCCCCTCCACTGTCGAACACCTCCAGTGAGATTAACGCTTTGACGCCTTTGATGTTTGCCGTTCCCGTCCATGTACAGACCGACGGTATGAGTTGGCCGCTTGCCATTCTCAGTATTGTGCTCGACGGGCTTCCGTTCCCCAGCTGCTGCCGATTGCGCTCCCATAGTTTTCTGTCCAGCGCTCCCACTAAAGCTCCGCCGTCAAACAGCATTTTAACCTTGACCTCCCCGTTCTTCTCTTTCAGCGTTGCCGAATGCTCAAATGGGCTACATCCTCTCTTTTCGTTTGCCGCCATCCCGTACAGGTTAACAATGTTGATTCGCTTGGTGGAAGGTATACATGTCATTCGTACGTTGGCGGGATCGAAGCATTTCTTTGGCCACGTGTCCCGGGCTGACTGTTGGCCTTTCACATAGTCAGCCCTCCCCCAAAACCCTCCATTTCCTGCCTCTTGAATTCTTCGATGGTGTACTCCAAATAGTTGACTCCCACTATACTTTGCCTGTTGGGTGCTCGCGTTCGTCCCAAGTATTTGCTGCAGATCACTCTGAAAGCGCGTTCGTTTTGCGGTATCGGCTCCGCCTTGCAGTTTTGCGTCGTTTGCTCGGTGCGGCGGAATGGTTACTTGTCCGCATTGGAAGCACTCGCCAGAGCAGAGCTCCGCTGTTCCTGGACTAAGCGGGTACCCGATCTCTTCCAAGGCCGGCCTCGTTTCGCCGCCGTACTGTTGGTTCCACAGGTCGATTAGCTTGCTGTGGTACTTTCTTCCGTCCTCGTTGTCTGTCGGCGGCTTCATTTTTCCCACCATCTCCTTGAGTTTGCGCAAGCCTTCTTCTGTTAGTGCTTTGCCTCTTTGGCCTAGGCTGAATAGGTTCCCCTTCCCGCC